TCTAGATCCGTTATCTTCGAATTCTAAAGACGGTACCATGGCACATTCGACATTTTAGGAGCCCGAAAATTGAAGATTGAAGATATATCTCGAACCACTGACGTATTTTAAGCTTCACTCTTGTAATCCAACATTCTTTCCCTTATTATTCCTCCAGTCTGCAGTTTCCAGCAGCTACTCAGCTAACAATAAAGTCTAAGTTCCCTTCCATTTTACAGTATGTATGCTTTCATAATTTCATGATCAAATGCTTACTTGACCAAGATACGTTGGTTAGGCCTAATATAACAAATATAATAATTATAGGCCTATTATATAATCATGATTCGTAGCACCAATAATAAGACAACCCTCTGTTACGATGGTAACAGCTGACTTGTTTTCGTAAGCTTGGGCCATATGTAAATCTGTTACGATTCGCTCAATTTAATATGAGATTTCGGTCACCCTAAAAACTCATATACACACACCATCAGAGCATATTAACAGGTATGCTGGATCACCTTGGATCATCAGTGATCCTGAGTGATCCAAGAATTACGAGGATCTATATATTCAGTATGAATTCCTTCCTGTAGAGCCTCGTGCCCAAGATCAATCATTTAGTATACTCTACTATTAGTTACGAATTGCATTATTGTCATTACTTTAAGTCCCTGCTTGACGCCTAGTTATAAACCACCTCGAGAGCCTAGAGCACTTCCACGTGATCTAGACGGCAAACCTCGTAACAACCAATTCATAAACTCATACATAACATTCCAATAAAAAGCTCATAATCATGACTACAAAAAAACTGGAAACATTACAAAATACAAAGAGTGATCCACATTCCCATAATATATTCATCCCTACACCAAAAGAAAAAAAAAACGATAATACAATTACACCTATCACCCATCCATCATTTATTCCAGGATTCATTCTTTCTCTCCACCCTCTCCACATCAATTCCCAACCCAAGAACCTTTAAATCGCACTAGGTTGATTAACATGAGCAGTACCCACCTCGCTCGGAGCATAAGTAGAACCCATCTGACCAGTCGTAACAGAAGTACCTGTTACACTAGGTGCATAACTTCCTGGGACTTGTTGCCCGCTACTAACTCTACTCTCATCTACTTCAGATTGTTGAAGTCCTTGACGATACCCATCTTCATTACCAACAACAGAACCCTCGATATTTTGGCCTTGTGGATTTTGAACACCCTCCTGACGTATGGCACTTGAATTCACGTTATCATGTGATTGAACGTCTTCCAAATCTAATTGCCAATCTCGAAGATCATCTTCAGCATCATTGAGAATCTGTCTAGCCTGTTCGGCATGTTCAAAAGGTGGACGGGTATTTCCTGGTACAATTGGTGTATCGTCAAGAAGATTTAAAAGTCGACGTCCGTGACGAGCAAGGATAATTTGTTTCTCTGCTCTTTCGATCGTGGCTGCAAATTCTGCATCATAAGCTTGCTTGATTTTCTTTCTCGTCTATAGTTATTTGTCAGCTCTGCTCTCTATCACCTTAAAAGATGAAACTTACAATATTTGTTAATTGAGCCTCAGCAACCAATTGTTCTGCTTCTGCTCTGACCAACTCTTGCTCCAAAGTAACCAATGTAGCACTTTGAGGTTCCTTGGCCTTCAATTTGGCAATTTGATCTTCCAATTTATGTTTGTGATCTCGACTCGGTTGAACACTCTTCTCCGTATTTCGAATAGCTTTCAATATCCCTCTCGAATCATCCAAATTATGTGCATAATACTCTTCCTGATCTCCCATTTCACTCAACAATACACCAATCTTATCGGAAATATCCGAAATGCCATCATCTTCCGTAGATTCACCCCATTCGGATAATTGAGTAGCAATTGAAACACGTTCTTTGCCAGCAGTTTCATATGCGGTGATGAGATTATTTTCCGTCTTGATGAGTTTGTAAAGTTTCTTGGAGAGGTCTGGTTGATTCATTCCACGAAGAGATGAGAGGGAGAAATGTTTGGAGGAGGATCCATCTTTAGTAGATGATTTCCCTCCTGAGGATCGGATTGATAATGCTCGATTCCTGACAAGAGTAATGTTAGCGATGATGATCTCGACCCGACGATCCGCGTAATTGAAAATGGGTCGGATGTCATGACTATGTAGATGTAGTAAAGGGGATTCATGAATGGGTGCGAACAAATGCTTTAAAGGGTTATTTTTCTCTCCAGATCCAGAAGCTCTGCTGGAATTTCCCCGTCGTAACATAGTTATAGCATATCCTTTGCGCAGAAGTGAAAGTTATGGTAACACTAGTGAAAAGATAGATAGAGGTAATCAAATAGAACTTACATCTTGGTGGTAGTTTGAATCAGGAAAGGACTTTGTTTGGATACTAAAGTTGATCAGCTCTTTCCGTTTAACAGTTCTCAAATTTTTAGTATTCCATCGAATTCGGCAACCCAAATAGTCTTTCAAGTTAAATAATTTTTAATAGTCGAATTCAAACGAGATAATCAAATGTTTTCCGGATCAAGACACTTCTGAATATTCATTCCGTACGTAATCCATGACATCTATCCCTCGATAACCACCTCAATTCCAAGAACATCGCAACATAACGAGCACGAGAATAAAAGACCAACCTTGTAACTAAGCCACCTCACTACTTAATATGCGTTGTATACCTATATTCGACGACTAGGATATGAAGATATATTACCTAGAATTTCTCTGCAAACTCATAAAATTAATATAAATACGTTGATGATAATCGACATTAAGGATGAGTATGAATATGAATATCAAAGAAGCAAGGGAAGCTTCTTTATGCAGGTTATTGCCCCACCATTGATGTTGACGTCATTTGTAGTGTAATGACTGTAGTGTAAACCTTATCGTTTGAATTCATGTGATGGTAAGATTTTACAGTAGAGAGAGAATATTGAACGAATGAGTGAAATTCAAGGTTTTGGATTGTTTGGACAATTATTTCAGATGAAGGTTATTCTAGGATTGAGATTGAATGCGTAAATATAATCTAGGCATTTTATTATGGGATTATGTATCGGGTATGTGAAAATAATTTGTTGCGAGTAGGAGTGATGGAGTGGAATGAAGAGAAATGATGATAGTGTGAGTAATGTACTAGGCTAGCTACGAAGGTAAACCCGTTACGCAGTGATAATGACTATCTGTTGTCAGTAGAGACGTTCATCATACATCACATCATAATATTTCTCTATCCAAATGTTCTGTAAATTAAATATAAATCATCAATTCATTACCCGTTAACTCATGATCATACAACTCATCCACCAACCTGGATAAACCCCCATAATTCCCATAATACAAATCTCACAACAAAACAACCCCCAAAATCCAGAACCAAAATACCACATCGAGAATCAAAACCTGGCCCGTCTAGCCAACAATGCCAGTTACACATAGATACACACACTCAACTCATACAGCATCATCCACACACCACACCCATCCACCAACCCATTCCAAACGCCCATAAAAATAACCAAGTATACACCCCAACCCTATCACACCACAAACCCCCCCATCATACCCCAATCAATAACGATGTCTATGAGTCGAACTACGATAACTCGTCTGACTAGCCCTCGGACTCGCAGTAACATACGTTCTACTAACAGGTCTAGAAGATCTCACCGACGTAACGGATACTCGTTGCGGATGATGATGAGAGTGGTGCGAATGATGAGAGTGGTGGTGATGAGAGCGATTGGATACGGGACGAGGTGCATAGACTACTTCGCGGATGATGGGTTCGCGGTAGTGTTTTGTTTTGCTTGGCCAGCACATTTTGAGGGTGTGGTTGTGGTTGTGGATGGGTTTGGAGGTTGGGGAAATTTATTGTAATGTAATGTAATGTAAGTAAGATCTTATATGTATATTTCGTAACTTTAAAAGCTTGAATTATCTCTCGAATATTCGTATCGTATATAGATAGTTGAATGGTTGGCCAATAACTTATTTATAAACGAAGATATATAAGGTTATATCGTGATAATTTTCACAGAAGAACCAAAAAAAAAAAAACCATCAACGTGGGAAAAGCCTACATTTATAAAAAATCACCAGCCGTCATCATCCCCTCCCTCAATCAAGTAATGAATGAGAAATCATGCACACCCAGACGGGACATAGCATCAGCCAAGTCCACATTGCGCACACATTACAGCGGTGCCCATGAATATTTTGCTATCCCAGCGAATACCCATCGATAGCACCCCACCATCCATCCATTCGTTGAACCCTGGTTCATAGCACCAGCCTCCACTACGTATGTTAATGATGCTGGGAAAGTTTATTTTCTGCTTTCTTGGGTGGGGGGTTGAGCCTCATTTGATGGTGTCATGTGGAGTAAGTATGAGTGAGGAAATATTATCGTCGAATAGGCATTCGATGAGGCTTTAGCATATGTGCAAATCACACACAACTCAGCAGTCAGAAACTTCCCCGAATCGTAAACTAACAACGAACGTAATTATTAATGAAACCTAGACAGATCGAATTCTCCATTCCCTTTTAATACTTTTAAGATCAGTGGAGAAGCTCCTCTCAGAATATACTATTGCAGTTTAAAATCTTCACCCATCTTGATTTCGGTACAATTTTGATGAGATCGGATTGGATATGAACTTCCAGGGTTTTCAGGGCTAGATTTTTAGCTGCACAGGTGCACGTCAGTCTGCATTAGTTCTATGGGCTACGCGCCTTATTTACCTAGTATTTTATCGTGGGGTTACTCGAGAAACCTTATAACGGCGAGGTCTAGATTTTTTCCTTTTTTCCGTTTACTTCTCAACCTAACCTTATCATTATCGAGATTATAAATTTACGCTGAAGAGATCTCTTCGGATTGTATGGAATCTACATAAGAGGACGTGGCTTTTACGAAGTTGCAGCAACAAGATGAGAGATGCTGGTGCGGAATTCGATTTTTCGAGGATATGATGAATAGGGGGAAACAGTTCCCAATACAGCAAATGGATTGATGGAGGGAGTTATGGATTTATAAATGAGGAGGTGCAATCAGAATCAGTAAGGCCCTTGCGGTGGAATAAAAGCCATTTCTTTCATTAACATACAATTGTCTGTATATTGTTGCTTTTAACGCTCATTATTGCTTCAAACAAAACCAGCATATATATACACTTGAAATCGAGTAAAGCGAAGAGCTTTTTTGCTTTGCTCCATTGCCATCAAACTTACATCTTGTCGCTCTACCTCTTCATCGCGGAATAGACTATGACTCTCAATCCTACTATTCTTCTATGCCGGAATGAGGAGGCTAGCTCCTGAACCTCTGGATGATTGTAGTATTTGCATTTGGGAATTTTGCTAGATACCTTGATTCTTTTAGGGAAGATGATCACGATTGCCCTATAATTATAGGTACTAGGCTTCATAAAACCTCCAGAATTTAGTATTTATTTATTTCTTAGCCCTGTCAAAGACATTTCGACAATCTTGAGGTTATCAGAGTATGATAACTGATTGCTGATATGCATCAGCATGATAACCATCTTCGCACTGAGGAAGAGCACGAGGGGCTCATCGTTGATAAGTAGGATTGTTTGCGCTGTAGGTAGTCCATATCGCAGTAATATACATCGGCAAAATGAGATTTAACGAGAAATCACTGCTTTGCACCATCGAATTTGCCTTTCCACCCCATCATGCGTAAGGTACAACATATCTGGTTTCATAATATATCAGGTCTGCTCCTGTGAAGGGTGCTGCTATGGAATGGAAACTTTCTATTCCCTTATATACACTGTTTCTGTTAGAAATGAATGATACATCTGGAATATTGGCATGAGAAAGGTAAGATTTTACAAAGTGACAATGGTGATACCTGGTCTTGTAGTGAGTCGAGGGGAGTATCAATGAAACCCTGTAATAAAGCTTGAGGGGCGAATATATCTCCTTCGAAACACTACAGAATGCTCCGTTGAAGTATTAATTCTGCCTGCCAAAGGGTCTCTAGGGCGCCATTACTGCGAGGCAGCTCAAGGTTTCTTTTTCCATATGTATTAAAGTAGTAAGAGATGTTTGAGAATGCCTAGGAACTTTCCTCCCTTAAGCCAGAATTGAGAATAATCAAGCGAGATTATCAGCAGGAGAGCACCATCAAACTCACGAACTATGTATTTTGTAAACCCGAGGGAACGCATAACAACATGATGAAAACACTTGCTTGATCCAATGAGCGTTGCTTTGATCGTACAAAACTCGAGCTGACTCAGACTGGTACATATGAGTTTCCTCCTAGTCACGGCCCATTGAAAATTGTGTCAATCATGAGTGCGAGATATTGCCTGAGCCCCACTTAAGTATTCTCGTATTTGCGAGAAGCTTCATCAGACTCCCGTGTAGCTCAGAACCGTAGGTGCAATTCCACATACTCCGCCTAGTTTACTCCATCGTTGTTGTGGGGAGGAAAGCGGGATCTGATATGATGTATGGAATCTGACGGCCACCGGCCCGTAGCATGGAGCATTGGTGATATAAATTGTTCTAGAAATTCACAACTTGTGAGTGAAATATTATTTAGCGGGTACATATATATACATATCTGACTTCCGCACTACAAGCTATTTGGTGGACCGACCGTGCTTGGAAATTAAAGATATGAGTGACTTTGAACAATACTCCGCAGCGTAAGAGCCCGACAGCATACGGAGCATGTGTAAGTTCGTGAATAGCTAATATGCCTGTGAACTTTGCCTTTTTGGGATCGTGTGGATGGGATAGGGCTCCAGGACGTTTAATTGACTTTTCCTCGTAAAAATAAATCGATGTAAAAAACTGTGACACTAACCCGTAGAGTCCGGGGAACAAAAATTTGAAGTCGGTGCATCGGTCAGTGTTACGTGACGGTTGTTACCCCACTAGTGGCTCACGTGCACTAGCCCTGTATATAAAGACCTTCTTACTTAGAATCTTCTTAGTTCTTTAGTTTTAGATTCTAAGTAATTGAATTGACTCCGTTTACGACTTTTCCGTCACAGTCAGTCAATGTATGGGAATGTAAGCTGTAGGTTTAATATCACTGGGTTGTTGCATTATATGTACTCGGACGAATCAGAAATAATCTTACAAAATAAGAACATTGTAAATATTAACGTGGTTTATCAGCGAGCGGGCCACTTTTACCTCAATTTATCATTTCAAACCCATATTATTTAACAACAATTAAATCAATTGATTGAAACTATCAAGAATCTAATAATCTAGGATCTATTATACTATTCTGACAAGTTCTTGAATTATGACCAGTCTTTCCACACTTACTACAGCATCGACTAGTAGATGATTCCCTATTAAAATTTCCCCCATTTTGACGCTCGTCGCGTTGAATCTGATTATCAACCTCTTGTTGTGATAATATATCTTTAGCTTCTTGTCCAGTAAGTACTCCTTCATTACGTAGTTGAATTTTTTTAGCGCGTCGACGTTTACTTAATACCTCATTTGCTCTTCGAAGCATACGATTCTCAGCACTCAAAAGTGTAACTTCATATGCTAATCTCTCTGTACCTTTAACTAAAGCTTGTACAGTCTCAAATATAGGTGTAGGAGAGCTTGATTGATGACGAGTTATTCGAGCTTTTACTAGAGTTGATTGTAAGAGAGCCTCAGTTGGATTATGAGGGGTTTGAGAGATCCAGGAGTTGGTAAGTTCCAAGGAGGTAGATGGAGGGGTAGAAGTACGAATCCTAATATCTAGTTTTGAAAGTATAGATTGAGGATCGAATGGTATTAGACCTGCTCCTCGAAAACCAGCTTTCATATTCTGAATAGTAAATGATTGTAAATATGCAGCTTTGAAGGCTATAAAGAATTCAACCTTGGTAATATGATTGATATGAGCTTTGATAAATCCTTCAATTTGACAACTATATGAACGTTTGAGTATGCCAAAACACCCAACATCGAGTGGTTGAGTTAAATGACTTGAATGTGGTGGTAATTTGAGGCATATAATATCATTTGATTTGCAATATGATTGAAAAGGTATTGATTCATGGCTTTCGTGCCCATCCAATACTAGCATTCGATATTTGCCCTTTCTTTGACGAATAGTATGTTTATCGAAATGCTTTAACCATTCTAACCCTGTTTCATTATTCGTCCATCCATTGGAAGTAGGTTTAATAGCCCAATCCGCAGGAAAATCGGTTTCGGTATACCAATTGGAAAGATGAACTTGTCCTTGAACTACCAGAAATGGAGGTATAGTTTCACCCTCTCCATTGCCACATATAATTGCTGTAGCCCACTCTCGATTGCCTGGTTGTATTGCCTTGCTTCTACCATTTCGTTCAGCACTAGTTACAACCATTCCAGGGCATATTATACCCATCATGAAGCCGGTTTCGTCGAAATTGTAGAAATCAGAATCGACAATACCATATTTCGCCCGCATATTCGATACCAATCTAAATCACTCTTCAATAAGCTTGGGATCTTCGCAGAGAGCTCTTTGAAAATCATAAATGCGATTAAAACGCGTCTTTAATTCTGGACATCGTTTAACAAAGCGATGAGCCCAGAGCTTTCCAACCTTCTTCGCACCCCGCGATTCGAGGATATAATTCGCCATATCTTCTACACCATTTAATTTAGGTGCAAACCCTCTCTCATCCATATCGATTATATACTGGATAAGCACTTCCTCTTCTAATTTGGTCAAATTATGACTATTTGCTCGAGATTCGATACGAGGGGTAGTACCGTCCATTCTGCGCTGAATCTTTGTACGCGGGATATTATATAGCTTAGCAGCCTTCCGAATGCTTAATTTTTGGTCTTTATTGATAGCTTCGATAGCTAAAAGTATTCGACCTTCTTGATTATTCGATTCCATAATATATTGTTGATAAATCGCGTATTGAAGTTGAAAGATATAAATTGAGGTAAAAGTGGCCCACTCGGTGATATGGCCCACTCGGTGATAAATTACGTTATCTTCAACTTTTATAGTAATTTTGATGGGGTTGAAATGTCAATCACGAGGCCGCTTTAGTTTCTGTGTTCCTTCGTTGTGTCAAAGAGACACCAGAGGAAAAGAGTTCACCGGCCAACTGAGCACGCCAACTAAACGCGTAGACCTAATTAGATAATGCATTGGCAGAATTCTATTATTAGAGTGTTTTTGAATTGGAGAGGGCCGGGTCCAAGCTTTTACAGTTTTGGGTATCAGAAATCAATCTTTTTCAAAATACAATATATAGATTTGATATTTAAAATTAAAATAGATTTAATTAATAAATAATGAAATATAAAAAAGAAAAAAAGTTTTATTTATAAAATAAAGCGAGTTGGAGGTGTTTTGGCCGCTACATTCGGCGGGCTTCGTCGCTGTTTTACGCAGCCTCAACACGCGCTAATAGCATCGTTCACGAGCATCAGCGCGAACTCCACCCCACCAAAATTCATGGTCCTTATCCATCACCATTTCCCGTTTCCCATTTTCAACGTCACCATTCTAATTAAGACAGAGCCAAAAATGGCTGTATTCAAGTTATTTAAACCGTGACCTTTCCACTTCTCTTTTCCTCAGTGCCTTTCCACCTCAACCAGCAATATACCTTCATTCACATTCAAACTATTTTCAACTTACCTTTTCCCTCTATCTTTCAAATCTTCTAGCATTGGTTATGGCTAATACTTCGAAAAAGCGCCGCCATTGTGACAATACCCCAGGGAATATCAACCTCCAGAAATTCCTTGTACGGCGTAGCAATCTTCAGCAACGGCCAAAAAAACCCTAAGGTCACGCCAGAGGACTGTGAAATCAATATTCAAAAGCTGAATAAAGATGGTCCTCTGGCATCAAAAGATGCAGACGCCACAAAGGAAAACATCACTGGCATATGCCGCAAGTGGAAAAGGTAAGAAAACAATCGCCTACCTCGAGTTTCATCTTGCGAAGCTAACACATAACATCAGGTTCTGCGAATTCAGAAACGAGCAATACTGGCGGGCAGCTATTCAAAGTGTAATAAAAGGACTATTATGATGTTCCTCCGATATATCTGTGAGAATTATAGGATACGCACATTCAGTTCTGTACATCAATATCTGCTTCAGTCCAAGCAGCTTTACAACCGAATCAACGGACGGCATATGGATACAAATAATGCGAAAGAAGTTTTAAAGGTATGATAACATACTTTGTTGCTAATTTCTGAGACAGATTACTAACTATATAATTATAGTATCTCGACACTATCTTAACCAAAGAGTTCACTTTAAGAGGAGAAAAGACGGCAAAGCCAGTGTTGGGAGCAGACGACCTTATCCTCCTCCTCACCCATCATTGGGCCCGGGACACATCTATTTTTCCAACCGGAGATCAGCGTTTGGCACTTGCAACAATCATGCTCCTCCTTATCTATACCGGCTGTCGACCCGCCGAGTCGGTTGATGCAGCCAAAGGGAAAATTGCTATTGGTCGTGATCAAACATATGAAGACGACAATTGGGATAATGAATGTGAGGGCTTGGATAAGACGAAAGATGATGATCCTATATATGAGAATCCAGAGCCTTGGGTCGATCCAAAGATCTCCGATTGTGATGATAAGGATGATGAGGATATTCTTACACGAGAATATAAAGCTCTCTGTTATGAAGATATCCGTCTTTGGACTGTCCGAAATCCTACCCCTGGAGAAAGCGATCTCCTTGGAATGGAGATCACTCTTGCTCATCACAAAGGAGCTGATAGGAAACCCAAACCGTACGTTCTTGATTTGATGTGTTTTGATCTTGCTAACGTAATATTCGTAGGACTACGTTTCTTTTTCACGAAGAAGCTTTACCAATTCTTTGTCCTGTTAGCCATATCTTAGCCATTGCCATCAGGGATAATGCAATCAAGGTAGACGGATTTACTCACGCCGAACCGTTTTTTACAAGCAACCTACAAGACCCTACAAAAGCAGTTCTGGTGCATTGGAAGCCAGAGAAACTCAAAGTACCGATCTTTCGGCAGACGGTATGGACATTTGATGGTCTATCAACATCAGAACATAAGGCCCTTTGTTACTCGACCTTTGCATATTACCTTGACCGTCTTGGTTGGGCTACCGGATTTGCACAGAAGCTAACTAGCTATTGTTTCCGTCGAGGTACTGGGAATGCTGTAGACGGTAAGAGATTTCTGTAAATACTTTGTATCCTTGCTGACATCTTCTAGGGGCAGCTACAACTTCTGTACGTGACCAGGTGATGAGGCATAACCCTCAGACAGGAGTCTTTTGCGGATCCTACATCAACGAAAAGGTCCGGTTTATCGTTCAAGATGCGGTATTAGACCAGCCAACGAATATCGGATTTCTTTGTGCCTTTATATATATGAATCTCACATATAATCTGCATGCCCCAATCGATGTACTCGAAGAGATTTTGAAAGCCCTCCCTCCGGATCCAGAGATAATGAAACTTAAAAGAGAACGCGAGGAATACAAAAGGCAATATAGATCCTACAGTCGAGCTCCACCTGAAATCCGCAAAGAATATGAACAACTCCTTCGGCAGATTGATTATTTACAGAAACAACGTGATCGAGCTATCAAAATAGAGTTCCGGCGGGATTATTTTGATCGTATCCATGATGAAGAATTAGAGAGGCAACTCAAAAAGATCCCTACAAACGAATATGTTGAACCTGTCGTCCATCACCAGCTTCCAGAACGAACTCGACTCCAAGAGGTGCTTTGTGATCTCTCGAGGGACATGAGCCCAAGCGATATCGTCAGCCACCGGATCCGTACCATTGACTTAATGGTAGCACTCTCCTATCGACAGGAACAAGAAGTTCAACATAGCAACCATTCAAGTAGGGAATCTTCAGAGTTTTCTGAGGAACAGCCTTTGTGCGAGGACCTCTTTCCCCTTCTTTGTAAAAAGACCCAATGCATTATATGTATCGGAGACAATCGAAGTACTTATGAGTATCGGACACGTACTTATGCCACTTCATACAAAATGATGAACCATGTGGATAGCCATTTGAAAGAAGTTCCGAAATTCCAGAAAACATCCTGTACTCATCCTGTTTGCCAATCGGAAGGGCTTATTCTTAAACACTTACAGCACTTCAAGAATCATGTACAAACTATGCATGGCATCAGTCTTCGACCCTAAAACTATCGAATAAGGTGTTAGGGATTGATGTGACAACTTGAAAAGGATTAACAGCCCATCGGAAAAGTAACTTGACCAGGGCTTCGGCTGCAAACATATGAGTAATCCTGTTAACATGGTCGTATTATTCTGTGTGATCCAAGCGTCTGTAACTTATAATCTGTTTGTTACAATTTTCTTTTTCCAATATTACGATTTTACTTGCTCTTTCGCCATGTTTCTCTCGCGGCTATATGCATATACAATTCTTAGTTTTTAGCAAATACAAAAAGAATCTTTATATTTTCTTTCAAACACCCTTCGTCAGATCGGAAAATTTGCATCTGTACCAAACGTCCAGAATATATAGGCAAACTTAAATAAACCTCTGATCGCTCCCTTTTCATATTCGCTGTACCTCCCTTTTCCTTAAAATGTCCAATACAACACCCCTAACACTCAATAAGTTCAATATGCATAAACTCCTTATCGATCATCTAAACCTTCAAATCGAACATGAACAAGAGGAGTTCCAAGAGGCCCAGGCTGCACCAATATTTACTGTACCTGTGTTTGAACACATTGAAAAAGAACTTACTGATAGTTCTGAATCTCGTTTCCCACAATATGGACTACTTGGTGGTCTATCTGAGAAATTGAGTGAGAAAACAACTGTTTCTAATAACGGTCAAGACCCTCGCATATTCTTCAATATCGCATCCCCATCAAGCACTTTTGTCTGCGGGTCTCAAGGCTCAGGCAAAAGTCATACATTATCCTGCTTACTCGAGAATTGCTTATTCTCCTCCAAAGCTAGCAAGCTCGTGAATCCCCTTACTGGTCTTGTTTTCCATTACGATACATTCATATCTGACGCAGGAGGGTCGCCTTGCGAAGCAGCTTTCCTCTCATCAAACCCCGACATTACAGTACGGGTGTTGTGCTCACCTGCAAACATACGCATTATCCAAGTAAGTTCACAAAGCTCTGATAGAAATTGAGGCTAACTAACGTTTCTTAAAGCGAGTGTATCATGGCCTGAACGTTCAGATTGAACCGTTGTGTATCAATGAAAGTGATCTCAATACAAAGCGCATGCTAGACCTTATGGCGGTGAGCCAAGATGATGGACCGATGCCATTATATTTGCATATAGTGAATCGAATCCTGCGAGATATGCGCATCGAGCAGCAGGAGGCCAATACTACATTCGATTATCAAAGCTTTAAGCTGCGGCTTATGGATACCGGTATGACTCCTGCCCAGTTGGGACCGCTCAGTCAGCGGCTTGATACACTAGAGAGCTTTATGCCTAAAGCACAGACGGGTGCCGAGCAATCGTACATGAGAAGAGGTGGGTTTCGGGGAAAGGGCAAGGAAAGGGGGAAGGCTGCAGGCAAGACTGGGAACGATTGGACTCCCGAGGTTTGTTCAACCTACACTCTTTTTCACATAAATCTCTAATAGACATAGCCTGGCCGCCTTACCATTGTGGACCTCTCATGTCCTTGTATTACGTCGGAAGGGGCTTGCTCCTTATTCAATATCTGTTTGAGCATCTTTCTCGAACAAAATTTAGATGTAGGTCGAGTTATCGCGCTAGATGAGGCCCATAAAGTAAGAAAAACGGTGCTGAAAGCCCCTATATCCTTTGGTCTAAGTTGAAGCGCTAATTATTGATGGCTTATAGTATATGAACACCTCAGCTGAAGCATCAACTCTGACGAATACCCTCCTCTCTACTGTTCGACTACAACGGCACCTTGGCGCTCGTGTTATTATCTCTACGCAGGAACCAACAATTTCTCCTTCGCTTTTGGATCTATCTTCAATTGTTATTGTGCATCGATTCACTTCACCGGAATGGTTGAACAGCTTGAAACGCCACCTTGCAGGTGCTACTTCTAATTTGCTTGATGGTGAAAATGCAGATTCAGATGGTCTTGCGAGTTCAAGAGGGAACGGGGATGGTGCGAAAAGATTGTTTGCCGAAATTGTAAAGCTAAGGGTTGGCGAAGCGTTGTTGTTTTCCCCTAGTGCTATGATAGACGTTGAAGTAGGTAGTAACGGTAAAGTGGCAATGAAGAGGCTTGGTGATGGTTTCTTGAAGATTCGAGTTAGGATAAGATTGACTGCTGATGGAGGCAAGAGTATTGTGGCAACTTAGGACATCAGGTTGAGGTTTTACTTTGAATCTATTTTTAATTTATCATTCATATTTATCAAATTTCTATAATAGACAAATTCCTGGATTATTGAGGACAGGATCCTTCTCTCTCAATATCGCACCCCTTCGCCCAACTATACATGGAGTGGTGACAAAGGTTTATATTAGTAGATGGACTAGCTAGACCTTTATCGAGGCATGACTTAATATGAAGGAAGAAATGAAGCAAGACCAATCAATTTAGTACCACCTCCAGGCCAAACCGCAGTTTGCCGTAAAATTTGGTCAATTTTGGTCAATTTGGTGTATTTATACTTGTGTTACGCGGGCTTGGTTCCCTAGTATTAGTTTTCACTTCCCCCATTCAAACATTAGAAGATTGAGGCTTTCAATCTCCCCAACCTGTATTAGCTACGGTCGAATAAGGCCAGCCACCCTCCATTTACTATTGTTAGAAGCCTACAAAGCTCCTAGCCGTCTTAGATAGTCATAGACTCAGTGTAGACGTTAATTTAATCAATCAATCAATCAGTCAACCTGTCCATATGAGCTCAGACCCTGTGGAAAAGCAAACCGATTCACATACAAAATTGTATGGTAATCGGTTCGTAGAGTCTCCCCACCTTCAGCAAGCACAGAAATATGTTCTGATTTAAATCACGTGATGGATCTAAGGGATCTAGGGGATCTAGATAATTAAACTCTAGATCCAGTAGATCCAAGGGATCCAAAAGAATACAGTAGAATATGAAGTTCTATATAAAGGGATAGGTTTTCATTTGTAGAGCTTCGTGCTCAAGATCAATCATTTAGTATACTCTACTATTAGTTACGAATTGCATATCATCATTGTCATTACTTTAAGTCCCTGCTTGACGCCTAGTTATAAACCACCTCGAGAGCCTAGAGCACTTCCACGTGATCTAGACGGCAAACCTCGTAACACAAGTATGATTGATTGATTAAATTAACGTCTACACTGAGTCTATGACTATCTAAGACGGCTAGGAGCTTTGTAGGCTTCTAAACAATAGTAAATGGAGGGTGGCTGGGTCTTATTCGACCGTAGCTAATACAGGTTGGGGAGATTGAAAGCCTCAATCTTCTAATGTTTGAATGGAGGAAGTGAAAACTAATACTAGGGAACCAAGCCCGCCTTACAGATACTCTCGTATTCAAATAAGAGGAATAACAAATGAAATGTAATGAAATTTGACATTGGGGTGATTGCCCAAATTGACCAAATTGACTAAATTGACCAAATTGACTAAATTGACCAAATTGACTAAATTGACCAAATTGACTAAATTGACCAAATTGACTAAATTGACCAAATTGACTAAACTGAACAAATTGACTAAATTGACCAAATTGGCCATAATTGATCAATTCAATCACAATCTTCCGGTCCACCCCCTTCTTCTCCGCCTTCTTCCTCTTCTTCTTCATGCATTCTATTGAGATGCCATGATCTGGTGGCTATTCTCGTCGCCTCGATAAATTCGAGGGTCTTGATGATTCCTGCTTTAGTATGAAGCAGATATTTCATGGTAGGTTGGACTATGGGGTTATCCTTATTGAGGGTTTTCCTTGCCGTTTTATATATAGGACAATTGAGTAGAAGATGATCAGGAGATTCCTTTCCCCCACATCTACAACTGTCATTAGAGGAGAATTAAATTGACAGGATGAGAAGGGGAGATTTTCAATAATCTGAAGGCGTATTGTTTGATTCCAGCATTTAGTCTTACTTCTGGAGGGCACAATGCGGCTTCTATTTCCATTGGTTTTATTGGTGAGGTTTTGAATACTCCTAGGATTTTTCGAAGGGCGAGGTTCTGCAAGGATTGAAGGATTTTCTTGAATTGGTTTTGCCCTTTCCACCATAAAATTGAACCGTAGTCAGCTATGCTGGTGACGCATGCCATATAGAGCTGTCTCATTGCCTTGGGACTAAGGCCTTTTTCAGAATTAGCAAGTCTAGCCATTCGGTAGAATGAGGTTTTAGCCTGGGTAGCTCGGATTGTGACATGTTGTTTGAAACTGAGGCCAGGGTCGAACCATATGCCTAGCCATCTGACTAATGTTGAGGGTTGAATTATCTCCTCGTTCGGAAGCTTGATTGAGGCTGTCTTCGTATCTTTGGATATAGAGAAGTGTACTAGTTCCGTCTTCGCTAGATCAAATTGAATAGCATTTTCTTTGCCCAGAGCATATATTTGTTTAGAGGTGAGAGCGTTCTGACGGTCTAGAACATCGAGTCAACATACTTATAGGACTGCTTTATATTTAGATAATTGGATTCATATTTATGGAAAACTAAATTGGAAGAAAACATTCTACAATAAAATACTCTTCCTTGTAATCTTGAATCGGTATCAAACATGAATCCTTTCCATCATTATATTAACATTCGTAAGTCTTGAACCCATATAAACATACCATCATTCATTTTATTATAGAACATTCCGTCCAACTGATATTCCATTCCATCAAACAAAATTTCTTCCAAGCAAGAATCCATCAATTACGATTCAGGGTATCCAGAGAAAAATTTCCCCTTTATACAATTGCAGCCACAACCGCAATCGCATCTACATTAATAACCATATCCATAGTGACAACGTGTTATTTTATAGCATCACAGGATTGATAGAGAAGATATCACATCAGTGTCCCAGTTTGGGGAATGCAATGCAGGAGAATTATATCGCTTCGTCCTTTCATCCTAGCCTAACCCCTTCTCGCTACTGTCAAGTCACTTTCCATTTGTCGCCTCTCAAACTCCATGCTTCTATTCCACTATTCTCATTGATCTAAAAGTTCTCTCATCATACATTTCGCAGCACTCATACAGGCCTTTATCGTTCTTAAACCTTCCTATTTTGAAGAAAGATTCAACAGTCTCGACTCTAGTCTAGGACGACATTTGCTACATTAATCTCCACGCTAATTTATAAATGAGCAGTAGTCAAAGAAGTAAGATTAGTACCATCAATAGAAGAGATCTAAGGATTTGAGATTATATCCTGCCCATCCCTCTTCGCATTATCGTCAACTTTACGTTCTGCTGCATTAATAATTTGCTTGCGTAGATTGTTAACATCGAATATCCTTCCTTCCACTTTATTATCCTTCACCATAAACATCCAGGATTCGACACCATGATCCAGATTTTTATTCCCCTGGCGACAATGGCGATGAATCCCTTGAGCCACAGTATCTGCATGATAATCTGGCTCTAGGAAGCCGACTGATACAGCCTCTGCTAGAGTCAGTCCTACAGCAAAGGATGAACTAGTTGCAACAATGTATCTAGCGGTTTTCTGTTCCTTAGCTGGTATTTTGCTGTCGACATTGACATGAAATCTTGCTAATGCATCATTGATTTTTCTTTGGCCCATAGGCTTGTATAAGAAAATGACATCCTCGGGGTTGATCTTAAGGATGTATATCATCCACTAAAACTCTTTGATTAGTATCTCATTTTATACTCATAAATAGAAGTTTAAACATACCAGATACATGATATAGGCACCGGTAAAGAAATAGGAACAGAAGATTTGCCTTGCCAACTTCTCTTCGGCATCAGTGAAGTGTTTGTATTTATTGATCTTTTTCTCAATCTCACGAAGCTTGCCCGAAGATGCAACAATCTCCTTCAAATGTTTGAAGTACGGATCAGTATCTGTCTCCTGTTTCCATTCCCAGTTCTTTCCTGTGGTTTTCTCTACCCATTCAGCCTCTGTCAGTTTCAACGAAATGCCATCGTCATCGGTAAGCTCCATGAGATATGGGAAGGATGCGCATAGTCGAGAACGATAGTAGATATTAACATTAGTCTTGTCTAATGGCTTATAATCTTTGAGATGGCCATATTTCGCTCGACGTATCTTTTCTCTCTTTTCCAACCTCTTAGATTCTTCTTGGCCAAGAGAGTCAACCCTAGGAGTCCAGTATGGTCCATTATCGCATTTGATGTCGGAGTAGAGATTCCGTGGCACAATAACAGGTTTCTCACCAAGAAGATCGCTGTTCGTAGTCCATCGAATCATAAGTTTCTCTACCAGCGGACTAAACCTGTGAGTTATTTCATGAGAAATATCTTGAGTATCAATAGACCTGCTATCAGTCCATTTCTTCCATCTTTCACCAAGATCGTGCAACTCGTTATGCATCCAATTTCGCAAAACTGCATCCTTCCTCCAGCTATCGCGACACATCAATTGAACAAAACCGGAAATATCCAATGGTCCTGTCATCAAAGGCGTACCACTTAACAATACTAATGCGATTCGATGATAGACTTCATGTCCACAATCATGTAGCAATTTCGTTTCGTTCTTGATATGTTGTCGCATTTGAATATCGTGGATAGCTCTAATAGATTCTGTCCTTCGAAGCTGGAATTCGTCTTTGAACAGAAGAGAGACAATACATGATTGATAAGCTGGTGTTTTCCGCTGTTGTCGCTGGGGTTTGGTAATATAATGTTTCCCTTGGCTGTTGGTAGATGGTTTACCTGGTGGCTGGTACCACCATGTCTTTATGTGCTGAAATTTATTCAAGAATTGGCTGGCAAATGATTCTGGTGTGGTAATAATAAATACGTGCCCATTTTGAAGGCGTGGTGTATAAATTGACGGAATTTTCGGCTTTTTGGACTCATCCAGAGATTTATCTTCATTGCCTTGGGAAACCTCTTCTTGGAAAATCTCTGTACCTTTCAATAGAGCTTGCGTGCTGCCATCCAATTGATCGCCTCCACTGGTATTAGCAGTACCATGTGCTTTGACCAAAATCTGATCAGGAATATTTTTAAAACACTGTTTATGCTCAGCTTTCCAAACATTCAATAGACCGAGAGGAGTAAGAGCAACGGTGACACCCAATCTCTCCTTCAACCAGTGATTTGCACTGTCAGCAGAGCAAGGGCAATCGAACCCATATGTTCTATACATCTGCTTATTGGCTGGACATTCGCCATGTGTAACATGAGCCTTCGAATTAGCGTTTATGTCAGCCCATATCATATTGAAGATATGTTGAATCCAATGGATCGCGAGTGCCATAGTGGTTTTTCCAATACCCATAATGTGACATAGAAAAACAGACCCTGCAATACCATGAATCTGCCGAAGACTATACCAAACACCATGAAGCTGACAAGGTAGTAATTGATGCCCAAAACCGCCAGGAACCTTAACACAATATTCCGGTTTCTTTAGGGTTGGCTTATGATGGATAAACTGACAGACTTGAATCCAGATCTGCTCGTTGAAATGCATACATGCTTCAGAATCGCAGCCTGCTTGTAGCCTAGAAAAATTAGTCAATGGGCATGCGAGCGCTCAAACATGACACACCTAGTTAATCCCTCGTGTCGAAGTTGATCGATGTATTCTATCATTGCAGCATTATACTCATCCTCATCTTCAAAATCCTCTATGACTGGCTCTGCTATAGTCTCATTCGAATCGGAAATGTTTTTCAATAGAGTTTCAGGGTTGATAAAGATACCTTCCTTTTCTACATCCTCATCCGGCTCTGAATGCGATTTCTCGAGTTGTTTTTCCGAAGATTTTGAGCTTGGAGACTGGACTTCTTCTGACTCCAAACTGCTGGCAGGCGTTAGTGTATCTTTCACCGTTGTGCTTTCAATTTGTGGTTGTGTTAGAGGTTTATCACTTGTATTTGTGCCTTGAGAAGATAGAGTCGAATTTTTAGCCTTTTTTTTTCTGGGTTGCTCTTCTAGCTGCTCAGATCCTTGTCGTTTGTTACTTTTTGATATCGCTGCTGCCTTTGTACTACTGATGTCAACGACATTTGAGGCTGGGTGCGATGCAATGAGACCTGGAAAGAGTGGTTTGTTCTTGGAGTTGAGTTGCTCAACTTCAAGTTTATCGTTATCAGCCTCTTTCTCGTCTGTTTCTTTTGGTATAGATCCGTTGTCTTCGCTGTTATGCTCCATAATCTCATCATCATCATCAACAACATAAGATTGCTGGATCACTCCCACAAGATCCGTAAATAGAACTCGGTGTACCATTCGCATATTCAAGTCTTGATCATTCGAACGGACGGCACACCAAAAGTCGATTCCAATGCCTGTGGTTTCAGCAAAAATGGTCCAATTAATATTGTAGAATCCATTGACCGGGACCAATTCGCTGGCGTTAACTAAGGGATTAGGGACGCTAGGACTGAAGTCGATTTCAAATTCAAACTCCTTTACTTTAGAAGTCGTACTCTGATAAGACCAGCCTCTTTTTCCAGCACCATTTTCCGCGATCTCGTCTTTGTCGTTATCCATCACTTGCGATGTATCCAAACTTGGACAAATATATACCATTATAGGCACTTTGTAATCTGTGGATTGGTTTGCTACAGATCCCTCTTCATCAAAGATTTCTGCCATCTTAATAAAGGGCATCTGATCGATGACGCCATCAACAACGCAATTTTCCCCCTAATCAGTATTTAGCATTTTATTCCCAAAAATTGGATCTGGCAACATACTGGTTGAGCCCACCACTGAATGGTCCTTACTTGCTTTTCGTTTTTCATCTTGCCATTGTTTCCCATAATATCGTCATTCACAATATCTGCTCGAGGTATATTGGTGTGCTTTTTCTTATAATAGAACTCCTTCCTTGCAAGTCCTATCCAGTAATGGCTTTTTCTAATCGACATGACAGATGTGACAGCCCGGATTATAGCCCCATAAGCCACAAGCGTTGCACTATTCACCGTCAGATACTCATATCCTACTTCAACAATGATATATACGAACCTGTTGAACTCCCCCAAAAAAACCAGCTCTGTATTGCGAGAAGATTGACTCTCAAGAAAGGATTCTATACATGTTTTCATAACCACAGCATTGCTAGACCCTCCTATCAAGAAAAATTTTGAAGGTGGGGGGCAATCAAGTCGTGCATAATATTTCTCATGCTGCTCGGTAAGGAAACTTATAGTGAGACGTATCCATTCACCGAACCAAGATTTCATTTGATCTCTAATATCAACAATAGTGATTAGAATTAGATAGCCATAGACTCAGTGTAGACGTTAATTTAATCAATCAATCAATCAATCAATCAATAGTGATTAGAAATTGTAAAGATGTAGCAAGGGAGGTTTACCTTGTTACTGTGATCTTTTGTCCACAGATACGGTACACTCTATCCACTTCCTTCCCGGACTGTCCTTTGTATGTATGCATACTTCTGACGAAACTCACTCTTGAAGTGGCTAGGTCTGATTCAAAATGGTCGGAATCTTCTGACTCTTTCTTACATAGGTTACGGATGTGCGACTCCCAAAGCTGTAGTACAGTCCTCGATCCCGCAAACAATGCTAATAATAGTATCAGCAAGACTTCTCACTTTCATAAGACTAGACAGGATGGCTGACCGGCAGACGGCATAATTTCTTCAACTTGAGTTGGGTCGCTAGATATCTGACGAGAGACGCTAAAATCCTAGAATTTTATTTAGTAGGAAATCAACAAAGGATGAAGACTTCACGAACAGATGTTCCTTTACCAATATCAAATGTGAAGAAGACATCGCCATCCTTCATTCTTGATCCCTTTGGGGATTGGTGTATCAGTCCTGCGATGGCGCTTTCTATCTCCGATTGCAGCATATATCTGCCAGCAAGAATCGGAGAAGCATCCAGAGCAAGCGTATACAACTTGATACTATTTCTGTCCCAATTAGAAGGGATGGTACAAACCCAGATCAGATCTCCTTGAAGGTCTTCTTTGATAATGGTTGAGTTCACCAGCTGAGCAAGCCAAAGGATGTAATCAGCCAGCATCCAGATCTCTGGATGAGCTGCTAGCTGGGTATCACTATATCGAGTCTTAAGATAGGGAATTCTGAGTGCCAAATTCCTGAGAGCCTTGTTTTGTTCCCTTGCTTCTGGTCCAGAATACAACGCCTCCTTGATTCTATCGATAACCACTGCCCCAGTCTCATCGCCTATAGGGTCGACTTCGTATCCATGTTGAGCTTTGGATTCATCTGTTTCGCCAGGGATGTGAGCGCATATAGTCGGGACTTCTGTTGTAATTTCCGGTCGCTGATTTGGATTACTGGAATAGCGATAAAAATGGGTCGGCTTGATGCTTTCCAAATTTGTGAGCTCCCCCGACTTGACCTCGATGTCTGCAATATGTATGCTTGTATATCCAGTACCCAAATCCCATGATACTATCTTGTAAAGCCCATCGGAGGCAAGGTGATTTCGTAATGCAGCTGGAATGCGACCTTTCGAACTCGATCTTGGTTGGCCAGTCTTATTCGGCGGTAGTATATTTTTACTTCGTGCCATCTTTGATATTCGGGAAGGAGACACGTTTATCATACAAGTTGAAGAGGCCGGGTGATTGTGTATGAGCTACGAAGGCTTGATAACACAATACTCCAATTCACGCGTTTTCAAAGGTGTCAACGCAAACGGCAGAACCTGTCTTTATTGTATCGGCAGAGTGGTATAGAATTACATAGGATCGAGAATGATAGGCTATCGCAATTATGCCATGCGAAACCGGACGTCTTGAGAGTTTTCAAAGATAAGAAAAGTGTGGCAAGGCTGGTGAACGACTTTTCTGTGCAGATGGGAGGCCGTTAATCACAATCAATAGAATAAGAATTCTCAACGGGTCGCAAAATCCAATCGAATCCTGTAGTGATATGGACTGCTTGATCTCTTAATGCTTCGACTGAAAATAGTGAAAGCGACTGATGTTATGCATAATATCGGTTTGAAAAAGGGCTACGATGCTTCATTCTCAAACGATTTTAATCAATACAGAAAAAGAAAATACAGAAAAAGAAAATACAGAGTACGTACAATAGGTCAAACGCGCGATCAGGTGATTCAGCCAATTCATCGCGTCGCATTTGACTTTTTCCTACTTGATAATTTTTATTCCCTTTCTAACAACAATGACTTAATAGATTCTATAACAACACTTATTTGTTCGTGATTCTTGCATACCTGAGCTGGTATCCGAAGAGACGGTTGAATCTCGCATACAAAAGAATACGCAATGGAGACTGAAACATCATTGGCATCTCCCGAAAAACGCTTCAAACCATGTGACTGTTGCGATTTCAATCCTATGGAATGGCCTTGGAGGAATGCTATCTTAAAGATCAGGAAATGTATGTATAGATGTGTTTATTGCGGGAAGAAATTTTCACCAGCCTCAAGACTGCGAAGACATCTTAAAAAATCCAAGGGACATGAAGCTCAGCAATTCACTATTGTAAGTGAAGATGCCGGTAGACCGCCCAGAAAGTGAGTGAGGACCCTTTGTTGTGATGACAGTACGGTTAATAGCAGTACGAAATCGTATAGGAATATTCATAATAGTATTTCCAAATCCAAATCCAATGGAAGGTCATACCGCGCTTCTAGTCTCTCCACAATCTCAGCACACGAAGAACAAATATTACACCTAGAAAGAGAAGCTTTTGATGATAATGTAATAAGAACGTTCCAAAAGCTCAATCTATCCACTGTCCACGATATTTCACCCGAAATGAAGGAGTTATGGATAAAATACAATGGTAGAATGCCTTCAAAACTCGATGCTCGTCGTTGTTGGACAGATGAACGACCCAGCGATGCCAAGCTGTTCGCTGCTACCATCGAGCAGATCCAAAACTCATCTGTAACCTGGACTGTCATTCAACGAGGGGAGCCTACTGACGAGAAAAAAGCTATTCAAGCTGTAGCACAACTAGCTTTCCCGGATCCCTGGAACCCGTTAAAGGTGTTAGATCTCCGCCTTCCTATTTTAAGAAATGATATTTTCATGGTCCCGAACGACTTAGTGTGTTCATATGGAGTAGACAACTTGCAGGTGTTGCTTACCCCAAAATATTCTTGGTCCCAACTACATTTTGGTACGTTCTTCACATATCAGGTTTTTGAACTCGGGATCTCGACTAATAATCACAGATAATGCAGATGGCCTGTCAAGCATTATTGGTAAGACAGGCAGGAAGATTTTTGCGACCTTTCCAAATAGCCCTAACAATATAAGACTCTTTCGAAGTACTTTGGGCAAGGAAGCAAAGCTCGAAGAAATTGGCCCATCACTTGAAGGAGGACTCACATTCACAATAACTTCTGATGATGCCATTGATTTGCCTGGAAATTGCTTCCATGCAGTATGGACACTCGAAGGCGGCTTCCTCGCAACATTGGACTTTATCACACCCAATACAACTAAAGGCTACTCGAGAATTATATCTGCAGGGTTAGATGAGTTTATTGGAACGATGCGCCAGAAAGATTTGTTCGATTGGTTCCTTACTTCCTTAGAGATAGCTTTTAAAAATGAGTATGTGGATGATGCCGTTTCGGCATGGATTGAATTGTTGGATCGCACAACAGAATGGGCGTATGGACATCATGAATGGTCAAAAAAAGCAACAGATTTATGTGAGGAGTTTCTGTCATCGCCCGCTTCATTAGACCAAATTTGTCCATGTGGAGGGGGGCAAGGAAAGGCATTTAGGCAACACTTTCGAGATTATCATCTTCTTCAAGTCTTACACAAACGACAGCATAATAAGAGTAATAAACCTCGAAAGAAACTATGTAGATAATATAATGAATAATCCTGAAAATAAAAAATCAGTTCGTTTTGCGTATATCATTCAACGTATTACAAAGTAAAAGAACCAACAGTTGATGGACTACAATGTTTTCGTAAAGACCCAAATTTTCTTTATTTAGTATTATGTAGAAGTCAATTTGGTTGATTTCGTATTCCCGCTGATAAAATGATCGAACCATAGTCGATCGAAATTTCGTACACTTTAATTTCTTAGATGTAATAAAGTCCAGGAAAGGAGATAGGGTAAGAAGAGCGTTGACTAAATAAGGTAATCATCTATTTAGATAGGAAAAGAAATCAAATTGGTATATTCAGGGTTTACGAGAAGTCGTCAGCTCTAAAGAGCAATCTGTTACGTCGGACGAAACAATAGGCTCACCACATGACAAACAAGGCTTAGTCATCCACAAGTAGTTCTGTCATGTGATCTGAAAGCCGACAAGTCGAGATCGGTTTTGCGGTAATCGGTTCGTCGGTCTTTCAGCCATCGGGTTCGGAATAGGTGCGAAGGTCTATATAATCAGGATGGATTTCCTTAATGTAGAGCTTCGTGCTCAAGATCAATCATTTAGTATAATCTACTATTAGTTACGAATTGCATACCATTATTGTTGTTACTTAAGTCCCTGCTTGACGCCTAGTCAGTTATAAACCACCTCGAGAAGCCTAGAGCACTTCCACGTGATCTAGACGGCAACCCTTGTAACATCCGATTGTTATAACGAATGTATTGTGATGGTAATGGTGTAACTGAGTATAGTGATTGCCTTGAGCACGAAGCTCTAGAATAGGGAAGCCTTCATTCTCCTAGCTCGCACTAAATCGCTGCTCTTTCCTATATACCTCCCAAGGGTACTATTATGATTATTCCAATCACTGAACCTAAGGTCCCTTGATCATATGTATCATGTTGCAGCCCATTGTAATATCAAACTGCAAAACAGAATGTTAGGAAATCTGTACCACATCGTCTTGATCACCAAACAATATGAAACGATGCTGAATCCAACCCATTCCAACCCTTTTGAAAGATCTGTGATCCGAGCATTCTGTAACAAGAAGTATATAATACTTCCATCCATCATTCTTTGGTTCAGCTTCTCTTCCTATTATAGCAAACTGTATTTCTGTTGCAGACTTTCCCAATTTGTTGTCAAAACAAAAATGCCCAAGCTCTTCATTCGTATCCTTATCAGACCATAGATACCCATCTTTGTCGTCGTTGTCATGTTCAATCTTAAAATCTTGATGTCGTTTCACTCGAGCCTCCAAGATATAAGAATTATTCTTCTGATTGCTGACCACTAGTTTGACATGCCTATCCCATTCAACTCTTTCGGAAGAAAGATATCGTATTTGCCAGGGATATGACATCCAAGACCAGGATGGAGGGGCCTCGCCAGTTTTGAAAGGTATTTGCTTATCGGAAATTTTCTGGGACCGTTGCCATAAGAGACTTTCGTGAAGATAGCATTCAAAAATGCCATATCTGACATTGGTATTGAGTGCTGCGCCCAACTCCATAGCTAATGAATTGATTGCAATGGGTCTATCTGTCTCATTTGTAAGGTTTAAACCTGAGTATTCCTTAAAAAGAGTCTGAAAAAGCTCGATTTGAGCGTTTGCTGAACGTTCCCTGATAGATTGAGGAAACTCTGGGTCGCTTCGAAAAGAAAACATGTGGCTAAATTGTAAAAAAAAAATCAACAAATTTATTAATAAGTATTTAGTAGTGATAAAGAAAGGTGAAGTATCAAAAGAAAGCAATAATTTTGAATCAGAGACTGACTTTTTCATCCAAGTAAGCGTTTCGCAACGCACCCCACCACCACACTCCCAGTACGTTTGTCTTTTGGTGAAATGAATTGTTCGTCTTGACAAGGCTCGTTCCTGTAATACCCATCCCCGTGTATTCAAGACACCGTTCTGCACATCATCAAGAAAGTTATCGATAGATCTGCAGATATGGACTCTACCATGTGAAGATTCGGACACTGTCACGTATTGCAAATCTGACTCATTCGTCGGTCGATTGAGAAATCCTTTGGTTGAATCTTCGGCAGAGGTAGCAGAAATCGTGCAGTAAGCGTTCTTGAAAACTGTTTGCATACTCTTGGATTCAGTTTTCCAATCCTCGTCGTCGTCTTGAATAATACAAAGCGAGTCAATCCAAAGGTATCGCTGACCGATCTCTCGAGTGACTCTGATTGCATCTTGGAATGTTGCTGGCAATTCTGCGACCGGAAATCCTTTTTTCCTTTCTTCCTTGTTTTCGCATGTGGTACTCCATTCGGGTAGCTGATTTTCCGTTAATTTGCCCCAACAATGAGATAGAGCAATATAACGTCTTTCTTCCGCCTTGGTAGGCAAGATAGATTCCTTTGTCGAAACAAGGCACACGGTATCGGGTCCAATTTTCTTGGGCCTAGTCTTGTCTCCTACATCGACAACCCTAGTTGGCAATGTATCTGTAGACTCAGGACAACAGGATTTCTCGTTTGAACATTCGCCTTCGTCACAAAGTCGAAGCCACCCCTTGATCAGCTGGAAGTGGCTTGGGCTAGCAGATTCCAAGAACAGAGGCAGTCCAAATTGTATCTGTTTCGAACTTGTAGGGCTGTCTTCAGGAACTTCTAAATCAAGAAATGTTAAATAAGAAATTTGGAAATAAACAAAACAGTAGCACACACCTGATACACCACAGACCCTTATATAGGATTGACCTTTAAGGAGTAGCGTTTGAGTTTTATCGATAGTAGCCTTTTCAAGGATTTGATACAGAGGACAGTGGTTTTTTGAATGATTTAACGCAGAGATAGTGGTATTCAGATTTATTTTCAAACAGTTATCGCATAACCCTGACGAGGTTTCATGATATAACAGCCGCTCTCCGAAGGGAATTGCCAATTTATTATCGGAGTGATAAGTCCATTCATCCGTAGCATGCTGATTTTTTTCGAGATTAATACTATCTGATGTATAAGTATATAGACCAACCCACAAACTAGTGAAACAAAATTAGTGATTTGAACAAGATCATTATATCATAAGCATTTTCTATAATATCATCCATAAGAAAGACTTACGAACTATATTATAAAGAATACCTAGGATGAGCAAATATATCCTCTCATATCGTTGATTCGGTGAAGACCTACGGCCTATATCATCAGGAATATCTAAGATTAGCAAATATATCCTCTCACATCGTTGATTCGGTGAAGACTTACGTCCTATATCATGAGGAATATCTAAGATTAGCAAATATATCCTCTCATATCGTTGATTCGGTGAAGACTTACGAGCTATATCATGAGGAATATCTGAGATTAGCAAATATATCCTCTTACATCGTTAATTCGGTGAAGACTTACGTCCTATATCATGAGGAATATCTAAGATTAGCAAATATATCCTCTTATATCGTTGATTCGGTGAAGACTTACGGGCTATATCATGAGGAATATCTGAGATTAGCAAATATATCCTCTTATATCGTTGATTCGGTGAAGACTTACGAGCTATATCATAAGGAATATCTGAGATTAGCAAATATATCCTCTCATATCGTTGATTCGATGAAGACTTACGTGCTATATCATGAGGAATATCTGAGATTAGCAAATATATCCTCTCATATCGTTGATTCGGTGAAGACTTACGCGCTATATCGTCAGGAATATCTAGAATTAGCAAATATATCCTCTTATATCGTTGATTCGATGAAGACTTACGCTCTATATCATGAAGAATATCTGAGATTAGCAAATATATCCTCTCATATCGTTGATTCAGTGAAGACTTACGCCCTATATCATGAAGAATATCTGAGATTAGCAAATATATCCTCTCATATCGTTGATTCGGTGAAGACTTACGCGCTATATCATAAAGAATATCTGAGATTAGCAAATATATCCTCTCATATCGTTGATTCGGTGAAGACTTACGTCCTATATCATGAGGAATATCTGAGATTAGCAAATATATCCTCTCATATCTTTGATCTGGTGATGTTGACCTCCTGGGATCTTGGCAGCATATGCATATATAGTACATATGCATATAAGGAGCAAACAAAACTCAACTTTTAATTCATTCTTTCCTTTTTGGTATACTGTTTGTTTGCTTTCAATATTTTGATTTCAAAGCACTTTAATTCCGAAGGCTGAATACCTAACCTTATTCCTTCATTTTTTTGAATATATACTCGCAGCTTAACTGCTTAGCTAGAGAATCAATCAATTCAATCTGATACTCTTTCTAGTCTCAAGAAACCCAACAGTTATGAGCCCGGTGCTGACTTTCAATTAAACATCCTGCACAATACTTGATTCACATATACCGAAACTCTACGATACCTTCAAGTTTCACTCTTTTAAGAATTACCTTACGTAGTGTGGTTTCTATAAAACCCAAACCTCGATAATTCTGACTTTATTTCTTCAATATGACTACAGGCGATAATTCAACTAAAATCATCCTTTCCTCACCAGAGGATTGGAATAGTTGGATTCGAAATGTTCAGCGTATTGCAGAATCCGGCGGCATCAAATGCTGGGTATACCTTGATCCCACTACAACAGTTGTACCTATACCAGAGTTGCTAGATGAACCAGAGCTACCCACAGTTGATGAAAATGCTTCTGAGGCTGTTATTGATAGGGCTTTAAAGCAATATCAGATGCAACTAGAGAACTATCGTATCAAGAATACCAAATACGAGAAAATCAACAAGGCCATTTCAGAGGTTCTCAAGTACATACTTTCATCAATCAACCGCAATTGCGAAAAGTTTATTAGTACCACCAGTATCACAGCACCTCAAGTGCTTGCTGATTTACGCAAAAGGCTAGCACCAACTGATCGTGCGAGAGAGCTTACCGTCGTAGCACGATACAATTGTGTAAAGCAACCCTACAAATCCAATCAGGATATTTATGAATGGTTGAACGAATGGGAACTCATCTACACTGAGGCTAAAACTCTCAATCTGCCAGACGTCGATCGAAATCGAGCTGCGTTCGACTTTTCTACAGCCCTTATGAATCACAGCTCCTCTTGGGCAACTTCAACTCTGTTGGAGATCACCAAAAAGCTCAAGAATCAGCCTGAAGAAACGATTGATGTGTACGATTTAATCGAAGACTTTCGAAACTACACTCGACTCACACAGGCATCAACTACTTCAACCTCTTCTACGTCATTTGCAACCTATAAGGATGGGAATAAAGATAAAAAGGAAGGAGAGAGAACCTGTCTATGTGGCAAGAAACATCTATATGAAAAATGCTACTATCTATATTCGGATAATCGACCAAGGAACTGGAAACCAATCGATGCCGATATTGAATACTTCAAGAAGTTCTGGGGAAGGCAATCAACAAAACGAAGGAACTGGTTTGTTCGTAGACATGAAGGAACTAAAGAACTTCTCAAGCTAGCAAATCTCTCTTGGGATCCAGCATGGAAGGAAACATTGACTAATCCTTCAGAATCTGGAAAAGAGAAAGATAAGGATCTTGGGGCTTTTCTCACTAAACAAAGTCCTACCTACAACAATGCTAGCATCCTTCACAAATGGCTAATTGATAGCGGTTCCGATACCCATGTCACCAACTCTCTACACAACTTTGTTCTTGAAGAGTTTGGAAAGCCATCCGATATGATAAGCGCTGGAAGGGACCGATTCCAAATTGAAGCATTCGGTACTATCACTATGTTGATCAATACACCAACTGGGCCAGGGCAAATAACCTTAAAAAGAGTGGCGTACATCCCAGGGTTTCTTACAAACCTAGTCTCTCTAGCTTTACTCTCAAAGAAAGGTGTACATTGGAACACTGAACACCCAGATGTCCTTACAAAAGAAGGCATTGCATTTATTACTCTGAAGCAAACAGGAGACCATTGGACCCTCGATCCTATTATCCTTTCTCAGCATGCTTCGTTTGCCACCAAAAACCACACCAAATCAATATGCCGAAAGGTTACAACAACAGAGTTACATGATCTTCTAGGCCATCCTTCTCTCGAAGCCCTTCAGCACCTAGAATCAGCAACTACTGATATCATTATCGACAAAACGATTTCGACACCTTCCTTCTCTACCTGCAAAGTTTGTAATCTCTCGAAGGCTCAACAGATTATATCTCGTAATCCAAGGAAGGAGATGCCAGAGAACGGCCATGTCGGAGATCGATTGGCATGGGATCTGTTCGAGATGGATGAGGCTTATAATAATACCCGATATATCAGCCACTTCTGGTGTACGACACACAAAATACAATGGGTGTATGTTCTAACTAGGAAAACAGAGATGATCGATATTATGGATACTCAATTCTCTCTGATACAAACACAATTCGGCTCAAAGGTCCGATTCATACGCCTCGACGGTGAAACTACGTTAGGGGGCGACTTCAAGAGGATCACAGACAAACGTGGCATCATTGTCGAACGCACTCCACCAGATACACCAGCACAGAATGGCGCTGCAGAGAATGCTGGTAAAATGCTCATGGTCAGAGCAAGAGCCCTCCTCCTTTCAGCAAACCTACCACAAAACCTTTGGCCAGAAGCAATTAAAACAGCCGGTTATCTTGAAAACCGTACTCCAAAAAGAGCTCTTCAATGGAAAACACCATTTGAAAGTGCTACTGGCAATAAACCTTCGCTAGCACATCTACATCCATATGGGTGCTTGGCATATGTGCTCAACAAGCAGATTCCAAGACGTGCGAAGATGCAACCTCGTGCAAAACTGGGCTATCTTGTAGGGTATGATTCAACGAATATCTTCAGGATCTGGCTCCCTTCCATAAATCGCGTCATTCGAAGTAGGGATGTCAAATTTGATGAAACCCGGTATTATCGACCAGAAGATATAGATATTGGCTTTCTTATTAAGGATCAACTTCGGGATACTGCAGCTATTCACGAAAAGAGGGCAGAAGAGATAGAAATATCGAATCTGTTGAGTGAAGAATCAGATGAGAGTATTGGTGATATAATTGTAGTTGAAGGGCCATGGAACTTACAACACAATCGCTTAAACGAGCGACCAACGAATGAAAGCTCTTCAAACAAGACGGATGATGGTATTCCAACCAATGAGGGGGTTCCTCAAACTAACCCTCAATTGCCAACGCCTAGAGCAACCTTATCACCAGAAGCACTTACAAGACAATCTACTGGAGATGTTCCTATACCATCATTACCGGAGTCAGAACTCTCATCTTCCCCATCATCATCGTTAAGTCAACATGATATCATCACTACAACATCATCTCATAATACAGCACCTTTGGCAGAGCAAATACGTGCCGATATCGACGTATCCCATATAATTCAGGGTTCTAGACGTTCACAAAGGAAAGAACATCATGCTGCAGCACTTTCATCACTTCCTCAACTATCCAGCTACTTTGCAGCATTTGCTATCGGAAGGTCTAAATTACGAACTCCTAGATTACATCAAAATGATCTACCACCTCCACCTCGATTTTATCATGAGCTAGTACAGCATCCATATGCTAGAGAATTCCAAAAAGCATGTGAGGATGAGATCAACGCTCTGAAAGAACGTAAAACCTTCGAATACATCGATATATCTACAAGAGGACAAAAGCCTTTACCATTACTCTGGGTTTTCACTTATAAATTCGATCAAGATGGTTATCTCATCAAGTTCAAAGCAAGAATCTGTGCCAGAGGAGATCTTCAATCAACCGAAGAAGAGACATACGCTGCAACGCTAACTTCACAAATTTTTAGAGCTATGATGGCTATCGCTGCAGCTTTCGATCTTGAGATTCGACAATTTGACGTTTCCAATGCTTTTTTACATGCAACATTAAGGCAACCAATTATTTGCAAGTGCCCTGATGGCTTCGAAGTCCCAGGGAAAGTGATTTCCGTAAACCAAGCACTTTATGGCTTCCGAGAGTCTCCAGCATACTGGTATGAGGATCTGACCTACACGTTAACCGACTTTGGTCTGGATCCAGTTCCAGGAGCACCCTGTGTTTTCACCAATAGCTGGCTTACGGTTCTCTTCTATGTCGACGATATTATCGCAATTTGCAAGAAAGCTGATTTGCTACGATTAACCTTATTCGAAAACACCTTAAAATCAGCATACACCATCAAATCACTTGGAGATATACAGTTCTTCTTAGGGATTAGGGTACTACGAGATCGACAAAATCATCGTCTGTGGCTTTGCCAAGATAACTACATTTCAAAAATATCAACACGCTTCAATATCAAACCTAATCCTCAAGCCTGTTCTCCATTGCCAACAACAGCACTTACAAAGAATCCAGCAATTGCAACTCCGCAACAGGTTTTCGGCTACCAGCAGCGAGTTGGCAGCATTAACTACGCTGCTGTTGTGACTCGGGCTGATATTGCAAAAGCATCTTCAATACTATCAGAATTTCTTCGTAATCCATCCGCTACTCATATCAATGCAGCAGTACATACATTGCAATACCTTGAGAATACCAAATTCTATGCTATCATGTTCGATGGGAAGAAAGCAACAACTACCAGGAACTTTCAAATCTGGAGTGACGCCTCCCATGCTGACGATATCGATACAAGAGTTTCTTCAATGGGATATTGCCTCATACTCTTTGGAGGTTTGATCCACTTCAAAAGCACTAAGCTGAAGTCGGTGACTACTTCCAGCACACACTCTGAAATACTGGCTCTTTCCGTTACTGCTCGAGAGCTTATGTGGTGGATACGCTTCTTTAAGAATGTTGGTTTAGATCTCGAAGAAAAGGCTTCAATTTTCTGTGATAATCGCCAAACCATTCGACTTCTTCAGCATAGTACTCCTAGACTTGTTACAAAACTCCGGCATGTTGATATACACTCCTGTTGGCTTCGCCAGGAAGTGCAAGCAGGAAGGCTACAAGTCGAATGGGTTCCAACTACTGAAATGGTTGCAGATGGTTTCACTAAACCTCTACCACCACAGAAACACACTCATTTTATCAATCTTTTGGGAATGGTTGACATTCGGTCTCAGGTTCAGGAATAACCTCATTATTAACTAACTCGGTAATCCCTGAGGGGGCGTGTTGACCTCCTGGGATCTTGGCAGCATATGCATATATAGTACATATGCATATAAGGAGCAAACAAAACTCAACTTTTAATTCATTCTTTCCTTTTTGGTATACTGTTTGTTTGCTTTCAATATTTTGATTTCAAAGCACTTTAATTCCGAAGGCTGAATACCCAACCTATTCCTTCATTTTTTTGAATATATGCTCGCAGCTTAACTGCTTAGCTAGAGAATCAATCAATTCAATCTGATACTCTTTCTAGTCTCAAGAAATCCAACAATTTGTTTCTAGCAATTCGATATTCTTCCTTAAGATTAGGGTTCTCTCGATTTGATTCGATTGATTGCTTTGCTTTTCCTAGCTCTTTTCGAAGATTTTTCAACTCGGGTGACCACCATGGTTTAGCTCTTTTGATTGAAACAACTTTGGGTATACACCTTTCTGTTGCTTTTTGGATAATCCTTGTAAGTTCGCTTGCTGCTTGATCTAGAATTGAATGGGAATTGTCTCTTTCTTTCAAGAAGTTTAGTGAGTCCTCTTCCGTAGAAGTTATTGAGTCTAAAATAGAAAAAGTAGGGGAATACAGGGATTCCAATTTTAGTATTGATTCAAAATTTTCCCAGTTGGCTAGCTTTGTATTGAATCTAGTTATTGATTCTGAATTGAGGGCGTTTAAGTCTTCTTTTCCTTTCAGTTCGAATAGTATTCCTGCATGGTCGGATCCTGTATCTGAAAGAGTTTGCCAGTTGTGAATTTGGGGAGAGATTCCTTCTGACGCTAGTGTTAGATCAAGGACACTTGGATTAAGGAGATTAGTTCGATAGAAAGTGCTGATTCCGGGCTCGTTTAGAAGAATGAGATTCTGATCTTCAAACCATTCTGCTAATTGATCAGCGTTTCCGCTTTTCTTTGAAAAAGGATCCCACTATGGGTGGTGGGCATTGAAGTCGCCAAGGAGGATAGTTTCTTGTGTGATAGATATATCATATAAACATCTTTCAATTGTGAAACCTTTCTCTTTAGCTTGATCAGCCTCGTTGTATATATTGATAATTTGAAAGGTTTTATCTCCATTTTGACAATTAAAGATTTGTATATCAGGATCTATTGGGGAATCGGGAGCTAGATTGATTGTTGTTGGTACGAGAAGGATACGGAAGACGTAGCACCCACAGATTACGTAGGTCCTGTATGTCTAATTGTATTCTGTCTAAAGAGCTAGCTACATATTGAAAGTAGTAAGTCTTATATAGACTTACTAAAAGAGCTAGTCTCTTTCGCGTTCGCTTAGTTCTTTATTACAGTAGTAATTAAATTGAAGTCATTCACTTCGTTCACACAATTGTAGCTTGAAGAGTTTTTGAAGTGTATAGTAATGTACGAGGTCGAAAGTTAGAATCGAATCTTGGTAGTGTTTGTATGAAATTAGAGTGTATAATAGATCTTGAATTTGAGTAATCGATTCCATTTTTGATGATCCAAGGTTCTTGAATCATAATAAGATCGATATTGAGTTCTATTGCAAGCTGTAGAACGTTCTCTGTAGCTTGTGAGCTCTTATTAAGATTTATTTGAAGAATTCGAATATTAGTGTAACTCATAAGTTGGTGTTATTTGCTTTTTGTTGGATTGCTTGATAGATTTCGCAGGTTCTTGAATTTGCTGTATGCTTTCCTTGGCAGTTCGAGCATTTAGCAGCGAGATGTTGGCAGAACTTTCCTCTGATATTGCAGACTACACATAGATGTACTGATGTGATATGTTTGCCTCCACATAGTCCACAAGAGGGATCCCTTCTGCAATGTGTATCCTGATGTCCGAATCCTTGGCATTTTTGGCATTGTGTAGTTGGTTTGGATTCGTAGAACTTTTCTACTCTTGTACTAGTGCCAGCGATATATAGTCGTTTCCGAATGGCTAGCTCTGCTTCTGATTTTGTTGCAAAAGCAATCACTATTGCTCCTTCCCGTTGATGAGCTCTTTTTGATGATGGTGTAAGCCAAAAAGGGGTTCCTATGGGCTTGAATTCTGGATTGAAGGTTTTGATTTCCTCAAGAATGAGGTCCATTCCTCTTGTTCCAGAAAATTCTTTTATAGGGATTTTATGAATAATGACCTTATGCCATTCTTGATCCTTTTGAATTCTTTCGAATTTGATGAGATTACTCCAGATTGCCTTTTTTTCTAATAGAAGTTGTGATGTGAAAGGTGCATTTGTAGTAATTATTATATTTCTATTCAGCGATAGAGTTACTCCTGCTATAACCGGGCCTTTAATTCCAGTTTTCTGGAATGCTTCGTTTATTTGGTTTCGAATTGATATAGGTGAAAAGGAGGTAATGTTCGTGATCTCTGGTTTGATCAGGATTAAGCGTCTTTGTGTGATTTCGATCTTCTTATCTATTGGGGAGGATCTAATAGTTTTTCCCTTGCCTACTAGGTTCCATTCTCCTTCTTTTGTTATTGCTGCATATGTCGATTTAGTGGTTGGTGTATTGATTGGCAAGGGAGCTTTGGTTAGGGCTTTAGCTTGAGTTTCGATTTTCCGTGTAGCGGATTCTAGATGAGTGATTTGGGAGGTGATGATATTGGAGGCGGTGGTGAGCTTTCCTTTTTCGGTATATTCTCTAAAGATCTCTAGGAGATCTAATAGCTTCGATTGCTCATCACATGATTGAGAAAGAGTTGACGCTAATACTATAAGATCTCTTGCTTTTAAGATAGCTTCCTTAGGTGTAGTTGGATTGTTTTTTATTCTGGGTTGTTTATTCTGATTGCTAAGGGGCATTGTAGGGCCACGTTTCTTATTCTGATTGAATATATAGGTAGTATTGGTTGTATCTTGAGTAATAAAGGGGTCACTAAGTAGATTGAAGTCTTCAACTCTTCTTCCAGAACTGGTTGGCTGATTGGTTGGTAGACTAGGGCTAGAGATTTCGAATTGAGGGTTTTCAGAAGGCGGGGGAGGGCTTGAGGGTGTTGGGGTACCTAGAATAACAGTAGGATACGTGTTTGGTATGATGGAGGCTTCGGGAGAAGCCTCCATCATAGCTGTATCCTTGAGTATTGATGGATTGTTGAAGTTATTCATATTGAGGATCTTATTCTGATAGTTTGAGGTGAAAATTTTACGCGAATTTTCGTGCGAGTTTCGTGTTTGGAGCGCCGACGACAGTATCACAACAACTACTGGTCAGAATCACTTGGGGGCAGTTGCAATCAATTTGGTTTAATAGCTATGATCTAGATCGATCGCGAAAGGGTCGTATTTCGAAGAAAAAGTTTCCTTCGAAATTTTTGAAGCATTGCCAGAACATACAACAAATGCACGTCACATATTCTGAAATAAATTGTACGCAGAGCTTTCAATCTTTGACAAACTAGGTCACGATCACCATAAGCAACGCAACAAATTCGGAGATGAAACTGTTGTCGTTGCTGGATTCGTAGAGGTGGCAAAGCAATGAATAAATCAACCAAACTCTCCGAGCCCCGATAGGCACGTTGTCGCGAAAATAACCTAGGCTAGCGAGCGTGTTCTGTTTTCCTTCTTCCCCTTTCCCGACAACTACAACATCCTTCTCATTACTATACGCGATATTTTCCCCATCTATGGCACAGTTAGGAACAATGAGTTCTCTCTCCGATGAGGAAATCATCGCACAGAACCCAATCGGAAATGGCTTGGATGATTTTCGTCGTCTTTTCAGAGAAAAATGTGAAGATCTTGGTGTCTCTGAGGTCTAACAATTAGTGGAAACATCTACTTTACGCAAGTAAAAACATTTATGCTTAGAATCAGCGCTAATTTTGTGTAGATGCTAAAGTATTGGTGCTCAAGCTTTTATTAGCACTACAAACCGTCCCGCTAGCTTCTGTTCTCAAATATCGTACCAGTCAGGATACTCTTTCACGGGATCTTAACAATTTGGAACCGCAGCTATTTCGGATGATTTCAATCTTTTATCGTGTATTCCACTCTTCAAGGCAGTTGACAGCCATGCATCCGACGTTGAGATTTTTAATGCACTCCTCGTCCTCCTCGCCAGACCAACCATTCCCCATCAATCCGGACCAACCACTCCCCCTCAATCTATCCCATCTTTTGACGCTACCTCTGAGCAGACACCGCTGCCGTACAGCGGTGACCACCTTGCAGACTCATCCGAGCATCTGAAGGTTATTGATCAAACACTCAAAGAAGAAGTAGAAGACAGGCTTATAACGGATCTTCCAGACTTTTTAGTACTTTCCTTGAACCAATTCCAAAGCTTTCAGAGATTGCAGACATTGTATACCACATGTGCAAAGATTCAGAGGTGCCGCTATATAGGGAAGAAACTGGCTGGGTAGGATGGCCAAACGATTGTGAAGAGTCCAAGATTTTGGGCTAGCTCAAAAGCTCTATTGAAAAACTTCTTCTTTTCGCGAGTGAAAGAGGTTTTCGTCCCGACAAAGATCGTCGAATTGTCGCCACTCCAAAGGAACCTATTCCTGGATCAGTCAGTCAAAGAAACTTGGATATCGGAATGATCAGTTCAAGCGACGAACCTCTAAACTGGTCCCAGATCCTTGTTCCTGGCGAGCTCAAAAGCAATCAGGTCGAAGACAATCGTCGCCCGATTTGGCTTGAGCTCATAAAATACGTACGGAAGGTGTTCCGTGCACAAGATACGCGTCGGTTCGTTCTGCGCTTTATAATGTGCGGTTCACTCATGCGGCTTTGGAGATTTGATAGGCTTGGAGGAATGGCTTCTAAATCATTCGATATTAACAAAGATGGTAAAATGTTTGTTTCGGCAATTCTAGGATATTTGTGGATGGATGAGGAAGGCCTGGGCTTTGATCCTACCATACTGAAAGAAGATGCTAAAAAATACATTAAAATCCAGCGGAATGGTTTGGAGGAGCGGCTTTATTTGGAGGAACTTATGCAGCGGCAGCCTTGTGTTTTTGGTCGAGCTACTACCTGTTGGAGAGGCCACGTCAATGAAGACACGCAACTAGTCATCAAGGATTCATGGGAGTATGAGGAGCGACCCGAAGAGGGTGTTTTGCTGAAAGAAGCTACAGAAGCTGGAGTACAGAACATATCTCGTTACTATCATCATGAGACTGTGTGTGTTGGGGCCGCAATCGACGGTGTTCGCAATAATGCTCGCAAAGGATTACAGGACGCCAGCGGGAGAAATCCATTCCAACAGCGCCAATCTGCAATATCTGAATCTACTACAAGCTCAGTCACGTCTGGTAGGTTGGAAGGAGGCAGAGGCAGAGGTGGAAGCGGAAGCAGAAGCAGCATCAAAAGCATCACACGCAAGAGATCTTCGAGCTCTGTATGAAAATTAATGCCGCCTCCCAAACGCGTCTGCTTAGACCCCCCGACGGTCCAAAAAGACATTCAACGACAATACAATCGAGTCCATCGTCGTGTGATTATACGCGATGTGGGGAAGAGCATTTATGATGCAACCTCCCTCGGAGCTTTGCTGACGGGGCTGCTTGGCGGGATTAAAGGTAAATAATCTACTGGAGATGACTTTGGATTCTACTAAGTAATTAAGGACATGAGTCGCTATTGAACGCCGGGATCCTCCATCGTGATATATCTATTGGAAATGTTTTGCTGAATGAGGCTGAGGACGACGCTTTTCTGATCGATCTCGATCTTGCTATTAAAATTAACCGTGAAAAGGCTTCTGGAGCACCAAGCAAAACTGGCACCAAGGTATTTATGGCAATCGGTGTACTTTATGGCGAGCATCATAGTTTCATGCATGATTTAGAGTCATTCTTTTGGGTACTCTTCTTAGTTTGCGTACATTGGAATGGACCTGAGCGGCCAAGTGAGACTAAAGCGGAATACGAAAATTGGAATTACAAGAATACAGTTGAACTGGCAGATATAAAGGCAGGAAAGGTCATTCACACATACAGGTTTAACGAAGAGCTGGACTCGAAAGTTACATCTTACTGCGAGGCGTTGATTCCATGCATTCAACAGCTTCATGAAGTGGTATTTCCAGATGGTAAACGATGGCTAACTGAAGATCGAAGATTGTATTCGCGAATGAAGTCAGTACTGGAAAATGCGATAGAAGCCTTGGAAGTGTAGTTCAATTGAAGAATTTCAACCCGACCAACTTTCTTTTTTTGCGTCACAAGCGTTTCCTAGATAGCTTTTGCTAGCTCATGTACTCCCTGTTAATCAATACTTTCTACAACTCTTCAACTGTCCTTATTGAGTAGAGGATGATCTCAGAGGAGACATACGCTGCTTTACTCAACAAATGGACGACTTCGGGCCGGGGTTTCTCTATATATAGTGCGCTCCTTAGCTACCTCTACTAGAGTCTTCTCACGCACCTCCTCAAATTTCCCTTATTCAAGACGCTTCTTTCTCGCTAAGACGTTTAATTTCCTCCTCCTCGCGCGCCTAAATTATAACATTCACTATCTATCGAAAGGGTCGGATCTGTCTCGCGTAGCGATGGCTTTCAAGTGCTAATCTTACATATATATATTTAGTTCTTTTATTTACCTTCAAAGACCAGGCGCCATGGAATTTATGGATACGGACTATAGTTAACTTCCTGCACTTACAACAGCATCATTTATCATGCTAATAATTTCAAGAAAAGCTACTGTCAAATTGCACATCTTTCATCACTCTGGTTCTCTCAACTTGACGGCGAATATCAACATATGTACAACATCTTTCATCACGTACTATCAGATACTCCACCATCATAATTCTTTCTCCCTTCCTCACCCTCTCATCCCATCCCATCCCATCCCATCCTTCAGCCTCCTCCCACCTAACAAGTAAAAACCGCCGGTCCAGGCACTGTATACGGCTGCGCCGCATAAATATCATACGTAATCCCCGGATCAGTCGGTGTATAAACGCCCGGAATAGACACTTTACTACTAGGACCCGTACTAGTACCAGTGCCCGTAACTTGTATCTGGTGACAAGACGGATAGAACTGCGCACCAGGATATGTCCACGCAGCATGCAAAGCGATGATTTCATGGCGCACGAGGTACGATCCCGCGGCTAGACAGGAGGGTATCGTGTAGGAATAGGAGTTTCCGGCTGTCATGAGGGGTGTGTCGCCCCAGACGGAGGAGTTGCCTATGCGTCCTGTGGCTTGGACTTTGAACCAGACGGCGCTGTTTTTTTGAGGCGGTTAATTAGTTGGGTTTTTAAGGTGGATAGTTGGGGATGCATGGGATATGAGAGAACTTACTCAGTGCCGGGTAAATAAGTACTACAACCCGCAGCTGGACATTTCGCCATATACGTAATTACGGGTCCGGCTTCACACATGCGAGTTAGCACTATTCTACCATTTTCTCAATCGTACAATCATCAACCTCACAACTAGAAAAAACTAAAAACTTACAATGACTCTCAGGCCAAAGCGTCCATCTTAAACTAACCGTACTTCCAGCCGCAACAGGACCCCCTGTTAAATTAGCTGGTTTAGAACCTACGATTCCTCCTTCGGAGTAACCGCCACATTGGAGATCGATGAGAGTTAGATCTGTGATGGGACCGTTGCCTTGGACTGGACGGACGATACGCGGGGGTGGTGTGGCGTAGTAGGGATCTGAGTTTGGCTTTTATGGGGGGTTAGTGGGATGTAATGGGATGGTTTGGGGGGGAAAGTACTTGATATCCCTGGGTGAAAAAAAATGTGTTAGTTACGCTTCCGCTAGTTTCATCGAATGGAGAGGACTTACGGTGTAGAGAATCCCATTAATCGTCACATTGTCAACATATCCATGAGCTGCAATGGTAGCCGCAAAGGCGAGAAGATTTGAGAGAGTTTTCAAATGCATTGTAACTTCTTGAAACAAGTGTAAAGTAACAATCGAGTCTACCAAATCCGAATTTACAAGTCCATTAGTATATTAGCGACATATATATACAAGATGTCGACCTGAAAAATTCACACATGATACATTTTTGCCCGTTCCACGGCCCGGCGCTCCAATATCCCTCCTTGGTCACATCATCACTATGCTCAACTTCCTCACACTAAACACCAATTTCGAAATTTCGCTCCTGGGTATCTTTCATATCTTTCATCTCACTTCTTTGAATGCCCAGCATTTTCAAAAAAAAAATTCATTCGCCGTCGGCCAGCCTACCCGTCGCTCACCCAATCTTTCCACAAACAAGCACTCAGCGTTGAACAAAATTAGCGAAAATGTGGGGAAGGGTGACTCTGCACTAAGGGATATTCTCCCGGTTATATGTTGGTGTATATCACCCTGGGTCACATGGCGACGAGCAGAGGGCTTGGCGTACTTCGCCCAGAAATTTGTGTGGCCATTGTGGCGATAGGGTAAAGACTCCGAATTTATATTTAGGTCTTGGTTTGAGGTTTGAGGTACGCGTGTGACGAAAGATATTTTTAGCCTTTGAAATTTTGTAGACGGGTAGACGGAATGGAATTGTTCATGTTGTAGAATCTGGGGTACATGACTCATGGCTTTTAATGACTACATCGTGGCACAGATGGGGATAAAATTTGTGGAATGCACAGATTAAATATAATGGACTCTTCCGGATGAGGTGAATATCCGATTTTGTTGTCCATTTTTGCCTATTGTTGACTGCTCCTTCACGATACTAAAGGTTGATGATTTTCTCAATGAATCCCCACTTGGGTTATTAATCCTGTAGGAAAATAGACCAAACTATGGAATGATTAAAATTCTTTCTAATCTAGCAGATTTCTAAGAATATAAGTGAGGACAAATGAAAATTGAATTCCGTAAAACATTAGTCTACCTGCACAACCGTAATAGAAATTTTCCTTGGTGTCCGCGAATGTACCTAGGACATGTAAATAAATCAAATAAGACACACGTAAAGGGGGAGTGGCTTATTAGTATACCATTCGCGCCCTTGTGTCCGCCCTGTCCTGCCAAGTCCATAACAAATTCCATTTCTCATCCATGAATTCATACATTAGATCTTCTTGAGTATACCACCTTCCACATATTTTATCACGAGAACAAAGATTCCACCAACCAATACCACAACACCACTGAAATCAGCAACCTGATTAAAAGAGTGATAATGGTCGACAAGTGCACCATTGATGGGTGGACCAATCAATGCTGCAAATCCTGTGACGGCCATACCCATTCCCATGTAGGTTCCTATGTTTTGTGGGTTCTTAGGAATAGTTGTGAAGCACACAGTCACGAGTGACACGATTGCGCCGGAACAGAATCCATAGATAGTCGCAAAAACGATGATACCAGCACTTGAAGTGATACTTTGCCAACAAAATACCAGTATTCCAGTGGAAATGCCGACAACACAGAACATATTGAGTCGACCAACTTTATCTGCCATGACCCCAGGAATAACCCGACCAAAGAATGAAGCACCATTCAATATCGCCACAAGGTATGAAGCCAATTGCGTGCTCATTCCATGCTCAACCGCATACGTTGGGAGGTAAAATATAGGAATGAATACACCAAGAATCATTAGGAAAGCCGAAATGAGTAAGGTGATATAGGGAAGTTCTTTGAATGCCGATGGAAGGAAGAATGACTTCTTTCGTGGGGGTAGACGTGATCGGATGGCTGTACAAGAGATTCCAAGAACGGCAAGCATAATAAATCCGAGGATCCGAACAGTCCATCCGAACCCTAATTTTGGATTGGCAAACATTTTTGCAAGGGCGATTGGGAATACCACTCCTCCGATTGATGATCCAGCGACTGTGATACCCATTGCTGCCCCTCTTTTTTTGTCGAAGTATTGACCAACAGCTGTCATTCCAGGCGACATTGTCATACCAGTAGCTATTCCACCGAGAACTCCTTGTGCAAGCATGAATTGATAGTATTCCTTGCAGAGACTAGTCATCATGACGCTAAAGACGTATAGAAGTGCGGCAGGCCATATTGTTTTCCCTCCATAGCGATCAAAGAGTGGGCCACCAACGGCACTTCCACTAAAGAGAAAGAACACCTGAAGAGATCCAATCCAGCTTATATCTGAAGGGCTCCGATGTGAGAGTTGATGGGTTTGGTAATATTCTTGATATACACCTAAAAACTATTAGTCATCGCAAAGTAAAGTTATTTCAAGGGAGATATAAATGTTATATAAATTTGAGTTTAGACATGGAGTGGGGATCCGGCACCTACCAAAAGCGTTTATATACCCAAACGTACAAAACAAAACACCTGCAGCACCAATTGCTACAGACCAAGCCCTTGCTCCACCGTCAGGAAAATCCATAACAAATGCATTTTGCTTTTCATTTTCGCTCTGAACTGCTGCCAATATTTCGTTCTCAGTTTCTCCTGCGTCCAGTGACCTCTCGATATCGACATCAGAATTTACTGATACCGGTGCGCCATTGTTTGTGGGGCGGGTTTTGGCGGATTCCATAGTGGATAAAAGACGGGAGGAAGGGGTATTTAAGTTTGTGTACTCCGTACTTGCGTTGCTAATGAACGCCTAATGGAGAACAGGGTATTTTGATAGTGTATCAAATTTGAGTTTGTAGTAATTAAGTTGTTGAGAATGACGGGGAATTGGTTTTTGCGTTTCGAACATTTATCGTTTATCCTTTATATTTGAAGAGTGTAACCATATGTGATATGGCGGCCAATGGTCATCGTGAGAATATCGTCGGCGTCGACCGCCGTTTTCCATGTTGTCAAATCGGACGACCATCAGGACATTCTTGGGAAGGGAAATTGAAGATGCTCACGGCAAATTGTTAAATCCAGACTGTGAGTCTCGGACATTCATCTACATTAACTTTTATTGGTTAGAGGCTCCCTAGTATTGTGGCCTCCGTGGTCCGTGCAATATTTCAGTATGATAAAGTCTGATTGGTTGGATAGTATCAATATAGCTTTTGAAAAGATGATTATCTTATCATAGAGGTTTTTGATAAATTTTGAATGTTTAGTTAGAAAGAAAAGTATTATATTACCAGTAACTGGTTTATATGACTATGACGCAAATTTCAATATAGAAATAATATTTAATGAATTTAAAAACTATTCAAGAGCTAAGAGATTCTACAGTTTTGATTGATCAATGAAATCTCAATCTTACTCCATTCCATTCCATCCGGTTTTGTCGGCTGAATGGATCATCTCCGAAAATTATTTATAATCTGCTTACTGCTTATCTCCGTCAGCTGTACCAGATCAGCAGCACTTTCATTCGTTATATATTCTGGTCTCGGTCTTTTCTTTCTCTTCAAAATATTTTGAACCGTCATAAATCCGAGCAACTTCAATACTACCTACTATCTTTTTAGCCTAGATCTACATTAATTCAGTACGCACGTGTCGACGCGACGATTCTTTGCATACCCAGCCAAATTCAACGGCAAATCCACAAAAAAGCCGCTCAATACACCGCGGAGGTTAAGTCTACCACAAGTAGTTCGATTTTGAACTGTTCCTGGCCATGGATATCAATTCCATCGTCTTGCAAAAGTCAAAAAATGAAGGAGATCCTCCTCCACCCCCTGCTCAACCTCGGAAACGTCGGAGGCCAGCCCTATCTTGTATACAATGTCGACGTCGGAAGATAAAATGCGATCGAAACATGCCATGTGGTCAATGTGTCTCGTCCAAGACACCAGCATGTCAATATAGTTCGGATCCGACCCCGGAGTCGAAAAGGCCCCGCGCTAATGGAAATGGCCAATACCATGTTACACCTAGTCCTGGAAGTACTACCAACGCATCATCCAACTTGAATAGTATTACGGACAATGTAACTAATGGAATGCCATTAGTTTCTGCAGACTTCTGGAACGAGAGGACTCCCATTGTTGAGGGTCCACTACCAGTTCGTGGACAAGTCGTCGTACCACCTCAAAATCCTTCGGACCCCTCCGTACAAGCTCTTCTGGACAGAGTACATAAATTGGAACAGGCTATTTCTGAAACTGAAGCTATCAATGGTGGTCCAAATGACACTGCTTCTTCATGTGTTAAAGGACCTAGCCTAAGGGGTAGTCTTTCCAAGACTAGATTCTTTGGGCGGAGTCATTGGATGAACTCATTTGAACAAGTATGTTAACATATAATATCTTTTCCTAAACCGTATCATTTTGTTGCCCTAGCTTTCTCCTATCATCTTTCCTAATTCAATTTACTTTCATTATTCAATTTAATTTCAGTTAAATATATACTCTCGCTTAAAAATATTACTTGTATCAAGTACTGCTAATTATCCTAACAACTGCTAATGTGTTAGAAGTTCAAACATATGTCCAAATTCAAAGAGCTTGGGCCACTAAGTAAAGGCGGGGAAATCTTCGATCTCTTGAACAAATGCAAGGCATTGGGTAGAAAGATAAAAGAATATCAAAGTCCTGAATCGTCAATACCCAGTGGATATCGCGATTATGTCCCGGAGAAAGAGATATCAGACCGTCTTGTCAATGCATATTTTCGAACCTTTGAATCCGTCTACCGTATATTACATATACCAACATTCGAAGAGGAATATGCATTATACTGGAAGGATCCTGCGGCAGCAAGTACGGCGTTTGTCATGAAGTTACTCCTCGTCATGGCCATTGGTACATGTTTTTATGAAGATCCTATACTTTCCAGTTCCTTACATTCCAAAGCTCAACATTGGATTGCCGCTGCTCAAGCTTGGGTGTCCGCACCGTCTGAAAAGGACCGTCTTAATATTGTTGGTCTACAAAATCATTGCCTGCTTATCATAGCTCGTCAAGTGAACTCGGTTGGCGGCGATCTCACTTGGATTTCTGCTGGATCCATCTACCATCTAGCCATGTGCTTAGGTCTTCATCGTGATCCGGTACACTTCCCCAAAATGGGACCATTCCATGCAGAGATGCGACGGCGACTTTGGGCAACCGTTTTGGAACTTTCGCTACAGTCCAGTCAAGACCTTGGAATGTCACCTACGATCAACAAACAAGATTATGACACCGAGCTACCAGCAAACATTGACGATTCAGAGATCAGTGAAACCACTACAAAAGCACCTGCGCCAAAGCCGGAAGGAACATTTACTCAAACTTCGATCCAAATATCACTCATGCGGTCTTTCTGCACAAGGCTCGAGGTAGCAAAGTCAGTCAACAGTTTTAGAAGCGAGACTTCATACGAAGAAACGCTACGCCTAGGATCTGCGTAAGTGCCTCTCTTAAAAATTTATTCATTTATCATGTCTACAAACATAGGCTGCGCAAGCGATGGCTTCAAATGTGTTACTAATGAATCAACTCGCAGACTCTCTTCGATTAGTCGTTCTAGCTCAGCATCACTACATTCTTTCTTCGCATCCAATTCTGAGCAAAAGCCAAACCCATTTCAAATTAAGATTCATGATTTTTTCAACACTCATTTCCTGTTAGCCTTACATAGGCCTTACGCAGTTAAAGCAAGAGCCAATCCAACCTATTACTATTCGCGAAAGGTTTGCCTAGAGACCTCTTTATCTCTCCTTGCACCGGCTATAGCACTCCCAGAACGATTTAATTTATCTCAACCTGATGATTGGACCCTACTTACCTGGACCGCATCAGGCCTCATCAAAGGGACCCATATACACGCATACATAGAACTTGGACTAGAGCTGAACCAACAACTTGAAGAGGATCCTCCGCTACCGTTATCGATCAGTCCGCCACCACCTCAGCAGGTAGAAATTCTACGCATGCTTCGTAGTGGACGTGATTGGACTTCTAACCGAATTATGAGAGACGATACCAATATCAAAGGTCATGTTTTCCTATCATGTCTTTGTGGTCAAATTGAAGCTCTGCAGAAAAATGCTTCTACTGAAGACGGAATCGTTACTGAGGCACGGAAAAGTGTGGAATATTGTCTACAGTTAATGAAGGATAAACTCAGAAATCAGGAAGCACAGATGAATGCAGAAGCAAATCGTAATCTTTCCATGAATCCCGGTCTTGATGGCGTTAATTGGGATGCAGTAGTAAGTTTTTTTCATAGTTCTTGTTATTGAATTTTGACCTGATGAACTAATACTGCATAGATGCAAGATCCGGGTGTGGAGTTTGATCTTCCAGGTGATTGGGTTTTCTCTGGCTGGGAAGATAGTTATTTATGGGTTTGAGATGATCCCCATTTTACGTTGTACGATTACCTGTATGTTAGAATTAGTTAATTTACATGGTTTAAATGAAGACCATGAAGTTATATTTAGTTCCGTCATTTTGTGTTGTTCTTTGATGTTTCTATTGGGACGATTCACACTACTTTAGTTCCTGAATTTTTTCACACCGAGTATGAATGGTGTGCCATTCTGTGGTAAATTTATCAGACCGACATGGTTGACAAGCTGTCGACAATCATTAGAAGTCATCTAATTATACACTGTAATGCTTAAGCGCTTACTTTCATACTCCGAGGGGATATGGAGGAAATTTTTGAGCGGTGTAAGAAAAAGGTAAGTAAAGCATTGCCTATCTAATCATTTATGTTGTTTGCAGAAGATAAAATGATGGTATCGATTATATGGCAGGAGGTTCGTCATCTGAGCTAGTAGGCAAAGAAGGAAAAAGAGAATAAATCCAGGGAAGCGCACAGCTCTATCTAGGAAGCCACTCATTCATGATTCAAAAAATGTCTAGGATATCCATTCAGAGGAGACCAACAATAACAACCATCATGCCAAGAAAAATTCCAAACTCCACACTCATCACCAAAACCCCTTCCTTTCCTTCACCTCTGTTCTGTTGCACATCTCAATTATCTCTATAAATAATAAATATATCTATCACATAAGTATTCCTAGAATCTTCACAAAAAAAACCTCGACCTAGACCGCGGATGATGAATAAGGATAAAGATGGAGATATCTAGGTGGAAAAGTGGAATTAACCGCGCGCTTGAGAAGACTATAGCTAGTAAACTTCATAGGAATAGGAATTTCTTATATTCCATCCTTTAGGTTAGGGTAAATTTATCAAGACATCAGCCTGCCTTTTTCTTAGAAGGAATGGAATGTAATACTAGCAGTTTATTTTGACGTTAGTTTTAGGTTTATCGATATCATCAATATCGTCAAACATGTCAGCCTTGTAATCCGTCAGTAGTGGCCGGCCCACCTGTCTGCGTCAATCCTAATTCATGGTTAATAGGTAACAGGTAACACAAACATATTAAGCGCTTCCGCGACTGGGGTTTTGCTTTATTTTAGACAATGGCTTTGATTGCTGGTCTGCAATTCATGAAAGTTTACATAGTTTGATTACATAACATAGCCTGATAGTTTGCTTTGATAAACTTTGTTGCATGTCTTCATTTGAGGTTCTATTATTATCGGTTTTGGGAGGGGCGGCCATGTTATGTTTGGTTTGTGTGTATGCGAGAGTGTGTACTGTGTAGTGGGTGGATGGTAGTTGGGCTTGTTTTCTTATACTGGAAGTCCAGTGATACCGAGATGGTATATCACTTTGTTAGTCAAGATTGAAGACTCGTCGTGCACCTTGGACATTATAAGAGAATCACTGTCGTTTACTGCAATGATGTGGCTTGTTGATTTTCGGTAGAACACTGTTTAAGTAACACCTCACTCATCATGAATTTAGAAAAGGAGGTCAAACTACCCATCTCCCTCAACACGTTCTTCTCAGCCAACTCTACAAATATCTTCCGCAACCCAGTAATCTTCCCAAAATAAGACACTCAAGCATAGCCAAGCCTGAATTTACCATTTGTTGCACATCGTACTTTGGGGCTCCAAAAATACCACGTCTGCCCTCGTTCCTTTCATTTCCCTCCCATCTAAGATTATCGAGTGTAAGTTAAATTTAGATATATTGTATCTAATTATATGAAATAGGATCCTGCATATCATCAAGTAGTCGAAAACCCCTGTGGCGTTTATAAGCGCCTGGGTGGAGGTGCTGATGCAGCGAAAGTGGGGTGGACTTGAGGGAGGATTTTCGATAAGCGATGGTTTTCTGCGCCAGATCTAGGTCTTTGATGTCAAAATTGAGACTAAGTTAGGAGTTCATATTGTTATATGCCAAATATATGTCCTTCTGTGGGTCTTATGGATGGAGTGGCCTTAGAACAAGATAAATGTTGAACTGGTTCAAATAACGTGAAAATCATGTGACATTGAAAAAACCTGGCTAAGTTGGACTCAAGCATCACCACAGCTTGGCAGTGCCAAATCGATACAGTCTCGAAAATTGGCATAGGCGTATCATATATTAGAGCCTTTCCCAAAAAATTTAGCCATAATTTGCCTTTATTTGACCTATTTTTGGACAATTTTCCTCCTGGCCGCGTTAACAAGGAGTTAGATAAATCTATTTTGTTCCCGCAACGTTGATTTCTAAATTACTGATGATTTTTAACGAGGATAACTGATTGAAGAAGATGCCATGAAGCGAATGTGTAGTCACGTAATTCGCATCTGATTGGCTCGTACTTGCAATACGCAATCTGCCTGGTAGCACGCTAAAGCATATTAACACATCAACATTTCAGTAAATCTTTCCAAGTAAATTCCTAAGAGAAAAATTCATCCACCGTTTCACAATGAGCAATGGCGAACGCAACGCAAACAATTGCATCCACTGTCTGAAAAGTTGCACGTTCATGACTGTACCAATTTCGCCCATTGATAGGTCATAATGGATACCGCCAGCTCAAGAGAACATAGTACTACGTCTTTGATGAAATATATTCTACACATTGTTCGTTCTGAAGTGTTGGGTAGCACAAAGCCTGAAACGCGGCAGGATATTGCCAATGATTTTATCACGATACACTACGGTGTTGATGAGAATGATGTATTATCGGTGATGAGTCAAATGGTGAGAGTAGGTTATTTCACTGTATCACATTTTATTGAAAACAAACTGATGATGTATATCAGGAACGAATTTTGCTCTTCCCTCACGGCCATGCAGGACTCTCTCGGAAAAACAAACATGGAAGTTTGTTGGAAATGTCTCCCATATGTACCATTCATCCTCGATGTGATGTAGATAAATATCGAGTGGACGAAGCATGCACTGAACATCCATATAAATATCTTCTCGATCCGCATTCGCCTGCAGGAATAGAATACAGAGTGCGGAATGCTATTACTAGGGAGAGCAGATCCGAAAGATCCGGAAATTTCGCCGACGACATGGCTATAGTTATCAGACTAACAGCAGGGCCAAACCTATCGAAATCACCTAGTGATTCAGATGTTCCACTACTTTCTAACACGTTCTAACGTCTTAGGGTCTGACATGCCAGAACTAATGGTACTGTTGTTGCATCGCACGCATGTTTTAGAATGATTGCTGATATCTTATAGCTATCACAGGCTGCTGGTTTACTTAAAGACCAAGTTCGTGAATTTTCCGGAGAACTCCAAGCAGCACGAGAGAATATGGGCATCGAATCTGCTTCAAATGTGGCCCCCAGAAACTCTTTTCATGATATTGAAAGCAGCTCTGAGGACCACTCTAGGCTAGACCCATGGCCAGATGCACCAGCCCTACCGGACACTCCACGAAGCCTTCCAACAGGTAAAGCAGGTTACTTCCCCAAAATCATTGAGATTACCCGAGCACTTACGCGATTAAATTCCAAGTACCCAACGATGATATTGAGCTCGTATTCGAAGACAATGAGCCGCGTTTAAAATGCCATGACTGTATCGGGCGGCTCTACGAATTCTCACCGTCCCCTAGCTACACTCAATACATAAGAAACCACGTCGAAAGCGCTATCCATGCTGACAAAGTTGAAAGCAGAATGGCACGAACTGGTGAGAAGCCCGTAGGAACCACATATGTTGAACAAAGGAAGCAAAGGCTTCATCTTACCAGGGAAAAGGATCCTCAAATTTTTAGATGGACCCATCGGCACAAAATTAATCAAGCGCAAGTGCCTCAGAATATGTCCACTGCGCGTATCCAGACTACGAAATTTGTCGTGTCTGAGGAAAATCCAACTATAACGCCTGCTACATCTCCTAGCCATTCATTAAACGCTTCTAATGGCTATCAACTAAAACAAGCTGTGATCGGCACTTCCGACAGGCGTTCGTATGTGGAAGCCGAATACTCTGATTCTAGAGGCAAACGCACCCGCCTAGTCAGTATATGTTCAGGACAACCATCTTATCTCATCGCTGCTGAATTCACAAACTGAAACCAATTAAATTTTTTATAGACACATGCCCAAAGCAGCACTTTTCATCCACCATCGGCAGTCAACTGTGGAGATACTTCGGACGACAAAGTACCACTGGGTGGCAGAACAATTGACAAGAAACCACAGCCTCGATCCAGGCAAGATCAGCAGCAGATAATCAGGCTGCAGCGGTGACACGCCAGAGAAAAGTGTCAAAGGACACAGCAAGGTACGCCGCGGAAGCACAATTCAAGGAGTTAGAAACCGAACGGAATGCCCAAAAGGAAACCATAGACAAAATGTCCGAGGAACTTCACAAGCAGCGAAAGATTGCTGCGACTCAGCAGGAGATACTTGAGCATTTAATAAAGGAAAACAAGCGACACTTTGAACTAACGAGCCATGAGTCTTTGAACTCCACAAGCAAAACATTGTCAGCGTCACATGATGACTGCGAGAATGAGATTGTACGTCTTAACGTGAGCAGCGAACGTCTTAAGAATAGTAGCGATGCTGCTAAAGCTGTGGCTGACCAGCAGGCTATTGACCTTGAGGCTGTTAGACAACGTCTTCATGTCTTAGAAGATCATGATTTGGGGGCGGAGGATGATGTACAAAGACGAGCTACTCGGCTCAGGGACCAGATAAATGGTGGAGAATAGGAAAATGCTGCAGGTGAGAAGTGGGTAAGTCTTTTTAGAACTAGTGTCATAATATGTTAGCCACCGTTTTATATGATCATAAAACAACAAGCGCACGACTTTACATGTGAATGATGTCTGAATAGTGACCTCCGAGGTGCAGAGATCTAATGCGAATGTTTGTCCATCATTAGTTACTACCTCGAAGTGATTAGGGGGGCATTATCTCAAAGTATTTAGGAGGGTTCACGAGCCAACTGAACATAGTGAATAGAATTTTGAGAGGAATTATTGAATTTATTTTCAAATTACTTAAAGCAGCATTGGGATCTTCAAAGCAATTGTTATTAAAAATGAGTCTAACAAAACTAACTGTCACACTCAAGAATACTGGGTAAAGTATCTTGTATTAGAAAATACTAAGCTAAGGAGAAAAGAAGAAGGAAAACAAGAGTAGAGAGTTTTCCTGTGATTAAATACAAACGGAGCATGCCACGTGATCCGGAGGTGTGAGGCGTCACACTACCCCCCTTCTCAAACGTCAAGACTGTCCTCAGGCTTGAGCCATACGTTTCCGCTGAAGCAGGGTCTAGTTCTCCTCTTTGTCGTCCAATCGATCTTCCGGAACCTTGTCTTTCAATGCGCATTCTAACCAGTAATTAAGATTCTTCGGTGGCCCGGGTAAGTCAGGGTACTCGTTGTGAAAAGCTTTTAGTGCTAGCGGTGAGTTTTTAAGGTCGGTAGGTGAGTATTCACCGAGGTCGGTATCGAAACCACGCCATCTAACCCTGTAGCGGAGCAGTCCGTAAACTTTGCGGACTGAAAGTATTTTTTCGACTTCCCACTCCAAGTTGCCATCGACCTCTTCAGGCATAGATGATGCATGAGCTTGTCCAGGCAAAGGATCTTCTGCGGCTTTGCGGAGCTTCTCAGGATTAAAGTACGGGTATACTTTGAGTTCTGCAGGCAATTCTAGCTTGAATGCGTTTCCGCGTCTCTCTAGGATCCTTAGGGGCCGCTCATCTGATCCCCAAGTTTGCGACTAGGCCGATTAGTCCTCCAGGACTTAGTACTTACGTATACCATATCCCCGATATCGAAATCAACTTCGCGACGTCCTTTATTAGCTTGCATTCTTTGACGTTCTTGTGCGACTAGCATATTAGAGCTAGCAATTTTCCAAGCGTTATATAGGCGTTCGGTCCACGCTTGAGCCTCCCTTCGATTCCATCTAGCGGCGGCTGGTGTTCTGGCGGGGATTTCCTTCCAATCGAAGCTGGTGCGGGGTTCGAAACCTAAAATCGTGAAGAATGGGGTTTGTCCAATCGATTCTTGTATTAAGGTAGCTTGGGCGAAATCCATCATAGGTATCAGCTCGTCCCAGTTGTCTTGGTAGAAATTCACGAAGGGGCGTAGGCGTTGATCGATGTATTGATTCATGTTTTCCGTTTGGCCGTCTGTTTGGGGTGGTCTGCTGTAGATAGCTTCATTTTGATACCTAAGATCGAACATACCTCCGTCCAAAAGTCCGAAACGAATTGTGGGCCGCGATCTGAAACGATACTATCAGGTGGTCCGTAATAAGGGTAAATTCGTTCCAAAAACATTCGAGCGAGATCTCTAGCGTCTGTGGTTTGGAAGCACGGAATGTTGTCGATTTCTTGCTCAATCGACACATGAATACCAGGATTGCATCGTGACCGTTTTTTTGACTTCGGGAAGCTCTTGAAATCCATCGTTAGATGCTGCCAGGGTCTTTCAGGGACAGGGAGCGGTTGAAGCAAGCCGGGAGTCTTGTCACGGGGTACATGAGCACGTCGGCATATGCTGCAATTGTGAATATATCTTTCAACATCCTGAGGCAATCCTTTCCAATAATACCGTTGTACCAATAGTTCCTTCGTTTTACAAATACCAGGGTGTCCCGTAGAAACTTGTTCATGCGCTTCTTTGATCAAGAGTGTTCGTAATGGTCTGTCAACAACCATAGCGTTTGGTACCACTAGCTTACCAGATCGAAGCAATAAGTCATCAACCATCGTTCATTTCCCGCTCGCTTCTGTTCGTGCTAAGGTGCGTTGTTCTTCTAGTTCTGCTGCAGTGCGGTTAGCCTGCAAAACCTGTAGCATCTGTCCCAGGCCAGGATCGATATCTTCCACGAGAGGCGCTAATACTTCTGCTCGCACTTCGTGGGAGAGCATCGTTGGCTTTAGAAGAGTACCGAGGCGGTTGGCCTCCATTCGCTCTTTTTGGCTCTGTATATCGCCGTCGCGCCGGGTTAGGGCGTCGGCTTGTACGTTTGCTTTTCCGGTGCGGTATTCTAAGTGGAAATTGAATTGGGACAGGTATTCCGCCAATCGTGCTTGTCGTGCCGTCAGCTTTTTGATTCGCATAAAGTCCTCCAGTGATTGATGATCAGAATAGACCTGGACGGGATTTTCGACGCTTTGGAGCTCCACTCGCCACTGCTGAAATGCTTGTAGGATAGCCAGCATTTCTTTATCATGGATCTCGTAATTACATTCTGCAGGATTCATAGTCTTAGAGAAGAACGCCAACGGATGCCATTCCTTTGTCGCAGGATCCAATTGGGAGAGAATGCTACCTGTCACCCCGTCGGAAGAGTCCGTCTCTACCTTAGTGAGGCGATCTGTATGAAAGTAATGCAGGACCGGAGCTTCTGTTACAGCTTGTCGCAGTTTTTCGAAGGCTTTTTGACAGTCCGGATCCCAATCGAAGGTTCGTCCCTTCTGCGTGAGCTTATCTAGAGGGCGTGCGATTCGTCCGTAGTTTTTGATAAATTTGCGATAGAAACCGCAAAATCCGAGGAAACCTCGCACTCCTCTGACTGTTGTAAGCCTTTTCAAGGTCAGTATATCTTTGATTTTTTCAGGGTCAACTTCCAAGCTTTCCGTCGATACGTAGAATCCCAAATACTTGACTCGTGACACTAACCCACACAACCAACCTCCTTGTGATCCGATATAGCCTAATTTATTAGCATGCTTGCTTAACCTAGCTAGTTGTATTGAGAACGCCTAATTAAGCTTTGAGGCATTGAGAACTCCTAATTAAGCTTTGAGATTACTAGGATGGGAGATTAAATACCTAGCTGGAATCGTATCTTCCCATTGGTTGAAACATTGACGACAGGCGTTCTTCGCAACAATTCCCACACTACTTGCACGAGACTGTGCGATTATCTTTATGGGAGTCGGGAACTTTGGCGGGGAAAGCTTAACACTCCTTGATAAATATCCAATTTGGTCATCCAACTTGCCTACTTCAATCAATGAAGGGAAAGAGATATGGTGGAATGATGATCCACAACAACTTGGGACGGTTTTACGGGGAGTCCAACTGTTGGTCTTCGATATTTGAGTATTCAAATTACGTACTACAACGACGATAAGGTAACGTATACCCATTCTGCCTGGCGCCACCAACAGTTTGTTAAGACAACGAAATTCTCACTTGAAAGAGCCGATACTATTTACTTTTCCTTATCAATCTCCACTCTGCCATGGAACCCGTATATATAATAGTCCTCGCACAAGACCACATCTTTCGAGCACTCTCCAGAAACATTCTTTCAGGAACGGCTCTGAAAGGCAAACAATCACTACATACTTTTTACAAGCTTATGCTGCCCTATTTAATTGATGAATCGTCTTGCATTTTCTAAGAAAGGGTCTGAAAGGGACCACACACTTCAAAACATGGACAGGAATAATATTAGACTCGGCGTATCTGAGTCAGACTCGCCACCTTCGAGTCCGCACGCGAATCCCGTACACGTCTCTACAGGAAAGAATGATGCCACACAAGATCGCGCAAGCATTTCTGCGGAAACAAGCCTAATTTCGAAGGTCATAATCCATCCATCATGTGTGGTGGGAGTTGTAAGTGACCTGTATTTCCTACAACGCTGTATCAGTTTATGCGGTCACGAGTCTGACTTTTCAAGACTCCCTCGTGGGACTTGGCGAAGAAAGCAATCGAAAAGGTCGAGAAGGAGTTTCCGGATGACTTACCCTACATCATCACGTACGAGAAAAAATATCTAGGAATGACATGTCAAGAATGCAGCCAAATTGTCAAAGTAGGTGCAGATATCGCAAATGTCAGGAAACATGCGTTTAGCATCTCTCATGGTGTCATGGTCAAACGAAGGCTGAAATCGAGAGGCCTCAAGGAGGTCTTAACTGGGGAGGTCGAGGTCCGGAATGACAACATAAACAAATCGGTAGTACCAATCCAAGACGGAAGACAGGCATCAACGTAACTCACTGAAACAACAGCAAAAGGAGTTCTCACAACAAAACTTGTCGAAAGATGGACCCCTGGAATCACTTGACGATTTAGATAGTGAGCGACAACCATCGAAGCGCCAACGTCTCACGCCTGCTCTCCCTGTGGAAAATCGTGATGCCCAATCTAAAAACTACCAAATAGCTGTGTCAGTGGCTCAAGCATCTAAACACAGCGGGGTATCTCCTGTTGTATCCGAGACCTCTTCCCATGAGGCTAGAGTCAGGTTAGCGAGTGTAGAAGGCAAGCTGGAGGAACAGAAGAACATCACCGATAATCTGGCTAAACTTGTGCCGAATTTGGAGGCCAAGCTGAAGGGACAGAGCGAGAACTCGAGACAAATGTTCGCGACTATCGAAAACGGACTGAAGGCACTCAAAACAGAGACTGACAAGTTGATGACATCGTTTAAAAATCCCGGAGGCTTGATGAACATGCACGATGCCACTGAATTGCAATACCACAAGAGACAAATCGAAAATCTCGAACAGACGATATCCACATATCGTTCTGATTTTAATCAATCCATAGAAATTCAACGAAGTCAAATTCGAGCCACTGGGGACCGGATTATCCTATCAGAAGGGTTCACACATGCACTCAAAAGAGAATTAGACAACTTAGCTCATAGCACCACAGATCAAATAGCTAATCATGCTGCAGAATTGCACAAGAAGCTGGAAGATTTTACTAGCTGGGTCGAAGAGCAGCACTTATCACAACATACATTAATTACGAAAGTGGTCGAACAAAAGATGTACTCAATTGAACCGATTATCGAAAGAGTTAAAAACATGGAAAGCTCAGGTAAAGAAAAAGATATTGATAGGGACTTCGTTATTGACAGCTTGGTACTATCAAGGCAGGTATTGGAAGCGGATGTGAGGATGCTGAAGGAAGATGATAAAACTATGGAGATGCGTGTCGCAGATTTGGAGGAGAACAATAAGAATCGAGATTGCAAGGTTGTGGAGCTGGAAAAAATATGTGAAAATTTAGTAAGATTTGCGAAAAGCCTGCCCCAAAACGGTGTAGGAATAGTTGCGCGGGGGGGAGGGGGCCAAAACGGTGTAGGGGGCCAAAACGGTGTGGGAGTAGTTGGGTGGGGGCGAGGTGGCCAGAATGGGCAGGGTGCTGGGGGTCCGCGTTTCTAATGTGGCTGTTCCTTGCCTTCTTTTACTTCCTGGCGTCCTTTTAGGGGAGCCAGCCATGCCGGAAATGTCACTTATCATCTCCTCTTCAAATTTATATGACAAGTATAGACAAATCCACATGCCAGCTTTCACTCTTTCGAGCTTGAATTGGTCGCAATGCCACGATCGCTATGCAAAATATGCCCGCTTATTCTGATATATATATTCGGTTCAAGGTCTCCACTGGGGGTGCGAATCGACGATTATTTGAGTAAATTCTTAGGAAGCAAGATGTGTGATTATGCATGCAAAGGCTACTTCAGGTGCATTGGAATTTCTTCAGACGCATCAGAACGTATTGGTATGATAGGTCATGCCCAAAGGTTTTGTATGTATGAGTCTGGTCGACGCCAGCTTCGGCGGGAACAATTCCAATTCGCGAGGGTATTCATGGTGAGCAATGGACTGGCAAGCAAACGCGGAGCATTACCTCTATTACCCCGCAGTTTCTTAAAATAAAAAAAAGTTAAAAGAAAGGCATGGTATCTGAACCTATTAGCTAGGAAATGCATGTTTTGTAGATTGTGCATACATTGAACCCTTTCACTCTTTCGCACTCCTTCCGAGTCAGTCCTTTCAGCGTACTGGTTTGCAAATGGGTATAAAATCGCTTCATCCCCTCTGTAATTGCTATCTCATTCTGCTATCTCGTCATAACCCTTCCATATTTTCTTTAAAGGCAGCAAAATTGCATTAACATTCAAGCATTCACTGACCATGAATCATCTCTCAAACATTAATGAGACACGGTTATTGGGTATTTTGATCTTCATCCCCCTCGTACAACTAAACGCTGATTTCTAATTATCGAAAGCATTGAACCAGTAGGGAAGAACTCCTACGGACAAGCGGAACATGAATATCGGTCACTTGAACGATTCCGAGAGCACGAAACGACCTTCGAAGTTAGAAATTCATCCATCATACATGGAAATGGGGGTAACTTATCTATACCCCCACGCTACAACCATCATGTAATCACCAATCCCATACTTTCAGGTCCATTTTTAACAAAACCCCAAAGCAAATGTCGAAAGTCTCGAGATTGGTTAGCCCATCATCTATCACATATTCTCACGTATGAGTGCGGGACTCTGGAACAGAGATGTCAGGAATGTGGCCATGATACCAATCTTGGTAGGGGGTGGCTAATATAGGAATGGATGGAAACATTGATATTGAATGGCTTTCAGAGGAAAAGCAACTTGCAGCTTAGGGCATGGGTTGTCATTATGAATCTTCGTGTGAAGTGATTACAAAATTGAGGGAAAGTCTTGATGGCAAGGCGGGTCCGAGAAGACAGACTTCAATGATGAATTGTTCAGAATCTGAACGGCTTGACAACTTTGTAGAAGATCCAGATTTAGAAGATGGACCTATGCAGTAGAAGCGTCAACCAGAAGCAGGTTTCCTCCCTATCAAGTTGCTCATAGATAGCTTTCAATCTGAGATTCAGAAACTCAAAGAAGCTTTGACGCGATACTAAAATATGAAAAGACACTTTAAGATAAGTATGCGACAGCTATCTCAACATGGCTTGCCTGCTCAAACCCTCTCGCTAATCAGGTTGCGACCTTGGATAAATGTGCCCAGGAACAACAGTAAAAGTCCAAAGCGCAAGGAAAACTTTGAAAAGAAAATGGGTGAAATGTAGGACATCTCCGAATTTGAACTCTACCGAGAGAGGAAGCTAGAACAAGAGAGCAATGGAATTGAGAAGAGGATGCTTTCCTCGCATCAAAACTCGATTCAGCCATTAGATGGAAGATGTAGAAATTGGAAGAGAAAAATCCTTGCTGTCAAACAGCAACACGGCACATCAACGACTTGACAAGATATAATAAGATAATAATGATGCTTTTCGCTGCCCTGAAGGAAAACATTTATGACCTCTTCACTGAGGTTGTGGAGCTAGAAAGAAAGTGAGAAATGGAATCAAAAGCGATGAGCTTGCTCCGACCAGCTTCGTAGGAATTGATGGTGGGTATCTGGGAATATTTTCGGGCGAAAATGTGCTAGCTAAAGGTGTATTCGATCTGGAAATCTTGTAACTCATAATATCGTAGCATATCTTCATCCTTGAGGTATGTTTGCTACATACATCTATACCTTTCCTTCGTAATCTCTCTTCCAAATGGTATCCCAGATTTCCTTGTCCACAGCGAACTCCCTCACATAATCATGCTCCAACTCATGTGTCCTTCTTCCGAGCAACACTAAACTATGCAATGGGCCTCCCAATTGCTCATCCGCATCACACAATTGTTTCAACGTCCCACTTACAAACTTCTCGTCTTTACAGCCTACTCGAGCAGCACCTATGCAAAGACTCTCCTCATTATAAACACCACCCTCTCCATTCTCGGTCTTGATCTCTTCAATCTCCAACATCTGCGACGCGCACTGACCAACTGTCATATATCTCGGTGGTTCATATATTTTTCTTCCTCTCGCCATATTTTCCATGCTTTGTTCCTTAACCTTAATATCCAATAATACTAGTGTGTGCAAGCCAATATTCCTGTTCTCTCGAATACGATCGTAGAATGAAGCAGGCTTCCAATTCTCCGTGAAAAATACCATTGAGACAGTTTGGCCAAAATTGTAAAGTTGGAGACCGGTAGCACCAATAGCGGACATGATGGAGGCATTGGGAATGGTGGAGATAGGGATGTTTAGGGAACGGGCGCGGAGAACAAGATCGGTGTGAGTTGTAGCCCTGAAGCCTCATGTCAACATATATGTTTGGAAACATGAGAGTTATAGAATCATGGGAAGAGGACGAACCCAAATGGATCTCCCACTACTAAAAATGCAACATCCACATTCTGCGCATTTTCTAAAATATCATCACTGGCACTCTCAACCATATCTCTGTCTGCAATAATTACTTCACGTCCATAGTAACTTTCCTATATCTACATCAGTCAGCGCCTTACTTCCCCGGACATGGGAAAAGACTTACAAGAACTGATTTGTCCACCAACAAGATACTGGTGTAGGCTTCAAGGTATACTCGAGCGCATTTTTTAACAGCTTCAAGTCCTTTAACGGTAATATCTGTCTCATCAGAGAGACCAAGGCCAATTAGGTAAAGCATCTTGTTTCTTGTGTACAATAAGGACAATTTAATGAGGGGTCTTCAGAAAGTTCATGAAAATTAGTTTTCCCCCGCCAAACTCCCCACCGCCTGGCCTCAATGGCAAGGCAAAATCGCAGCCTTCTCAAAATTGAGAAAACGCCCCGAGTTCTTTACACACCAAATCTCCTTTAAAAATCCCCGGGATAGTATTTTTCGGGATCCTCAAAGCTTCAGGATTTTAAATCTGTAATTAAATCCTTTACTCTTTCAAGAAGCCTCGGATTTGGTATCTTCCATAGACGTGCAACAAAACCTCGGAAAGAATTGAGTTTGTCCATAATCTTAAGCCCAAGCTCAACCTTGCTCAGATAATCATCTGCGACGACAACAATTCGAGCAATATCCCACAATTATCTCTGCTAGGAAGAACTGATACTGCATAATATTGGGACCACAATCTCTCTTTCACAATCGCCGATAATTCTAAAGTCGCAAAAATGTCCACCAAAAAAGGTGCCTACGAAACCAATGCCTCTGATACCGATTTCCGCAAAAAATACGACCGCGAAGCCAATGTAGCCAAAGCGCGCGAACAAGAAGCCAAAGAAAAAGAAGAAGGGCGTTTGCGATATGAAGCCAAACTCGCAGGCAAAAAGTACTACGCGCCTCTCACTGGCGATGAAACCCTCACATCAGCGCGCGCAAACCGTCTAGATGTATCCGCCAATGTAGGGAAAACTATATTGATGCCTGCGGGCGCAGCGACAGGAAAGAGGGGGAAAGGTGCTGGGTTTTATTGTCAGGCTTGTGATTTGACTTTTAAGGATAGTTTGCAGTGGGTGGAACATGAGAATAGTATGCAGCATTTGAGGGCGATAGGTCAGACGGGTGAGGTTCAAAGAGCGAGTGTGGAAGATGTGAGAAGGAGGATTGATGAGATTTGGGAGAGGTTGGAGAGGGAGAAGAATGAGGAGGTGGTTACTTTGGGGGAGAGATTGGAGGGGAGGAGAATCGAGGATGAGAAGGAAAGAGAGGAAAGGAGGAAGAAGAGGAGGGAACTGGCAGAGAGAAAGAAGGAGGAAAAGGATAAGGAAATTGCTGTCAAAAAGGAATATGGCGAGGATGTCAGGGTGGAGGGCGAACATGATGAGGATGATATGATGGCTAGTATGGGAATTGTTGGATTTGGTTCGTCGAAAAAATGAGGATAGAGTGTTTGCATATTGAAATTTAGCGACGGTGTTCAGGAGGGTGGACATTGAACCACACCAGATTGTGAAAATTGGAATTTGTTTAGGTCAATATAAAATAATTACTTCCAACCCGGGGTATTATTCCCATTGCTCCTTAATACTATGCAGCTGTCCTAAAAAAGAATACAACACCTACCGACACCTCACGACTTAGTATTAGCATCTCTAACCGATCCATACGTACTATCACCACCCCGACTGAAACCTCTTCCATCCACACCATTAGTTCCCGTACCACCAGTCTCCGATGCCGGTACTGTCCTCCTCCTAAAAAACTTTCTGAATCCGGGACTCTTAGGCGATTTGACCGGCGACTCCTCAATTTCACTTGCATTCTGCATTCCATCTGACAAATCCATAGGAGGAGCCCATCTTTCCTCATCCCCACAGACAACCACAAACCAACCCATTTCCTCACTCATCTCCAAATTTTGCCTCAATCTATCAAACCAACCTGCTCTTTTATTTTTCCTCCTGATCTCTCCTGCACTCATTCCTAATTCTTCAGCAGCACTGGGAACAATTTCTTCTTCCGTAAGCTTTTCTTTATACTTCTTCACTTCTTCGGATATACTAACTCCCAATCCAACTTCAACTATATAATCTGATACATAAGCCCACGGTTGACTGGCTGTCTTCAAATCATCCGGATCATATTGTTCAAGTAATTTAATCACACTCCATTGATTAAAGCGCAATGATTTTTCCATCTCTTTAGCCTGTGGCCCACTCGAATTCGGATTGGTAGATCCAGATGCAGATCTACTGTGTAAAGCTTCCGATTCAAAACTATTTTTGTTTCGTCGATGAGAAGTAATCTTCTTTAACGTTAAGCTCGGCTTATCATTTGGAGAAGGCGATTTCAACGAGGCTGGAGATTGATTGCTTTTTTTGGTGAGAGTTCTTGAGGGAGAGCTTGGGGGTAGATAATCCGATTCTCTGGGAGCTGATTCGGCTGAGAGGTCTATGGGGCCTGGATAGCTTGGTGGAAGGAAATCGAATTGTGTGTAAAAGGAATTGAGGAGGGCATTCGAGGTCCGGGGTGCCATTAACCATTCTGGACTTGCATCCTCGATATCATTCAAAATTATATGAATGCGAATATTAGTTCTGTGCCAACGGAAACCGTGAACAAGGTAGGTAGGCATTTTGTGTTATGGGATGGTAAGGAAGTTGAATGTGTAGATGTTGGAGTGCAACAAGAGATAGTCAGCTTTGGAAAATCATATCTGATACTTTAGGAAAGTCATCTTCTAATATTAGTAGAATGCAAGGGAAATCGCGATTGGCAACTCCGGCTGTGAAGAAAGGTAAGAGGTACGAGGCTTTTGATCAGCCTTTCCCAGGGTCCACTAGAACCGACGTCTGTGCGACAGTGATGTTGATCATGTAGACTCGACTTTAAACTTTGCGAGTAAAATACCCAAAAAATGATTTCCCGTTATATCCTAATCGGATATGAACTTTTTTTGTCTACTGATGCCCAGGAACAATCCTTTGGTATGGAGAAGTTTCGATTGTCCTCAAACATGCTGTCATAGGTGTTTGGCTCAGAGAAGGAAATTGTCTTCGAATTCGCTCGAAAGAAATTTAAAGCATATTGTAAACTCCCCCAGTGTGCAGATTCTTAATTCTCAGAGGTGATACTCCTTGTCGAAGGTTCTCCTCTCAATTTCAAGGCAATCTCAGACATTCAGTTCACATGTTCTGCCTGACCCCCTTTCCTGCTCTGTGGTTAAATCTTCAACTGTATCCAAATTGTGCTAGTTGCACCAATGAGTGTTGGAAACTCTTCACCAATATCTAGTTCTACATGGAAGAACGTTCCCATCGCATTGATCCAAATGATATGACTTCATAGCATCTTTTGATGAAGATTCAAGGTTGCCATAGTGAATATGACCATACTCATCCGATCAAGAGCTCGGTAGTTTCCCAGCCAGTAGTGGAAATAAACAAATCTCAAGAAATTTCGGGGGAAGTTCTTTTGGAAACAAATACCATTCATCACAACAACTCTACCGTTGTCGGCCCAACTTGTATATGGTCTTTAAATTCCATCACCATCATACACAATTCAAGCAAGACTACCTTCCATCACAACCCAAAGCAAAAACCACACAAAGCCCAAGCAACACTTCACAACTACCAATCTTCATTCTCCCATCATCCAAAATGCCTGCAGCCATCATTCGAGAAACCATGGTCCAAGACCTTCTCAATTTCATCCGCGAAGTCATCCCCATAATCCACGAAGCCAGCACGGAACTCCTCGAACTAATCCTCGAAAACAACCCTAGCACCTCCAGCGTCGCAACATCTCACCGCCGCTGGATACACATAAACCTCATGCGACAACTCCTCCCACTAGAAGAAGAAGAGCGCCAAGAATGGTTAATCGACCTATTCAGCGGTAGACAAAACACCGTCGAGTATTTTGCTGAATCAATGCTTTTAGTACGTTTATTCATTTTTAGCTCTGGTTCTTGGTTTATGTTTCTTATCAACAATGATAATAATGATAATATAGAATGGAGTCTGGACCGAATCCGAAGACGAAAATGGTTTTCTCATATACAACATGCATCGACTCAAAGAGATAAATTTCCGCAACTGGCTTCTCCGACCCGAAATCCAAGAAATATACAACAACGAAGTCCTAGACCTTCTTCCCCACATTCCTAAACCCAGTATCGAGGGTTCAGATTACATAGCCAAGAGAGGATCTAAATGTATGTTTAAATACCACTAACTACACTATTAATATATCTATAAACTCGTTACAGTACTAACATTCCAAAAGCAAGATATAAAATCGTATTCCCAGATTGGAAACAAGAGATCATTAGTTTGAAGAAAGAACTCGCGCTTTCGCAATCACGGGTTCAGGAGTTGAGGGAGAAGTTACGGAGGGCTAATCGTGTTATAGCGTCCCAGGTTAGTGTGATTGAGTATAGGGATAAACAGTTGAGGGGTGAGCGGGCGGCTGCTAATGGGACGGCGGAAAAGGTGCGGGTGAAGAGGTGTAGGGGGTTGTTTAAGAGGTTGGGGGGTAGGTAGGTTGGTTGGTGGTTGTTTTACACCTGTTTGGGGGGTGAGGGGGGTCGTGTGGATTATGGATTGTGGATTATGGATGGATTTGTACTTAGGTTTTGTTAGATGGAGTTGGGGATTGGTTTAGAGCTTCGTTTTGAGGGATGTTGGGATATTCAATTCTACATAGGTAGTAAGACTCAACTAATTACTGTACGGAGTTTTTATTACTTCACTTCTTTTTTGTTTGTACTCGAATAGGTACTGTACAAGGTCACTATATACCACTCTTTATATTTTTACGAATTCAAAAGAGCTCTTGAAGCTACCTACTTTATGTTTTTTGATATCTTGTTCTGAACTTTTCTTTTTTTGCTTTGATATCCAAATTTGTCTATCTAACCTATCTATACAGCTAAGATGAAAAAAAGCGCAAATTCACATTCCTATCCTAACTTCCTAACCCTCCTAAACCCCACCACGGAATTTCCTTCTTTTGAATATTAATTCAAATCACTCTACTAATTACCTAAGTTCTATCTCATTTTATTATTAATATCCTTCTATTTTCGTGGACAAATTCATGATGTGATTAATAACTTAAAATCCAAGTTTTGAATGATACTCAATGCTTAATTCCTCGTACTCAGTGCTCGTAGAAGTTTTTGATATGGATGGATGGAATATAAGGATATTAGAGATATTCAGGATACTCGTACCGGCAGTAATTCAGGTTTCCTTGTGCTGTATGGCTGAAGTGTGAGGTTTTTCTTAATGGTGGGTTAAGTCATGTCTTGTAGTCATGATGGGGTGGTTCAGGAGGCAGTCGTATGTACGTCTTCTGTGGAGAGCTTGTTTTCATTGGGTGACTCGAGTGTATTCCTAATTGGGTGATTTGTATATCTAGTAGCTTAGAGGGAGATAAGGAGATAGAATGGATTGTGTGAAAACGGCTGGCCGCTGGGAAAGCGGACGGGAAATTTGTAAGGAAAATAGAAAGGGAAGGGGATAGTAACACTCCTTTCTTCAAAAAGAGAAATGTAAAAAGGAGGGGAGCAAGTGAGATCTTGATTTCGAGTCTTGATAATATATCGAATCGGTTCTGTTTCTTGATTGTCTCAAAGTTTCTACGTTCTCCTTTCCTTCCTTTTCCTTTCAAACCAGACAGTTCAAGGAAGTTTATTATTCTTTACCATGACAGTCGCAATACCCTAGGTACCCAGAAATGATAAGAGTCAAACCAACGGAGGACGGGAAGCTGGTAATAAAAGGGAACAAAACATAGAGCAAAAATATGAGGCAAAAAAGACATACAACAGTGGGGATTCGCTGGTGGTCACCCACCCAACTACTAATCCACCGATCTGAAGCTTGTGTATGGCAGAGCGGACGGGATGCCCAATTCTCTTCAGTCTATGGTCGTATGTGACAAGAGGAGCACTACTAGATACTATATTGGGAGATTCTCTCGTGTGGTGGAATTGTGAGATAAGAATGGGTTGAAGCGAGATGGATTCTATTTTGAGCTGAGAGGATGGAGGATATATTTGACTTAAATATAAGAAGCCCATGCTTCAGTTTTCGTGGAAGATCTGATATAATTGAAGAATTGATGTATCATTACAGCTGTGAATCCAGAGGTACCCCATGGTGAACTAAAGTAGCATTAAGAGTGATGGCATCAGGACAAGGTCTAGAGACTCTTACTAAAGAGATGATTGGTTGTTATTCTGGCCAATATGACTGCTTCCGATAAAGGATCAATATCCCTCTCTTTTTTTGAGTAAATATGAGGACATCGTGGTGGGACACAGCTCAGGTACCTGGTACATGGTACCTTAGATAGCTAGAATGAGTAGCGGAGTTGAAAAACAAGGAATTATCATACTGATAACGAATTGACATCAATGCTAGCTAGCTAGCAAGATTTAAAGGAAAAGGAATTGAAATTCGCCATTTGAACCTCACCTAGAGTAGAGGTAAATGGGACTTGACTCTTTAACAAGTAGAGACGAAAGTGTTGAAATGTTGGATCCAAATACCAACCTACCTACCCTTAATTAGGCCTGTGAAAGATAAAATGGCCAATGCATTTCCCCACTCCTATCTCCGAATATTCCGTACGCGAACAACCTTATTAATATTGCTAGATTGGGCTGGGCTGGTCAGCGCATATTTGTTCATGAGGTGATCTGAGAAAGTTGATTCAGATTAGGTTTGTTAAGTTTATCAAGTTTATTGTACATTGTGGAGTTTGAGAATGAGCTGGTTCAGCTGGCGTGAGAATATTTCCCGTCATTGAGTGCCGATCGATATTCTTGAGAAGGTCATGGCGTATGTTAGTGAGAGAGAGGATGATTTTTTGTGTACTTCGTGATGCTGTCGTGGGTGGAATTTGAGAATAGGGGTTACCAAGGTTTAGATCTGTTGGTATGGTAGGAAGGTATGAAGGTACGGTCTTACAACCAGTTATCAAATTCCTTCATCAAGAACTGAAGATGCGACTATTTGGCTCAGGAAATCGGAATAGAGGCGCAGGACTGTTGGGCTGAGCCTTCATTAGCCTGAATATATTGTCTTGAGCTTCAAGTATTCGAATCCTTTGAATGTTGGGCAGCTAACGGCCTTTTGAGCGGACTTTAGATGTTTGTCATCATAGTCTTTACCAGGATCTACTGGACGTTATTCGGAAGTTCAGCATCAAAGAACAATACTCCATATATTTTATTCTAGAGATGGAGTCCGCCGGAACATATGGAAAATAATTTGTAAGACAAATATGAGTGATCGTCTGCCAAGGATTCTTCCGCATATGCGGAGTACCGAGTAGAAGAGACAGAGAAGAAAGAACATGTTACACAGAACCTGTTACACAGAAATTGTCACACAGAAATTATTGCGCAGAAGGTGTTGCAAAGAAATTGATTTTGGCCCAGAAATAATGGTCAGCACCTACACCACCACAAAAAGATAAAGTATGACAGCGACCGGGTTGAACCAACCACAAAGATTTGGTGCCTTGCTTATACAAACTTCTCACCTCCTTCATTGAAAGCTTAATTCCTTAAGCTAGCTTTTTGATTAGCTGAGCCTGGTTCCAACTGCTCTCGGCTCCGTGAGGTGAATAAAATGTATGACGTCTTTGATAAGATGAAATACTTTAATTTATATCTTTTGTCTCTTCTTCTGTGTAGTTGATTTTATATACATACCTAGTCATTCAGGTACGAGAAGAGTAGTAGTCCGAGGCGGCGGGGAATATATCTCGTACTCGCTCGGATACTCCCTCTTCTCCTTTTCTCGTTGGTTGTTTTCTCATAGGTTGTATGTGATTGATTTCTTCGGCTTTGTCAGGTGGATGTCTCAATTCCCAAGCATCCTTTCATCCTCTAACTACCTACCTAACAATGAAATTATAATACCTAGTAGAATAGTAGTCTAGAATAATCCAAGATAATAGCACCACTAGTCAATTGATAAATCATCTTTTTTCACTCAATCAACTAGGTACCAAGTATCATAAGCTTTTGTAATACACTCCACTAATATGTTGATTTCATTTTAGAATTTTTCTATTTCTTCCTTTTCTTACCTCGTCTCCCTTGTGTACCTACCTACCTTGTCTCTTGTAATCCTTGTTAGATCAAATCACATAGAGAATAATGATTCTTGTATCGGTCTATTCACCCAATTTTGGACCGTCTAATTTATGGCATTGACTTATCTCATTGGTTACAATGACATTATTGGCCGCCTTAGCTAATCAAATTCCGCTCACTACCTAACCTAAAGGTAACAATAATTCCCGACTTTTCCACTTCTTCCCTTCCCTTCCCTTCTTATTATTTAATTCTTCTTAATCCTTTTACTGTCCATATCGCACAAGTATCTTCTGGCAAGACAATCGAAGTCTGGCTCAGATTGATATCCTTATAAGATTGATTCTCGTATCAATCTTTTTTCGTGGTAATTCTTGATTTAATTTGTTCGCCGACGGAATAAATTTTCGGCCGCTGTTGAGGGAAAACGTGGTTACCTTATCATTTTTGTTGGTACATCCACCATAAGTAAACAAATATGGCGGACCTTGTACAAAACATCACTTATGCCTCACCTGTGGCAGATGCAAAACTGGCTCAAGCCATTGGGAATCCTCAGCTCAATAGCTATCTGGCCAAACTCACCGAAGTCAGCGCATGGCAGATTGTCCTTACAATTCTTTGTCTGATGGTAGCTTATGATCAATGTACAAATCCCCGGCGCCAAGAACTCACTCACTCGCGCGATCACTCAATCAATCAATTGCATCACTGACATCTCTGCAGGTAGTTATATTTGGCAAAAAGGTTCAATTATCGGTCCAGCATGGAAAGCCCCCTTTATCGGTCCATTTCTACAATCTGTCAATCCAAAATTCCACGAATATCAAGCAAAATGGGCAAGCGGCGATCTCAGTTGTGTATCGGTTTTCCACAAGTAAGTTTATACCATCATCCGCCACTCGATATTTCCAGGCTCTGACCATTTTCAGATTCGTTGTTATTGCTTCTACTCGTGATATGGCTAGAAAGGTTTTCAATTCTCCATCATACGTTAAGCCATGTGTAGTCGATTCAGCACACAAGTTGTTGGGTGAGACCAACTGGGTTTTCCTTGATGGAAAGGCCCACGTTGATTTCCGAAAGGGTCTCAATGGATTGTTTACCCGCAAAGCCCTCGACTGCTACCTCCCAGGACAAGACGACGTTTACAATCAATATCAAGAACGATTCGCCAAGGTTACCGAGGAAGCCGGTGGAAAACCCGTTCCATTCATGTCCGAATTCCGTGAATTATTGTGTGCTGTTTCCTGCCGTACATTCGTTGGTTTTTACATCTCAGACGAAGCTATCAAGAAGATCGCCGATGATTACTACAATATTACCGCTGCTTTGGAATTGGTCAATTTCCCAATCATTCTTCCCTTCACCAAATCCTGGTATGGAAAAATCGCTGCCGACATGGTCCTCGAGGAATTTTCCAAGTGTGCTGCAAAGAGCAAGGTTCGCATGGCTGCCGGTGGTGAAGTGTCTTGCATTATGGATGGATGGGTCAAGTCTCAGCTTGAGTCGGCCGCTTGGCGCGAGGCGGAAGCCAAGGGTCTTTCAACAGAAGGGATGACAAAACCAACACCATTACTTCGTGACTTTACCGACTACGAAATCGCTCAAACCGTCTTCACCTTCTTGTTTGCTTCTCAAGATGCTACTAGCAGTGCCGCCACCTGGTTATTCCAAGTTATGGCTCAACGTCCTGAAATTTTAGACAAGGTCCGCGAGGAAAACTTACGTGTTCGTGGTGGTGATAAACGAGTTCGACCAAACATGGATATGATGGAAAGCATGAAATATACTCGTGCTGTTGTTAGAGAATTGTTGAGATGGCGCCCTCCTGTTCTTATGGTTCCATATGTCGCCAAGAAGGCATTCCCTATTACTCCAGATTACACTGTCCCTAAAGGTTGGTCAAGCTAACATGAAATTATGATGCGATGCTAATGAGTTAAATAGGAGCTATGATCGTTCCAACAACATATCCAGCTTTACGCGACCCTGATGTCTATGACCGACCTGATGAATTTGACCCCGAACGTTATTTCTCTGGTGATGCCGAAGTAAAGGGAGCTAAGAACTACTTGGTCTTTGGAACTGGTGCTCATTATTGTCTGGGCCAAGAATACGCACAAATGAACCTTGCTCTTATGATTGGAAAGGCTTCAATGGAACTTGATTGGGTTCATCATCCAACTCCTAAATCAGAAGAGATCAAAGTCTTTGCTACAATCTTCCCTATGGTTAGTACATATTCAAATGGAAATCAATTTTCGAGCATCACTAACTCAAATTACAGGATGATTGTCCATTGACCTTCACAAAGAGACCTTAAAGCTCTCCAGTTCTAATTTTTCAATCCATTTTCAAACTACTTTCTCATCCATTTTTTATTATCGGAACGCCCATCTCCGCATACTAGGGGCAAAGTTGCGGTAGTAAGGTTATGATCATTTTAATGCATTAGACTGGGCGTTCAAATACTTCTGTCCAATAAAATATAGGGAATGGGTTTAGGTGTTATTCATGAAATTAGTAATGAGAGAAATGGAAAGTCCGGTCTTTGTAAGTTCTTCAAACTTTATTGAAGAATGATACGACGGCCCGTTAAAGGATACCTACTTAATCAATTGTAATTAGTCACTATCTTTTGTCTTTAAAAGTAAAAGAGATGAGAAGCGAAGATGAGAAATGAATTAAAGGTCCATTTGGACTACATACGGATTGTTATGAATATGTGAAGTGTTTTGAGTTATAGTGATTTATAATTGAGCTAAAGGGAATGAAAGTCCTCCCTCCTTGTAAGGTATTAGGCGGTTATTGAAAGTTGAGTAACTTGAGATGAGGACTAGTTACCTAGTGGTATTCATTCATATATCCATCCATCCATCTATTCATCCATCCTGTCTTATAAAAACCCTCCAAATTAAAATCCCATACTGAAATAATTGAATAAGTAGGTAGGTTGGTAGTTATACAACATAATATAGGTGAATAAGGAGGGAAGGGAAGGGAAGGGAAGGGGAGGGGTCCTCTTAATGTTGTGTAGGTATATGTATATAAGTAGGTTATATTTGGATTTGGATTTGGATTTGGATTTGGATTTGGATTTGGATTTGGATTTGGATTTGGGTTTGGGTTTGGGTTTGAAGGTTATGTTTTTACTGTAAAGGGGATGGGGGGATTGGATGATGGGATTGGATGGTTGGATGGTTGGGGGAAGGAGGAAAAGCGAAAGGGAAAGAATCAGATGGATGAGATAGATACAGATGAGAATCTCTCCTCCTCCTATGAAAACTGGGATTACTGATTTGATTTAACATCTGTAATTTAGAGGTATAGAATTAAGGGTTTTTGGAATTTTAAACCTTGGAATACTGTATATATTGTTCGTTGTAAAATGACTCTTCATCTTATATGTATAGTTTTTATTGGGGAAATGCATAGGAGTAGAATGGTAGAAGTCGAAATGAAAAATGAAAAAAAAATTGATGTTTTGATTTCGGATGTCTTTGGGTGAGTTTCTTGCGGCTTGGGTAGAGCCCTGGAGTTGTCTAGTTTATTCTGTCATTTTTTAAGCTCTTTGTATGATACTCCTCCAGCTCAGGTAGAATCTCTCGAGCAGTCTGGTTTATTGTGTCATTTCCATGGGTTGCGGGTTTCTCTTCTTCTCTTCTTCTCTCTTACCTCTACTAACCCAAGTAGCTATGGGGTGCTATCACCATCCATGAGGTGTATGTAATGAGGTTGTTAGTGATGCGGGGTTTAAAGATTGAAAGTTATATCATTTGCTACTAGAAAGGGCCATTATGATTGATTTATGGATACTTTACTTTACTTTAATTTAGCTGATAAACTTAGCGCTGGTGATAGTTTCCCTGTTCGTTAAGTGAAGAAAAAAGTTCGTTGAAATTGTAGTGGAATATATAATTAGATACTCATGGATGGATAAGACGAAATAAAGCCAAGGGTAATTAATAGCACGTTTCGCAATCGTCATCTACCAGATCCAAAATCATTGCGAGGTAAGACTAAGATTTATCTCGTATGCCATTTCCTGAAGGTGCTCTCCGAATTTTCTAATTTTCTTGGAAAGATTCTTATATATCTCGCCTTGTGATATTCCAGCACGCAAGAAGCCATCTAGACTGCGCCCAGTCCATAATAGCCACTACTCTCGGGTTCGATCCTAATGATAATATGATGTTGCGTGGGACTATGTCATCATATGCATGTGTGAACACCATAGACCCTTCATCATAACTATCGATTCTGTAGGTATCTTGAAATGAAATTTCCGGATAGTGTTTGCACTACTGAATACCCAGCGAGCTTTGAATGGTATGGAAGGAATTTTTCGTCCGGTGATTGCTTGTCCAGCTACCAAGCGAACAGTATTCTTATGTTAGACTTACTTGCATATTAGTAGAGAAATGATATTGATCTACTAACCACCATAACGATCATTGTCATCTTACTTCAATGTCCGCAGCGCATTTACCATTTGTTTGAGTTCCGCATAGATGGTAAGATTATATCTCATCTTCTCTCATATCAGGCCATATCTCCTGTACATTCATGCCTTTATTAAGGACATATAAATGAAATCCGGGTCATTTTCCTCGTTCAGGCAAAAACCTCAGGGACAGTGACTTTACCTTGCAAACCCACCCTCGCATACCATCATCTGAGTCTGAGCCTCGATAACTGTTACTGTAATATCACCACCATATTTAACATCTAATCCCGACGACGAGAAAATAACATGTGATGGATGAATTGAATTATATAGCGCGGATATTGCCTGTTTTCTCGTTGAGAGCGCTAGATCTGAACTCAGCTGGAGTAGGAAGCGTAGGTGCACGATTCTTCTTGAAGAAGTTCGATTCTGGGAAGATTTCCCTTCTGGTTAGAGAGATAGAGGATTGTCTAAGTTTGCGATTCGAATAAAAGTATCTGCTGCTGATGTTGGAGTAGATAGTGCTATGAGTGATCGTGATAGAAGATACTTTCAACTGCTTTGATATTGTGTTGTAAGATTGATGAAGAGAGAATGTGTATTGAGGTGCGGATTTGTGGAGATCTCTCATTTTTACGCCTAACATTAACTTATAAGTGAACTAGGATTAAGAATGTCGGCGTGTCACAAACCGAAAATGTGACTTCTGTTGATGGCACTTAATCCTAGGACTTACTCTAGTTTCGACCACTCAATCGTTTGGCAGCGGCTGGTGGAAATCACCCATGAAGCAAATCGCCCGGCCTTTCTGTGAAAGTAAGCGCGGAATAGAGCGAATCTGATTTATAGAATACTAGAATGCCCTCCCGCACGAAGTAGGACTCAACTATTAAACATGGTAATTTGAAAATATATCTCCCTCACTCTGTCCCTCAAATCCCACTCTGAATTTATTCCTTGAATAAACGACGTCTGGTGGCAGGGTGAAGTGATCATAAGTTTGCTGATTGAACATGCACTAGCATTTGGAATGAAATGAGTCTGGATCATGAAAAGCGTATAGAAGTGATGAGTGATTTGGGGTAGGTTCAAGAATATAGCCTCTATGGCCAGATATTGAATATTATGATGCTATGAGTAAGGAGTCTCTAGCAATTTCTAATTGCTGACAAAAACACCACCTTTCGAATATCCAAATTCAGCTGCTTAACTGAAAGCCAAGTCTCCATTCCTGGAGGAACGTCCATCTATATCCGATATAAAGATAAAAGCTACTTAGCTCACGAAAAGACATATCCTCAATTCCAACACAACTTTGACAACTTTCCCATCATTCATAAGCGCACCTAAAAGGAGTTGAGAAGACGTCGGTCTTTCCAACTATAAAAAGGTAAGGAAATCAAAAGATAAAATAATTCTCCCATTGCACAATAAATACTCAATATAACTCCGAATGGTCAGTTAAAATTCCAACTCCAATTACTGACAACAAACAGGTATTATGACTCTTCCGCATACTGCATCCATCGTGGGTTAATAGACAGCAACACGAGGTAACGAGATAAGGTTCTCTGATTGGTGAATTAATCCAATTCTAATTCTGAATCCAATTTAATACCCAGATGACTCTATATCTTTTGACCTCAGATATTGATATCGTGATATGTTAGCTAATATAACTGGAGGGTACTGTACGTGAGTGGATATCGGATAAGGAAGATGGATGATGATATAAGTGGTCAATTTTAACCTTATCCCTTATCAGTAAAAATCTAGATCCCAACTCCAGAACAAAATTTCGTGTTTCATTTTTGGGGGGTAGTTCTGCCGATGATGCGTTGTTGTATCGAATAATTTAGAATGGTCACTAGATCATCTATATGAGACAATAACTCCGAACTATGAATCTGTTTATTCCCTAAGTTTAACGTTATGTCAGTATAAATTTTCGGAGTTCAATGCAGAGGTACCTAAGGTGTCTATGTTGTATATGTAAGTCTAGTACCCTACTTTCCGGCCAGCCCCTAATTCCGGCCACCTTTTACACTGTCACACTCAAGAATACTGGGTAAAGTATCTTGTATTAGAAAATACTAAGCTAAGGAGAAATGAAGAAGGAAAACAAGAGTAGAGAGTTTTCCTATGATTAAATACAAACGGGGCATGCCACGTGACCCGGAGGTGTGAGGCGTCACATACACCAAAAATCGTGATTTTTAATTATTATAACTTTATAATTAATGAATGTAATTCGTTGAAATTTTGATTATGAATTTATTATATAGATATTAATAAATTTTGAAAATTTTGGATTTTTCGTGATTTTATTGAAAAGTTATTGAAGATTTTCAAGATTTTTAAATTTATATATAAATCCTATATGGTAACAGCTGACTTGTTTTCGTAAGCTTGGGCCATGTGCAAATCGGTTTCGATTCGCTCAATTTACTATGAGATTTCGGTCACCCTAAGAACTTATATGCACGCACCATCAGAGCATATAAACAAGTATGCTGGATCACTCAGGATCACTGGTGATCTAAGGTGATCCAAGGAGTATGAGGATCTATATATTCAGTATGAATTCCTTCCTGTAGAGCCTCGTGCTCAAGATCAATCATTTAGTATACTCTACTATTAGTTACGAATTGCATCATTGTCATTACTTAAGTCCCTGCTTGACACCTAGTTATAAACCACCTCGAGAGCCTAGAGCACTTCCACGTGATCTAGACGGCAAACCTCGTAACATATGTAAATCGAAAATCAAAATTTTAACCTTCAATTTCTCAACTAATAAAATCACGAAAAATCCAAAATTTTCAAAATTTATTAATATCTATATAGTAAATTCATAATCAAAATTTCAAAGAATTATATTCATAAATAAGAAAGTTATAAATGACGATTTTTGTCATTTTTGGTGAGGAAAAGTGGCCGGAATTAGGGGTGGCCGGAAAGTAGGGTACTAGACTTAGTGGAAGCAAATAGGAAAAGTGACACGGAGTTGGAAATGGAGTTGGAGATGGAGATAGGATAGATAAGGTTACGCGGTAAGCGAAGGTTATAAGATGAATTCTTCCCGCTTGTGAGATTTTCCTTGTTGACTGGGCTGCCTTGACTAGGCTGATGCGATCGATGCATATGAATGCCTGGATGGATTTATTCCGTATGGATAGTTGGGATCTATTAGAATTTGGAATGAATTTTCGGAATACATGTTGGATAGCTACAGATCCTGGTGGCCTAGAGGTGATTATGTAAAGTTAGTTCTATAGCTAATTGATATGCCATTGTAAGATCACAGAGTACTGGTAATCTTATTGCTTTACTTGTTTGTTTACTTCGAGCCGGTGAGTGATACAAGGCAACAACATTGATATCTGAATATAAGAATAACCTTAACATGAAAGAGTTGAAGACAGAACTGGGAGCCTAAACAGCGACCACCAGGCCACGAAATACTGCAGTGCATATCAGCATGTTTCGTACCCACTGATATATATCTAGGCATACAGTAATATTGCTGTAACTCAATCCAACCTATCGGTACCTGCATATATCGATATCGATATCAAATACTAGTCAACCCAACGTCGCAACACAGCGCGGCACAGTAAGTAAGATCCTACTTATTCGCTGATGCCGATTCAAACTTGTACTTAGTACATACTCGGCATATAAGATTATAATATATCACTAGCTAAGAAGACCTACCAAGTAAAAAATCTACCCAGTATATAGGAACTCTTGAACCCACGATGCATATATATATTATATATTATCGCCTAATACAGGAACTATCAAACACTAAGTCTAAGCCTAGTAATGCTAGGTATACTCACATATAATCTTACTTGGGCCGAACACAGCAAAGAATAAATAACCATACCAATCCCATCTATCTAATCACCGAATGACGCATACATACCTCCATACCTCCATACCTTACCCCCTCCCATCTCATCAACACAATATAGTATAGTGTATACGTACATACATACCTAATCAATCTATCCCGAAAACCCTCTTCCACAACACCCCGAGTACATACAATCAAACCAAGCATTCTCGCACCTAAACCTGACTCACCCGGTCTCGCTTACAGTTGTTCTTGCATTTGCATTGCATTGCAGTGCATCCATATCATCCATATCATAGACATACGCATAGACATACCACGGAGTTCAAATTTCAATTCAAACTTAAGAACTACCTATAGCTAAATCTCACAAAATTATCCAGACCAGGGCTAAGCGAACTCCGACCCCATCCCTTCCATCCCTTCCTCCCCTCCTCTTCCCCCGCCATACGGAGTAAGATTACTCTACTATAATTTTTCACATCAGTCTTATCCCGAACAAACCACAAATCATTTACAGAATAGAGTAGAATAGAATAGTATTTAGAATTTTATTTATTTATTTTATACTTTTTTGACATCTATCTAGCAAACCCATAATATGACATAGATGGATATCCAGGATATCCACTAGATCTAGGCAGACAGGCGACTTTGTTATCTACCTACCTATGACCTACTAACCTACCAATCTACTACCCTACCTACTAACCCAGTAAAGATCTTATATTATATCTTATATTTTATTTTATCTTATATTTAATTCTCCAAGTACATACATGCATATACATACATGCATACCTACCTACCCATAATATAACACAACACAACATAACACAATAAAACAATAAAACAACAGCTATTAACCATAGCATAAAAGAATCCGATATCCGATATCCGATTACCTACCTAGCTTACCTAGTCTTAATTAATGAACGGAGTAGTTTGCATTCGCAAGAGATGATATTAATATTCTTACCTATCTATGATGGTATTGGATGATTATGACTATAACCGTTTGTTTAGATGTGATGTTGAATGTGAATTAGCTGGGATAATTTAATCTATGTATACTATGAGTTCCAAGGTTATAAGTATGGGATGGGATGGATGTATATATAAGGGGAGATGCCATACAGTATCTCGATTATAAAGGGGCTTTTTTTCTTTTCTTCTACTCATTATTATCGATCAGACATCAGAGAGAGATATATATACTATATCAAACCACACAACACAACACAACCGCGACACATCTACCCTCGATAACGAATTTGAATTTGATTTTCACAGTCAAGATTCTCTCCTCTCATTACCAATACCCCCACAATCAACCCAAATCACATCTATAAAAAAAATGCCTGCTGGAGGATTTCCCACCTTCCCAGTTTCCCGTATATCTCATTTTCTTTTCCCAATCCATCCAATCCAATCCATCCAACCAAACCCCATCTAACTCATCTAACAGCCCCAGATTTCCCCAACGAAAAACGTCCCACCTTCTTCCACTCCTCCTCCCAATCCCAAAAAGTAACACCAGTATCCTACTCCACCTCCAGATCCTACACTGCCAAATCTTCCTCTCCAAAAATATCCATGGAAACTACTTCTACATATACCACAAACGAAACATCTTCGCTCTACAGCACCACCTCCACTATTTCCCTCCTGAAACATTCAGTCGGTACCCTCAAAGCTAAGCTTTCCCGTAAGGAGCATTTGAAAAGTGGAGAAGTCAAGTCGTATAAGAAATCTTAAACCGTCTCTTCTATACGCGGGGATTCGTGTGAGAAGTCACCTATGTTCCATTCTAAAGCTTGATTTGACGTAATTTGGTTAAGAGGAGAAGGCTTTATCTGGATTGACAGCGAGACAATCGCTGACGGAGACACATATAATCATGGCTATGAGATAAACATAGTCGGTGGTTGATTTGTCTCTTTCTTTGAATGGTGTTTTCTATGCGGTGTCTTGGGCTTTGGACTTTCATGACCATGATGTGATATCTTTCGGGGGAATTTTGAAGGAGTTTCCTAGTGGACGACATACTAGAAAAACCTGGTTTTAACAGCAAGGAACTTTCGTACGATACTTTTCCCGATGGAGATGAACATATGGGAAGACGGTTTATGAGGAGTTCTTGTTTGGTATGGTCATGGCTTCATTCCTCGTTAAATTCTAACAAATAATTCTGATTTCCTCAAAAACTATCATCAAAATCATCTTTCATTGCGACTATGCTTGGACTATTATCCAATTCATCTGTATTATCAAATCCAGCCCCAGCGGTGGTAAGAAGATCTTCGACAATTCTTTTGCTTGCTTCTCGTGCTGTATTTGTGTTAGCTTGTGATACTAATGATTTCAATCAAGGTCAAGAGCTTACCAGGAGTTTGTAGTAATCTTGATTGTGGTAAGGAAAATTGAATCGTCTTTGGTGGACTCATTCCAAGTTCCTTGTAAATATCTTCCGCATCTTCATCACTATCACTTTCCCATGTGATCTCATCTTTCTCTTTCTTTATAGATTTGGAAAAGATGTCCTTTGACTTTCCTTTCGCCGGAGTTTGAACACTTATACCTGGTGTTCGTGGTGCATTCGGCTTATATGGTTGTCTAATTGGCGAACTGAATATATCAGCATGTAACTGAGGTGCTGCAGCTGGTGGTGAAGACAACGGTGATTGATTGTCTCGCCATGAGGGTTTGTTTGCAGGGGTCTTCTTTTCTTTTCGGTTTGTAAGTGGTGTTGCTTGGATTCGATAATTCTTTTCGAGCATTTTAAGATATTGAGGATCCTTTGTCTTTTGAGCCGTCGATGGGATATATGTTTGGGTAGTTGATGGTAGATCGTATAAAGTCGGGTCCATCCGATATGTGGTTGGGTCAAATGGAGATGAATCTGGTAGCATTGACATATCTGGTATCCTTTGCCTAGCTCCAGGTGTACTCGGTAGTTGTGTATCATCCTCATCACCTTGTAAAGTAGCATCTTTAAATTCCTTTCTCAAGTCCTCGTATGGAGATGACAAGTCTGCAAATTGTAGCTCTTTATCTTTTCGTGGAGGACCTCTGGGAGTGCTACCACTAATATCGTTGTCTTCGAGCATTGAATCATCCTGATCGTAAATATGATGACCATCGTCTTCTGTTTGAATAGTTTCATCATCAATCTGTGATGTAGTATATTGACTTGGGTCTTCGTGGGACTGAGTATATGAAACGTCCTCCTCCTCCCCCTGTTGCTCTACTTGAAGTAATGAGACATTGGCACTGGCTTCGAAAAATTGTTTCCAAAACTACCCCGCTGTTAGATGCATTCCAGTCTCTTGAAGATAGATAGCTACCAACCTTGGACCCTTCCCATACTGCATTTGAATGGTTCGCGTATTGTTCAACGACGGGCAGAATACTTGTAGTGACAATACGATGCGCTCGACTAAAGTTGTGATCAATTTCTGAGGTGGTGTTAGTAAAAGGAAGATGCTTCGGGGGAAAGCTAAGGAAGGAAGCTTACCTTGAAGTGTCAGAGTGATAGATTGCTCCAATTTCTCAAGCTCTTCAGTAAGAGAAAGTGGTCTTGCAGATGACACATTGGCTCGAGACATTTTGGGCAGGAAATTTACTCAAAGTCAGGTTTGCTGAGGGGTTGACGCGACGGGCGCGTTAGCCTTGATGAAAAACAAAATCATTAAATGGCATAGCACGTGACCATTAATATTTGACTTGATTGAATTTCCCCAAACCACCAATGAACATTAATTTCTTTCCTTCTACAAAATATCCAAGATAATAACATCAATTCTATTAACCTGGATCAATATCTCATATTTCATCACGATCATCGCTATATAGACCAAAAAGTTTGTCAAAACGCACTGTTGTTAGACAAACACGACTCATTACTTATTATCCTCAAAGTGATTATCCTATCAGTAGTCATCAGCGCTATCGATTTTGGTAACAGTTACTGCCGACTCTCACCAGTTGAGATTCCCACCAATTCTTTCCCGCTCACGAAACAATTTTGCGCGGCACTTCCGTGTGCCGTCTTTTTTTCATCCCAAGTTTAAAAAAAGGACACCGGTAACATTAGGTATCATTCACGAAGGTAGGTACTATTGATATTGATGGTAAAGAAGATAGGAAGGATAGGAACGTACAGCAGCAGACCACCTTCATCATCTTGATCAAAACTCATCCCAGATACCAGCATTCCAGTACAAATCAGAAGCACAGACAAGAAAATTATCCTGGAAATTTGGATGATACCCCTGAGGATTACATTACAGGATTACATCAAAAAGAAACAAATTTCACAGGCATTATTGCATCAGCATCAGCAGCAGCATCACCATTCCCATTTCCATCAACCATCTGTGCTATTACTGGTGTACTTTGTGAATTGTGAGTCTTTTCTTTTCTTTTATTGATTGATTTCATTTCATCTCTTTCCCATTGTTGGCCCCCCTTTCCTCGGAGCCTCTATTCATTCCAATTATCCAATCGGGACCAACAAATTTATTACTATTGCATCCAGGTAGAAAAAATTGAAGTGGATAGTGAGTGGATTTCCGCCCCTGTATCAAGAGAAGTTCCGGACTTCCAGGTGAGGATCACCAGATCTCTAACATCCTAAAAATCTTGTTTGTACGGAGTAGTAATCTTCAACTATCTCTGCTACTTGAATCTTGAATCTGGCAATGCATTTACATTCTAAGGATGCGGATTACGGAAGAATATAACAAAGTCAAAAAGCACGGCATAGTATTTCTCGCTAGCAGTTCTTGCCTTGCACTGCGGAGAACTGGTGGTGGGTGTGTGGTGTGGTGTGCATAAGGATTTTACTCCGTACTAGAGGATTGATTGACCTTGCAGAATCATGTACATGTACGGTGTACGGCCGGTGCTCGCTCTTATGCAGGAACCTTTGCTTTTGGTTCCACATTACCCAAGCTCCATCCACCATCTCTCTCTAAACGCCGTCTCTAGACTCCAGATAGATCAGCAGACAGGCCATTATTGGGCAGGCATTTCGGGCGTGCATATTATATTGGCCATTCATTCATTACCTTGCCAATTTCTTATGACAGCTCGAATTAGGGTACCGCATCAATGGTTTAGGGGTTTCCTGTGAGATCAATAAACATCAGTCTCACAACACTTTTTATCCAAACCGAACAATTCTTGACCTCCACTGTTTTTGCTGTGTCCACAACTTTTTGCGGGGTGGCCCGTTACAAATCTCGAAGCCAAGAAAGCCTAATGGCCGGATGTCTGAAGATGAAAAGCCAAACTTTGGAGTCAACTTAGTCAAGTATCTTACAAGAGATAAACAAAAACAAAGGACTTTATGTCAAATTCCCCAATCTCAATCAAACCGGGGCAATCCGTGCGTCGAGGTCGAGGTCGACATTTCGGAATCAAAGTTATTAGCCTTGTTATTATTATTAGTGCTACCTTTTCACGCTTTCATCCATCCAGTAAGAAATCGGGAAATGAACTCGAAGCGGTCTAAGGTCGATAACCATCCACCCACCCACCATCCATCCATCCATCCATCCATCCACCATCCATCCACCATCCATCCACCATCCATCCATGCCTTGTCTAACCTCGTCTACTATGTTTAGAGTGAAGACTGCGGAAATAGGTACGGGAGAAACCCTCCTCTTCAAAACTATTTCAACCCATTCAACCAGATTCCCGTCTCTGAGCGCTATGGGGAACGTGAAGCCTATCTATCCTGGTCAAGGGCCTTGTCAAGGCCTTGTCACCGCGTCCACACGGATAAAAGAGAAGTCTAATTTTTCCTTACTCAGAACATACTTTCTTTCACTCTCCTCAGTATCATTCTCACTCCTTTGCTCCATTCGTGCTCTCACATTCTCTTATGGTATCTCGTTCCTATCGTCATTCTTTACACTCCTTCACTTGAATGCTTTTATCACATACATCATACATCATATTACATTGTGGATTGATTTCTTAAGAACTCGGTTGATATTTATTTTACAACGTCCTCATCTCATCTGAAGCATCTCATCCCACCGTCTCGGTCTAAGATCCACCCCTCGTATAATGCCTATCCGGATCATCATACTTCGCGAAATTCACTCTCACTCCTCATCAAACCAATCGTAGTCTCTTGACACGAGTTTTCACCTTTGCTTTGTTTACATTGACACAATACTCGCTCAATCTCACACAACCACCACGATACCCTACGACCACTACCATTGTGCTTGCAAATCAAATCCCACCTCATCAATAGCTACATCGATAGCTCCAAAATCCCACCTTTCAATCCAATAAATTGAACATTTGCGAAAGGTCGAATCTCGGCCCAATTGAGCTCGCTCAGCCACGATTTGAAGATCTGATTTTCAAGCCTTGTCCTGGACAGGAGGATCAGATACTCCCCGCAATGTCAGTAATTCTAGGAATTGGTTCTCTAGGAGATAAGGATAGCAATGGCGAATCACCACTATCATCCAACACATTCAGTCGTCGCATTCGTCCACCACCAATAAATACAAGTAGCTTGGAGGAAGGCAGAGTTCCATTGAAAGGTCCAAAAGTCCATAGAAAGGAGTCCAAAGGTGGTCTTCGAGGAATGTTCTCTCGTAATAAATCCGAGAAGAATGCGGTATCGCCAGTTCCTGAAGGAAATAAATCGGCTTCACCAGTCACATCACCCACACCACTTTCCCCAAAGCTAATGAGTCCCATCACAAGTCCAGTAGGAGACAGTTTCTTTCGAAAGTTTGGTGCCGGTAATACAACTGATGTGGCCTCTCCCACCACACCTGCTACACCAGGGAATACTACTGGGACCCCATCACGTCTGAATCTCAGATCCAAATCAGCCAAGGATAGCAAAATTGCCGCCAAGCCTACACCGAAAACAAGCCCAAAAGCATCAGTGTTTGATCCACCACCGTTATTCCAAAGTTACCCTCAATCTGTGAAGCATGCTCGTCTTTCCGCCTCAACCTTATCAGCAGATGCAATTATCCGCATGTCTAATCATAAAAGGAATATCAGTCTCCGGGACGAAATAGCACAAACAACCGAGACAGGGCCAGATGAGAAGAAGACAATAATCAAACATAACAGACGACGATCAGGTTCAATATCGAAAGGTGAATGGACTCAAAAGATTTTCGTTTTAGTAACTTCTGGTTACCTTCTACAGTACTCGGGTGATGGAAATTTTGACCGACTACCTGAAAAAATGGTTCAGCTCGGCAAGGAGTCTGTAGCTTTCGCATCAGATGTTATTCCAGGAAAACATTGGGTGTTACAAGTATCTCAATCAATGAGTGCGGATGGAGTTCCAACCTCAGATTCTAGGTCTTTATTATCAAGACTTGCGTTCAGAAGTGCAGATTATAGGAGGAACGCAACTAGTCTTTTACTTGTCTTGGACAGCGCTGAAGAAATGGATTCTTGGATTGCTGTATTAAGGAAGGAAATTGAAACACTTGGAGGCAAGAAACAAATTACAGAAACTGGAACTGTGAAGACAGATGAGAAAACACCAGAGTTGAAGAGTCAACCAAGTCATCGGTATCTTGTCCAAAGAAGAGGCTCGGATCAGGTTTCTAACTCTTGCTCACCACTTCAAAATCCCTATGATCGCCGTTCATCGTGGCAGCAAGAAGGGCAAGTTGGAGAATTGGCTTTACCTTGGTCAACTCCTCGTGAGCGCCGCCCCTCTTGGCAGAAACCGGAAGGACAGAACATTGATGAAATATCCCCAACTGGCTTCCTTCCACCTTGGTCACTAAACGAAGCACAAAATGAAGCTGCGATCAGACCATTAACCGGATGTGGATCGGTGACAAATAGTTCTAGTTCATATGAGCAGAATTTGGAAGGTTTGAGAGATAGTATTAACAGACTATCCTATTGCTCATCCGACCAACGAACTCGCATTTCATCTCCAGCAACGTCGCCAGCTCGAGATAGTACATCTACCATGGAAGATCTACCACCTTTGTCCTTGGAGACGGTACGAGTGAGGCCAAATGCTGCAGAGATTGTTGAACGTAGAAGGTCACTTCAAGCACTTCAAGGGTCACGGGATCCTATACCTCAGATGTCACCGCACCTTCAGACTCCTCAACAAACTTTTCGACACTCAAATTATGGTACATCTACCCGAATTATGAGAAGCCCATCACCTGCAACTCCAAATTTCAGTGTACCTGTCTCTTCAAGCAAGAGGTTTTCGACTAGAAGCCCAGTCCCTGACAGACGACCATCACTTCCTGCAATGAATACTATGGAAGCTGAAAAGGGAAGCAAGAAGGGACCTCCAATGGCACTTTCTGTGACTCAACCACTATCCCCTGTCATGGACATATCATCACCAAGACGGATTCCAATACCTGTTACGTCCATGGAAACGTCACATCGGCCAGTTGCACTCAATAAACCATCCACCCTTGATATTGGATCACGTTCCCTAGGAAGGTCTTCTATTAAAAAGCGACCAAGCAAAGAATTAAGATCTACTCGACGTGTCTCGAGTTTCATGCCATCAAATAATACATTAGAAGTTCGGAACAAAGATTTGCGTCGCCATTCAAGCATGCAGGCAGTTGGTCAAACCACGTCACCCTTGGAATCAAATGGTTCAAGTGCATCCAAATTTCCTAAAGTACCTTCAACAAATTCGACTCATGATGAATCCTTCGAAAGTATAAAAGAAAATGACTGCGATTCATTACCAACTCTTCAAGAATCTTCACTTCAACTTCAACCATTACCAACACTTCCCGAGTTTCCCATCAAACAAAACACACAGCGTCGACCAAGAAGTATGCTTGCCACTTCTGGTCAACAATCAACCATCGCTGAAGATTTATCCAATACCCCACGTCGCAAGCGACCTTCTTCAACTCTCGCCCCTACGACTCTCTCTCCTACCCTTATTTACAAAGCAAATCACACTGATTTGGAACCACCAAAATCTCGATCAGGAAGATCTGTCTCAAACAGAAGAAGTTTACCAGCTCTTATGCATGGTGCTCCTCCAGCTCCTCCTCCAGATTGTGCTTTACCTCCTTTACCTCCCGGAAGTGCTACGATCATCAGTCGGAAAAGTTCGAGTACTCTTGTGAATTCGAGAAAGGAGATTGAAATCAGGGGTTGAGATTGTATCTTTCTTTTCAAAATTCTTCTCAAATTCATAAATGAGATGTAATCTTACTGAGAATTTTCATTCTATCACAACGTTCAAGATGCCATTTTTTCCTTTTTTCCTACATTGTACATTCACTTATTTTCTTTTTTACTTTCATCTTTTTTTTCCTGTATCATATCATGTTTCAATTATACCATTCACGTTTTTTCATGACATAAACATGACGCAGCCCGACAGGCTCTTTCTGCGTCTTTTTTTTCTTTCTTTTTTTTTTGTTGCAAACATACATTCTCATGATTAATACTTAGATAACTTAACTACATTCACATACGAAACGAAGAAGATGAGGTTTTTATGTTATGTACTATTGTACTATTATGTATTTTAGGATTTGGATGAGCTGGAGCGGCTTGGCTTGGCTGGGTTTGGTTTGGTCAGAATTGGTCAGGATTGGTCTGGTTTGATTGGTTTGATTTGGTTTGGGGAATAGGGGATTAGGAATTTGACTCCTCGTCGTCTCTTCATTCTTGATGATTTGGGAAGGTTTATGCGGTGTGGATGTGGATGTGGATGTGGGTGTGGATGGTTATAGGCAGGCAGGGTCTTTGAGGGTCTTTCAGATTTTTGAGATTTTTTAATGAGGGTTATGATGGGAGTTGGGGTTGACGTTTGAGGGTTGAGGGTTGAGGGTTGAGGGTTGAGGGTTGAGGGTTGAGGTTGCTGAAGCGCGAAAGATGGAAGATAGAAAGTGAAAGACGGCTGCTACCAAAAAAATTTTATATGTAATCTTATGTATGTACCATGAAACGAGATGAGATGAGATGAAATAGAAAGGAAGGAAGAAAGGAAAGAAGGAAGGAAGGAAGGGAATTAAACTATAGAAATTCAGAAAAATTCAGAATTTCTATTTAAAATCTAAAAATATTATGATTACTCTTTTTGTTGTGAGAGGTTGAAGTGAGTTGAATTGGATTGGATTGGATAGGATTGAATGACTGTGGGAGAAAGACACAGACCTAGGTAGGGAGGGAGGGTAGGTATATAAAGATTATTGTGACCAAAAGGGTGTTTATAGACCAGCAATTGTATTTAACTTAGAATCTACAGGTGAAGAGCACCTGTAGATGGGGATAGCTACTCTATATATACACAAATGAATGGCCTAGCCGCAATGGCTAGGCAAAAAGAAGTCATGTTTATTCCTCCAATGATCTTACTTTACCGATAACCATTGATACCTAGTACTTGTCCGGATCTGATCCTCAGGTCACCTAAATCGCATACTAATCTCGAGTAATCGTATCATGTGTGGACATGGTTAATGTACCTGAGGTTTCTTATATAATAAGGGTGGGAGGAAAGCAGGGATTTCCGTCACAATTATAAATTTTCCACCTATATATCATAGTTTTTACATAGATATTAAATAACTAAAAACAATCATTATTGAAATAAAATAAAATAAATCAGATTTTGATATTTTAAAAAAAATTAAAGAAATCCTGTGTCTGGTTTGAGAGTGTTATAATTAGATTAGATGTCAAGAAATGGTGGAACAAGAAAAGAGATAAATGATTGAGTTATTCTAGGGATTAAGTGGCTCGATATTGAACTAGTTTATTTTGGAATGGAATGGTTTTAATGATATATAATAAATAGATAGATACATAATTGTCTGTCGGGATGTTTGGATCGTTGGTATTAGTATTAGATTATTAGACTTTAAGTTTCATGAATTGTTGCCCGATGAAGGCATTGTTCTTATAGGTATGAAGAGGGTTGTCTTATTATTGGTGCTACAATTCCTGATTATATAGATCCACAATCATCGTACTTTTCATATTGAGCCTAACACCGATGCTAATACCGTATATCTAGATCCGTAAGCTGATATCACAAGTTAGTTATCCGCGCTGGCAGAAACAGAATAGGTATTAGTTCTACAGAGTCAGAGTATATTAGATAACTCGGCATCTAGTCTTTGATTGTGATAGGTAGGTTCTTTATAGATGAAGTTGTGGCTTTATATCTAATATGATCTATGAATGCTAGAATAGAGGACTGGGAGTTCTCAAATTATATGCTACCATTACGAATTCGGGATGGAATAGTCTACCCCACCACCAATTACAATCACACCCCACAGTCCAAGCCTTTTCATTAAAGAAATATTATTCTTTCTATGCGCACCCCCTTCATCAAATAACCGCAAAGTTTGCAAAGGTCGCTTAGCTCAGCTGGTTAGAGCGTGGTGCTAATATCCTCTCTTCGGAGATAGATGCTGGCACGCCAAGGTCGGCGGTTCGATCCCGCCAGTGATCATTTTTTGCCCTTTTTTGAGCTTTATTTTGATGTGGAAATCGTTGCAGATAAGTTGAGAATTGATGAACTTGTTTGTGATAGATCAAAATTTTGGTGTTTGGGTGCGCAAATGGGGATATGGGGCTGCTGCTTTTAACAAGAGGGAATGGTGGGGTAGGGTAGGGTCTGCGCTTTTTGTTTTTGGGTGGGACGATTGATGGGTGGAATTTATGATGTGGAATTTAAGGTTCAATGTGAGAGAGATATATATATATGTATTTATTTTTGGGATATATGATTTTGATTGGTGTGATGACAATTTTTGTAATTCAGGTACAAAATATTTTGATGCTAATACCAGAGGGCTCTTCGGCGTAAAAGTGGCAAGATATATATTTATCCAACACCCCACAAAAATTTGCAGAATGGAGCATCAATATCACTATCTAATTCCAATGTTACATGTTGAGAACTATTCAATTCTGAATCTGATAGCATGATATTCTGTTGAATACCCTCATCATCTATCTAGAGATATAGCGATTATGTTCTTGCATCTATTATAAACACTAATATGTTAATACTTCTATCTACTTTCATATCTGTCAAAAATATCATATCCAGCTTTCGACGTCTAGCGTGTGCTTCCTTTTTGCTTTTGTCTTCTTACCGTGATCACTCCTCCATATGATGTACATTTTTGCTTGCAAATCTGATGACTACCACTGAAGATACGATCAGAAAAATATTGTATTACAAGCCTTTTTAACTTAGCTACAGGAATATGTAGCTTTTGAATTCAGCTTCTGAACTTTGAGGCTTAGCTATATGACTTTCCGCTCGGATAAACCGGTTCTCCTCTTCATATATTGAGCTAGTCTCGATTAAATGTCTGAATGGACGGGTTGCATCTATCATCAGTACGAAATTTTATTTGCATGCAGAGCTGCATATTAAGATATGTCAGGTGCAAGTCACTGGCTATTACGTATGGTGTGCTTCTGGTGAACGACAAACAAGTGCAGTGCTAATCTTGGGCAGATCTTCGAAGGGTAGATTTTCGAATGGTAGAAAAGGAGTTCGATGGACAAGCATTCATGATGGTCGGCTAGCGAAGGATAGAGGAAATGCGGGTGAAAAGGTCTTGGCTGATTTATTTCTCCATTTCGTGAAAGGCACCATCGTATCGATTGGCGCTGCAACCTCAAATCGAGCACTTCATGCAGTTACCGGATTAGGCATCCCCGCTGTATCACAGTATAATTACAGTCCTACAATCATATTGAAGCAAGTTACACGACAGCATTTACCAATATATTTCCCCAAATCAAGTTGGGATTTCCACTGTCCTGGCAGCCATCGTATAAATTATATATGTGGTGCTCTCTTAGTGCTACGTGCTGGGTTGTGCTGTCTGTCAACCTTCCATCGATGTGTTTAGTGCGCGTGCGGGGTAATGTGACGTGATTCTTTAAAAAATGCGGGCAGCATTCTTCGTGTTACACAAATGATATTCCTTCAGGTTCGTGGTTGCAGAACTACCCGGACTTTCCGAATTGCGGACCAAAAACAATAACGACATTTCGGTGACCTGCAGATTATCAATGTTCTTTTAAGTTTATTGACTTCTTGTAGGTAGAACCAGCAAATATATGGCATTTGACGAAAGGATCAAAATCCTTGAATACAATGCCAGCCTGCGACCCAATCTGGTCCCTGAGACTAATTTGATCGAGAGTTCGATTCTGGTATACTCTGTGCAAGACTTTAACATTGTTCTATATGTTCAGGGTAATCCTTTTGAATGCAAGTGCGAGAGAATCTTTGTAGTCAAAGCTAGGGTTGTGTTACATAATTGATTTTCAGCTCCATGCTATTCGCTGATTAGGGAATATCTTAACGTACAGGACAATGCGCATGAGAGTTCATGTATAGCAATCTGATACGATGATCGCCAAGTTGAAGAATTTAATTACACCCTACCAATCCAAAGCAATTGGCTATATTTCCAGCTGGGCGTCTTTTGCAATATTTTGATATATTGCGTAATTACATCAGTCTCCCGCTGTAGTATAACCCCGTTACCACGAAATATGGCTTTGAAGTGCTCTCACGCAGAACAGGCCGTTTTGTTGGAGCTGGGTCGAATGCTGTGAGATATCTTCATGAGGATGTGATCATGCACAAGAGCATGAAGGTGTTTTTATAACGTACTTGGCTATGTGAGGGCACCTATCGAGCATGATGGTGCCTTATTCGACCACACCAACATACAGAAAAATGATGCAATTGCTAAACCAATACAGTTTGCATCTTCCCGATGGCAACATCAAGCACAGCCAGCCACCGAGGCGCACAAAGTGAAAGACCCCGCACTATCATTACTTCTAGAGGGTATGTCGACGAATATTTAAGGCGACCATCTCAGGACCGAGAACTGATTTCCTTTTCTCAAAGCTACTCATCTTTATCTTTCACAGCAATAACTTCTACTAAAATCAAATCCTTCTATCAACTTCCACAAGTCATCACTCAATATGGGCTTTAAGGGCGTTGGTACCTACGAGATCGTGCCATACCAGGCTCCATCCCTCAACCTTAATGCCTGGGAGGGCAAACTCGAGCCAGGAGCAGTGGTTAGGACATAGTGAGTCTGCTTGAAACCCGTATTGACACATTACAAATGACAATCACTGATGCCGCCGTGAATTTAAAAGTACTCGTGGTGATAAACCAAGCGATAATGCTAAGTGGCAGGTAGCACTCGTTGCTGGGTCTGGGGACAGCGCCGAGTACCTGATCATCAATGTTCACAGTGGCTATTTCCTCACGGCTACCAGTTAGTATTTCCATACTTGTTAGTGTTCGATTCACATGCTTATTCGGATCTTTAGAGGAAAACCACATTGTCTCCACCCCGCAAATCTCCCCAACTGATCCCTCTGCCCGCTGGACCATCAAGCCGGCCACTACACACCAATACGAGGTCTTCACGTAAGTGTTCTTTATTCTCTCCATGAGCAACTCAACGAACAAAGATTGCTGATATTTGAATTTAGTATCAACAACAAGGTGTCCGAGCTCGGTCAGCTTACCGTGAAGGACTATTCTACCCACAGTGGAGCTGATGTCCTCTCCGCCAGTGCGAAAACTGCCGATAACCAGAAGTGGTACTTTGACGCCAAGTAGATGGTTGCGAATGCCGATCATTTGGTCAGAGATAGCCGGATTTCACATTGCCAAAGTTCATCACTCATTTGGTAGCTGTATACAGATTTAGGTAGCAAATGAAACGGGAACAGTCTTTCCTTATAAGATATGCATACCAGTGTGCTTTTTTTGTTTCAACAGAAAAAATTACATTATAGTTCATGATATATTCCTTCTGTCTTATGACATTAGGTGGTAAATATCCCACGTTTCGAACACAAATATGTTCTTAATCATAATGAAACTTCCTTATACTGTAGATACTTCTTGAATCTTGACGCGTAGCAAAACTGTCATTTGAAATTAGCCGACTAGATCTAACCTTCTAGAGTAAGGAATCTACTGATAGACGAGTGCAACTTAGTGTGAAATCGTAATAGAAATAAAGGAATTAATATTCAGTGAAATGCTCTTCCCTTGAAAAGCAGACAGCTGAGAAGTACCCATCTCGCCACGGTTCTTATAACACGTACTGTAATACACAGATTCCTAAGCTCAAAGATTTCGTGTTGTGAGGAAAGAAGACGACGGCGCAACACAGTCTAAGCAAGCCATCCGCAGAAGTAGAAGACCTTTTCAGTAGCGAAAGTACTTGAAACTACTCTGTGATACGCACGAGGCGCTACATTTCCTCCTTAAAAAGAGCAATTTGGAGGTTGAAGATATACATATTTCCACCATGGTTGTAGTAACAAGCGAATCAGAGCATGTCCGAGCTTCCCCGAACCCTAACCCATCTGTACTTCAGATGGAGAACCCCTGCTTAGCTTAGTCAAAGTCATCCCCAATGAATCCAGTACGTATACGTACTCGAACAGAAGTCCATCTTGATCTGGAACACACAAGAGAACCAGACACTGGGTCTTTGAGGTTCATTTAATGTTGTGGAGTAGTCAATCTCACTAGTATCACTGGATACTTGATTTCCACATTTAGAAATGGAGAATGGGGCGGGCTTCCATGTCTTATAAATCGAAGGTCCCAAGATATCTGATTACTGATAGCATCTTGATTTCTTATATGTAAACTTTAAAGACGCGAGTGGTCCCTCAGGACAGGCTCTCCCCAATAATACACCATGTAGGTTTGGTTAAAGAGCATGCGCAGTTAGATTCGAAAAGCACTGTCTCGATGACTTCTCCAAAGAAGACTTTTTGATGAGGTTCAAGGTGTGCTTGGCCGCTGTCCGCGCCATATCACATGATTTACATCGCATTCAGCGGATCACGGGACTTAGACATTAGCCACATTGATAGATGTCCTAGTCTTTTCCTAGCGATAATGCAAACATCTCGCGAATTTCTGTAATATTCGAACTGAGCACCATTCGAACAATTCACGTTTTCAACCAAAGGCCACGTGCCGGTATTTTGTCTAATGTTGTTCATTCCCCAACTTTACGGAATATACGGAGTACGCCATGAGTAAGGTGGGTTGGTGTTATGCCAGCTTCTGCTGTCGAACATAACCTTTCGCCACATCCATATATCCACCGCATTCTTCCATTTGTATGTAGTATGTACCCGCCGTGTCGTCTTTCCAGCTGCTAAAAAGGCACTGGTTCGAAACTGGTGACAACGAATTGGGTTGGTCCTTAAAAGGCCTCCCCGCTATTCAGGAGAAATTTTGCTTTGTGGGCCGAGCGGGCTGGGTTCCTGAAGGCGGTCAATTGAGCTTTTAGGTTATCTCTCTGCAAATCCACTCATACCGGTCGGTCAAAGCAGACACGCTACTCTAATTTAAGAAGGTGCTCGTATTCTCTTCGTGGTTGTTCAATCGTTGTTGGGCCTAGGTATCCCTAGGATGAGACATCACAGGGCATGGAGCACATGGAAATATCGCAATAGCCAGCACTGCTCGATGCATCGCTTGAAGACCACATATGAGCGGTATATGTACGAGCTTATGATTGCCTTTTCTTGTTTTCAATGGCATCGGATGAGGGCTTTTTGCATCACCGATGTTTGTTTCCGTACTGTTATTCTTTCTTTACCTCGGCACTCTCCGAGGTAAAAAATTCTAACTTGACCCAATTTTGTGTGGCTGAATGTGGAATCTAACACGGACTTTCCCTGACTTCCGATCCTTTACAGCATTGACATGTACAAAATATGGCGCGAATGGGAAGGAATAACCACTGATGTGGATCAATCAAAGTTATTCCCAGATTGCTGGAATCATCCAAACGATGAAAGCCTTGGCAAATGCAAACATCCGTCGGTCTTTCCGTCTTCCCATCTTTCTGCACAAGCCCGAAAGCTTGTGTCAACGACAGTACGTACAGTGAGCACGAATCGCGGATTGAGTCACAAGTCTCTCATTCGCATTTGCAATCTACAAGTGGTATGTTGTTATTGCAACCACCTTCCGCTTTGATCATGGTTCTCCATTTTTGATATGTGGACAGTTCCGTTCATATCGAACTGTATCGGGATTGAAACAATGTGGAGGATAGACGGTTTTATCAAGTAATAGATATGACAATGTGGATTGTTCATTTGTATTTGATCCAGTGAGGATGCTTCTTTTTCAATGTCCAATTGGTGGGGCCTCTATTCGTCTCCACCCTTCACCAAACCGGTTAATACAGGTGGGCGATTTATAATGATATAATGCTGCAACTGGAAATCAGGAACGCGGTTGGGGCGGATATCCATCTTCCAGGCATCTGAGGAATCCACCAGATAAGAAGCACAATTATTCATATATATCTTTGGATTCCACATTGTCCCTTCTCCGAAACTTCAATTTCGTATCCTACAGATTTCAACCATGGCCAACAATTTAGGGAATCTTGCACTCGATGGCGGTGACCCTCGCATTGAAGGAGTCGGTGAGGTGGAAATAGCCACGACCGTTCGTCGCAAGATGCACGATCCCAATGTTCCGTTCGAGGAATATTTGTATTTTGCAAAGATTCAACGGGAACAAGAGATGAACGGACTTGGCCCAGATGAACGTGAGAGGATGTACCAGGAATACCTTGCCGGAACAGACAACGTTGCAAAAAGGGAGATTGGGGATGAGAAAAAGGCTCTTCCAGAAACGGGGGATGAGAAGATCGATCCTCAGGCAATCCATGAGTCAAAACCTAGCTCTATTTCCAAAGGTCAAAACGATCCATATGTCGGAGCTGGTGAATGGGAGAGCGCATCTCGAGCAGCTAGAAATGCTACATGGGGAGCTGTGTAAGTTGAGTTCTTGAATAAAGCTATATTTTATCTGACAATTGAACAGCGTATATCTCATCACCACCGATATTTTAGGGCCTTCAAATGCACCATACTCTGTTTCACAATTCGGATATGTTGGAGGTGTGATGATGTACTTCTTCATGGGAATCATGGCTTTCTTCGCTGGATGGCAAATCTGGTCCATGTTCTTGAAGCTCGACAGTGATAGATGGCCCATGAGGACCTTTGGAGACTTGGGATTCAGAATGTAAGAAGCGTCATCGATGAACAATTATACTAGCGCGCAACTAACTTTTACAGTTTCGGAACTTACGCTCGCCACGCTATCAATCTCCTGCAAAGTATCCAACTTTTGTTCAATGTCGGTGTCATTGTCATCTCCAATGGCCAAGGTTTATCCGAAATGTCTAAATACAAGCTCTGCTTTTCCATCTGTATCCTTGTCTGGGTACTCGCTGGTATGATCTTTGGTCAAATTCGCTCTCTGCAGAAGTTTGGGTACATGGCCAATTTCGCCATTTGGTTGAACATTCTCGTTATTTTGATGACCATGGGTGTTGCCGCACATAGTCCTCCCAACTATGCCGCAGCGCTTCAATCTTTCGGTACTCCGAAAGGCCCTATCAAGCACACTATTTGGATTCCTTCTGGCGCGACTTTCGACTCCCAATTAAGTTCAGCTATGCAAATCGTCTATGCTTACGGTGGCGCAATGTTGTACTGCGAATTCATGGCCGAAATGAAACGACCACTCGACTTTATTAAGGCTCAATTCCTAGCTGAAATATTCATCTTTGTCTGCTATCTCATTTTCGGTTGCGTTGTTTACTCCCAACAAGGTCAATTCACCTACAACCCCGCCAATCAAGGATTATCTCCCTACTCTTGGCAAACCGTCACCAACGCGCTCTCCCTCATCTCCGGTCTCATCGCCGCAGTTCTATATGGTAACATTGGTATCAAAGTCATCTACCAAAACATCATTGAAGATCTCTTCGGTGGCCCAGAACTCAACAGCAAACAAGGAAGGGTCGTCTGGGTCATCATGGTACCACTGTACTGGGCCTTTGCCTTCGTCGTCGGATCTGCCGTCCCTCAATTCACCAACATCTCTTCGCTGGTCGCAGCTGTCTGCATCATGCAATTTACTTATACCTTCCCCACCCTCTTGTATTTTGGTATGATAATCAAAGAAGACGCCATCCACCCCGATGAAACATACGATCCTGTCACCGGAGAAGTACACCGAATCGACAGCTGGAAAGACATGAGTCGATGGAGGAGAGGACTCGCGCCAAGATGGTGGTTGAAAATTTTCTGCTTCTTGTTCTTTTTGGCAAGTGCTGCTACGGCTATTTTGGGCATGTACTCGAGTATCAAGAGTATCATTGCCGGGTTCGCGTTGGGACACGCGACCAGTTTCGGTTGTACAAGTCCGGTCGGCTATGCTTAGATGATTATAGCGGAAGGTTGGGGATTAAAACGTTGGGGGGATCAAAATGTCGGCGGAATATGGGATGATGATGATAATGTTGGGTTAATGATGGGGAATGAATATGAAGATATGATTATTGTATAGTAGATAAATGTTATGTGGGAACGAAATGTATATACCAGATTATGAATCATGAATTAGTACATAATGCTATATGAGGAGTGTAGAAGGTGCCGTGAGAAAGTGATAGGTGAAATGATACCAGTGCCAACGGATGTACCCCTCTTTGATTCTATATCAGGAAACGAGACTCCGACGTAATACCATGAGAGCTGAATCATGCTCTGCTGGATAGTTTATTAATCGCATTTAAGAGAGCACATTTCCTCCTGGTTCAAAATCAATCACTCACAACTCTTTTCATTTTGTTTTTTTAACTTTCGGTTTTTTTCATGAATAATTGTTATGCTTTTGAGGTCCTACGCTGTTATGATGCCATATCCTTAAGCTGCCAATGTTGTTTATGCTTGAAATGCTGTTATGTTGTTAATGCTGCTAACGCCGTTATGCCCCTCATGCCCATCATACCTATTATGTAGGCCAATCTTCCGTAGCGAAAAGATATATAGAGAAATTTCATTCACGATTTGGAATATTCACAAGCCCTCCTTTTCTTCTGGGAAATCACTATTGTCCCCGACAGTGTCCTTTGCTTTCAAATCACATTCAACCATTGCCCGAATCAGCTCAATTGTAATTTCGACGCCTTTTCGTATGGATTCATCATCTGAAGCAAGCGGTACGTGCAGAAACATTGCTTTGTTAGGTCGATGTTGCTTGTAGCGATGTGCGAGTGAGGTATAGTATATAAAATCGCAGAGATAATTACCAGCATCTTCGGATATGCGTATATCGACTTCCTATATGGCTGTATTTAGTAATGAGGTGACAGAACTAGAGTTCAACATAGCAGTAATGTCGGAAATGAATAGGAGGGTCAATACGAACAGGGCAAGCCTCCTTCCATTGATGAAACATCCTATCGAATGGCAAACTCGTCAAAAGTTCTTCGGGACAGTCATGCCATATCCATTTGTCCCCCTCCTTAATTCTGTCGAATTCATCATTCAATATTTTCCCATCCACATCTCGCATAAAATATCCAGTTCGATGACCACGCCTCTCACAACTATAAAAGGGTCGACCAGATGCCATCCCAACATGTAATATATAATCAGGCTCAAATCCATTCGGATTTTCATCGAGAAGTACAGGCACAAGTTCCCGCACAGCCTTGTATCCTACATGAACCGGTGCTTCATAATTATCAATTCGAATGCGACGCGGTTCCTTTTGCAAGGGTGGTTTCGCATGTGGATGGTGCCCCTCAACTTGAGCATTCGAAGGGACATATGATGGGAGACGAGATACGATCTCCCATGAGGGATTTATTGGATATTGCGAACGAAAAGGCTGTATTTTATGTCAAGGTCAGCATTCAGAAACTCCTATGCAATGAGTAGCTTAGTAGCGATATATCGTTCGAGCAATTCCACGAATGAGGGGTAAAATGGGGTTCAATAAATGTCAAAACAACCCACAGCAAAACCAGTAACTAAAACTCGAATTTCTTCCTGCTCGGGAGATGTATTCTCATTCTCCTTGATTGATCCCATGGTTGATAGGAGGAATGATATAGATTATAATGGTCGGTAAGTAATGTTATTCAATGCTATCATCCTATCTTAGATGTGACTAGGTGATGTAGGAGTGGCCGATGAGAATGCGGAAGCTATGACCCACGTCATCTTAGCGTAACCGTAAGGTTAATCCGAGGAATAAGCACTACAACCCCGGATTCGTAAAACCTCGGTTGATTGTATGACTTCCCCAAAACACTTATTCACACCTAAATGCTTCATTCTGAGAGTATCGAGTGGCTAGTAGTTTTCGAGTACAATCTGAATACCGAAGTATTCAATCGCCGACGAACTGACCATGAGTGTCCAAACTGCTCCTTGGACCAATAGTTGTTTACCTAGGTAGAACTACGAGCTTATTAGCTTCTCGTTGACTCTGTATGTCTAGATTTGAGTGTCCAAACGATGGAGTGGTCTATTCTACGGTTACAAACCGAAAGCTCGACCAGTGTCGGAGCTTACCATGTTGTGTTAAAAATCAATTGTTTTACTTGAGTACTCGAGAAAGTGTTGGTTATATTAACAACAGTTGGCTAGAGGGCGCAGGCGGCGTGGTTCTCTTGAGAAACAGTTCTGATATACTATACGAGGAACTACAAACCCCATTCAATATACGAATCTGGCGAATTACAGACTCTACAATTTTATTTTGGAGGATACTCAAGCCTGATCCAACAGTTGTTTGAAAGAACAACAGTGTTGTCAATAAACGATTGCGCTCGAAGAGGCGGGAATCAATCAGATGCAGTCGATATTCTTCGGAATAAGCTCTATTGAAGCAGGGACTACCTATATTATTTCATGTACCTGAAGGTAATAATAGCAAACAAACACTCCAAGTCTTTGTCTTTGATCTCTCTAGGGCTAGGGGCACATCGCTCAGCCTCTATATGAGGTCAAGGTGGTTAGTTTTATTTGTCTCATTTGAAAGTTGTCAGCCATTTCATTATGTGGCAGGGTTGCTAACATTTTACTGTGCCCCTCGCCTAGCCACTTTGTCTTGAAATAGATTTCTTCTATTTCATGATACCAGAACAACTTTGTGGTGATATCATTCGTTACCAACCGCCAGTTCCTTAGTCACACAAACAAGCATTACACAGCAAACACAGAACACGATTACGAGTTCCAGATCGTGCTTCTATATTCGTATATGAAGTTTCAACTGGCAGATACGGGAGAATACTTCCAACAAAAATGTAGGCTGAGTCGGATCTACTGAAAAGTGAAGGTATTACTGTGTGGCGATGCCTTTGATCGAGGCATATATATACTTTGACTTCTGTACCTCAACTGCCATTATCATCACCATCAAACCATCAAAATCAAGCATTCTCGCAATAATTACTCATCTCTAAGCATCAAAGTCTAATAAATACTTCCTCTTTCTTCCATTCTATCAAATCACCCGAATATATTCGCTTTACACATAATAACCAGAACACCTCAGCTTCACAATGCTCTCCAAAACTTCCACATTTGCCCTCGTCGCCGCCATCGGCCTTACATCCGCTGCGCCCACACCAGCCGGTGGCTCCTCCGCTCCCATGTCCTGCGCAGCTTTGTGGCCAGGAGTTCTCGAGGACATCTGGGAAGGAAAGCCGCAACATATCGCTTATAACACACTATCCCAGGAAGCTTCCGACCCCAGCCAAGGTCATTTCGGCATGGGCGCAACATGGAATGGAACTGCATGGACCTCGCGAGAATACACCTATGCATCTTTTGACATCCCAGCTGATGCGAAAAATTGCGCACTTTGGTCATCATTCCCTGCGAGCAAAAACGACTACGAGGCCATTCAAGGGCCATTGAACCCGCAGGTTCAAACATTCAGTCCCTCCACAACCCTCGATTCCAGCGACCTTACATTCTGGGATGTCTTCCCTGTCGGTAGCGCACCCAACGTCGAAGAATTTGCATCAACTACCTTAATAGCTGGACAAAAAACTTACATCGGGCCCTTTGACTGCTCTTCAGCCTCTAAGGCTGAGTTCATCGTGGGCATCGCCAACATGACCGGCCCAAATGAGAACGAGGCATCAGTTTACCAGTTTCGCGTCAACAATACCGCTCCTCGACACTATGGATTGGTCGTAACATATGGCACCCAGATCTGTCTCCCAAACTTCTAAGCAGCACATGGCATAGGCCTTGTGATTGGTCGTGGTGCCTGATCTAGATTGTGTTTTTCTTTTTAAGTTTTGATTTTGAGCATGGTGGATTTGACAACGATTTCACATTCCTATTTTTTAAGCGCATATGCATAGTACTGGTTGAATTTAGTCATTCCTTTTTGTACTTTGGTTCTGAGCGTAGTAGTGATAGCATTGGCGGGATATGGGGCAGTCACATTCGTTACGATCATAAGGGGCGGATGATTGCATGGTTATGGCATAATTATGGATAAATCGTAGATATGAACTCCTTCATACTGTTAATATCTAAATAATAGTAGATTTGTATTAAGATCAGTTAGTTATTTTTGCAATATATTCTGCCACATGTGGAAAGTAACCTCAAATTTGCAGGCTAGTCTTATGCCAAAGGATTTTTTCATTAAGTGGTTAGTATGTGTTATAATATTCATTACATTCACTGTTTGGCTTCGCATCTTAGCAATGTCTCAAAATTCCATTACAAAATACCAACTCAATTGGAAATCAGAGATGAAAAATTCATACCCAAGCCACAGGATAGTAGCCATGAGGTGAATATTAAATTCACCTTTTATAACTAATGTGTTAAAAACACGTGACAGCCGTACTAGGAAGCTGTGTAGGATCTACGCTAGGCTTACCATCACTTCATATATATATTCTATGATACAACTCTCTCCATAGCTAGATATCTGCACAATAATAAGATTGTTACACTTCTAAAAAAAAAAAAAAAAGAACTCGTGTTGTTAGTTGACCTCCCTTCTCCTCATATCTAACCGAAATTTCAAGTCACCTTCCAAAAGTTCTTGTTAGCCACGACACCAAGAACGATATCTGTGAACAATTGGCCTGTAACTACAGATTTGGTTTCTTGTTTTTATGAGAGCCCTTTTACGAGGAATCCGAGATCTGGTTATTACGGCTTTTTGTACGGTTATCAAAAGGGTTTCGAGATAGATTTGCATCGGTCACAAAAGTTGATCGAACTGCCTGAAACGTTAAGATCGATAACTTATTCCCTCTCAAATATCCTAGACAATCATGGCGGAGCGTCTAAGGTGAGCACCTTTCTCAACACTGATGGAAATCGATAGTAGCTAATGATAACTGCAGTGATCTTGGTGATCTCGGCGATGAATTTGTTCACATCTTTGTTGGAGCTGAGAAGAAAAAGTTGTCGGTCCGCAAGAAACTTATTTGCAAATCCGGAGAATTCTTCAGAGCCGCGTTTCAAGAAAATGATTTCAAGGAAGGAGTGGAGAATAAGATGGATCACTAGAGGATAAGCCATACATCTTTCAAGCCTTCGTCAATTGGATGTATTCCAAACAAGTTGGAATTTTGCGAAAGCGAATCCCGGACCTCAATACAGAAGATAATCACGATGTCCAAACCATTGAGCTGTACATCTTTGCCGACAAGTACCAGGGCGAGAAGCTTATGAACGTCGCCATGGATTCCCTTCAGGATTCATTCAAGAATGGTGTCGAGTTTGTGTTGCTCAAGGAGGTTGAATTAATCTTCGAATATACAAAGGGCAGACCTAATAACCCTCCACGGCGCTTTGCTGTAGCCGTAATGGCTCATGCTATACATTCTGGGGTGATCTCTACCGACCCCGTCTTCGTGGAAGGACGGGTTGATGATATGCTACTTGAGACTATGGAGCGTGTTCGCTATGTTAAAAATATGTTTGGGGTCCATAACCCTAATCCTAGAACCCGTGTTCGACGCCATGGTTGGAACGGTATCTTTGAATACGGTATTTGTGAATATCATCAACACAACTCGGATAAAAATTGTGACACGTTGCCTAATTATCCTAATGGAGAAAATTAAACTCCATTTGATAACCATGAATGAGCATCATCGACTTTACCGCGATTTTGGTTTGACGCAACAACTTTGAACGATCTCGGATGTGGAAACTTGCAACGCGAAACATTGGTGGCACTAGCAAGGGGGAGGGGATGGATTTGACGTTACTGAAGTTCTTGTAGGCCAATGGTAGTCGGAGGTACGTGGGCCATACCGTACACAAAAACGCAGTGCTATCTAGAGACGGGGTATTGTACTTTGATTGGTTTCATAGAGAGCAATAAGGTAGATGAGCAATATGATAGTATCCACCAAATGCATATCCCATTTCTTCATGGGTCAATCGATATTTAATCTTTTCCAGTGACCCTTGACTAGCATGACTTCATTTGCCAAGGATGGCACAAAGGTTAGCACAGGTAGTCTTTGCCTCTGTGTTGGACATGCTTTAGAGGAGGAATCGTAAAATATGGTGTAGGTATTTGAGAGATTAGGGCAATTTATTGTGGCAGCCAAGCTAAATACCAGCAGCTTAATTTCAAAGAGAATTGATCTTAATGTGGCTCTCAAAGCCAAAAAGTATTATACTGACATGTCAAGAGGTCGCTGATTATTAGTTGGCAATTGACGCCTCTATCGAATGATTTTGTTTCAGAAATAGCCCCCCTAAAAAATGAATTCCTTCTATATTCAACAATAGCACAGCGTAAAGAAACTCTTTAATCGACCCATATATTGTGTTAATACGAAAATAGATCAAACTCCCAATATAGCTTGCTATTAGCTTCTAAACAGGTTGTAGAACATACCCAAAATAACTCCATCCAACAAATCCGAATTCACGGCTGCCGAACAGAACATCGAAGAACGAAGATCTGAAGAAACGACAGCTTTGAAAATTGTGAAGCATAAAAATCAGCTCGTATACAAACCACAATTCTCTCCCAAGAATAATCAAAAAACAAGATTCTCACTGTGCTATAACAATAAACGAGCCGCATTGAAGATTTCCCTTGGCTCGCTCCACTCCATAATAGGAGCTCCCCGAATATCTCGCTTACGCAGAGGGCTGAGCGGAGCGAGCGAAGTCCATATTATTTTCAACTGGTGAACCAACAGTCTCCAGATCTATACTCAGCCTAGCAAACACAAGTCACATATTACCTACCAAGCCTACTATCGTAACACAAACATTGTAACACAAGATAACTATTACCTGCTTACCCTTCCCCAAGAATAGCTCACATCAGCCTCAACACCAACACTTCACAACGTCCGGATCTCCTATCCTGCAGCAATCCCACCGCCAAGTTTCTACCCCGCCACCAAATACGTTTTTAGTAACACTATCCGCACATACATCATCATATGCATCACAAAAAAATGCCACAGCAACAACATGCGGATATTTTTCTCATGTGTTTGCTAGACATGTTATGTAAAATGAGCATCATATAATCATATGATGTTTTCAGCTTGGTGAAGAATTCGTGTTGTATAGCCTTGTATATCAGCACTTGGAAAGCCTCTTCGTATTTGCCTGGGCCGTGGTGAGATTGTCGAATGATATATTGTGGTGGACTATTGCGCCTCTTTTGGGGGAGTTTGCTATATAATGATGCTTTTGAATGAGGTGGGGATGTTGTTTTTTTCCTCATTATCCTCAAGCAGATTTCGATAACTTCACGAAAAAATAACAGCTCTTTAAGTTTCTATTTGAAAATCTTCTCATAAGTCAAAATGCTTTCCAAGACTATTATTTCTCTCCTCATTGGGGCAGTAAGCTTTGTGCAAGCTTCTCCTGTACCAGATACCTTGAACGAGAAACGCACTTGCGGAACCCAGCTTTTCCCAAATCAACTCGTACAACTCTCCCAAGCAAATTCCAATACCGCGTATCCAAACACATGGAATACGGACAAATCCGTCAAGATCAGTCAAGATATTGATGGGAATGGTAAGATATTCCTTAATAATACCACCGCTCCACACTAACTCAGCACCCAGGCAATCCTACCAACCAGTTCTGGGAACTAATTTCGTTTCCCGCGCTCCCAGCCGGATCCTACGGTTGTTCACTCACCCTCACTTTCCCTTCCGATTACCCACCAACCATTACTGGTGTATCCCCAGCCCTCAATGTCTACACTGCTTCTACACCTCTTCCCGATACTCCAACATTCAACAATATCAGTCCTAAAATCAATACTGGGATTTTTGGTACTGTTACTCCTGCTGGTGGACACAGTGTTGTGATTAATTCTGGGAATTGTAATGGAGGTAGTGGACAGGGATTAGCTTTTGTATTTAGATATGCGGATTGGGTTCGTGGACAGGGAAGTGTGAGTTGGACTGAGTATGTTAATGCTTTGAATGGAGCGGGTGCTAGGGGTGTTTATTTGAATTATAATTGTTAGATGAGCGAACGAAAGACGGGGAGACAGGGAGACGGAAAGAATTGTGCGTCTGGAGTATTATTGTCAGTTGTGGGAAGAGAAACTAAAGGAAAGGCTAGTAGAAAAATATTGGAGTTGGATGGATAGGGGGTTTAGTGTTTTCACATTTTCGAAGTGTGTAGAATTAGTTGATGGATATTGAACTTCTGGTAGTGCTTTTCATTGCTCTATGTTTCTGCCATTTTAATGAAAATCTTGCTTAAGCCTATGAGCGAATTCGTATTGTTGCGTGAAGGCGTACCACGATTTTGTAGACACTTTCGGACTTTTTTAAGAGTCACTTCCGAGAATCAGCGGACACTAAATAACGAATGAGCAAAAGAATGCCAAGAAAAGTAGCTGGAGGAGGAGTTACCAATGATTCGGCAACGAATGCAAGCTGATAATGACTAAAGAACATAAGGTTCCGAATCACAGACCAAGTATAAATCTTCATCGTCGCTGTGGTTGTGAAATCTGCAATTGTTGTCTTCTGTCCTGTATCTAGGGTCAGAGAACACTCGTTTGCGATAATAATTGCAGTCAGAATCGTGAAGAAGGTATGGATCAATAGCATCTGGGACTTTCAAAAGAATATCGGCAACGACTGAGGACTGCTGATTGTTTTGGTGGTGAAGCAGAGCAACACAGAAAGCCTTCAAATGATTCTCTTCTATGTCATCTTTAGTCGCCGCAAAAACGTATCTCAGATCTTCCACTCCCATATATTGATTCAAATCATAGTGATAATCCCGAATGAAATTCATAGTAAAGTTCTGAAGCTTCTGGCACGTAATTTTGCCGCCAAAAATCCATAGCTCTAAAGCGACTTTCAACTTTGGTTCTTTTAGGAACTGTCGTGTATAAAGCCACTGAACGAAGGTCCCAAACATTTCAGGTGATTCATTTATTTCGAGTGCACCGTTTCTAAGAGTCCCGCAAAAGTTCATATCTTTATGCAAAAGATATTCATGGACGTGGTAGGAATCGGTGCCGACATTGATCTTGATTTTCTTTCTGGTCACTGTTAATTTGAATTGCATGGATTGAATGTAGAAAATATTCGAATTCGAGACCATGTACTTACTCAAGACGCTGACTGAAATCCATACTTTTGTTATCCAGGTTGTAAAAGCAAAGGACGATATGTTGTAGAAGTTTACACCCACGAAGAGTAGAATGCGACCAGGGCTAGTTCACGTAGAGTGAAGCGTGAGTCTATATTTATATTCCCACACTCCATACAGGATTTCTGGACGGACAGAGGACAGTAGAGAACAATCAAGTTCCGACGAGACTCTGTGCATAATCCCGTGTCTAAGGATGGTCCATTCAATATTCGAAAAAAGAAATGTTCAGTACATGGAATTGTCTGGTTTTTTCCACAGATCTCACGCCTAACTTGCTCTGTGTGAAGACATATCTGTTAAATACTCATCACATAGGCACGAAGCTGCCTACCTAGTACTGATGCAGCAAAACGTGAAGCTACTAGCACATAGGGCGAACGACGTGTAGACAAAGGCATCATTCTCGAATTTTCTCAATTCGGCATTTTTTTACACACCGGCAACACTGATACGTCTTGTCCTGAAACCCACCGGAAAGACGCCAAACGAGAAGATATCCTCCCAACAAAATGCCTCCCACGCCGTTCATGACCGCCACACCCAAGCCGCAACGCCTAAGGCAGCTGGTACCACTATCCTCAACAGGTCGGCTAGTCATACATTCCTCTTCAAGTCATGTATAACAATATCTCCCTCATCTCCGGAATCCTGGGATTTTCCAGTCCCAACCTTCGGAGGATATTCAACCCCGTCTTTCTCAAACTTCGGTATGCAGGTACATTGCTGATCGGCTGGAATCGAAGAGAAGACGGATGGTAAATGTTGACCGCAGCCAAACCAGGTTTCCTTCTCTGCCAGACCAGAAATGTTAGTATGGTGTTTTAGATGAGAGGGGCAAGAACGTACGGCAGGTGGGACAGTTTGCTTGTCTACACATTGTGGAAGAATGATGGGATTTTTCAGTATGCGACCTCGTATCAAGAGTATTCCTCTGCTTTTTGTGAATTAGGAATTCTCTAAACTTCGCAGAGAATCTTTTTATAGAGGTCGTTGGACTGTTTATAAATTTGCTTGGACTCCATTTTGTGGGGTATTGAGCCTTAGGGTCGGCGAGGTCTTGATTACAGGGGTATTTAGCGTCTGTTTAAACTGATTAGGGTCTCCGGAAAGCTTGATAAATCGCCGACCATGCTTCAAATCTTATTTTGACATCAAATTCCCCATTAGCTGTTCCAACATATATTTCTTCATGCGATGCGAAAAGACTCCAACATGACCAGAAGAAGAAGTCTTTTCTTGTAGCCAAGATATTTGATGAAAATATGTTAATGTTTCTTGAAAGTTTTTTTTTTTGCCTAATTCAAAAGAGAACTCAATGGAGTCGCACTCGGATCTCGTCATTAACGTGGGTTGTACCAGAGTGGTGCAGCTGAGAAAGCCCTCATACCTGCTGTCGGAAGATAACTTCAAAGTGAAGATGCAAGTTATACAAAATGCGGTCTTTGAAAGATTCTCATAGGGATTCGTGTGGATGATTCCGCTCTATCCGACTTGCAAGTGCCGGTCATCATGCAAGCTGCATCGTTAGATAAGGCTACATCCCCTCCTTTTTGCCAGAATGGCGTTACTTCTATTCCTATATGTTGTTCCGACTCCCGAGTAAGAACTAAAGTTATCTTAGTCAACCATCAAGGGAATTCTTCTCCAGCTAGTCATCTTACTCGTTGTCGTTGTCTAACGAAATTGCTAGTCAGCAGTGTTCATGTTACGTAATTTATCGATCTTTCCGATACAACAACATGGCTAGTTACAATGGAGATATGCCGTTACATTCGGGTATGCAAGATTACCGTTGCAGACATATTTATAATCGTCATATTTCTTGATCACAAAAGCAATGCCGAAGCAATGTATATAAAGCCTAGATATCCACTTTAGCTCTTCTCTCATCATAATTTGCAGCATCATCAGCAGAAATGGCCATTCAAGAACAAATTATGGACAGTGCGACGAAAATCGACCAAGTCTCGGCTTCTGCTGAGTTATACCCTCCTGTTGAAGCACTCAATCGTGCCAACAGGCTCCTTCCACATGTTCTCGAGGAAGAGGCAAGCAAGGACCCTCAAAGAGTTATCGCAATAATGGCAAAATCGTCTGATATATCTATGGGATTTGAGGAACTCACCATTGGGCAGTTCTTGCATGCTGTCAATTTTACAGCTCATTGGATTGACTCTGACAAAATCGATTCTCCTCCGGCTGAGACATACGCTTTCGTTGGACCACAAGACTTTCGATATCCGATCATTGAACTTGCTGCCATGAAGACAGGAAACCCTCTTCTTTTGCCTAGAGCTGGGAATGCATTAGCAAATACAGTTTCATTACTCAATGCGACCAAAAGCACAAAATTCTTTTACGCATCGGAATACTCAGATCTTGCTGCACGGATTGTCGCTGTGCTTCCACATGTGAAAACCTACGAGGTACCGAGCTTGCGGGAGATGACTGTCGAAAATACCGAACCTTATCCGTATAACAAGAGCTGGGATACAAATAAGGACGAAATAGCCGTGATTATTCATACATCAGGTTCCACAGGTGCACCGAAACCTAAGAATTGCACCCATGCATTTCTCAGTAGTCTCATGAACAGCTCGAATTTACTCCCCGGAGTTCCTGGACGAATAACTGCATCGCTCGATTTGATAGCCAAAGGCAAGCTACTCTTGACCGCGTGCAGTTTTTCTCATGGCTCCGGACTCATCTCGGCATTCACGACCATCATTCAGGGTTCGACAATTGTTTTCGGCCCACCAAATGTACCCTCTAGTGGAAAGATACTTCACGATATTATGAAAGTCCTCCCCATTCATGGACTTGTAAATGTCCCAAGTATTACAGAGCAGCTGTTCTTGGATCATGGTGAAGATCTCAAGGACGAAATTGCTGCCCTGAAACATGTTTCCTGGCTTGGAGGTAAGGATAATTCTACCATTTACACTTGATCACGTTATTGACTGAAAAATAAGGTCCACTATCCCAGAAGACGGGTGATTTCATTGTTAGCCATACGAATGCGATTTTGTGGCAAGGCTTTGGATCAACTGAATCTGGCTTATTGCCACTCCTCGTACCACCAAAATCACATTGGCAATATATCGAATTTCATCCAAAATTCTTACCAGAGTTAGAACCAATATCACCCGGCTCCCTGCTGTGCGAATTAGTCTTAAATAAATATCAGGATCCGGCTCTTTCCTGGAGTCAACCTGTTTTTCACATGGCTCCAGACCAGACAACCTGGAGAACCAGGGACATTCTACGTCGCTATGACGGTCCTCTTCCCGATGGAGTCGGTCCACTTTGGAAGTTCGAGAATAGAATCGATGATCTCATCATTCTCTCCAATGCCGCCAAAGTCAATCCTGTGCATATTGAGACATTGTTACAATCGCATCCATTGCTAAACGGTTGTATTGTGTTTGGAGAAAGTCAAACCCGTTGTGGAATCTTGTTGGAACCAAAAGAGGGCTCGAATTTGTCAGAGGAAGAATTGGTAGCATTGGTATGGCCTGACGTAGAGGAGGCTAATGGTACCGTACCAGGACATGCTCGTATTGAACGAGATTTGGTCCTCGTGGTGAAAAATGATAAGAGGTTTGAGAGAGCTGCTAAAGGAACTTTCATCAGATCTCTTTGCTTAAAGATGTATAAGTCTGAGATTGATGATTTATACGCAAAGTTCAAGGCAAGAAAAGCCCAATTCGGTTGAATGGTTTCCCTCGTTTATTGTTAGTTACAGTCAAGATTTTGATTCAAATTTAGAGACTTGTTATTTCTGTCGTTATAATGTTAAATTCATATTTGTTATCTTTACATATATAGAGCGTTTCTCACAAGTTCATCGCACCTTCATTATTCAAGAATCTATATTTAAAATGAAAACCTGTATCATTATTATTGGTCTACCTATCTAAAAGCAAAAGGAGAAAAAGCAGTAAAAACAGTAAACCAAAAAAAGAAAGGATATCATTCTCAAAGCAACATCATCTATCTCCCCGATTTTCAATTCCTCCCTACTCTCCTTACCATCCCAATCTTTCCTCGCTCAACAAAGACTCCTCCAAGCACGACGCATAACTCCACCCTCAACATCCCGAACATTCTCAGATCGCCGTCTCAAAAATCCACTTCGTCGCAAATCACGGCAAGCAGGACATAATTGAAGGGGCTGATTAATAGAAAGCCAGTAAAATGAACAACGAGTCGCGTCAAGTATATTTCCAGTCTTTTGCGCAGGATATTGTGCACAGCTTTCCACGGTTGAGGTGTTGTGGCCGCAGAGTGCGTGGTAGGTGTATTGTTCGTGGCACATTTTGTCGGTTTTTTTGGTGGTGGTGCTGGTTTTAGTTTGAGGTGTTTTGGGGTGTTATGGAATGATGGGTATAGGGTGCTGGGATGGAATGTTGGTAAGAGTGAAGATTTTTGTTGGGTGGGAGATGGTGAGGTTCATATTCGTGGTAGAAGGGATTTTTCTGTGTCTGTTTTGATATTGTTCTTGGATGGTATGGATGGCGGGTTTGAACAGAGTTTATTACCTTTTTTTGTTATTCGGATGTTGTTAGAGTATGTTCAAGAACAATGTGGAAACAATATATGCATCCATATCGAACAATTTTCAATTTCGCATGCCCAGACTTTTTGCTTCTCTTCCAACGTCAAATTAAGCTCAAGATGCGAATCAGTGAGAAATATGCTTGTGTTTGTTTGGTTTTTTAACACTATATAATTACATAATTCATAGATATTTAAGAATTGAATAGGAGATCATTGTATGGAATATTCTGACTTGTAGTAGGAATCTTCACAGTTGAAGATTTGAAGTTGTTTTCAATAGGGATTACGATATTCTTTAACGAAACCTATGACTTCGGTTCTGAAATTACTCGACAACAAAGAGTCGGGAAACAATAGCTATTGAGCTTAACATCACATCTCATTCAATTTATCACACATCATATTTTACATTTCCATTCACATTCACGTTCACATTCACACTCAAAATATCAAAATTATTTACAGAAAAAATCTTTTTTATTGTTTTAGTTTATAGAGCCTATTCTTCTAAGGTGACATAAGTCTTAACAAAGATGATCTAGCATCTCTATACATACGAACCTACCTAGCTATCTAACTCAACTCTACTCCAAAAACTCTCCTACACCTTCTTCTAACATGGAAAAGAATTCCTTACAAACAAGGCAAGTCATCCCTCCCTTTCTATGACTGTATTCTTCGAAAGAATCACATATCCGCAAACCCCATTGATTTTCCTCTTGTAATTGGTCATCGCAGATATATATCCGGGTGATCAAGTGGTCGCAGAGGCCAAATGTAATCGTGCGGAGCAAACACACGGTTTCTGTGTTTGTGGGTTTGGGTTGGTGAGAAATATATGTATTAGTTTGGTTTTGGTGTTGGGGGGTGGTGTTTGAGGCGATCTGTTGACAGTTAGAACTGTTGCTAATGTAGCTATTGGTAGTTTATAATAGTTCCATTTGGATGTTTATATTTTGCTTTGGGTGTGTTGTTTTGTGTTTGTTCTTGAATAATTCGGGAATTGTGTTCTAGACGCTTTGTTTAATCATTTTGGTTCTAGGGCTACTAATATTTATATTTGTCAAAGAATAGAGGAATACCAATCGACAGTGATATCACGAACATTCATGAGCTCATCTATACAGATTATGAATACTATTCTGGGATTTCATAGGAAGTGTATAGTTGAATTCTTTCAGGAGCCGAGCCAAAATTTTCCCGTCCAAAATGATTATTGGGGAAAAACGGGCAGAATTTTCAATAAATTTTATCTCTCCAAGTTTTTTGACTGGCTGGCTATACCAATGGTGCGTAGCATCCTGAAAATATATGTATTAAATCCCAGAATCTGGAATCGATGGCGAGAGTGGGAATACGAGTACTGGTTTCTCTGGGTTCTCTAGTTCTATGAGCCTGGAGAGATATGTATCAGAGTGCTCTTTGCATTCGGTCAGGTGTTAACTTCACGAACTCAAGTTATTTAAGAACCTCTTACTTTAGCATCACATTTACTGCCTCATGTGATGCACTCTACAAAGCGAGGAAAAGAACTCTCATTGCCCATCTAATTCTAATCACGATTCCAATTCTCATGTCTGCAACCAACTAATTACAAAATGAACATCAAAAACAATCATGCTCTTTGCTCCAACGCAAAATCCCAAAACTTGACTTCTAAACTTTCCCCATTAGTAGCTTCCTCAGTAGCAGGCCTACAAGCCAATGCTCCTGCCGCGATATCCCAACCTTCCTCACCAGCAAAAAACCAGGCAATCTCCCTAAGTGGTATAATTTCATCACCTCGTACCCAATAAACCCACAATGACTTCCCATTCTCATCCACTTCTCTCCTTACTTCAATCGTGACCTCCACATCTTTACTTGGGTCAAAACCTGTCGGTAAGATACTCCAATCTGCAAAGTTGTCGCATCCAACAGTGCTTACATAAGGTTTACCTTGGTAAAACTCAATACCTGTCTTTACCCAACGATCTTTGGAACCGGCTTTGGTGAGATGGAGGAGAAGACAACCTTGGTCATAACGATATTTGCAACGGAATGAAAAGGTAATTTTGGAGGAGGAGAATGATGTGAGAGGGATTTTGGGTGTCATATTGGTTGGTGCGTTGAAAACATCGGTGGTGGGAGGTTTGCGCCAGATATCGGTGGATGGAGGGGCCGTTAAGGTAAAGGGTTCTTTGGTGGGAGGCATTTTGTTTTTTGTATAGGTTTTTGAGACGGAGGTGTAGATATAGAGACGGATGTAGGTATGATTTGAATGATTTTAAATAGAAAAACAGCTTTTTGAATGTTTATTTCCAATTACTTTCAAGCAAAATATCTCTTATTTATATACGATAGACGAGGAAGGATCCAAAACACGTGATCGGATACCCCGCTTGTGCAAGCTCGGGCAGCATATCCGATAGTGAACTAACCTCAGTTCGCATATGAACTTGGCGTAACCTTTATATAGACATCACTAACCAATCCTTCAATTTTAGTCATCGCCAATCAATTCTCTACTCGGTACTTCAACCTTATTATGATATCCATTGGTGTAAGAGCATAGGAGTCTAGAATTTGACGTAAATCGGTTAATATCGGCGAAAGGACGGCTCATTGCGTCTGGTGGTCGGACGGGGTCTTTCCTTGCTCTTCGATGACGAGTGATGTTGTTCATTACTCAATCACCTTACATTTTGAATGACCTGGAGAATCAGCTAGGTTTTGGTCATGTGCGATAGGTGCCTTATCGAAAATTTAGGGTAATTGTAACGCTAGTGGTGACCCATAACCTAGTGAGGGGCCCTTCGATTATGATTAAGGGTCATGTTGGATCAGCAAGTATTTTTTCTCTTTTACTCAATTTTTAACTTAGATGTTGTTTCAGCAAATCTCTCATCACGTGCACATTCTGGTTGGAAAGGTTTTATTTTGGGGTAAATATTAATATATTAGGTTATTAAACTAAAGAATCTTGACTAATCTAGTCCAGCTAATCATAACCATATCTCGGACGTCGACAGAACTAACGAACCCTGTCTCTTTTCTCTCTCCATATGTGAGTACACTTTTCCATCCTGTCTTCTCAAAACTAATTCATCACATAACTACACATTTTCTTTGCTTACCAATCTTCCCTCTATCAGCCATCCCACCCCTGGTATTCCTTCTTCTCCTTCTCTCTCTATTATTCCTCTTTTCTTCCTTCACAAACACATTCGCTTGTTCTAATATTTTAAGAGTAAGAATAGTACTTTGTCTTATTTCCGCTGCCTCACTTCGTCTTCTTGCATTTGCTTCTTGAAGAAAATCTTTATCGATGTGGACTCCTTGTTTGGTCAAGCAACGACCACACATTCTGTCCAAATTCTTCTGTTCTTCCTTGCGGTAGGGACAAGTAGGGGCATAAGCGTTAGGTGCGCAAGGATGATTAACGTAGGAGACGTGTGGGCATGTATGGGTGTGACAGAGAGAGATGCACATTTTTGGTGGATCTACTTGATTGAGTTTTGTTAGTGGGTGATATGATGTTAAAGTTCAGTGTGGATGTTTCACTTAGTATGTAATAAGGTGTTGGTCCAGATAGATGTGGAAGAAACTATCTTGAAAGAGGAATTTTGTCATATAGGTGTGTTTCATGAAATTGTTCTTGTATTGTTCACAGTTCCTACCATTGAGGTTTTCCGCCCTTCCTCGAGATTCGATACTGCTTTTATGTCTGTTCCTGAAAGTATAATCGTATCAATTCCATATTTAATCATGGAACAATCTAGAAATACGGTGCTAAAGACTTTTATATCTATATGCTTCTGTCCTTAGCTGGCTGGATTCAGAGGTTTATTAGAATAGGGCATCTTATCCAGGAATTTCCGAGGGTTTTCCCTTATTAACCAAAGCTATGCCTTGGATTTAATACGTTTACCTACCTAATTTGAGTAGTAAAATGGAGTCATTTCAAGTATGCTGCTACGGTCTAAAACTCAAGTGAGTTGTATTTGACTGTAGCTGTTTAGTATGAAAAAGAAAAATCCATTGTTGAAGCACCGGACAAAAGAAAATCAAAACGTTTTGATTTCGCGCCGCTCAAACAAAGGCATTGAAACCATTTCCCTTCAAGAATACCAGATCAACAAAGAAAGATGAACAAAGACTACTATTTCAAAAATACATACCCGCATGAACAATCCCTCCACAACAGTGTAGAAATCTTTCTAGCCCTTCCCAGAAACTATTTCATCACCAAAATCAAACTTTCAAACTCAAACTCCAATCATGGACTCAGACTCTGAATATTACGACCTCTTTCTACGATTTGCTAGATCAAAAAAACAAGTAATCCGAAAACCATTATCCAAATTCAAAAACATGGAAAATGGAGATTCGATACAGATTTCTTTACTTTCTGCTCCTACCTTATATGAACATAAATCAACTTCACAGAATCATTGGGATGTTATTTCAGAATGGAGTAGATTATCAGAGGGTAGAGATGGAACTCGGGATTCTCAACAGGAAAATATCGGAGAAGTTGAAAACGATCATGACCACCTTATCTCGAAAGGGGGGAAATATTTACAAGTACAAGATGATGTTCGAGAAACAGGACGAAAAACAGAACTAAAATTCCCACAATTCAGAAGAGGTATACGCAATATAATGTTTCAAAGGAGGAAAATTGTCACTTGTATTATTATTTTCAGCCTGGTGCTCCTCTCTCTTATTCCAAGTTCCGCCGTCGATCTCCTAGAATACGGTCAATATCTTTTCGAGGACTTGCTTATACTTTTAATTTTCTTAATCGATGGATTGTGAGCTATGGTTTTAAAAGTGAGTGGGGATACATATAGAGGAGTTTGAGAACAGCAGGGCATTTTGAGAAACTAAATTGATATTGATTATTATTAGTTCTTTATTGGTTTATTAATAAAGTACTTTATACACTCGAAACTAAACATATTTTGTGACGACTTTAATTGATTTCTGAATATCTCTAGTCTTATAATCTTAATCTAAATATTCCCCAAAAAATACCGACGGTGGTGTAAATAAATGTATTCATTTATCCGAGCAAATGAATTAGGAAGCTGTTTTAATAGAAAACATTGTCTTATTTTATAATCCAAATCATTTGGATATATTTCCGATTTCTTTCATAAGATAGGGGGAGAATCTACAATTATGCTGATATCTCTTTCGAGGCTTCCTAAGGTCATTCATTCCATTTATACAATTCCCAATACCAATTCTCAATAGTCAAAATGAGATTTCCAATAAACTTAAATGTATTCTACTATGAGTAGATATTCTCAAACCTATTCAACAAATTCTTGAGCCTAGACAAACAGACCTCAAGCTTACCAGAAGAATTATTGATCAGAAAAAGATAGATACATCAAAAACTCCCGATAATACTCTTTAATATATCCAAATCTGAAGTTATATTATTCCACACCATTCATCTTCTATACAAAAACCAAACTAGAAATGCTCTTATTACCTGATATTATATTCTAATAGAAAATAATAATTAATCTTATATAATTAATCTTATATAATTTAAATCCTAAACTATAGTTATAATTTCTTAATAAATATATATATATATATATAAATTTAATCAACTCTCTCAAAATCTATCTCTTTATACTTAAAAAATCACAATAATTCAGAAATAGAAAAAAAAAACAAATCAATAACAAATCCTGAACAATATAAATCCTCCAGAACTAAACAATGTATAATAGACCTCTTTTCCCTCCCCTTTCTATTACACATCTGCAATCCCCATTCCCATAGTACTCATCTAACACAATCCAGTCCATCCAAGAACATCCAATCATGAACTCTTCAGAGAACACTCCAGAGGACACTTCAGAAAACACTCCAGAAAACACCCCCTCCACCCCACTCCTTCAACACCCACTCCCACTCCCACCTCCACCACCCTACACCCCTACACCCCCTTACCCACCCTCTCAGACCTCACCCTCCAAATCAACTCCCTACACCAGCAACTCTAAATCCTCCAAATCCTCCAAACGCACATCCTGGTGATTTTGTTGTATTGGGGATTTGTTGAGGAGAGGGGGGGATTAGAGGGGGTGGGTGAGTTTGATCGATTTGGGGAGTTTTGAGGTTTGGAGGGTTTGGGATTGGGGGTTTTGGGGGTTGGGGGTTGTTGAAGTGAGATGAGATGAGATGAGATGAGATGAGATGGATAGAGTGGTGTGGTGTGGAATTGATTGATTGATTGATCGTGGTAAGTATTCATCTAGATAGGTAAGTAGATAGTGTATTTCTTTTCTTTTATTTTCTTTAATTATTTTGAGATGAGATGAGATGAGAAGATAATTTATTTATGATGCGGATGCTTGCTTGCTTGTTTACTTGCTCACTTGCTAGCTGGAAGAGTCTCAGCTAGATTCTAAAAATTACAAGTACGAGAATTTCTTTGATAATTTGATAAATCAAATTCTCAAAACATGAATGAATACCTAAAAATAATAAACAATAGACATGTATTTTTATTCCCAAAATAGTATTTTCCTTTTCCCTTTTGATTAGTGTTTTTAGCTGTATATTCAGCTGTGATATCATGTATTTAACTGCAGGCCGTATTGAAGTAAGATTGCAATAATGAATACATATCTTATATACCTTTATGTATCGATATCCATATCGACTTTTGAAACTATCACAGTACTTACTTATATAAATACCAATACGATCATAGGTAACTTACCAGTACCTGAATCACATCAAGCCAGACATCACAAACACATCATACGTATCACTACACATCGCTACACCCGAAAAAAACAAAATAAAAAATCATTGAATGGTATTAACTTATTTTGCCATAATATCCTTTCCCATATCTACATAAACCCCTAAACTTGCCCCATTTCCCATCCCTTATACACAGTATCAATTCCCGAATATCATATCCATATCCAGTATGTACCATCCATCACAATAAGTAAAGTTGTAAAATCAGAAAAGGATGACGCAAAAGAAAATATCATCCCATCGTTGTAAAAACAAATGTCATATCGCCCAAATCCATTTTCGTAGAATCATTACAATCATTTCCCAACGTGCCATTCATTTCCAACCTGAAAAGTAGAGCAATTCATAAAATAAAGAAACAATGTCGATTAAAAAGAAGAAGCTATATGGCCTCAGCGAATAATATAATTGCCCATGATAAAGGCGTGGTTGTACGAGTGATGAAAGCTCGACTTCTGGTAATGTGTTAAATTAAATAAACTCCAATTGCGCAACAGCGTATAATTCATGGATATCGTGTTATCAATGCGCAAATATGCAAGACAAAGAAATAAGTGTCCAGGTTGGCGTTGAATCAATTATGAATGATCTGTTGTACAGCAGTTCATAAGCCATCCTGATTTCGATACCCATTTTCCCTTTCTCTAATTTCCGCAAGCCTAGAATCGAGTCGAGAAAGTCTTGATTGAAGTGAAGGTCTTTCACCAAAATCAGAAGAATCAATAGAGCGACGTGTTTGATGCATAGTCGCTACTCCAGAGTTTCTAACAGGTTCCTTTTGATCATGAAAAAGTCTTCGGGGAAATGTATTGCTTGGTTTCTCCATAAAAGGTGACCGTAAACGTGGGACATCAAATGTGGCTGATGGAAGTAGCTTTGGTTGAGGTACTGGTGAAGGGCTGATATCAGGAACAAGACCTGTCTTTTCGGGTTCTGATGGAAGAGGTTGAAACAATCCTGGCATACGATTTCTAAGTAAGTCATCGCCAATAGTGAATGCTCTAGTTCGGACTCGTCGTTGTTGATTTCCTGATAGAGGTATACCATATATCTGTTCATTCATGCTATTGGGTTTCAAGACAGCACCACCAGAATTGAGGTTCTCGAAATGATTTTGAACCCTTCTCTTATGTTCCTTGTTATTGAAAGATCGAGGACGATCAAATTGAAGTGGTGATCGAAGTCGAGGTACAGGCACTGGACCTGATATCGTATCAGAATGGACTTGGAGAGTGGAAGGGCGAGGTTCATCAAATGCTCCATCCATAGTTGAACTAGGTCCATAAGTTCGAGCCATAAATGGTGATCCGAGTGTGCGACTGGTTGAATCATCCAAGCTCAAATTTGTAGAACGGGATCTAGTCCATCCCCTAGGTTGATAAACAGATTTGCGTGGTCTAGAAATGGTAGATTCTTTCGTAGTTGCAAGTTGAGCTAGAGGTCCATTTGGTTGCATAGTTTCAGATGTGCTCGTCGTTAACGATAATGAGATATCTGTGGTATTGAAAGAAGTAGGGGCAGATGTTTGTGGCTCAGGAGTTCGGAATCGTGAACGAGCATTATGTTGTGTGAAAGGTGTAGGACTCCGAGATTGAAAATGCATATGTCGTTGTACGGCGCTAGTATCCTTAGTCTTGCAAAGTTCACGAAGGTGTGCTCTAGTAGCCGAACTTGTGTGAGGCCATTGTGTATATGTTCGTGGTTGATCTTCAGTTGGAGTTGCCATGCCGCCATGCTCACAAGATCCCGCACGTGATGTGTGATTTGAAGTTTTGGCACTGTAAATTCCTCTAGGACCTTTCCAACTCTTCTTTGCTTGTCGAGCAACACGATGGCATACGCCTTCAGGGGGCACAGAGCTAGCACCAATCCGAAATGGTGTGACAACTGGATCTTGGAGGTAAAGTAAATAGACCGACCATAAGTGTGCACTCATGGCTGAAGTCCAAGGGGCATCTTTTCGAGTTTTGCGGCGAAGCTTTGCGTTGAGAACGGTACCATGAGATTGGGTGGCTTCATCACTGAGCTTCTTGCCCTTGGCTTTGGAATATGATGGAAATGAGAATGGATCAGCGCAATCGGATTCAGGACTGGTACAACTACCATCTTCAGAGTACCTAGAGAGATGACTTTCACTGTAAAATGAATCCTCAGAGCTATGAGATGCGGCAGATCTTGGTCGTTCAATATCAAGTTCATTTGATGAGGTTCCCATGGTCCAATCTGGACGGTCAAAATTGGTTTCTTCCATGGTCAAAGAAGGTATTGGAGTTTTAGGAGGTGAGGCGAATCTTGAATTGTATGTATGCGGAGCCAAGAAAGATGTAGTGATTGAAAGTGGGCCTCGGTCTGGCATATCGCAATCTGACGATACGTGGGGATCTATTTGTGGCTCCTCGATTGTAGGGATAGGGATATCTGCAGCTGCAACAGAAGCGAGAAAATGTTCGGTTGGTGCTTGAAAGTTAGACACATTTCGTCGTCTGACCTTTAATCGATTTGGGCGGGGTGGAGACGGTGGACCCTCGGAACCAACAGGGTTGAATGGCTCCGGGGTAGTTGGTTGGTCTCCTTCACTGTGATGAAAGCGGAAACCCCGAGGAAGGGTAGTTGACCCATTTTCATGTTGATCTGACATCGTGTTTGAGTGAAAGGGACGCGTCTGAAGCTCGAGGAGAGGTGTAAATCGAAGAAATTGAAATTTATGACCTTGAATATCGATCTGTACAATGCGGTGGAAGGAAATCTCACTCGGTGCAATGCAATTTTTGAATTACAGAATATTGAGTAGGGTGGAGAGATTTGGAAGTTAAAAAGATTGTGAAAGAGAGTGGGTTGTAAAAAAGAAATCGAAAATCCAGAAATGAACGTTTGGTTGAATGATCCAAGGAAAAGAAAGTCGTTCGATTATTTTGGACGCGCAAAGTGAATAGGTATACTCAGATCAATTTGCAGTTTGAATTGATCCCACAACGTCAACAGACCCAATTAATAAGGTAATTCGGAAAATTCCCTCTGAATATAGACTGGCGTATGGATGCCCTGCATGAACAATTTGAGGTTGATAGTCTTGGAGAGTCGAATCAATAGCTAGGGTGTGATTTGTATGATGGGCCTCAACGAATCAGAAATTGAATCCCCAGTTACAACTCGGTACTCCCAGGTATGGTAAAGGAAAGTAACTATTTTGAGCCAGGCGATTTGATGAGGGTCCCGGCGTATCGTTAGATAAATCCTTTGTGGAGATTGATTGTGGCCGTGCTCTTTTTAATGTTTTATTATTGACTTTTGCGCGCGTATCGTCGCGATTGAACCTTTTCGTATATTCACCCTTCAAATTCTTGTCGCATTCGTACGATTCGATTTTCGTCTTGGAATTATTATTATCAGATGATCGAATGCTCTAGCAGTGGAACGAGGAAAAGGAATTCGAGCGAGAGACAAAGTAGTGAAATAAAAGAATGTGTGGTGGGTTGATGTCGCAGATGGTGAAGGAGGACAAAGGTAGTGGCGTTGTTGTATCTTGTATTTGTGAAATGGCGCACGTCTGCCAAATGGGATATTGTAACCAGTTGTACTCAAAGCGCAAGATACAATTGAGCGAAATTGGACGAATGAAATGATCAAGACAATGAAGTATGTTGATTAGGATATCAGATTCCCCTCTAATGTCGGGTTTGCGATGCGATGCGCTGCGATACAGTATTTGGATGACTATTGATTGCCAAGGGTGGAGGAAAGGCGATGCCTAGAGAAGGGAAGGAGTTGGTTGTGTCTTATTAGAGACTTGTTGATGGATTCCACTACCTAGTAAAGTGGATGGTCGTGGAAGAGAGGTAGAATAATGAGGAAGCTGTTGGAGAGGAAGGGTAGTGTAGGTAGTGTAGTGTGGTGTAGTAAGTATTATTATGCAAGGCAAGTGCGGCGGGAAGGAGCGAAAGGTGGTGTAGGTTCGTAGTGGGAATTGATTTGAATCGAAAGTGAAGCGAGTGAAAGTGGATCTGGAAGAAAAGTGGGCAGCTGGTAAAATTGAGGTCTGGCGCGTCAAGATTGAATTAATTGTGTTGATTGATTGGCTATTATTTAATCTTTTTTGAGTTTAGCTTTCATTCATTAAAATTTGCAGATCGATATAAATTAAATAACAGATGAATTGAGAAGTTTACGCTCGGATGCTATTTCATACAAAAATAGCTAGAAGCACCTGTTTGGAAGGAAGAAAAGTTAAATAGATTTATTAAATATAAAGGGACTATATGAACGGACTGTATGAGACTATGAGTACAACTGCTACCTACCTAGTAGTTGAACAGTTGAACTGTTGAGCCAAGTAGAATTCAGATGAACCGGCAAGATCTAGGGATGGCTTCTATTGTAGTCCTTTCAAATGTTCCTCTAAAATCTCTTGTTTCTGATACTCTATTAGGAAAAGATTCCAATCCAAAGGAATAGTCTGATAAGTTGTAAAGTTGGCACTGGTCCACAATGTTGCAGTAGTCAATTCACTAGAAATGATTAGAATGACTAGAATTGAATAGGTGCACATCCATCTGCAAAGCACATTCGTTGCATTGGTAAGGATTATATGATACATTGTCATCTGTTGTCCGTGAAGAGTGGATATTTGAAGCATGTACTCTGTACAAACTATGTAACTGTACCTAGGTATGTAACTGTATGTAATATGTACAGGCTCCAGAGTTAGTTATATGTGGTGTGGTATGCAGTACGGAGGTAAAGAATTTTGAAAGCTCCAAGTGGAGTTCTGGACCTGCAGCTTTGGAAAAGTAGTGGGACGACGTTGGCCAATGCTTCGAGATAAGTGATGTTTCTCTTTTGTTTTTGGAGCTTCTCCTGTTGCTTCCAAGGTTTATCTTTCTATCAATGTATGATCAGCGTATTGTGGATGTATCTAATAAATTGTGGTGAATCTGTATCATGGTGTATTTGCATCGTGAGTGAATCTGTGTTGCGAGTGCTAACCCCACAATAAAAGCATGAAAATCATAGGATGAGATAAAAGATAGGAAGGATCAAAATGTCAATTAAGGAAAACAGGAAAATCCCTTTAGTCTGAAGCTTGATCAAAGGCAAATGTTAGGAAAAATAAATAAAAAACATTGAGGATGGAAAGAAAATAAATAAACAAATAAATAATCAGAAGAAATTGAATCTTTATATCTATCAATAATAGTAATACTTCGAATTCAAATACAAAACTTAAATCAATCTCAAAATATCCTTCCTACACTCATATTCCCTTTCTTTCCATTTCACTTTTCTCCTCTCTTCTCCTCTCTTCTTTCTTTTCTTTCTTTTCTTTCTTCACTCTTCATTCACTCTTGTTTTCCTTTCTCTCTTTGTTATCAACCCCACCCAAAAGACGCGTCTCTTAGTATCAACACTAACATCTCACGCGTCACTTTGGCGTTTGTGGCCATGTTTCTATCGGATTTTTGGGGAATTTTCAGATGAAATAATTGGATGAAATATTCACTAGTACGTACCATCATGCAATGCAATACTACATCGGTCCATTTTACTACAAATGCCGCTATGCATAAAGTACCTAAGTATTTTATACATTGGCTTCTATTATGACCGCGGACATGGACGTACTTAGTAAACTCATCTTGGTAGTACAGTACTTCTACTTTTGGATAGCAATTACGACCCAACTTCTTTTTTAGACCAAAGGAATTTCCATCTTCTCCCTCCAGCTTTTCATCTTCATCATTTTTTATCTTCAATCTCTCATATTATTATTCTTATTATGATAATGATATTAAGAAAAGGGCTGAAGCTAGCTACACCGCCAGTGCGATATATCAACTTCTAGAATAAATAACCCCGTTTCGGTACTTCTTGGAATGTACGGTGTGTACTCGTATTCATGGTATATGCATGAACGACAAAACAAGCATCTCGAAGAAGAATCAGAACACGGGATGGGTAGAGATTTACAGAGTACAAAAGAGTTCCAGATTTTGACATTATCCCTATCAGTCTTTTTCAATGAAATGGTTCGTCCAAGGTGGATTGGAAGTGGAATGGATGCCATCGTGGAAATGTTGTGTATTGTGATACTTAAGCGGTGATGTTTTGGATGTCCTTTAATCGCGTTCGCATCTGTTGCTCTACGTTGCGCTACTCGGATTCTTTGGTCTATTCGTTTATTTGTTGATATGCCTACAGTCGCGTCTATTCCTCTCAAGCTTTACCCTCGATGTGTCTGACCGAGCTTGCAAACAATTGGAAGGGTTTCTCAGTTTATTATTCACGTGATGTTTTATATCTGACACCTTCAACATATCTATACTTTTTCTCTTTCTTTTGATTTCCCTCGTATCCCTAAAGATGGGTGAGATAAATCAAAGCCACGAGTCTTAATGGCATATGAACAGCTTCATATATTTGAGCCACGTAGCTATAACCATCATCTGAGACATCTGAACTAACATGTAAGGGGTAATATCATAGTAACGTGTTAATGATCACTCTGTCCATTCCACCTGATACTTTTCTCTATTCCATTTTCCTTCAAATTCTGGCGATTGATGAAAATGGTCTTGCCACAGCAAACAACCCAATTATTCAAGTTAGGTTTGATCTTTATTGCTACAATTGTTCTTGGTTGGTATCTTTTCTCAGATCACGATTATCATGAGACAATTCGAGTAGCAGTCTCAGGGAAGAAAGGTGTCTTCATTCAGAAAGTTCTTCGCACAGATATTGATGGACCTTTCGATGATTCACCCCTAACTGAACTCTGTGAAAACATAGAATGGAGAGAAGGATTAGTATTTCAATGTGAAGCACCATATGGAGGAGTTGCAAACATTCGAAATACATTACTGAATTGTATTCGATATGCTATTGAAGCTGGAGGTACTTAAATTAACTCATACCCTCTTGTTCACCAGCTAACTTTTCAGCAACATCAATTGTCATTCCAGAACTTAAACTTTGGATACCTCAGAATGATAGTCCGAATACACCAGATCCAGAGCCGAATACTGAATTAGAAACTAGAAGAGAAAAAGACAATACCGCACATGTCCCATTCTCACATCTTTTCGATCTGGATTTCTTTAAAGAATCTTTAAATGAAGCTTGTCCTCGCATCAAATTCATTCCACACGTCAACGATTTATATACTGTTCCTAGCACACAAAATCCACATCCACTTGACCCAGGTTCAATATCATCAGGAAAGCTAGAAGAACCATTTGAATCTCTTCTCGCAAAACCCGGCACATGGGCCAAAGATTTTACAAAGTGGCTTAATGAGACAAATACCAAATTCTCAGAAAAACAACCTATGCGAGTGACCATCAAAGAATCATTACTACATTGGCCATTAAATCATGATGATTCCGACTTCGTGGCTCAATTCGGTCGAATCATCCGTCCTAATCTCGAAATTCGCACTCTCGCCTCAACAGTCCTATACACCTTATCCCGAAAATACAATCTCCGCTACAACGCCAGCGAAGGAATCCAAGAAAACATGTACTACGGCGCACATCTCCGCACCGGCCTCGACGCCAAAGCAGCAAACTGGACAAGTTTCGAAAAACAATCCCAAAATTACCTCCAAGCATGTAAACACAATAAACTCCGCGTAATATACTTAGTCTGCACCTCCGAAAACGATATTAATCATTTCACATCCCTCGCGCACAAATACACTACATACGATATCCACGTCGCCACAGCCCATACTCTCCTCTCCCTCCACCCTAATGACCTAACCACTTACCTCACTCTCTCCTCCACCCAACGCGCAGTCCTAAACTCGGAAATCCTCCTCAAATCCTCCATCTTTGGTGGTACATACGAATCGTCGTATTCGTGGAATATAGCGCTTCGGAGACATATAGTTTGGGGGAATGGAACGTGGATCCCGCAGGGAAGAGATTTTACGTTTGATAGGGGGGATCTGGTTATGGATTGGAAGGGGGAGGATGCGGGTATGAGGTGGGGTCCTGTAGGGGGTTATGGTGGGGGTGGGTTTCAGAGTTTTAGGGATGGTGCGAGGGGGGTTGAGGGGGTGGGTGGGGGTGGAGGAGATGGGAGATCGGGTGTGGGGGGGTATGGGTTGAGTGTTGTTTTTGGGGATCCATTGAGAGGGCAGGAGTGGGAGAGGGGGTTGTGGCCTTAGTGTTTGTGGGGTGGTTGGCTGGGAGGGGAGGGAAGGGAAGAGAGTTGTGAGGGTTTTTTTCTATGGGTATTTTTGTTGTGTTCTGTTGAGTTTTGATTTGTTCTTTTGATAAAGTAGCTTGAGTTGAGTTTTTACACGAATTTTTTTGTAATGCACGCTTTAAAGAACGGTAACGGAGAAATCATCATAATCTACATAATTAGAGTATCGAGAAGAAGAAAAAAAAAACATATAATTCTAAACATCAGCGATAAAAAATTCTTTAGTATGATTTTTTAGCATGGCATGGGATAAGATCTTATAATGAGATTTAGATTTGGGATTGGTATTCGGATTGGGTGCTTTGAGGAGTGGAAGAGAGGAGAGCAGAGGGGAGGAGAGAGGTTTTGTTGTTTTTGCTCCTTGTGTTATGGTATGGTATGGTATAGTATAGTGGGTATTAGATAGATATTGATTTATTGCTTACATGCTGTCAATTTGTGGTTTGATATACAGTACTAGCCAACTGCTATCAGCCATTTTATAATTCATATCAAAAAACATCAAAATATATAATCAATATTTATAATTTTTAAATCAGTTTATTGTGACCAAAAGGGTGTTTATAGACCAGCAATTATATTTAACTTAGAATCTACAGGTGAAGAGCACCTGTAGATGGGGATAGCTACTCTATATACACACAAATGAATGGCCCAGCCGCAATGGCTAGGCAAAAAGAAGTCATATTTATCCCTCCAATGATTTTACTTTACCGATAACCATTGATACCTAGTACTTGTCCGGATCTGATCCTCAGATCACCTAAATCGTATACTAATCCCGAGTAATCGTATCATGTGTGGGCATGGTTAATGTACCTGAGGTTTCTTATATAATAAGGGTGAGAGGAAAGCAGGGGTTTCCGTCACAATAATTAAAATATAATAATTTTTATTGAAAAAAATTTCAATATATATATCTCTCAATATATAATAAATATAAATATAGATTTCTAATTGAATATATTTATCTTAAAAGTATTAATTTTGATTTTTATAAAAATAGTAAATTGCTTATTTTGGCTGTGAATATTGAAAATGGCTGATAGGAGTTGGCACAGACTGTAGATGGTTGTGAATCCTAGCCTAGGGGTTTTATAGGGTTTGGGATGAATCAATGAAATGAATAGATGGATGAATGGAAAAGAGTGAGATGTTTAATCAAGGTAATATATCTCATATCTTATAAGGTTATCTTATGCAAAAACTCAACCACAAATCCCAGCATTCACCTCTCCTCCTCCCCCTCTCCCCCCCAACCCCAACCCCAACCTTACCCCCACAACCCCATCCCACACCCAATACTCGCCCTCAACTTATCCAAACTCCCCTTAGTCAAACACAACCAATCCACCTTCTCTTTCCCTTTTCCCCTCTCCCCATCCCTTCCTTTCCCCCTCCCATAAAACCCCAAAGTCCCAATCTGCACCCGCCAACTCTCCCTACAATTAACAAAACTATATTTTCCCCTCATACCCTTCGTATCTTTAAATGTAATATCTACTTTTGCGCTTGGGAGTTGTGATGTACGTACGCGGAAGAGGAGATTGCGGTGTGTGAGGTTTTTGGTTTCGTGGAGGGTGCGGGAACCGAGGGTTGTCATCTGTGTTGTTTTGTTAGGTGGTGTGTTGTTAGAGGCGTGGGAAGTGATGGTAGGATGGAGGAGGGAAGAGATATGAATGAAAAAATGCATAAATGAAAAAAAAGGAACAAAACCTACAATAGCAATCTCCACGACCGAAAAAACATTCGCCGAATTCGGCATACTAATAACAATAGCCGGATGATCAAAAGCATTTACATGTAACTTCGGATCCACAAAAGCATTATGAACAATATCTATTTTCGAAGGAAGCCAAACCACTGTTCCGGGAGTAATATCTTGAATATGAATTGGTTGGATATAGTATTCAGGAGGTTGAGTAGGTTTTGGATGGTTCGGAAGGGTAAGATTAGAGGGTTTGTTGGCTAAGGAGAGAGATAGTGATAGTGATCGGGTTATCGGGGAGTTTATACCGGGGGATCTTTCGTGTGATGATGGGAAGGGGTTTCTTTTGGGGGTTGTGGTGGTTTGTTTTGTTGGTGGAGGAGGAGGAGGAGAAGGAGAAGGAGGTGATGATGATGTTAAATCTATGATGATTGGATTTTTGGGTTTGGCTTTGATTTTAGATGGTGCTGGATGTTTGTGAATATGATGTTTATCGCCGGTTCGTATTAAAGTTGATCGAAGTTTGCTCTTTTCCTTGATGGATTTTGGTTTAGCTTTCGATTTTGTTGATGTCTTGAACTTGGACATTTTGACGGAGAGAAGTATGTCCAGATGGTAAGAAGTGTAAACTGCACTCGAACCAAAGATAAACCCCTTTGTACGCAGGTAGGTATCCAATTCCTCAATCTCTCAAACCCAACAATCAAAATATCCAACCCTGAATCCTCTGTATCCAATGCTCCAATGCTCCAATCTCGAAATCTCTGAAAAACCAAAAACTCTTCTCTATCTCTTTTCCACTTCTACCTCTTAAGTTCAAATAAATCCAAACCAAAACTCAAACAAAAATAAAATAAAAATAAAAATAAAAATCCAGATTCAAAAATCTCAACCTCAAAAATGCCCCCTTTCAAATTTCAATCCCTTATCACAAACCCAACAAATCCAAACAACAAAGAATCTCCAATCTCTCCAATCTCCAATCAAAGCTTCACATCCACCAGCTCTTTCACCCCCCCAAAAAAGAACAAGAACAAGAGAACAAAAACAAATAAAAATAGAATACAACTAATCTCCCGAACCCCAAGCCTCCAAATTCGACTTCAAATTCAACTTCGAATTCAAAATCCTTTCTTTGTAATAAGACTTAAAAACCCACTAATAGGCACAATTAATTAGAATTTCCCAATAACAATAAAATACCACTCATCCACTAGAATAACTATTTACACTCGTAATCCAATCTTTCAAAATTCTAATCCATTCCACAAGGTAAAGAAACCGTGGATATAACTAGAAAGATTGCAATTATTGAAAAGTTTATATAGGTGCCCTAGTTATTAGATTTTGGGACAGAAAGACAGACATACAAGGAAAATAAAGATTAGTCAGCCGAATTTTGGATAAATTGCACAACTCAATTCATCTCATCTCATCTCATCTATTATAGCGTATGCATAAAATATGTATAAAATCATAGTCACAACCACAACTCTCAGAGATCTTTCAGCAGATATAAGATTTATTATACGCTTGAGCAATAACAATAACAATAACACAATTTATCCTTATACTATTCACGAAGAACCTCAAAACAATATAAACATACATCCAAGATCATATATACAATTACTTACGAATTAAGACATTACGATACCTCATTCCCTCCCAGTTCCAATCCCCTTATGTACCTAGTATCCGAATCCGAATAATGCAAAAAAATAGTCATCCACACCGTACCTATCTATCTCTATCCAATTTATCATCCAATGCAATACAATGCAAGTAATAAAAATTCCCCAAACCTATTGATATCCCAAAAGTGATATACAAAACCCCCACGAATATTCTTTCGCATTACACAATCCTACTATGTACAACAAACATCCATCTCCAATCCTCCTCTTTTCTCTCACTCCCTCCTCTAGACAATCTTATAAGCCGTCTTAGCAATATAGAAGCAAGCCAATCCAAAAGCTAATAATCCAGCTGTGATACACCAAAACCATGTTAAATCTCCTTCATACTCCTGACCTGGTACCCATACGTTCATACCCCAAAGACCAGTAATGATATTCATGGGTAGGACGATGGTTCCTAGAACCGTAAGTTTACCAAGAACATCAGCGGTTTGTTCCTGACGTTCATTCATACGAATGTTGATTTGAGCAAGATAATTTCCGTGAGAGCGAGCTAAGATTCTATAGATGTGTTAGTAATGCATATTTATTCTCCAAATGGGATGACATACTTTTCATAATGAGATAAATTTCCAGTCATAGTAACAATATGATCCTGAATGTCTCCCAAATATAATCCAATCTCACTTCGTGGTGCAATTTCCCACTGTTCGTTACATCTTTTGGCGAATCCCTTGATAACATCTGCTTTGTTACCTAGTAATCTGTAAAGACCCATAACTTTCTTTCGACAATCACCAACTCTTCGAAGCATATCACCTCCACTTTCTCCTGATGTACCATCACCAGCTTCGGATTTTTTCTCATTATCCTTATTTGATTTCTCATTCTCCGCAGGAGAGTGAAGTTTCAAAATAGCATCATCAATATCATCAACTTCATCTTCGATAGTTTGAATTAAAGGAGCAAAAACATCAGTAATGTCATCAATGATAGCATATGATATCCAATCAGCTGTGAGCCTCAAGTAATCTTTCAATTGTCGAATTCTTCGTCGAACATTTGCTGGATGTGGTGTTTGAGAAAAGTGAAAACTGATAACCCCTTCACGAAAGACTACCACATACATATTGACAGGCTCTAAGAAATTCTCGTTGTTCATATCCTGTTCGAATGATCGATAATTGACAAAGTAGTAATGTCGAAATAATTCCACCTTTTCTCGAGCTTCCTGCATTAAGATATCTTCAGCTGTCAATGGATGGATTCCAAAAGCTTTCGAAATGATCTTCATCTCTGCATCGGTTGGAGATAGAACATCAAGCCACCAGGTAGGACGATCACCATATTTCTTCGGCTTTTCTTCGTTCAGTGGAGTAGACTTTGGTGGAGGTGACTTATTCGGGGATGCTTCGCCAGATCCTTGTCTAGAATTCGATCTTGAAGTGCGTCCCGTACGTCCAGATTCAGTACGCTTTGATTCTTGATTTGCCATATCAATTATTGACGATTGACGAGTCTCCGACCTAGAGTCTCCATGACTTTGACCCAAAGCATGACTTATGTATGCGTTTTCGCGGCGAACTTCCACATCATCGGCCTCATCCTCCGTTTCAGATTCAGAACTATCATCAAGTACAGGACGATCAGGAACAAATAACTCTTTGAAACTTCCACCAGGTTGAACAAGTTCTGAAATTGTCTGACTGTGAATTGTACTTGGGAATTCTTCATTGAAATAGGTGAAACGATATGGTGCATCATCCTCTGCTCGATGCCAACCTTTATGAATTGGTCGAAGTCGTCCACCTATCAATTGAGGTTCTGTAATCTTTTTAGCTCTTCGCTCCTCACTTCTACCTTCTTTTTCAAATTTGCTCCAATCATCAAGGAAAGATAGGTCTGGAAATTTTCGTTTATGACGGCGCGGCCTGTATGCTCCATCTTCTTGTTGAGGGATATCTTCTTCTGCCATCTCAGACATATCAACTGGAAAGCAAACATCTTCCTCGGCTTGCATTGCTATAGTATGTCTACGCTCTCCATATGAAGATCCCTTTCGTGGGGAACCGGGAACTGAACCGTCCTGACATGCCTCCTCTGGGAGGGATCTGAAAGATCTCATCGACCCTGCATCTATAGAATCTCTCTCTGGTGAGTGATCGCGAACCATGACATCTCCAAAGCTCATATCCTGATTTGTAGCCCCGAGCACTGGAGACCCTGGAACCGAGGGTGGATAATTAACATTATATTCATCATTCTGCCTAGCCAATCCAGAAGTAGTCTTTTCGAAAATTGTTCTTCTTTTGCTATGACCTGATGACCTGCTCGAGCTTCGACGACTACGTTTTCCTTGTTGAAGGTGAGTGTTAGAACTTTTAGATTTCGAAGAGCTAGATATAAGTGGGGTCCTCTCGTCGGTTTCTTCTATCAAAGCTTCATCATCGGTATTGTTCTTCGATTTCCCGGTGGCAGGCCTTCTGGTGACAGTTTCCGATGATTTGAATGGATTACTATACGAAGGTCGATTGAAAGAAGGGCTATCATACATTTGACCGAAAGCATTTTGTCCCATGGTCGAAGATCTTCGGGGTCGCATACTTTGATGTTCTCTGTCGCAAAAGTATATTAGCGGATGTAATACAATTTATGCCATTAAAAGACTAACCTATGATCCAAAAGTTCCTCACTCTCAATACTAGTCGCACTTAAATTTCTTCCTCTATAGAAACTTGACCTCACAGCACTTTGGGGAACAACTCGTTGTGCCATGGGTGTTTCAGGCATACCATTCCCATCCTCGGTTGATGCAGCAAAAGATTGTCTTCTTGGTCTCTTTTTCTTTCCCCCTCTATGATTATTTCTTTTCTTTTTGTTATTCCTCTCTTTCCCGATGTTTGGCATTGAAGTCGTATTGGAATCATTGACATTATCTTGTGGTGGCTGTATAGCAGTGGGTTCCGGTCTTTGAGGTGTTGTGTCCCGAGTATTTGAGCTCACAGGCTCTGTCGCACGAGGTAATACTGGTGCAGACATTGCGAAGGAGACGTGTATCGCTGTCGAAGGTTACCAATGTTTTGACCGGCTGATACTGAATATGAGGTAGGGTTAAGGTAAGGAGCTGCAGACCTGGCCAATTGTAGAAAGGTCCAATAATTCTTCAACCTGCACAAGCTGCAAGGAGATAGATAATGGTAGTAAGATCCTTTTTCGCGATGCAATTCATTTGTGTTAGGTAGAACGAGGCGAAGTGCAGGATCTGATGGACAAGAAGGAGAGGATGAGAATGTCGTGCGTGTGAAGGAAAAAGTTGGTTTGGTTTAGTTCAAGTATGGGCGCGCTATCTATTCTACCTAGGTGCAGTGCCCTGACTTATAGCGATTAGCCACTCATGACGCTTGGAATTCCGAACCTTGGAACACTTGGTAGAAGCTTAACCATACTTGGCTTTGCTCACTCCCAATGAAGATAAGGGGATTGGACTGTAAAAGATAGGGAAAAGGAAAGAAAAGAATATAAACAATTCTCTTCGATTGCGACAACAATAGAAATGACAATAATCATTCAGACTTTTCTCATCATGAGACGAGGATTAAGCTACGATATCATTTGTTCCCCGCATCGAGACTTTAACCGTTTTTGTGTTACATGGTGGCGTTTGGAGTACACTCTGTATATATGTATGTATGTATATATATATGTATATATGTATGTTCTTCTTAATAAAGAAAAACAGGTATGACTTCACTTATGTATTAGTAATACTTCAAGGTTCTAGGTAATTGTATGTGTAATATTTATTAATGTCGTGTGCCCAGCTACCTACTTGCTTTGTTGAAGAAAATTCAGTGGAAGCTTTCTAGGAACAAGTATTCATCGCGCATCTTGATTGGATCTACAATGCATAAGGATCAACGCTGCATATTGGAGATATTATCTAATAAACTTATCTCAAACTCTTCAAGAAGCGAAGTTATCGAAAGATCCAGTCTTTACAATTGATTTGGCAGTAATAATGCTACCAACACCTATTGCTAAGAACGATGGTGTTGTTCCTGTCCGAATTCCATCAAGCTCTTCCAAATCATTCTCTCAAGCTTCCAATTGCAAACTCCACCTCTAATCCCAGGTACTATCCTAGTTAAACAGGAAAACAACTCTTTTACACCAACATTCTGCCACTTCTCAATTCCCTCGGACCATTGATCCAACACATTCCTCATAATCTTCACCAATCTATCCACATTATTGATTTTTCCCCACCAATATACACCCACTCGTTCTGCCTTCCTCTCTCTTTTCTGTCGCAATGTCTGTTTGTCTAGATGATTTTCCAGCAGTTCTACTAGCAATGCTAAGTCCGCATCCGATGTAAATTGTGGTCGTGGCTTCGATCGAACCAGGACCCCGTCTTATGCCATAGTTGACTAAGAGGTTGGAGGTCAGTCATTCCCCTCAAAGGAAGTCTTTTGGAAGTAATAAGGAACCGAAACCACATGAGCTGAAAAAGTTAAAATATCACAAAAGATCAAAGATAAACTTGGCTGTTGTACTCTAAATGACTAGAGTTCAGAAGGAGGAACAGAAGCCTTTGAAGAAGTAAAGTCATGCCCAGATACCAAGAATGGCCCGATTAAGTCAATCTTCAGAATCGAGACACCAAACTTCCCTGTCTCAAGCTAGTATTTTTTTCGTACCCCAGAGGTTAGCTTCAATTCAAACTGGTGATCATACAGCATTTTTTGCAATGAATTCTTATTCTCCCAACATTACGAAAGGGGTTGCGGGCTCCAAGTGGAGAAGTTTGTTGTCTAAAACAACATTAAGTCTACTTCATGGAAGATAAATCATTGCTTCGACGAAATCAATTCTCTGAAACATGCGTATCTTTGGTAATTCGACGTTAATGGATGCTCACATTAAAAGATTCAGAAGTCTTCCTTAAGCGCCAATGTGCTGACAAGTGCAGATGGCTGAGCCCGGAATTCAGCTATCGTAAATGCAATCATTTGCGTAAAACTGATATATCCTCCAATCTCATTGTTCGAATGTCAATGAGCCAAGGCTGAGCACGCGAAACCTTTGCCCAACCCTGTAAGGGGCTAATTCAGGAGGATTTATTTCAAATGTTTCATCTTGATGAGAGACCTCAAAGTAGACCACTTTACAACGAAACAGGAGTGAATATGAGATCATCAATCCAATCAACAATTGGAAAACCATACAAGGAAATGTTTTCGCAGACATATCCTTGAAACATGTAATGACGTGGTTAATATTCACTGCATTCGAATCGCAAAGTACTTGGAAGAAGTAGTTACAGAATATGCATGATTGCGGCCCTGTATTCTACCTAAATTCTAGCTACACCGAGTATGGAACCTGTCAACCTTGGAAGGAATTTCTTAAATGATGCCCTGCGCAATTGGAGAAATCGAGTCTTCCTTTCTCATTTTCTTATGCTACTTCTCTACCTACTTATTTCTCTTTGATCACCCATAATAGACGTCAAAACCAGCCATTATACCGAAAATAACACGAAAACCACCTTCCCACCCCAAACAACCAATAACGTAGATCCATTTCCGACAATACCTTGACAATGCGAAACCAATGGAACGCCCGCGAAATCTTTTCCATCGACCCGAATGGAGACAACCTTTTTAAATGCGTCGGCATCTCCAAATCCAAACCCGGCTACCCGAGATGCATGAATTCCATCGGAAGGCCAAAACGCATTGCAGCAGCCAGACTATTAGATGAACTTTCCTCACTACCTATTTCCGGTCGAGACTATAATGAAAGAAAGGTTGAGGAGATTATGGGGGAGCTATTGGGAGAAGTACTATGTTGGAGACACAAACAAGGGGGAAGTCATCCTCAGAATGAAGAAGTTGGGGGAAGGTGGTGGGGGAGAGTGGAGAGAATGCAACTATCACTTCAAAGAGGGGTTGAAGAACAAGTGAGAGCGCAAGCCCCCTCACGAATGGTGCAGCGGGAAAGAAATCAAATTCCAGTTGCGACGCAAAAATTCGTCCCTTTTGGGTGGTCGGGTAGGATTAGGATGTTTGAAGAAGAGGTTGCGCGGAGGGAGTTGGCTGAGAGAGAGTTGATGAGGAAGAAAGATGAAGAGCGGATATGCGAGGAGAGAGTACGGGAGGAGAGAATTCGGGAAGAGAGGACCCGAGAAAAGAAAAGAATTCGAGAGGAAAACCGAATTCGGGAGGAGAACAGGATTCGAGAGGAGAACAGGATTCGAGAGGAGAACAGGATTCGAGAGGAGAACCGAATTCGGGAGGAGGAAAGAGTTCGGGAGGAGGAAAGAGTTCGGGAGCAGGAAAGGATCCGAGCAAGAAAAAGAATTCAAGAAAGAAAAAGAATTCGAGAGGAGAAAAGGATCCAAGACGAGAACAGAATTCGGGAGGAGGAAAGAGTTCGAGAAGAGAACAGGATTCGAGAGGAGAACAGGATTCGAGAGGAGAACAGGATTCGAGAGGAGAACAGGATTCGAGAGGAGAACAGAATTCGGGAGGAAAGAATTCGGGGGGAGGAAAGAGTTCGAGAAGAGAGAAGGATCCGAGAGGAAAGAATTCAAGAGGAGAAACGAATTCGAGAGGAAGAAATCCAAGAGGACAACAGAATCCGAGAGGGGAACCGAATTCGAGAGGAGAAAAGAATCCGAGAGGAAAAGCGGATTCGAGAGGAAAGAATTCAAAAGGAGAACCGAGTTCGAGAGGAAAGAATTCAAGAGGAGAACCGAATTCGAGACGAAAGAATTCAAGAGGAGAATCGAATCCGAGAAGAGGAAAGGATCCAAGAGGAGAAGAGAATTCGAGAGGAAAGAATTCAAGAGGAGGAGAGAATTCGAGAAGAAAGAATTCAAGAGGAGAACAAAATTCAAGAAGAGGAAAGAGTCCGAGAAGAAGAGCGAATACGTGAAGAACGGCGGATGAGAGAGGAGACTGCAAGGAGAGAAAGACAGGAACGAGAAAGGCAAGAAAGACACGAAGAGGAGAGACAAGAATCGCTAAGATTACACGAAGAAGAAGCCCGAAGAGAAGAAGTTCAAAGGTTACATCAAGCACAACTCCAAGCACAACGCCGAGTACAAGACGCAGCACTACAATTAGAACGAGTTCTTCAAGGTCAAGCCTTACAGCAGCAACATGAAGGTGCTGCGCGCCTGCAAAATACCCGCGATATCCCATTGGGACGATTTGGTGACCCTCAACCAGTTGCAATACAATCAATATTTCAACGATCTGCCATTCCAGAACCTGTCGCAATACAATCACTATTCCAAACCGGTCCAACTCAACGACCTACCATCCCTCAATCAATCCCAACACTATCAATATTTCAACAACCTGCTATCCCTGAACCCATCGCAACCCAACCACTCCCCCAACCCCATCCAATTCCACGCCCCCTCCTCCGAAAACCTCTCGACGATTGTCCCTTGTGTTATGAACCTATCGCCCGCGACGAAGACGCAGAATGGTGTCGTGCACAATGTGGTCAGAATGTTTGTAAGGGGTGTTTTGCGCAGTGGCTGGCTACTCTGACTACTCAGGCTAGTCTCACCTGGGAGAGGAGAAAAGTTACTTGTTGTATTTGGTATGCTATTTTTATATTTCTTTTTTAACGATGGACTGAAGATGAGGGTGTGTTTTAGACGATAAACTTACTAATTCTTTCATAGTCGCGCAGAGTGGAAATTTGAGGAATAATCCCGCGGTTGAGTTGTTAGCGGGAGGGGAGGGGAAGGGAGGGAAAGAGTTATTTTGCCCGGGGAGTCTTTGGGCGATTGTTTGATATAGGGGAGTAGATTTAGAAGATTTTTTTTTTAATTTCTATCGCAGGATTCGGTCTTGCATATGAGGGCGTTTATAGAGTTTTCAATAAAAATATACCCATATAATGTTATGTCTCTATGACCTATTACTTTATCCCACGATATAAGATGACGTTGCTATAACCTACTATTATAGTCTCTCCTGGCGCTGAGTGAAGAAGGCTTTCGAGGCGACGTATTCGGGATTCCTTGCTGGTTTAAAAATCCCATCCATCCGTTCCTCCGCAATTCTCATAAATATATCCGGCGATAAAAACTTCAAGAGCTCTAGTATTCTATAGCAATATACCGGGTGCTTATTGATCCCCTATAGCTTTTCATCCCTGATCCGTCATGGATAAACGATTTGAATGAGAAATGCAAGAAATGGATTAAGACATTTACAAATAGTAAGATTATCCGGGTATCTAATACAGCTAGATGGTTTCGATGATTAATTAAGATGAACATACATCATACATACCCCCGGGGTCCTAGCCAAAATCTTTAACCTGACAGGTATCTTCAAGATTTTAGTACAGATCAGCCTGAGATTTGACACTTAGACTCCCCTCCCCTTTATTAAAAAAGAAATAAATAAGAGTAGTAGAGAGAAATAGTGGTATTTTATCGGCGCTTGAGCTAAGGTCTTACCATATCACGATAGATGGATGAAGCCTTCATCCCATTACACACCCATATCCAAACGACCATCACACCATTTCGAACAATAACTCCTCCGAGAAGCCAAGCAGCTCAAAGAAACAAACTCACTTTCCGACCTCCAAACATCTTTGCAAACAAAAACAGAATATGAAATCTTCACCATCATCCTACGCTTATCGAAATCTCCTAGGAGAAACATTCACCACAATAGTCGAATCATCTAGATCCTCCACCTCTTGAACCGACGAAGATTTCAATATCCCATCATCCCGAGACATCTTCACCCTCTTCCTATCACCACCACTCAAATCCTCAGCATCACTCATTCTCTTTTTCAATGAGCTACTAACCAAAAGCTCATTCAAAAACCCATGCTCAAAACCTCCCTCAACATCAATCAACGGAATACCTTTTTTCCTATTACAAAACGGTTCGATTTGGCTATACCACAAAAGTAATTTCTCGTAATTTTCGAGATCGAATCCGACGTATTCGAAAACCGTCCAACTAGTTTCAATGCGATCTTTTTCCAAGCCTACGAGCATATCGTATACACCTCTAAAAGGTCTCTTATTACCGAATTGTTCCTTGGACCAGCATATTCCTCGCTGGGTTTTGAGTTGATTTTTCCCTAAGTAATTATCGAATTTGATACCGAGGGGATGCACGGAAGGATTATTCACAATCTGTTTGACGATTTTGTATTGTCCGATATATACGGCATGGCCTTGAACCGTGTTGAGAAATATCGGATATTCATTTCCCACAAATACTTTTTCGTCAAGATCGTGAATGAGTAGAAGAGCACCATGTTTTCCTATACTCGGGCGTTGCTTCACATCAATATGCGGAGCTGTATCATTGTGGATTTTTAAAAGTCGAGACCAACAAACATCGTTTTTATTTAGATGCGGTAACATAGATTCCGGTATCTGACGTATCTTACGGTCTAGCATTAGCTGCATGTTGTCGTTACTCCAGAAATCCTGCTGGAGACCATCAAAGACCTCTCTGAGGAATGCATGATTGAACACGGATAATCTAGAAGGAATTATTCCGGAACCGGGGGATTGAGGTAACAGCCCTAGCTCGTAATCAAAATTGAAATGGTCAACGGAAACAGGGGCGGAAGTCGATATTACAGGCGATTGAATATGAGCTGGTTGAATAGGATATGACTGCATAGGAGAATGTGCGAAACGCTTAGGCGCAATTAGACTACACCCTGAAGCCCCCACAGCCATTTGCTTGTGCATATTCTGGTCCATATTTTGACCCAGTTTAACTAATTCCTTCCGATCCATGGTTGGGTTAGCGGCCATGGACTTCGATATTTTCTCATTTATTTGACTACCCTGCCCGTCCCTTAACCCTCGATAATACTCAGTATTCCATACCAATTGAATTTGTTCAAGATGAGCTCGCTTGATGGCATCAAATTCCTTTTCTTGGTCAAATTTGAGGTCCTGTAAAGCCATTTCTCGACCGATGCGTTCTCCGATTTTCTTAGCACTTGCTATCCAAGCCTCATTCATTGCGGTTAATTCTGGAATGCAGCTCTTTAAATTGTTCATCTTTTTGGCCATCTCAAGTCGCCACGTGTTCATATTCGTAAATGCTTGACGCCATTCTGCAAATTTCGAATCCATCTCCCAACTTTTAGCCTCGAATCTCTCCTTCCACATGATTGAATTGGCTTTTGCTTCATTCTTTTCTTTATTCAACTCTTCAATCTCCTGAGATAACTTTGAGTTAGCCAGGTCCATTTCGTCTAGCCTTGCCTTGCTTTCATTAAGCTCTCTTTGCAATGGTTTTCCATTTTCAAGAAGAGCCAAACTTTCCTCCTCAACCTTTTCCTTCTCCTTAGCAGTTGTCCTTTCAAGACAGAGGGGATCAATATATTTCTGCGTATCGGCGTTCTTGACCATGAACTCATCTTTTAATTTATTGAGTTCATTTGATTTCTTTTTGAGCTGATCTTGGAGTATCAAGGTTTGATCTTCAAGGGCGATCTTTTCCTGCCCGACCTCAAGCAGTTTGGTATTCAAGGTAGCTATTTGAAAATTATGTCGCTCTTCAAGTAACTCATTGGCCTCCAAGGTACACCGTTCGAGTAATTGTCCATACACGCTGTCGAATATATTGCTTTGATGATCGACAAATTCCTGGCGGATTTGCAGCACAGTCGTGGGCACGCTAGTCTCTGCTAGACTCATCATTTCGTTGCTGCTTGGCACTTGAGCTTTTGGTTTTGCTTTTTGAAAGGACACAGACGGGATAGGTAAAGCAGATTGAAGAGTTGACGAGGGCTGCTCTAGTAAACTGGTAGAAGAAATGCCATTGTCTTTTGGTGTAGGTGGTCTTTCAAAGTTGCAGGAATCAAACTGCTCCACACATGTCATAAGTATAATGATATGAAGATAGATAAGAGAATAAGCTTACCTTCAACCAGTTTGTGTAATCTGCTTTTGGTATTCCATGTTTTTGTAGAATTCTTAGCCATGGCTCATCTTGTGGTTCTGGGAATTCTCGAGTACCATGTTCATGTAATAACTTCCCAATCAAACTTTTGAATGGATTAGCTCTCTCGTCGTCGGATGTCTCTATGTTGCTCAGCCTAGCTTCGTCTGTTCGAGATGACACTTCCGAGATAGATATTGTTTCAACTATTTCCCCTTCTTCGATATCGGCGTCGCGAATCTCGGAATCTATGTTTTCATCAGATAAGTCCAGAAACCTCAAAGTAGTTGTGAATTTCCCACCCTTGCTAGTACTGTTGATTGGCTCCAAGTATACCGATCCTTGCTCGACTGACTTGTCAAGCGCTTCCAGCTCTGTTTCTTTCCAATTGTTTAGTTCGACTTTGCCTGTAACTTCCACAGCGTTTCGGAGATTAGGCAGTTTTGAGCTGGAGAAATCGCCGGTACAACACCATGTCCATCCAACTGCTTTGGGACCCATCATAAAAACTACCTCTATGTCATTTACGGATAGACCTTTTGTCTTGTAGAGATCTAAGATGAGGCATTAGTAAAGGTGGACAAAGAATCCTCTGTGCATAAATACCTGTCGCACATGAAAGCTTGAATTTTATTGAACTTTGAAGGCATCTACGTCTCCATTCAGAATCTGGTTCCAATTGGAGCCTCAGATCTTGATTATCCAATGCCCGATGGCATTGAAAATTCTCGGACGCCGTCCATTTGTTAAAGCATGCTGATGGAAAACAGTAATGGTTCCTGAAATTCCAAGTCATTCCGCTTTGCTTCGGTGGGTATCGAGGATCGATGTCAGTTGTCAGGTCACCTAAAGCCCTGTCTGTGATTGTACTTAGTGGCTGTGTTTAGAATAGAGAGACGACGAGTGAAATAATATATGGAATCGTTTTGTAAAATCTGAGTAGTGGGTATAGTAAATATCTTACATATCATAACCATCAATCGATCGCGGACTTTGCAATTAACACGAGGACTGGTAAAATCCAACCCAAGTTCGTAGCCTCTATGTTCAAAATGGTTAAGGCATTTCACCCTTACTCGTTTTTTCACCGGGTTTTGCTGCAAGATCATTCGTAATTCCCTCAATGTACATTCCGAGAAATCATCAATAGACGGCAATGTTTGATCGATCGGTATCCAAATTAATCGTTTTTCATGTGCTTGATTGTTCGGAACACAGGTCAATCTGTTTCCATCTGTTGGGTTTGAAGGGAACTCCCACAAACATCCTATCATATTCTCGCGATATTCACCATAGAACTCGCTGATAGCTTTCACTGAGCGTGTGAACTTTTAGAATAAAACCGTACAATAAAAGGGGTTGCAATGAGTACCTACTTTTGAGAGATTGAAGCTGAATGTAGAGCTCATCTATCAAGTGTTTGATTTCGGGACTTGTCATCTCATGTGCTGGCTGAACTTCTGGGAGTATTTGGGACATTGGGATTGTATGGATGAAGGTAGGTATCTGGAATGAAGACCGTGGACAAAGCTCAAGGATGGTTTGTTATGTAGCATGAAGAGATTTCAATAATGAGTAAATAAGCTTTCGATTATGGTGTAGAATCTAATGCTGCTTCCCGTGGAACTCTTGGCCCCAAAGCTCTGATGTACATAGATTGCTTTTTCGATTCTCGGTGAGGGTCTGGAAGGATTCGATACATGTACTTTCCCGAAGACAACGACATTTGATTCGTTACCATTCCAACCAACCGATTTAGTTCCCGGTCGAGAGGGTGATTTCCATGGCGACAATAAAGCAAACATCTTCGACTTCAAAAAATTGAGAAATCATGAAAGCGCCATAGCCATACGGAAAGAAATTGAATGATTCTGGGAAGATTACTATGAGCCAGAAGAATCACATCAATGCGGGGTAAGTGGAAAAGCTTGAGAATCAAGTGTTGAACTCCATTGAGCTGGTGATAATGCAGCATTATGCTCATATCTTCGAGGCCAAGTGCTGAGATCGTGTTTGCATAATATCCAGCGATGATCGTGATTTGATTTCCAGATGAAGCAGCAAACGAACGTGAAGTCGGTCGTGTAAAGCAGCATGAAGCAGCACGTGAAAGACTAGCAAGGATGAGGATACCCCAAGACGCGGGGGATTTGCCAAGGAAAAAGGTTTCGGGGCTTCGGCAGATATCATACCGGGTATTAAGAGTAGATATATCGTGCGGATTGTTAAATCTGGAAAACCTATTTCCCAATAAGTCAGCAAGATCGATTAAATCCAAACAAAATGCCACAAGAAGTATATACCGTTGCCGCGAAAGATGTCCGAAAAGCCATCGATTCCCTGATTTTTCAGATGGTCCATATCAAGGATGAATCTGGGACATTTCTATTACGACTGGAAGATGGTAGGGTGATTGATACCAAAGGATGGCAGGGTTGGGAATGGACACATGGAATTGGACTTTATGGTCTTTGGAAAAACTACTGCATCAATGGATCTCAGGAATCTCTAGAGATTATCGAAAAGTGGTTTCAAAATCGCTTTGATGAAGGGGGAACTACAAAAAATATCAACACGATGGCTGCAATGTTGACGCTAGCATATTTATATGAGCAGAATAAGGTTAACAAGTTTTTACCGTGGTTAGAGAACTGGGCAGAATGGGGAATGTATGAGCTTCCAAGGACAAAATACGGTGGAATGTCACATATGACATACAACTCGACCAACGCTCAAGAATTGTGGGATGATACATTAATGATGACGGTCCTTCCGTTGGCGAAAATCGGAAAAGTTTTAAATCGACCACATTATGTCGAAGAGGCGAAAAGGCAATTCCTCCTCCATATCAAATATTTATTTGACACCAAAACCGGCTTATTCTTTCATGGATGGACATTCGCAGATGGAGGTCATAATTTTGCAAAAGCGTTATGGGCGAGGGGTAACTCTTGGTTAACAATTGTCATTCCAGAAATGTTGGAATTGCTTGATTTACCAATGAACGATCCATTTCGTATTCATCTTATCGACACCTTGGAAGCACAGTGTCAAGCATTGGTTCAATACCAGGAAGATGATGGTTTATGGCGCACACTTTTAGATCAATCTTCTGACACGGGATCCTATGTTGAAAGTTCTGCCACGGCTGGATTCGCATATGGTATGTTGAAAGCATTGAGATTGCGATATATAGTAGGTGAAGAATACCGAAGTTGCGCAATCAAAGCTATAAAAGCTGTAATAGGAAAAGTTAGCGATGAAGGGGAATTGCTGGATGTGAGTTTCGGGACAGCGATGGGTCATACTTTGCAGCATTACATTGATATCGATAGAACAAGTATGCCATACGGTCAGGCTATGGCGATAATGGCATTAGGGGAGTACTTGAGGGTATACATCTGATTGTTTAGGGAAGACTGAATTATAGGACTCATAGATTCCAATCATGGTCATTGTCACTCATTGATGTGTTCTGGGCTGTATGTAAGATGTCTTACGTGGTCCGTGCCACCAACATCTAGATATAGATTAGCGTATCTAAACCTTATCCCCGCCTCGTTTCATATGACAAAAACACTAAAAAGCTTAAGACGATCTCGCGCGCAATACAAACTTAACTTACTCATTAACATCCACCACTCTTAGGCTACACAATCGTGATGACTGCCGGGGAGCCCATCATCAGCATGTGTCTTGCCAGAAAACCTTTTACAGGCTCCTTTTGCAGTAGTCCCATTCGATATGTATCTATCCGGGCGGAGTTGCTTTTTACTGTGGCGTTGCGCGTAATGCGGTCCTTTTTGATTTTCAAAAAGCAAAAATCCTTCGAAAGTGTCATGTTGGCTTTTCGCTAAACATTTTCGGCAGGTGTGATTGTAACACCAGAATTAGCCGTGACTAGACGACGATAGGGGATGCAGGAACACAAATAGACGGCTCAAAAAGGCCCGAGCCTGTCAATAGGCTATTTACCCAACGAATGAAACATGACCATTTGAATCTTCGTTCGATCGGAAAAACTGTCATCTCATCTCATGATGCTCCTAACGCAGGTCCGGACATCCTTACAAAGGGACTATCCAGGTAGATTTTGTAACGAGGCTTTGTTGATCCAATCATTTTGTCAGATCATGTGCTGAACTAATACAGACCTTGTGCCACTATCACGGGATGACGAATTCAAACTTCAAATCGAGGTTGAGTACCGTGTACAGGTATTCTTGTAAGATTAAATTCAGATTTCATACCCCAGATAGATACTCCTTTTCTAAAATTCATCGCTTGCTCACTGTTGATCATTTCCAGTTTTTCACTCTGCAAGGCAGGGACTAGACCATCAGTAGGGTCTGAAGATACCATAAGACATAAAAACTCACAAGTGATGAAACATTACCGGAGTAAAGTACCATGTACATGAAGACATGTGCCTTCAGTTACCCAGATTTCGTCCAGCAGTCATTCTTTCAACCCCACGATATTCCCCACACTCATCTCCGTTAGCTAAATTCCTTGTCATGCTGTTCAGGAGACATTAAAATTGCAGTGGCTACCTATACCAATCGACCTTGTGCTCGATATCACAGGCTTCAAATTAGCCTTTCATGGGTGAATGAGATCTTTAGCATCATACACTTTTGATGCCTAAACAGATGAAGAGGAATCCACTTAGTAGGGGGATTTCTTTTATATAAGAGTTGCATCTGCCAGACCTAACCAAAACTCCATGTACAATTTTCACTCCTTTCTTGTATATATTAACTTATAAACATGATTCTCTTTACTACACTTTGGATCATTTTTGGTCTTATTTCTTCATGTTTCGGTCAAGCTTATTGGTACGAAACAATTGCTCATCAGGGAGTCGCTCCTTATAATCCTCAAGGGAGTGCATATCAGGTATTTAGGAATGTGAAGGATTTTGGAGCTACAGGTATATTGAGCAAGAACAATCTTACAAAATCAGTCACTGACTAGCTCCAAAGGAAACGGTGTCACGGATGATACAGCTGCGATTAATGCCGCAATCGCATATGGTTCCCGATGTGTGGAAGGAGCTGCGGGTGTCGGATGTGCATCTGCAACTAATTCACCAGCTGTGGTGTATTTCCCTGCAGGAACATACCTCATTTCATCTCCCATTCTTCCATACTACATGACTCAATTAGTTGGAAACCCAAATGCGTTACCAACCATCAAAGCTACAGCTGGATTTGTAGGTCTAGCACTTATCGATGCAGACCCTTATGGATCATCTGTACCAGATTATGGCACTACAAATGTATTCTATCGTCAAGTTCGAAATTTTATCATTGATACTAGAAATATGCCAGCTACTTCTTTGGCACGAGGTATTCATTGGCCTACAGCTCAAGCAACCAGTCTTCAGAATATGGTCTTTAACCTCAATACCGCAAGTGGTAACCTGCATCAAGGAGTCTTTATTGAAAATGGTATGTCTCTGCCTCACTTACTACACTGAAAATTTCTGACAAAAAATCTCAGGTTCTGGTGGATTTTTGAATGATCTTATTTTTAATGGGGGTCAATATGGTATGAATGTCGGTTCACAACAGTTTACTTCAAGAAACTTAACATTTAATAAGTAAGGATAACACTTCCAGATACCATCACCATACTGACGAGATTAGTTGTGAAACTGCCATATATCAACTTTGGGGTAAGTTTATTTACATTTCGTCCTTTCATAATGAAACTAACAACTTTTAGATTGGGGTTGGACATATATGGGCTTATCAATCAACAATTGTGGTACTGGTCTTGATATGTCTGATGGAGGTTCTTCAGCACAACAAGTTGGATCCATAACAGTCATTGACAGCACTTTTTCTAATACACCTATTGGTATCCTTACTGCTCGAAGTAGTACATCACTTCCTCTTACTGCCGGAAGTCTGGCTATCGAAAATGTCATCTTCACCAATGTCCCCACCGCGGTAGAAGGACCAAATGGTGTATCTCTAGCAGGAAGCACTGGATCAATCACCGTTGCTGCTTGGGTACAAGGTAACACCTACAGTCCCACAGGTCCAAACTCTACCCAAGGTGCAACTTCAGCCTTTCCTCGTCCTGCATCCTTGCTCAGTGGTACAAGGTATTATGCTCGATCTAAGCCTCAGTATAATACTCTCGCCGCAACTCAATTTTCTAGTGTTCGAACAGCTGGAGCTAAGGGTGACGGAGTAACCGATGATTCTGCTGCTCTCCAAGCAATCATCACTTCTGCAACAGCTGCAGGGAAATTAATATATTTTGATTCCGGTATCTACAAAGTAACAACCACAATCACAATCCCAGCTGGAGCCCGGATCGTCGGTGAAACTTACCCTGTAATAATGGGCTCTGGCTCCTTCTTCAGTAACATGAACGCTCCCCAACCCGTCGTCCGAATCGGCTCTACGGCTGGCGAAACAGGAGTCGTAGAATGGTCCGACATGATAGTATCGACTCAAGGCGCTACATCTGGAGCAACACTAATTGAATGGAATCTCGCCTCCCCATCTACAACTCCATCCGGAATTTGGGATGTTCACACACGAATTGGTGGATTCGATGGGAGTGATTTACAAGTTGCTCAATGTCCTACTACGGGTACTCAACCGAATGCAAATTGTATCGCGGCGTTTATGAGTATGCATGTTACTAGTACTGCGAGTGGATTGTATATGGAAAATGTTTGGTTGTGGACTGCTGATCATGACATTGATGATGTGGATGATACTCAGATTAGTATTTATACTGGAAGGGGATTATCTGTTGAGAGTACTACTGGGAATTTTTGGTTGTATGTATCTCTCTTCTATGCTATTGTTGGTAATGGTAACTCACTGATATTATATAGGATTGGAACGGCAGTAGAGCATCATTCTCTCTATCAGTATCAATTTGCGAATACCAAAAATGTATTCATGGGATACATTCAAACGGAAACTCCGTAAGTCTTTTTTTTCATATTAGATTAACATAACCCTTATCTTCCAACATCTACTGTCTACCCTCTTCCGCCTCAAATCACCATACTGACATCACCATTAAGATACTACCAACCTGTTCCCCAAGCAACCTCACCCTTTCCACCAGTCACCACCCTCAATGACCCCGATTTCGCTACCTTTTGCGCTGGAAAAGGTCCTACTTGTTATGATGCATGGGGATTACGAATTTTAGATTCCCAAGATATTTTAGTATATGGAGCTGGATTTTATAGTTTCTTTGATAATTATAGTCTTTGTAAGCTTTCCCTCAATCCCTTTTCTCCTCCTCTACCCCTCCCTCTCACAATCCTCATTATTTCCCCAACAATATCCAAGCTAACCTCCCACCTCCTAGCATGTTCCAACCACACAGCCACAACCTACAACAGTAACTGCCAAACTCAAATCTTCGGTATTGATGAAGGTGGCTCCGCAATGGAATCGTGTACTGGAAGTACGGTGTTTGTATATGGATTGAATACGTTGGGGGTGGAAAGTATGATTGATATGGATGGGGAGAGTATTGCTGGGTATACGAGTAATGGGAATGTTTATGGGGCGAATGTTGTTAGGTTTGTTAGTTAAGGGGTTTTTTGGGAAGAGAAGGAGGAATATGAGGGTGTGGGAGAGTCAGGGAGGAGGTCTAGGAGGATGGGGAGAGATGATTGGGGTGGTAGGTGAGAGAATTGTGAAGTTTAAGGATTTTTTGTATATATCATTATTTCCATTCGCCTATACCCAATATTGAGAAACGAATTCAAAGCTTCTTCATTTTACCAAGCAAAAACTACAAAGCAACGAGACATCACAAAAATCTTCCTAACCTCAAATACCAAAAACCTAAAACCTGGTCCTCCTCTTCCTCCTCCAACAAAACATTCTCTCTCCTAACCCTCTCCTCCTCCTCCAATCTCTCCTCTTCCACACTCATCCCCCCAATCCTCCTAAACCAATTCTCCCACAAAAAAAACGACCCCTTCCAAAACTGCGAACAACCATCCTGAATCTTCTCCAACCAGGATAACATCTCATCGACCTCAACCTTCCTCTCCTTCCAATTCCGACCCATAAATTCATACTTAATAATCTTCAGAACATTCACACAAATAAAGCGAAAATAGAACGACAAAGTCGACGCACCACGATTAGTTTTGATTCTTCCTTCCGCCAAATCCTGACATTGTACAGGATCGAAATTTTCGGCCGCGCTCCAGAGAGAAGCCATGAAGTTAATCTCTGCTCGTTCTTCCGAGAAGAATTTATCAGGCCATCGTTTTAATTCTCTGATTCCTTCGGGGGAATTCTCGACTTGGAAATCCCATGTAGATGTCGGTGGGAATATTTGTAATCGGACATATTCGAGTTTACAGAGGAGATAAGTAAGTTTTTGGAAAGTAGTTTTGATATCTCCTTGTTTGTTTGGGACTTCTTCTATCAATGTAAATAAATCATTGAGGAGTCTTCTTGTTCCAATATTCCAGCGAAAAAGAGTAGCGCGACGATCGTGAAATTTTTCGCCTCCTCGGAGTGTTTCGGATTTTTGGAGAAGGGGGAACGATTCTTTGTGGTTTGCTATTGCTTGGTCGAGCATTCCGATGAGTTCAAATGCTAATCTTTCATGTTCTAATTCATCATTCGTATCCCTTGCTTCACGCAGTGAAACAAATGCTTCCCGTACATCCCAGAGTGCATCTTCTTGAGATTGAGTAAAATCATAGAATTGTTCTTCTCCCGCTGCGCTTCCAATTATCGCTTGTAGCACTTTAAAAGATGCTTTTCTTACAGCTGGAAGTTGTTTTGCATGGTATGATGTTGCCGCTTCTGTTAATTCACTGTACATTTCGAATGGAATACCTTTGAGGTTACTAGTTCTTTGGAGTTCGCTAGTCTCGTAGTCTGGGACTCCACATTCATCGATATTGGTCCAGTCAGGTTCGAAGTCACTTTTCCATCCATGTTTTATGGATCGAGCATGAATGACCGAAAAGCCATACTTATAATTGATAAATTTTAGTAAAGTGTTAAACTTTTTTGTGGAAAGAGTAGATAAAAAGCTAACAATACTTACTCGTCGAATAGCAGTATCCCAAAATCTCTGATTTCTTAAATCTTCATAGGTCTGAATCGATATAAAATAACAAAATATTTGATTATTTTATGGTTTAGCCTTGTTCATAATAAGTGTTTTAGGAATCCGCTGTCCCATACTACCATAATTCGGATACGTGGAGCCCATGGCGTACGCAAAAGGAGCTGAAGGTGCATGAAAGACTGGTTCGACGAGACCACCGAATACCTAATCTTAATTAGCAAGGTATTTCAACATTTATATGAAATTGGATAAATCACACTATTCTCCATTTCATATCCCAGTTCACACTGAGAGGAATCCTCAAAGAATGGTTCATAATCTTGGTTAAGCTTTTGATCCCCAATAGCATACCAAATAGCATGTGTCAACTCATGACACATGACGATTGCTAGGAGATATTGAGCGCCGGCTTTTTCCCCAGAGGTCAAATCCGTTCTCAACAGTATATCACAGAGTCTCTGATCTATATAAATCCAGATAACATCTTTGTCATAACAATCTTTTCCTTCATGAGTGACACCTAAACAACCCGAACCTGGCACAGGAACCTCATCCCATGGCATATGATTGCCTGGAGCAAAACCCCATTTTACCTTTTTGTGTAATTTTTTCATAGCTGTACTAAAAGCCTTCTCACATTCTGCGAAATTATTGGCGTGACTGATTACTTTGATTCTGCGCCAGAATGTGCAAAGGCCTGTCGGTAGAGGGAGACTCGAGGAATGTTGATCCATAGGATTTCGAGGTCCTAAGAGCAGGGCATCTACTTAAAGTAAGAAGATCCATCAATTAGCTTCATCATAAATGTATAGTGTCAAAAGAAAATAGGCAGGGCATATACAAACGGTACAGCATGCATTCTGGAAAGAAATGCACTTGCTAAAGTCAAAACGGGCATCATAGCATTGAATACATTAACGTTCGTCAAATAGAACCATCCACATTTTATTACTTCTGGGGTTTGCTGGGGCCAATGAAGTGGCCTCTGACCATACTGTTCCCATACATTTTTCGAAAATATAGGATGAGTAGGGATCATGAGAGATCCTTCGAGAATTCTACCACTAACTACATCTAAATCAACAAGTTCGCGTACTGTGAAATTGCATAACATAATACGTTGAAATTCTTCGACACGGGTTTCCTCCTGGATAGTTTTCAAACTGACACCTTTGGGAAGATGGCCTGTGGGTGACCATCCACTAGCCGTGGAGGTAGAATTAGCTGGATGGATGAAAACACGAGTGGATCCATATTTTCCCTTGTTAACATTGAAAATTGTACTTGTCGCATTTCCCAATTCTACAGATGCCATCTTAGGCAATTTCAAAAAATATAGTAATGAAAAGGAGTGATGAATTAATTTTTGTTGGTGAATTAATTTGCTGGGTGTACATTAAGAAAAATCTTTGTACATGAAATGGAAGTAATACAACAAAGAGAACCAATCAATAATAAAGATGTCCTTTGAAAAAATGACAATATTTTAGCTCTCTTTATTACTCGTTCATGAAGGCTTCAAACATCATTGGAAGGTTGATGTTAAGAGATTCGGAAAGGATTTCTTTCCCTCCAGCTACGAAAAGAAGCAGATGGTCTTGAAACAACTTTATTAGACTTGCTGCATTCTCAATCATGACCAGTTTAGAGCAATTCTGGAGGAGATAAACCTACTTAATAGTGGGGCTATGGCTTGAGACTTCATTACTCCTCGTTTCTTTCTACTCAAGGCTTCAGGGCCAGCGCACGTAATACAGACTTACTCCACTTGCTCAGGAACGAAATTTTGAGCCGCCATGAGTATCACTGTCCTTTTGACAGCGTCATAATTCTCTCGTTCTAAGAAGCAGAGCTGCAGTGCAAATTAATCCGGTTGTCCTGTGTGCAGCTTATTTTTGGTTTTTGATGCATGCATGACGAAGGATTGGCCGCTCAACAGGTAAAAAAAAAAATATGAACTCATTATGCGACCCTTAAAAACTAGATTATACTCAAAGAATACTCAGATCTTCAAACCTTGTTGCCCTGTTATCTTGTTACCAGGTCCATTCTATCAAAGCACCACCGCCACATCTTTCTCAATACTCTTCAACTCCTACTCTCCAACCCTAACCCAACCGACAAGCAGTCGGTGGACAATACCCATGATTACAACTATAACTACACAATCCCAAGTAACTATCATCTTCTCCTTGTAATGGATACCCTGTTTGATTCGTAATCGGTGGTGGAGGAATTTGAGCGCCATATGATAGACATGTACATGGACCTGGAGGACAATAGCCGTATTTGCAGCAGAATTGACAGAGACCAATGTAATTTCCTGGACCTGAGCCTGAAGTGCAGACTGTAGAAGGAGAGGGTGAGGAAGGAGAGGAAGTGGAAGTGGAGGTAGAAGTAGAATTGGTGGTGGTTATTGGAGATGTAGTTGGGGATGTAGTTGGGGATGTAGTTGGTGATGTTGTTGGTGATGTAGTTGAAGACGTCGTGGTTGACGTTGAAGTCGAAGTTGTAATTGAGATTGATGTGGTACTTGAAGTGGAAGTAGAAGTTGGTAAAGTACTTGTGGATGTCGTTGTACCCGGTGGTGGTGGTCCAGCATTACTAGTCCCATTCAAAGATCCCACATATGCATTGAAGTTATACTTCTCACAAGTATCTGCAATATCCAAACCACCATATCCATTCAAGATTGATTTACCATTTCTTGTAACCTGAAAATATTGATTTCCTACACCCATGGTAAAATTCGTGGTAACAATACCTGCGGGTACATTGATGGAAACTGGAGTATTTTTCCCGCTAGTCACGATTAAAGTTGCTGGACTTGTAAGAAGCGTGGTAACAAATATGTCATCAGCGAGCATTTCACGACCATTTGGAGGTCCAAGTGTATCATTTGTGCAGGTGACTCCTTTAGGTGTTGGTCGATACCAATATACAAGTTGATCTTGTGTGACAGTCGGTGAAGTTGCGCCAGCTTTATATGCAGCGATATATGGTTTCGAGATGATACGCCAACCATCGTGAGGGAAACCATCAGCCCATTGCGATGAACCGTCATCTTTGTGATTTGGTTCCGCAGGAGATATGTAGTGAGATTCTCCGAAATCTGTGATATACATGAGCTTATTTCCCTAGATATTCCATTTATGCTTACCGTTCCAAGATATGATTTCGATAAGTGCAGGCTGTAACTTTAACATTTGATTCCATCGATTAGTAATGAGTTCTTCGGAGATGAAAACCCAATTCTTAGAGTTGAAATGTGTGGAGAACCATGGTGAAACAGCTACAGAAGGGTTAACAGCATTCTTCCTCTTAAGTGATGGCAACTTACGAGCCATGTAAGGCTTTCCAGCAAGATATAAAAAGAATTTATCATCCCATACAGTTGTCATAGGACCAGGTATAATACTATTCCCACCATCTGTAGGCCATGCTAACCAAGAGAATGCACCATCAAATGATGTTGGTTCATAAGTTGCCTCAATCGGATCTTGCATCATAGGAATAGCGAAAATTGAATGATTTGTTCCAGCTTTGACCGGTGCCCAGTTGAAACTGTCACCCACAAAGGTACTGACAACAGCTCCTCCATTATATTGCATCTGTCCTGGATGAGATGCATATTTGTTCATATAATCTGTAATGTTGTTGGTGTTTCCATTATTCCAATACGCAAAGTCGAATGATATAAAGACATGAAATCCAGTTTCGTTGGCTGCTTGATATGCAAGTGCAAGTTGAGTGGGAGTATAGCTATCGATGCTTGCACAGTTTAAAGCGAATGCGTCTATACCAATCTCTTGTGCATATGCCATATCCATTTTCCAGTCTGTAAGTGTATAGTTCTCAACAATTCCGACCTATTCAGAACATGTTAATATGAGCCTCATACCACGGTTGAAAAATGCTTACCATGAAGTGGGCAAAGACATATCTAGGAGTCGTTGCCCGGTTTACAGTTGGTGCGGAAATGGATAACCAAGGTAAGAGTAATATTGCCGTGAAGGCACTGATAAGCGTAGAATGAAGCATCATCTTGTTGATACAATGAAAAGTAGATATAGAGAACACAAAACAACTTCAGGGACTGATAAGATAAATGTATAAATATTCATTTCTAGAGTCATATTGAGCTGTAGTATTGAACCTCTGTTGAAATTACAAACGGTGATTTCTTTTAACCTATGACCTATAATTACTGGCATTGATTGCGGATGATCACATAGTGAAGCAGTGAATAATTTAAATATGTTTCATAACTTAATAAGGCCTTTGCGGGGGAAGAAACTACCCCAGGTTTCACACCCCACAATCAATCTCATCAGGTGAATGTGAAGGGGAACATGATGTATATCTCACTACTAAGAATAAACCGCGGTGCACAAAAGAGGGAAGGATTATTGAGACATGTTGAATTTATATCCTTCATCTCATTGTCAGAGCTCGCCAAGAGCAATAATGTTATGATCACCATGATCAAACAACTGGCTATATGGTAGCTCCTTTCTCATCTGAGTTCCAGGTCGCCACTATAATCTTTCTCGGATTTGAAACATAAAGTTGTATTCCATATTGACAATCGGGCATTTAGCAGAAAGAGTTCCCCAGAAAGCACAGCATGTGCTATGTCGACGGTTATGTTTGGTGTCAAGTAGCAGTTGGACGTTCCACAAGATCGGAATTTTAAGCAAATGACATTCAATAGATCTTACTATAATCTATTAGTGAGTGACATAGACGAGAAATATGTGTAACGAGTGGCTTAGGCTCGACTGTGACCACAAAGCTCAATCTCTTACTCAATACTCCCTACTTGACAAGACATAGGAGAGAAAGTATAGAAGTACAACAAGAGGAACAAAGATATTTTGTACCAAAGTACTTTCTTAATAATTGAGCACCTGCTCGGGCCGAATACTATCGGCCGGTTATTTGTTATCATTTTGACACTCCTCATGACCATCAAATTTGAGCACTCGCTCATTGATCTTTATACCGTAGCAGTAGAATTTAGAGCTAGTAACTGTGAATGGATAGTCCATGACTTGTCCTCCAGCTTCCTAGAAGCGGAATCACGTCGAGCAAGACCATAGCACTTTGGTAACGTTGAAGTCACTGTTGCCCCATTCTTTGCGTAAAACAACAAATGCTAGAAAGCTCCATTTCACTTCTTGATATGAGTCGGAGATAGAGATAGAAGAGATAGCCACGATATGAAGGAGAGGTTGGTTGATTCCAAAAGAGGGGAACTAGATACTTCGTCCAGATTATGGAATCTCTGACAGCTTCCAATATGTGACATTAAAAGAAGATACGGTATTGATCTGGCTGAGGGTAAATGAAAACAAAGGAGAGAAAACAAACAGCAGCGTTAGATTTTCACTCTGTGCATTGTCGTTGAAGAGCGTTGCATGTTTAAAGTAAAGAACCGCAGGACCCTGAATGCTTGTCTTGTCTTGTAACCTTTAACAAGCATGTATATATTCTGCCAAAGCGGTGAAAATACCCCTCCTGTCTTCAAAATTCAAACACCCAAAGTCCAATAACTTACATCAAGCACACTCCATACTCCATACTCCTGCCCTTCAAATCCCATAAAATCATTCGAAATGGCACCTCCATCTCAACTTTCCATAGCTACCTCCTCCGTGGCCCGTTTGGTCAAGGAAGAAGCATCATATCACAAAGAGTTGATCTCTCAACAAGCACGACTCAAGAAATTAGAGGAAGCTACTGAGGAAGATGAGAATAGAGAGTATTCCTTGAAGCAAGAGGTTAGTATCCTGCTTTCATTTTGTTCTTGTATCTTTATAGAGAACTAGAAACTGACCAAATAAAAGCGCGCCGCAATCGAAGAAACTAAAGCAGTATTCCCCCCTCTTAGAGAACGACTCGCAGATGCCATACTCAAGCTGGAGGATTTGGTGCAAAGAGGTGGAGAAGAGGTGGAAGAGAATAGGGCTAATGAAGTTATTGCTGAGGCGAAGAAAGCTGTTGCTGGAAATTGAGGGTTGGGTTGAGGAAGACGAAATCATGATTCACGATGGATATACCCGATTTTGCGAAGATTTACGAAGACTTACGAATGATGGCGAAGATGAAGGTTATGACATGCACAGTTCATAGACCAAGGTGAATACTAGGTCATAGAGGGTATCATTCTGATTTGGTATGGTACATTTTGTTGTACATTCTGGTGGAAAAACTATTGGTGAAGATGTCTATGTGGTATCCATCTTATCACCAATTTCTCCCTCACCCACTGCTCCCTCCTCTGGTTCATTAATCGTGACTTGTGGAGTTCCTTCTTGTGCTTCATCTTGTGTTGAATTCATTCCATCCACCATAGGGGTATCGACTGTAGGATCCATGTCCAATTGTCTACTATTTGTATCTTCCATCGCAGAATCATCTCCATCTTCCTCTCTACGTCTTCGACTTCTAGCCCGTTCTGACCTTGTTGGCGATGCTATTCGACTTTTTGATCTCCCTCTCGAACCAGACCTTGATCCTGGTCTTGAACCAGACCTTGAGTCAGGTCTTGACATTGAACCAGAAGGCATAGGTCTAGGTTTGAGTGTGCCTCTTTCCGGACTTCCTTGCCTTGGTGTTGCATCGCCGCTTGTGCTATTGCGTCTAGGAGTTTGCCCATCTCCAACTTCACCATCTTCTTCCCCTCCATCCATTCCTTCTCGTCTTTCGACCTCTTCTTTCTCATCCCTAATTAATCTTCTCAACTGCATTCCTTCCTCAACAATTCTACCAAATTGTTCTCTTCTCTCCTTCCATGTTTCACCATATGTTCTGCTCTCCCTTTCTAGCTCTTTACATTCCTCTTCCAGTTTCCTCAAATTAATCTCTTGATCCTTTCGTGGTCGCAACAACATATTATTCGTAATCTTCTCGGCCAATTCATCAAACTTCTTCCTTTGCTCCAATGTCTTCCTCGCTTCCTCCAATTGGATCCTCAACTGCGCAGTGCTATCTCTCACCGCTTGTGCCGTCTCCAAGATATGTTCCTTGTCAGCCTTATACCTCTCGCGCTCCCGTTCGTTACTATTGCGTAGAAACTGGATACGCGCCAAACTGCTGTTGAATGCTCCGAAATCGAGGAGTACATCTTCGCGCAACTGTCGACGTTCATCGAGAAATTTTTGTCGGTCTGATTCTCCTGTCTCTTCAGTGGTATCTAATGGTGGTGTAGGAAGTTTGCTTGGTGTAATGACAAGAGACCCAGGAGAGAGTAGGCGCTTGGTGATACGTTTAAAGGGTTTCTCTTCGACATTGAGAAGGCGTGACTTGTGAAGTTCATCTTCCTCTCTCTGATCTAGTAATTGATAGGAAGTCATTTTGAGAGTATGAATTGATCAATTACTTCTCTTTCAGTTACAAGTTGGTACGGAACATTTAAAAGTTAAGAATAGTTCTAGCCACATGAAATTGGTTTACGGCGGCCGCAATACCGCTAGTGCATAACACTATACTCCGTAGATCTAGTCCGGGGTTCCAAGATTATTCACTTATCGACCGACTTTATAATCTATAAATTCCCCCGACGTGAACTTCTTTGTTCATGATACATTATATTATTCAAGAAATTTCAACTTTCTTCGACAATTTTAATTAATTTCTTCTTCCCATAGACTATTTAAAGGTTTCTACTCCATATTCTCACAATTGTAAAACTCTATTCACTTCACAATAATTTACTTTCATATCGCGAAAAGCGCAATCTGTCACCCGCCTTCGAGTCAGTTGGAGATCCCGAATAATTCATCAAAAATATTATAAGATTACATCTATACCTTTACTACAAACCGAAATCATGGGAGAAATCGGCGCCTCATCCCTTCTCAAGATTGCCAAAGCAGCCTGTATAAAAGCTGCTCCAGGTAGGCTTGTCTATTCCTTTCAATATTATTCCGTCGCTAACATATCTTAGGTCTTACTGACATCGGAGACGTTCATTACGAGTTAATCCGTCCTATACTCAAGACAGCAGTTATAAATCCCGAACAGCTTCACATAATTGAACTCAATTCTCCACAAATAAAGGGCCAAGATGCAGAACTTTGGAAAGCTTTCATCGCTCGGGACATTCCTAATTGGCGAACAAAGAATTATGTACCAAGGGACCCTACGAAGTGGTATGAAGTGTACCAAAAATATAAAATCGAGCATGAAGTGGAAATAGCTCGCGACCGTGAAAACCTCAAAAATTCAATGAATGCATTGCAGCAACGCAAACAAGATCATGTCAGCAAATTCGTCGATATCCGAGCACTACCTAAGATTCCCAGAGACTATGGAATGCGACCAAACAATGGAGGTGTTCCTTTGACCAAGGGAAGGGGACTTCAAGGTGCTGCTCCTAGTTCTTTGAGTTGGGGTGCAGGTAGCAGAACGAAGATGAAGGATGGTACAAGCGTTTTGACGAGAGCACGTCGAGAAGCCAAGGAAATGAGCCAAAGAAGCAAGCTTAGTACGCCAACTAGCATGTTGTCGGGACGGCTTGGACAAGTCAAAAAAGCACCTGCTGGAATGGCTCAAGGATATAAGATTGCCAATCAACCTGGATTAAGGGTCTTGGCGAGACATAGATCGTCTGGCAGAAGTTCGGCTAGCGTTAGTGGACCATCTCTTGAGGATCGTGAACAAAGATTACGAGATGCAATGGCTGGTAAAAAGCGAGACCACAATGACAATAAGGAGACATTAGTTGGATCTCCTCCCCCTAGATCACCCAGCTCGCCAAATTATCAAAATTTTGACGATGATGCGGCCGACCTTTTTGATGATGAGGAGGAACTTCAGCCACCTTCCAGAGCAAGTCGGCCACCACCTCGTAAGGTCATCAAACCAATTTCACCATCGGCTCGGCTCTCTTCTTCTCCTCCACCATACAATGGAGCGTCAAAGCCATTCGACGTTATCTCATCTTTGGTCCAAAAGTCCAACAACTCTTTCTCACCAGCATCGTCATCTAGATCAGCAACACCCAAACCTATGATGCCCGTTCGCAAAAGACCTGCCAATGTCGATATCTTCAACCGTGGACCCAAGAAACCTAGAAGATAATCGAAGAACATTTTTAACACTTTTTGTGAAGGGTACGGGAGGTTATTGACCATAATTTTTTTATACATTTTGGATTGGGGGTTTCGGGACTCGGAATAGGGACATTTGTCATTAGCGAGGCGTCTCAGAGGAGCAAATTACGGCATAGTCAGGTATAGACATTATTAGATACGGAAAGGGCCATTGGGGGACTGGGTTTTCGCCGGTTAGTGATTTACAGATTCTGTACATTTTAGAACTGTAGTAGGTAGCATTGTAAATTGGGAATTGTTCACACATTATTCTTTTATTAGAAGTGACCTATTCTCTTATTTTTCACTGGACATATTGAGGTCAAAACTTCACCCCATCACGCTGAGTGAACTGAAGATATTGCAGTCAAAATGTCACCATCACACTGTATGTTTTTAAAAATTTATTATTGAGAATGAATGTACGGTTTATTGAAAAATCTAAGCTCACATCAGACAGCCAAATCGAATATATGCGTGTACGCAAAAACGCCCTATGTAAAATATTCGAATTTTTTGCACCGTCCATCAATGAAATGCCCAATCATCTGCCGTCATTCTAAGCCCATCATATCATATCGCATCGCATCGTGTCGTAAGGAAGAAATGAAAAAAATGCCTAACCAAATCAAAATGAAAACTTGCAGGTGATATAGAATGCTGAAAAAAAGCTATGGAGGTATTTATGTATGTATGTATGGTGCGGGGTATTCGGATAGGGTAGACAGCAATGCAATCGATATTGTGAAGGTGGGAGGTTTAAAGGGAACCTCCGCGAAGTGCTAGTACTAAATGCAATGTAGCTCCTGGTTCGAGTTCATAATCTTTTACTAGCTTGTCGTCTGCCCTGTTGTAGTCTAAGTATTAGTATTTTGTAGAAAGGGATAGAATGCAATGGCGGGGTAGAAAGATAGAGCGAACGTACATTTGTTTACCACCATAGATTAAACGTTGTTGAACGGGTGGAATACCTTCTTTCTCTTCGACCTTTTCCTTGACTCTCTCGATCTAAAGTGCATATATTAGTAGGTTGTGAGAAGAGGGAGTATGGCTGTCGCAGTGTAAAATATACCTTGTTGTCAGATTCAACATCAAGCTCGATTTCCTTGCCAGTTAGAGTTCGGACCCTAGATATTTGTTAGTTATAGTTGGGAGTATGGAGAGCTATTGTACACGTACTTGATGAGCATTGTAGCGGTTGTAAAAGATCGATTATTTCCTGTGAGGCGTTCTCTATTTGGATTCTTCTCAGGATTTGAGAAGGGAAACTTGGTTCTGTAGTGTTGATCACAACTCTCGAGGCCGGTGACAGGACTGTACAAAACGTTGTTCTTCCAATAGTCCTCTTGAACTCAGCCGGAATGTGGAAGAGCGTCAGGGTAGAGTTGGAGGTGATCTAGGTGGTGCTAGAAAAGGGAGTTGTGACAATTGATGGTATGATTGGTGGTTGAACTGGTCGCTCAACTTCTTAGGTATTTAGTTGATGCTGGTTCAGTTGGTGGGGCATCAGCATGCATGTTGACAATTATTGGAATAAAGTTACTCCGGACTCCGAGTTAGAGAAAATGTATTGAGGTTTTGAAACTACGCTAAGACCCCTGTCGTTAATTCTGTACTGTAGAAACTCACCTACGCTAGTAGTCAAAACCTCAATCATTTCGTCATCCATATTTAGACTCATACACTAGGTATTTATCAAGCTCACAAAGTCATGTCACTGTTACTCAAAAGAGTAACTGGACACTACTTATGTTTGTCTCGTATTTTCTCAGTTTATTGCTCTTTGTTTTTGAGCTCTCTTGTACATCATCAAAACACTACATCTTCTTCCAAATCACCAATATTTTTCAAGATGTACATTTGCCAAATCATATCAGAATTAGTTCTATATGATTGACCTCAGAATTCAGACCAAGTCGACTCTGTGGTTTGTTATCAGCTTTCCGTGTTTTGCTGAGCTTAATCTCCTAGATATCATACCGATTCCTCAAGAGTAGAATATTTGACTAGCAAGATTGACGTCCACTGGAGGTCTAATCCACCAATTTTAGCATGCTTTACTACTTCCCAGACTGACAAGCAAGTGAATGTTACTCGAAGTACTTCGTTGATGGTATAAAGTAGAAGCAGGCAGACTACTGTCAAATCATTCTTTATCAAATTCATTATGATATCTCAACAGGTGTTTATAAGGTGCTCAATCTCTCAATGATAGATGCGATCTCAGCTGGAAGTCTGGCAATGAGGTGCGGTCGATTTAATATGAACCATTGTCTAAAAGGTGATCATTGATACGCTTCTGTTCACGCTGGATGACAGAGTACATTCATTAGCTGTCTTCTATCTTCTATAAACCGAAAACTTTCAACAATTTAGCCTACCTCATCAAATAATCATCAGGATCCTAGCACAGTCCTCTGAAAAAAGTCCCTGCTTGCGCCTTTCACCCTCTAGCTCATTTACGAACAGAACGCCACCGCCTCGTCCCTGACATGGAGCATCTAGATAGTGATCCAATGCCCTAATGAGTTCATCAGGCGGGTCATGTCGCTGCTTTGGCCATAGAATTAAGGGGTTGGTATATGATCATCCAGGTATTTCTGTCCCATTTATCGAAAAGTTGGATCATCCGATGCTCTGGCTAAAGGAAGTAGTCATCAAAGTATGCTCTTGTTTAAAATGTAGAGGATATCTCTGCACCAGTGCTGAAGAGAGATAAAGTCGAGTTTGTTACTGTTCTTGTAATTCTCTTACGAGATCACGGGGTGAATCTTGTTCAGAATAATGGTGAATGCCTTGAAAAGGTAAAGGAGCGAGCTTTGGCTGTTACTCAGGATTATGACATGGAGCTACTTCTTAGAATGTGTGATGCCGAGCAAGTATGTTTAATTTGAAAGAAAGAGTAGGGACAAAATATAGATATTCCAGGATAAATTCAAAATCGATTTTAGAACATGAGTTTTATCATTGTATTGAATGACTGATACATTTTGGGCATACTAATGCCTTATACTATCGAAAAATATTCATGGTGACCAAATTTTTGTCCCGCTAACCATTGGTATAATTACATTCGTTATATCAGTTGGGTCTCTCCACGCGGACCAATCATGCGTAAGTAGTCCTACATAATTTGTTAGTCTCTAGCCACAAAGGGGAAGAAGAGAATCCTGAAGAATTCATCCATCACTAATAGTAAAAAAAAAACTTACCCCATGATTCATCAAGATCCTGAGCACCAGATCTAATATAATAACTACCGCTCAAAACCCACACCATCCAACCACCCTTAATCGAAGTCAAATAAGTCTTCAAACAAGTCGAATAAACGGTAGCATAATCCGAAGCCGTCTGCGCATGACCCCATTCTGTCAAAACGACGGGCATTTGATTCGTAGCCCCATCACCCAAAGCATTATACCCAGAATTTCGTAAACTACTTTCCAAACTCGAACAGCTACTCGTTGAGGAGGCATAATTGTGAAGTTCCAAAACCAACTTGTTGGCGAATGAAAATGATGATTTGAGAAATTTTTGGGTGGTGGATGGGGTTAAGAGTCCTGCGTTAGGGATGGGTGATAAATCTACGTCGAAGTTTAGTCCAGAGAGGAAGATGAGGACGTTGGGGTTGGCATTGTGGATACTGTTCATGCCTGGGACGACATTTGCGTACCAGTTTTCCCAGTTGTATGAGGAGGAATCGAGAGTAGGGTTGGATTTTGGTTCACGGAGTTCATTACGGAGGGACATGGACATTAGGTTTCCCCAGGAGGCACCCTGATTATGTTAGAGTACTTCTTTAGATAGAAGAAATGATTTTATGAAACCATGTGATGTGATTGTTTGAGTTGCTCCGAAAGGAAAATAACTTACTCTAGTAGCCATGTATGCAAGACCTCGTTGCCAGTTGGTAACATTGAAATAGGTATCTCCAAACCAAGAGTTACCATCAGTATTAGAGCAACACCATTCAGCCTTTGAGACATGATTATCAAGATGCACATAAATTTGCTGTTTGAAGCACTCAGCAGCAACGGCATCAAAGACCTATACTCACGAATCAGATTAGCAATCTCCTCAGCACTCAATCATCAAATAACTACATACCTGTAATCTAGTAGTCTTACTCGAAAACGTAGGGTTATTCTTAATGATTTGATTGTAAACATTAGTACCATTAGTCGACCCTAAAGCATTCTGCAAGCTGGTCAAAATCGGTACATCCACACCCCCATTCGCATAATAATCATCAATCATCTCGATAGGATATGTAAGACGAATAACATTCATTCCTAGACTTTTGATCTTCGACACTATAGTGGCAATGGATTGATATTGCAGTCCTTCAGGTAACATGGTATCTGCAGCACCAGGCCAATTGGCGCCAGCATAAGTGACATTGTGACCGGCGGAATCAAGAATCCATCGACCGGTTGTGGTGAAAGGAGCATAGGGCCATGAGGCTCGTTCTTCGATTGGTGATGCGAAGGTAGATGTGAGGAGAGGGGAAAGTAGGAAGAGGGCCTTGGAGAAATACATGATGGGTAGGAGGTAAGAGTCGTGCTGGGTGACTGAGGAGAAACTTCTTCATCTCGTCGGGGCAGGACATCATATTATAGAAATAGTGAACTGACCACCCAGAATGCAAGGACGCGTATTCCATATCCATTTAGCCATACAGATACATCAATTCATGTTTTTCTTTTTCAGAATCTAGAATTTATCATGAATATTTCCTTTTTGGGTTTACTGCCGAATCATAATGATTGGAGCGCATAGCATACCATGGTTACGTCGACTCCACTTGGGGTCATAGAGTTCACGAATATCCGTTAGCCTCCTCTATGATCCATAGCAAAATAACTTCATCACACGATCAGTAGCTGCGTAGCAGTATCCTCTATCATGTCATGAAAAACTTAACCTCGGAAGATTCGGGGAGCCATGGGAAGATCGGCAATTTAACTGCCGGATGATGGCACGGGATATATAAGATCTTACGACTGATTTCATGGGGCAAATCAAGAATTTTATTAAATAAGCTTAATTATTGAAAGATGTATAAAATATTAATCAAATGTATAAGAAATTCTTTAATATAATATGGTAATTGACTGAGTTATAAGGCTACCGGTTCAATATCTCAGTAGCATAACCGAAAAAGTAATCCACATGCATCATTACCCATGTACCAGTTAAAATCAAGTTTTGACCAAAAAATCCAATGAAGAAAAAACTAAACTAGTCGTGCATATTATGATAACAAGAGCGCGAATTGATGATGTCGTATTGTGACTTTTGACGCAGGTTCAATAGTGGTGGAAAATTAAAGTTGTGGGGTAATGGCGGGGTAGGTTGGGTATGAATTTATCCCCAAACTACCTACTATGTACGCAACTTACTCCGTTTCCCGTGCAACGGGCTCTTGGTGTTTGTTAAACTCCTGTGCGGTCGAATAACATGCCGATTTTGTCTGATGTTTTTGATGCTGTAAGTTGCGATTGAAAATCTTTGAGTTTAAAAACATATCGCCAATCAATGAAGCTGCGGAAATGGTCCAACATTCATCCGACGATCGAATTTAAGAAAATACCAAGAGCCCGGATCTCTCCATATTATTCGGTGTGGCCCGCATGAGTTGCCGCCAGCCACAGCAAAAACTTTAAAAATCCAATGTCTTCTATTTATATTAATGAAGCCCGTCTTGCTTCCAGTGGGGTGTACAAAAGGCACATGCCAAAAGCTGGTAACTACTTTGAAAGATATTATCCACACGTCGTATCAAAACCTCTTCCATTAAAGATTTCCGAACACTTCCACATTTGATCCATTACTTAGGACCTGGAGTCTCATATTTATAACCTGATACTGATAGTACCGTGCCCAAACCACGATGCACTTCAGCTTGGAATGGTGCAAATGGTACTCGCTCTCCGTCAATGGATATATAACCATTGGGTTGATTCTTTGGAGTGATGCGATATGCTTCGACTTTTCGGTAGTTGACATATGGAAGGCCAAAAAATTTACCACTTTCGACAGCGGGAAAAAGTTGTAATGCTTGGAGTCGACTGAGATTAGAATAATCGATGGTGACCATATCCATACAACCATCACTTGGAAGTGCAGCTGGAAAATAATCCACATCTGCGCCCATCCAAGACATCTAAAACATAAATTAGCTTTGTTGTACATCCATAGGCCAGTTCTACCATAAAATACTTACATTACCACAATAAAAACTTCCCATGTTATCATGTTGTTCGACTTTCCAATCTTGAGGTAATGGATCGGTTGAAGTTCCATACTTCAATTCCGGTAAGCCACCCTCTAATGAATCATTTCCTCGTAAGACTTCTTCTGGTGTACCACCAAGCTGCATAGCTTCATGATAACGTCGTTTGATTTCTTCTTTATCATCTGTAACCACCTTGACAGCAATATCACAAGGGTAAATTTTCTTTTGAAGAGATTTCAAAACAAAACCATAGATAAATCTTGTTCCTCCCATCCATCGCAAATGCTCTGTTCCCAGATCAAATTCAGCCACGATACCAAGGGCTTGGGAGAGGAATGATAAATGTCTTTCTTCACCCTGCGTGACTGAGATTAAATCTAATGGCGTACGAATACCTTTGACTATAGAAAGAGCTGCAATACTGGCAGATCTAATATTACCATGAAGACTGCAATGTAACCCATTTCCGGACCCACAAGGAATATGCGCAATCGCCATTTTCGAGAGAGCTCGCTTCGCATCTTTACGTTTTCCAAGACCATTGAAAACCTCAAATGGAAGACCATCTCCAGAACAACAAATTATCACATCGTAAGCTTCAATATCAAGTTTTTCCACGATATCAATGGCTTCCTTTGTGGCTTTGGTTACTGTCACATCAATTATCAGATGGGCAGCTTCGAGAATTGGGGAAACATCTTTTGCATAGATCTTCTCCGATTGCCCTTTTCCACTCTTTGGATTAATTAATACTTTAGCTCGTTTCTGTTGTTGGGATTGACCATATGCTCGATCTTTAAGGCTAGAAATCCATGCTTCTACTCGATCTCGTTCTTCTTCAATAACATACTTTAGTATTGCTGGTTGAAGAATAGTCTTCGAAAGCTCCTTTGCGTAATTTATGATGAGTTCTTTCTCAATCAATTCTGCCCAAAGAATGTGATGTAAAGGTATTGCACGTGAATTTGAAGAGCCCACGGGCTCCGAAGAGGTGGATGCATCTAGTGTCACAGAACGACGGGGACCTGCTCCTATGACTCTTTAGTATGACACATATACATGAAAGAGGTTTACATACCTTTGATAACTAAGGACTCAGGAGTTAAGGTTAATGATACATCTTTACTGACAAAAAGTGTATTCTCAATGTCGGAATGTCCAGCGCTACCACTTGCAGCACTTTGACCTGATGGGGGAATTGAGCTAGAGGGCGTAGGAGATGTCGCCATCTCAGATTCTGATCGGTGAAAATAATTATCGACAAATAATGAAACTGGCTATAGATGAACGTGATACCGAGGTTCCGAGATTATCCGGAATCAAACTGTCCAATGATAGAGAAACGAGTTGGGTGGTTGGTTGCCTTCGTCTCATGAAATCACAAATTATGCTTCTATAAAACGTAAAGGAAAGACAGAATTCAATCAAACTGAGGTGTAAATCATTTCACAAACTGATGTGATGAGATAAAAACCAAACGATGTTGGTGTGACGCGCGACCTTCCTCATCTGGTGGATGAGGTTGAGATTGTGATTTGCACAGACGCGGTGTAACCCTTGTTCATTAGCAGGGATAAGAAATGTCATCAATTTTTGTGATTGTTCTCCGTCAACCCAGCGACGAGGTGTAGATAGAATGGTAGAGTTCTTGGCCCTGATGATGGTGGTCGGCACAGGAGAATCCAACAATCCTCCTATCTATTCGCCATTGTCCGTTTGACAATTGGTGGAAGCTTAAGCTCGCCCTTTTGACATCGCTTGAATATGATTCCTGCGACATTGGTATTTCTAACAATAGGCATATATCGATCATCAATGTATCCATCTCAAGATTCAAAGTATGGCAAAGATATATCAGACCACCTATTCGCCGCTCGAAATAGAATAAGAGAACTTAGGAAGGTGCTTGATGATATTCACGTGATTTTATAGTCCGTGCATTGGAATGGCCTCCAATCACGGGGTTTCTGATGGGGAACATCAGCATCTGGTGATGATCCCTTGTTCATGTTCGTTGCAGCTCCCAAGCTCACCGGCCATGGCATTCGAGCTTCGGCTTTTTCAATATTGATATAGCACACTTAACCTCTGATATTCGATATTTCTGTCCATGAAGCTCACAAAGTCTCTTCCGGCCATCAATAGTTCAACGAAGCTATGCATTTTGATTCATTGGCTCAGAAGGAACAAGAGAGAGTCTTCATAGTATGGTTCCAAACGCTATTGAAAGACGAGCCCGAGCAATTAGCATGTGGACTTGCGGGGAAACATAGGCCTGGAAATGGGCTTACTGCGGTTCGATGGAAGACGGGAGGGTATAACGTGACTTTTCGTGTCAATTATGATGATGGCTTCCAGGCCATTGTTCGCTTCGCTGCCCTTGGTCAATCTCTCTATCGCACCGAGAAGGTTGGAAATGAGGCCACTGTTCTTCAGTATTTTCGCAAGAACACCAATATTCCCGTTCCACGTTTATTAGGTGTTGGGAAAATTGCCCTCGCACCCTACATCGTTGAAGAATTTGTGGAGGGGGAACTTGCTTCTGGTCCTTTCATGGAATCGAGAATAGAGCGACAGAATCTGGATTCCAACGTAGGTGAGCAGAAGCTGAAAGTTCTCTACCGAGAAATGGCCGGCATTGTGCTTGAGATGTCGAAACCAGAGTTCACGCATATTGGCTCTCTGGTTCAAACCGAAAATGAATATGCTCTTGGCAGACGTCCACTTATAAAATATGTGAACGAGCTGGCGATGAAGGCTAATCTTGCGCCACAACACTTTCCTACCTCAAACTCAATTTACACAACGTCTGTTGGCTACTTTGGGTCCTTGGTAGAACAACACATGGCTCAACTTCGCAACCAACGAAACGATTGCGTGAAAGACGAAGATGACTGCAAGAAAAAAATACATAGCTCGTTGCCTCATGCTTAGGATCTCTCATTATATTGCTATGAAATATTCTACAGGCCCATTTTGATTATTTTGTGAGAATTTCCGACCATCAAATATCATTGCCACTACAGAACCATTTCGCATCAATGCAGTCATCGATCTCGAGTTCACATATGCTGCCCCTGCAGCCTTCACGTATTCAGCACCTTGGTGGCTTTTGTTACAAAATCCAGAGGAATGGGAGCTTGATCTAAAGGGTACCTTCTTGCCTAGGTATAAACCACGACTTCGTCTTTTCCTTGAGGCTCTGCGGGAAGTCGAAGAAGAGCAGATCAAGAGTGAAAAGCTTCTCGAGGATCAAAGGCTCTCAGAACACATGGAACAGTCAATGAAAAATGGAGTGTTCTGGTTTTGTCTTGCAATAAGGAACAGTCAAATGTTTGACGATGTTTATTGGACCTTCCTCGATGAGATGTTTTTTGGACCTCTAGATAAACTTGAAGATCGAATTCAATTCCTCAGTGAGGATGAAAAGAGTGGGCTTCAAACTTTATATAAGATCAAACAAAAGCAAGCAAGTGATGGAATTTTAGATGATTTCTATGATGCAGGAGATCAATTGGACTATTAGAGTTCATCCAACGGACCTGGTAAGCTTTAACTTTTAGTTTGCAAGAGCTTTATATTTCTTTCCCGTCAACCACAACCGACTCCTAATAAATGACATTAGTCTTACTGACTCAAATCACAGAAAGCAGTTCCCTCGCCAAAACATTTGAAGTCCATTCCTGTCTCACTGCACATTCACCCCATGAACCTTCACGGCACGGCATTTGACCTGATACAAGGTCGCAGCGTTTCTGAACTTTCCGACTATTAGTTGTGGCACGATCTTGCTTTTCAGCACTTGTTGGAGTTTGCGCATCATTGAATTTGTCTCTTATACCCACAGTTAACATAAATAATCACAAATATTACCCATCACTGTCACCACCTCCTCTGCCACCTAAATTGCTAATTTTGTTGTTTGCCGGCGCTGTCTTGCATCACATGGCAGCCCATGAATAATACAATATCTCAATTTATTGCTGTTATTAATCTCTCCTATATCTACCATCGTCAGTTTATATCAGTAAAGCGCGCATCTGCGAGGGAAGACTAGAAGGATTTAAGATTAATCAAAACACGTGTTGGTGATCCTCCTAAGTTAAGACGCAGACTAGTATAACATGATTAGAGCAAGCCCCCTGAATAATCTGGACATCATTTTCCATACTTTCCTTGACAGAGTACCTTTTGCTTTCGAGCCAGTACTGTGTAATCAAAAGCATTGAGCTTGCAGTTATAATCCCGCATTAATACCATGCTACATTATTAGACAGAATTGCGGAATCTTGGGTTTCAATAGTTATGGAATAGTTCATATTCTTTCCCCCTAAAAAAATTATTATTTACAGAAAAAGTGGAAGAAGAAAAGGTTAGTAAACCCTGAAGCCCTAGAAAAGGTTGGAAACCCTAGAAAAGGTATATGAAAGACGAGTAAGTCCTTTGAACCCTAGAAAAGGTTGAAGAACAAGTAAGTCCATATGCAGGATTAGTAAATCCATGAAGCCCTAGAAAAGGCATATAAACCCCTAGAAAAGGTTAAGGACGAGTAAGTCCATGAAGCCCCAAGAAAGGCACTGACTACAGCATTATAGGGGAGGGAAAGAAAACAATCTTAAGTGATGATTGGAAACGAGAAAAAGGAAGAGGGTCAGAACATCGAGCGATTGGCTCATTGATTCAACTCACTTCTACCCTGAAGATGAGTATCGGCATCGGAGGTACCGATTTTCTCTATCTTCTTCTCTTTGGCAACCCAGTCATCAGACTTAAGATAATCGTCGATGCATCCAAATTTTCCATAAGAGTTCCGCAGAAACTCATTAAGAAACCTGAAAGCAGGATCGCAGAGCTCAATAGCCTCACTGAAAAGGATGTTGTCCGTATCGACAGGCTGGCAGTAGAATCTAAGCTCGTTCTTAAAGAGGCCATAGTTAAATCGGACTCCGAAGTGCTTCTCTACTGCCGCCTTGCGGTTCAACAAAAATCCGGCCATCTCAGCGTTTAACGGGGCCGATATGCCATATCGAGGACGGTCCCAGAGTTGCTTAATTGCTTCTGGTGGTGGTGGAGACTGTTCAAGCTTTAGACGTTTAGTCTGCTCTGTTAACGCCGGCTCGTGCGGGGGCAGCGTGTCGAGATCCATCACTGTTCTCTTACGCTTGCCTGTGGATGGTTCGGGCTTTGAATTTGAGGTTGCTTCCATCAAGGTGCTTGCCTCCAGTCCCTGTTCGGACTTTATGGCGGCATCCATCGATCTTTCAGCCCCTTGAGGTTTTGGTGTGGCATGAGAATGAGCACGAGGCGTATTCACCTTTCCTCTAGCAGGAGTTTCACCAGTGATGAGGGTATTACTTCTGCCGGCAGGACTAGGATCGGCCTTGGGCGTGTTGTTTTTGCCTTTTCCTATGGCAGCAGACGCATTTGTTTTTGCTTTCTTGTCGCCAGTGGAATTGGTGCCTCGATCTTTTGCTGGCTGTGGTTTTGAAGTCACAGCACCTGCAATAGGCTTCGGCTTAATCCCAGGAAAAGTCTGGTTTTTGACTAAATTTCTGTTAGATACTATTCTATCGCAAATTAAATTCAACATGAGTGACTTACACAATTCGCGCCACATCAATTTCTCCACGTAGTACAACTTGACTTCAAGGTGGCAGTTGTCGTAAGCAGGATCATTTTTGATTGCGGCTGCGCATTTGGCTCGAGTCGCTCGGATCGTCTCTGGGGTTACTTTTCAATCATTGGAATTTAGTATTTCCAAGATTGCAGGCCAGGTGGTTTGGTATTCTTCCATTTTGATTGTTATGGTTATGGTTATGGATGGATGAATTTTTTGTTTGTAAATTTTGAAAGTAAGATCGAGTAATATTTTGATTTTATCGAAATCCTCGTTTGCTGTGGGCAGGCTAAACCTCATTTACTTCTAGCCAATGGGCCGAGTGAATGTTGTTAAAGTGATGTGGTTGAAGTGAAGTGAAGTCAAGTGAGAAAGCGAAAAGAACAATGTGTAGGTATGAATGGTATGCGGTCTCAACACTCGGGGCGCAAGTCATCCTTATCATTTGCCATCTTTGCTCAACTTACTTCCTTACCTAGTTTGATAAATGGTCTAGCTAGTGTTTTTCATCTTCTGGTGTCAATTACCATCAAAATTCAATTGAGGACATGGGTTTGCGTAGCCATATGATCCAAGTCTGACCAACTATCAGAAAATTCATCTATACTGTCGTTATTGTCAAACGGGAATGGCACTACTCACATCTAAAACCATGAGTGGGATGCATGGGATGTATGGGATGTATGGGATATTTGATAATCGTTTTGGCATTTTGCGGCTATCAAGGACAACTCTTTAAGTCTAGTACCCCGTTCTTGGACCATCCCTCTTTTGGATTATCTTTTTATGTCAAAAATCATGATTTTTATCTACTAATCATTTTATAATTAATCAATAAAATTCGAAATTTCAATCATTACAGAAAGTCCGAACCTTGACCGTCTTACTCTGACTACACTACTTCCACACTCATATTACTCGTTTTTAACACCCATATGACTCGTTTTTAATTTTCTTATAAGATACATTCACATCGTCGGGAAAGAGACATACTTTTCCCAACGTCACATTATAACTTCTCGATGAAATCTTCATATATTATGAGCTAAAAAAAAAAAAAGGATCATTCATACATCTAAGCTCATTTCAAATTGAAAGCCGAGATGTCCGAAGAGGCCCATGGGAGGCAGATATTAAGAAATTGAATCAGTCGAACAAACCTTTGACATGAAGGTGTCAGGACTTCCGGACGAATTGATTAATTATTACTTCCTTGATTGCTGTACCCCCCCATCCAGGTCTAACAAATGAGAAGCTAATCAATCTGGCCAATCCTCTCCTTCTCCTGACATCCAACTTTCCGATGCCCCCAAATATTATCACATCGTTCGGGATGACCCAACGGTATTGGAGCTTGATTGATTGATTGATTTAACTGAGCTCAGCTCAACTCTTCTATACAGAATAATGATCGAGTTCCGATTGATACCTGCCAGCACTTGCGTAACTCATCAATATTTAATTCGAATATTTGATATCAGAGCTTCCCTGTGTAATCTTTCTTGAAGGAAATGCGGCGACCCTCCACTCAAAAAGTACTTAGATTCTCACCTAACATAATGATAAAACACAAAATCAAACTTCATGCACCTTTTAAATAGGACCAGAAAAATACCATTATAAATAATTCATATACCATTTCATTTCATTCAATCCATGCTCAGTCTAAATACATTTCGCATATCGTCAATTTTAGGCATGAGTCCTGACCTATCAATAAAAAATATATCCAATTTATGCTTGGTAAGTAGAGGCAGAAACATTTCCTCCACGTCCAGTCCAGTTAACGTGGATATCCTTTCCTTCTGGGTATTTCTCAGATGCGTGCTCTGGCTTGATCTTGAAGGTGTGAGCACCAAAGTAATCTCTTTGAGCTTGGAGAAGGTTGGCTGGGAGATCCTTGGTACGGTAACCATCGAACCAAGACAAAGCAGTGCTGAAAGCTGGAGTTGGGATACCCATAAGAGCAGCCTTGGAAACAACATCTCTCCATCCTGGTTGAGCCTTGTGGATAGCCTTGTTGAAGAAATCACTGAACAACAAGTTCTCCAAGTTATCATCAGCACGGTAAGCAGCTGTGATATCCTTGAGGAAAACGGATCTAATAATGCATCCACCTCTCCACATCAAAGCAATGGATGGCTTGTTAAGCTTCCACTTGAATTCCTTAGCAGCCTAAAATATTATTAGTATGAATAGCAAAACCAACTAGGGTTGAATCGTACCTCTTGCATAAGCATGAAACCTTGTGCGTATGAAATAATCTTTGATGCATACAAAGCTTGCTCCAAATCTTCAAGGAATTGTTTCTTGTCACCCTCGAATTTGTTTGATCGTCCAACGTAGGAGAGGACCTTGGAAGCACGAGTACGCTCCTCCTTAAGGGATGAAAGACAACGGGAGAGGACGGATTCGGCGATCAAAGTGACTGGCATACCGAGATCAAGAGCGTTGATAGCAGTCCACTTTCCGGTACCCTTTTGTCCAGCGGAATCCATAATCTTCTCGAGGAGTGGGGTTCCATCATCATCATTGAAGTACATGATGTCGCGGGTAATTTCGATCAAGAATGAATCAAGAACACCCTTGTTCCACTCGGCGAAAACATCACCGATTTCCTTGTCTTGCATACCAAGACCACGCTTCATGATATCATAAGCCTATAGAAGTTAGTTAAGAACCTTCAAGATAATTAAAGTTACATACTTCACAAATGAGTTGCATGTCACCGTATTCAATACCGTTGTGAACCATCTTGACGTAGTGACCAGCACCCTCGTCACCAACCCATTCACAGCATGCCTCACCATCAGATTTGGCAGCAATGCTTTGGAAAACATCCTTAATGTATGGCCATGCCTCTTCGTTTCCACCAGGCATCAAAGATGGGCCATATCTGGCACCCTCTTCACCACCGGAAACACCACTACCAACGAAACGGATACCCTTGCTAGCCAAGTATTTTGTTCTACGGTTGGTATCAGGGAAATGTGAGTTACCACCATCAATGATGATATCACCTTCCTCGATATGTGGGAGAATAGTCTCGATAAAGTCGTCGACTGGCTTACCAGCCATGACCAAAAGCATAATACGGCGGGGTTTCTTCAACTTGGCACAGAACTCTTCAATGGAGTGTGCACCCTCAATGGATTTACCTGTAGATTATCAAAGTTAGATTTTTCATTCTCATCATCTGCCAAAAGAAAATGTAGGATTATCATACCTTTAGCCTCATTCTCGAGGAAACGATCAACCTTTGATGTAGTACGGTTGAAGGCAATAACGTTGAAACCATGATCAGCAGCGTTAAGGATAATGTTTTGACCCATAACAGCCAAGCCGATGAGGCCGAAATCTCCGCTATTTCATTGTCAGTATATATGAAGTTATACTTATGGTGTTGTTGACTGGTAAGGAAGAAGGGTTGTCGATGGCGGGGTATTCATTCTGCTGTAACGGGATGGAGGGGAATAGCTCTTTTGAAGAATGCAGATGAAGATTGAGAAGTATACTTACGTTGGTTCAGACATCTTTAGATGATTTCGTAGATGAATCAAACGTTGATTAAATTTATCCTGATGATTTTCAATGATTGTTGATGTCAAAGGTTGAGAAAGGGAATTTGTTGTCCGGAAGAAAATGGAGAGTGAAGGAAGACTAAATTAAGGCGGGAAAGATGGGTTTGATTTTATAGAATGAGTGATGAAAGATGGTTGGACCTCCTCCAAAACACAATTTCAAGGAGGGGCAAAGCTTTTATTTTAGTAATTATTAACTTACTTCCAAAGCACCATTAGCATTACCATTCGCATTACCGCTTTTATCATTTCGTGGGATTTCCGGTCTCATGTTCATAATACTCGTACTCGCCCCTCGTTCTAAGAAGCTTACTCTACTCTGCTCTACCTTGATAGTAAGTAAACCTAGTACTCCGTAAACTTTCTTGTATCGAGAATTCCCCCTGATGTCCAAAGAAATTGAAGGCCGATGAGCTGTTTTCGGAAAGAACTTTTTAGAAATTACTCGTGTGTAGAGAAAATATTATGATGTAGTTGGAAATGATTGAAAATGATTGGATTCTTTCTCCATCGGATTATTTAATCATTAACTCTTTTTAGTCACTTTTAGTTAATTTCTATTAATTATTGTAATTATTGATAATCATTGGTCAAATGTGTTACCCCTCCTTACTAACTCGTCCCTCCTTGATATCTTCGGTGAAGCTGTATTGAGAATGAAAGGTATTCCTCTAAGTTGTCTTACTGTCATATCAACTACGTACTGTGCTACGTATGAGCTTCACTCTTCGGTGACACTTTATGATTATTCATCTATATTAAGCTTGATAATTGGTAAGATGGGTCCTCTCTACCAATCAGGTGCTCTAATATTCTCATGCCATGACATTTCTGCGTAACAACTTGGCCGGGTGTTCTTCTATTTTGGTTCTTGCTTCTCCCCCCACTTTATCTCTTTATTTCCATCTTTTATCATTTTCTCCGAGCGTATTCTGTCTCATCAGCAAAATCATCTCGGTCAACCAACTCTTCCAACTCAGGTCCACGTTAATAGAACTTCTAGACTTCTAGATGATTCCTTTTCCCTCTCAATAACTTTAAATTCCCATCCAGTGGCATCCACACCAACAAGACCCAACAAGTTATGGCATCGAGCCAAGTTCGTTTGATATTTACCCCACCAAGCTAAAACTAACTGTAAATCCAAGTCACCGATCGGCCCGAAGCAATTCAATCCCATCGTACAGACCACAACACTTGAAACCTATTATTCCAGGCATCACTAACTGAGCTCGGGTCACCTTAAAATATGACTAATCATCAATCACATGATATGAAATTATTCTAGAATTCCTTCCATCACAGCCTCATCTTGAACAACAACGTCAATCATAAAATTGTCAAATCATAAATCTTCCACCACGATCGCGTCAATAATACGCGACACGTTTCTTTCTACTTAACGAAAAAAAATTAAAAGACCCATCAAAGGAATCGCAACGATCACGACAAAAGTCCCGTTAGAATTCATAATTTTCCGTTTAGGTTTTGGTATAACCAGTGCGTTTTGAAAGCGCAAAGGTACGTCTAAACACTTATCAAGAGATATATACGTACAGCAATTCATCATGTCCTATCCGCCACCACCAGGTCTTAAATCTACTCCTTCGCCCCATCCCTCCTTACCCGCTCGACCACCTCCATCCGCGAATCCACAAACAGGTTTCAAACCCGCCTTTAGCAATAATGGTGCCTCGAGAACCCCTGCACCTGGAGGATATGGTGGCTTTACTGGCTTTGCTCCTAGATCGGTAGCTGCCCCGGCACAACCAAGTTATCAAGCTTATCAACAACCTTCCGCTGCTTACCAACAAGCTCAACCATATAATCCATATTCCAATGCACCACAGCAAGAAGCTGCATATGGAGCTGCACCACAAATTCGAAATCCTTTTGCGCCACCCACAGCCGCTGCAGGACGTGGTATAGGTGGATATGATGAAGATCCAGAGATGGCAGCACAAATAGCACAATGGCAAAGCGCATATGCTGGAAAGGATGCAAATACGACCTCTACCTCTAATAGTGGATACACTGGGGCTGTTCGAAAATACCCAACAATTGGAGAAGGACTCACATCAGCATCAAATGCAAATGCGACACCATTAGGTAGAACCGAGGCTGGACCAAATATGACTTCACAAGCAATTACGAATGCCGCTCACAATGATACCGGTGTTGCAGCAATTGTATCGGATTCCAAAACCAATCAAAAGACAGTTGTACGAACAGGTGGTGGTACACAATGGACAGATTCCTCTCTTCTTGAATGGGATCCTTCTCATTTTCGCCTTTTCGTTGGTAATCTTGCTGGTGAAGTTACTGATGAATCTTTACACAAGGCATTTTCACGTTGGTCATCTTTACAAAAAGCAAGAGTTATTCGAGATAAACGTACTACGAAAAGTAAAGGTTATGGATTTGTTAGTTTTAGTGATGGAGATGATTTCTTTCAAGCTGCTAGGGATATGCAAGGAAAATATATTGGTAGTCATCCTGTTCTTTTAAGAAGAAGTACTACTGAGATCAAGGCTGTTACACCAAAGGATAACAAGCATGGAAAGAATAATAAGAATAAGGGTAAAGGTGGTAACAGGCATGATGGGGGACAAAATAATAGAGATAAGACTGGAGCTGGTGTTCAAAAGGCTGGAAGTAAAACCAAGGGTGGCTTGAAGGTTTTGGGATAATAGTAATAGCAAGATTTGATATCATGTTTTCAGAGGTTATGGGAAGAAAGGGTGGGAGAGGGAATAGGAATGGTGAAGATTGTCAGCGCATATCAGAAACATATATCGAGGTCTGGTTTTGAATTTATTGATGATAAACTTTGGTTCAAGCTGGCCAATGAGATACATCTCCACGATAATATGGATGGCTCGATTTACCTAGAGCCTCTATTCTTTACTTGATAGAGAAATATAATTATAGGTCATTTATAATACTTAGAAATATACGTCTGAATTACGTCTGAATTAAAATCTTCAAGGTTAGATGGTTGGTTTGACAGTGATTATCGGCTCTTGCACAAGGGAAAGGGGGAGGGGTCACTAAAAATGAAATGGATGTTGTTGGTTAGTCAGCCAATAGACATTTAGCCATAATCCAAACTTCACCATACAGCAACCATATATCCAATCCCCGCTCTCACCATCTTCTATCAATATTTATTGAATAGACCTTTTCAGAATACGATCATCTCAAGAAATATTACTGGTTCGCATGGAATTCTCAAGGAAAGTTAGAAACGTATCGCTTGCCACCTTGACTCGTGTTTCAAGCAAAAGGCCAAAGAGTTTTGGTGGGTTAAAGTATCAAATCTTCATGTGATTCCGAGATGTAGGGTATTTGAAGTGATGGTTTTGATAGCTCGGCTTTGGTTGATGAGTTTGGATAAAACATTCACAGAATCAGATTGTTTCTGAATTATCACTTAGTCCGTTTTTATATCATCCAGCGATTCGGGCTTTGGATATAAGATATCCTTACCTCGATTGCTTTTTTCTACTATTGTGAACTCTTTCTTTTCGATTTTTTATCTTACAATACATACACAACTTGAATGACGATATCGAAACAATGGGTAAAACAGAATGGCTAACTTGTACAGCTCTTGCTGCTGTCTTGGTTTATACTTTTCCACAATATTTGACCGTCGATCGAGTTTCGAGATCAACAATCCGTTTTCTTCTACTTGATATTTCATTGTTCTCTTTTTGGCGCATGTTCATATATCCTTTCTTTTTTAGTCCTCTTCGTCATCTACCAGGTCCAGTGGTAAGTTCAGTTTACTTCCCATATTCATTCATTCATTAACATGTTCATAGTCTTACAACTTCCTCTGGGGCAATGGCTCTTCACAATTCAGCAAACCACCTGGATATGAAATTCAACAGTTCGTTAAAGATGTACCAAATGATGGTTTACTACGCATTCGATCATTTGCAAATATTGAAAGACTTATTCCTACATCTCCTAGAGTATTGAAAAGTATTCTAGCTGGAAATTCATACGATTATGAAAAACCATCTGGGGTTCGCAAATTTCTCACCTTGATCTTGGGTGAAGGACCTATCATGTCAGAAGGTTCTCTTCATAAATTTCAACGCAAACATTTGTTACCCGCTTTTCAAGTCAAACATATTAGAGAACTATATCCAGTTTTTTGGTCCAAAGCTCTTGGTCTTGTTGAAGGTATCTCCCAAGAAATTACTGAAACAAGTACACTGGAAAAAAGAAATGAATCACATATCGAATTCAATGAATGGGCTACTCGTGTTACATTGGATATAATTGGTGTTGCTGGAGTAGGTAGGGATTTCGGTGCTCTTAGAAACCCAGATGATCCTCTAGTACGAGACTATAACGAACTTCTCGAACCTACCATTAGTAAAGGTCTTTACTTTGCAGCCAACATTTTCGGTCCTCAAGATCTCATTCAAAAACTCCCTTTCAAATATAGCAAAGTAATTGCTGAAACAACAGGGAACCTTCGTACTTTCTGTCGCGAAGTCATCGATGAAAAACGTCAGGCAGTACGCGAAGGTAAAACAGTCGATGGAATGGATATCCTAAGTATCCTCGTCCGTTCCAACGATTTCAGTGACGAAGATCTCGAAGATCAACTCCTTACATTCTTAGCAGCTGGTCATGAAACTACTTCTTCAGCTCTTACATGGGCTATCTATCTCCTAGCCATTCATCCAGACTGGCAAATCAAACTTCGTCAAGAAATCCACGCCGCAATCCCTTCACCCTCCAATACAAATCCCACAGAACCAAATCACACTATCATCGATTCCCTCCCAATCCTAAACGCAGTTATTCAAGAAACCCTCCGTCTCTACCCTACCGTTCCTCTCTCCGTCCGTACCTCCACAAGACCTACATCCATCACCCTCCCGGATTCCTCCACACTCCACATCCCCATCGGGACACGTATGCTCATCTCCCCCTTAGCCATCAACCGCTCCCCAGAACTCTGGGGCCCTAAAGCCGACGAATGGTCTCCGGAACGATGGCTCGAAGATGGATGTGCCAATACCGGGGGCGCGGATAGTAATTTTGCTAATATGACTTTTTTTCACGGAGAGAGAAGTTGTATAGGGAAGGGATTTGCAATTAGTGAGTTTAGGTGTTTGTTAGCGGGGGTGGTAGGTGGTTTGGAGTGGGAGATGTGGGATAAGGGGGAAGTGGTGAGGGTCGGGGGTGTAGTTACTACGAAACCAGTGGGAGGGATGAATGTTAGGATGAGGAAGGTTGAGTGGTAGGTTGGATGGATGGTGAAGGGGATGGGGTAGGGGAGGCGATTTTTCTTTTCTTTTGATTTATCAGGGGATATCGTATTCAGTGCTAGGGTTTATGAATTCGCAGTCATGTTAATTGCTACTTAGGATAACACAATACCATTTTTTTTTAACTTTTGAGTAACACATTAGGAGCAAGGACAGATGATAGCATTTGATATGATAGTATCTGTTGACCTCCTGGGATCTTGGCAGCATATGCATATATAGTACATATGCATATAAGGAGCAAACAAAACTCAACTTTTAATTCATTCTTTCCTTTTTGGTATACTGTTTGTTTGCTTTCAATATTTTGATTTCAAAGCACTTTAATTCCGAAGGCCGAATACCTAACCTATTCCTTCATTTTTTTTTCAATATATACTCGCAGCTTAACTGCTTAGCTAGAGAATCAATAAATTCAATCTGATGCTCTTTCTAGTCTCAAGTAACCCAACAGTATCTGAGGTTCTTTTTGGCGCTCGGAAATTGAGCACTTTGAGCTAAGACGTCCTGTTTAGATCGCTTCTAACGTGTCTATATTCCTTGCTTATTTCAGAATTGTGCGGTGAGTAGAGGTAGGTAGTAGTAATTTAATCTTTTATATTCATTAGACAATAAAGAAAGTTATAGCAAGAAGATTTACCTAGGATAATTATAGCATCACATCCCTCCTGCTAGACGTCAGTACTAGACACATTTCAAGGAGATAGGAACTACGGGTGTGATGTCGTGGCTAGAAAATGGAGAAGTTTTGGTGAAAATATCTATCTAGATATCACACAGGGCTGCAAGTATATATCCTGTTCGGTGGTAAGAGGTTGATTGGGAGTAGTAGGTGATAGCTTTCGAGCGCCCATTGAATGCCACTCAAGTGGATATCCTATGCGGAAACTATGTTTCAATATTATTCCCAAAACCGATTCTCACAAGTTGAGATAAGTTTTACCTATCTCAGTTCTCTCCCATCTTACCACTTAAAAGTATCTTTCCATTTTCGATATCGAACACCAATCCGTTACCACTAGATAACAGCAGCTCAAATTCCCAGTTCGTCTTGAAACTATAGCATCTAACATCTCTTCATTCAAACCCCTCCTTTATCTTCATCTTCACCGTCATGTACATCTCCATTCCCAATCACATTCGCCTATCAAAATTCACTGTAGAAAGCACAATATCGCATATGAGATCTAAGCGAAGTGATATAAGCCCATGTTTAGTACAGCAGATATACCGTACGGGTTGAACTATCTCCAGGCTTCTTTAATTTCCTGAAATGATGTTATGCTTAATTGTAGATAAATTGTCTTCATCCTCTTTTAAACAACTTCAATTTTTCGAATAGCGTATCATAACAAACCAGCATGACCATCACGATCACAACCATCACAACGACTACACTTACAGCAAAATAAAATCAATAATATCATACTAACAATTCCCATTCCCATTCCCATTTCCATCACAATGCCTTCCTCCCAACTAAAATCAAAAGCTCCTTCATCCCCCACCAAAAAACACCATCCAATCCTAACCAAGACAAAAAGTGGTGAAATTTCAAAGAAGACGAAAATGCCAATTCTCGACGCAACATCTCCCTCAGCAAAATCTCCTACTCAAATCCTTCGTCATCCATCAAGCAAGAAATAAATTGCTCTACTTCGAGGAGTAGAGACTATCGAGAAACAAAAGGTGGTGGAGTGCGGCGATCCCGCTGTGTCTGTAGCGGAACGAATGGATATTGAAACGACAGCTGTCGAGCTTGAGGAAGAGTCAATGGATATTGAAAGGAAACTTTCGACTGACAAAATTGTTAAGAAACCTGCTTCTAAGAAACCCGATTCTAAGAAGGCTATGGATGGTGGGATTCCGAAGAAGATGAGGAAAGGGTCGCTCAGCATCAATTCTGCTTCTAAAGCCCCTTGCAAAGCCCCTTCTAAAGACCCTCCTAAATCCCCGTCTACATCCCCCTCTACATATCCTTCCACCTCTTCCCCCACTTCTTCCCTCACCTCCCCCTCCGCAGCTTCTCCCACAACTCCTATCACATCTCCTTTGAAACCTTCTCTCAAATCTCCTTCAGACCCTTCTCCTGATCGACATTTGCATCGTCCCAATGGCAAATTTGCTCCTTTGATACGTATGATACGGATCATCGGCATGCAAGGTGTGCAGAGATGCTGTGAGACTGACGAAATGGATACTGTGAGTATACACTCTTTGCCACTTATGAGCTCTTGGCTGTATACTTCTACTATCTATCTTGTTTATTGATAGCACACTACTCTCATCCAATTCATCAATAGATAATAAACTAACAATCCAATCAGGATGAAGATTACGAGTGGAACTACCCTGGATTCAATGGATATCTCTTGGAAGAGTTCAGTGCCAAGAGAAGACAATTCCCAGAAATGGGATTGGATAAAGTGGCTTTGGCCACGTATCGTGCGGGAGAAGTCAATGAATATGGCATTGCCTAAGATACCATCGTCCTAGCGGTGGTTCAGAATCAGATCTTGGGAGGATCTGATTTTTGTTTTTATATTTCTCCCCTTGGGTTCGATTTCATAAGCAGTTGGCATAACTTCCTTGCTGCCTTTTGAAAGTTTGGCACCAACAGCTGCCATTACTCGAAGCCTTGATCTGATCCAAAATTATTCAAAAGCACAGGTTTTCCTTTCCAGTACCATCCAGGGTAGCTGTCACGTGTTACATTAGCGCCTTCCCAATTTCTATCACTAAATTCGCGTCTGCTAACATTCGCGACAACATCGATCGAGGTTTACCTTTCGATTTACCAGTTATTTTCTTGTCAACTTTTCTTCGACTTTACGGCAATCTCAAGCTTTCCTTTTTGCGATTTCAATCATTACATTCACGATGCAGGTAATGCAAGATCCCTCTCAAGGGATTCATCGCGACTTGGTATGTTTTATAGCTTCTTCCAGCTTCAATCATCAAACAATATTCTAATTTGATCGCGCAGTTACATCACGTTCATCTTCTCTCTACTTATCGATTTCCAAACACACCTTCACAATTACATCCGGAAAGAGTAGCAGAATGGCTTTTAAATGCACCAAAAATTACTCGCGATCAGGCTCCTGTTTATTGGACTTACCTTGATCGACCTGTTGATGGTACAGTCTTATTATCATGGCAAACACCTACATTGGGTCATGAATTTCCTAGTGATGGTTATATCTGGGCTCCTGGAGAGACGGCATTCTCTATGGAAGTCATGGGATGCGTGAGTTTACCATCAATATGATTTGTAAAGAGTTCTACTGACTCGAGTTATCTTCGCAGACTCTAGAGATTTATCAATGCAAAATTGGTTATGCTACTGGTGAATCTATTGCATCTCACAGTCGTCGCCGATATCGAATTCTACCACCTCGAATTCCAAATCAAAACCCTTTACCTGATCCAAACCTCTGGATTATTCATTACATTCAAGCTCCTCCGGAAGACCGTCTTCCCTCTCACATCATCCCAATTAATCAACAAATTCAAACCATTATGAGCACAAGGCAATATTTACATCAACAAGGTCAACTTATTCACAAGGAATTTTTACTTCATGATAGAGCCAATTGGGCAAAAATTGATTTTCCTCGTGGTCATCCAAGAGGCGCACCAATGTATGCAGCGAGCATTCCACCAAGAGTTCCTCAATCAATGGCATACCCAACTCATCCTCAACCTGGTCCACCTCCAAAACGAGCTCGAACAGCTGTTTCTCAAGCCGCAGCTGCAAATAATACCACTGCAGTTGTTGAGGAAGACGAAGAAGAAAATTCTCGAGGAGATTGGTTCGACCTTACAACACCTCGCGAAATCAGTTACAGCAGATTTCTCACAAATTATGATTGGATGGAGGAAGTTCTATCTTCACCTTATGCCATTCATCAAATCGTTCCCACAGACCTTGGACTTGGTGTTCGTGGTGAATTGAATAGTCTCACTGAAGGTATATTTAATGCTCCTCTCAAAGAAAACGAAGAACCAACACCAGCACTTAATTATGTTGGCCGTCTTGATCCAGGCAAGGCAGAAGAATTTCGAAAAAGAGCTCACGATACTATTGCACAAACTAATAAGGATATCGAAAAGATAAAAGCTAAACATGCAAAACGTCTTGCGAAATTTCAAAGGGGCTCTCTTATCTCTCAAGCCGAGAAAGAATTACGTACAGCTGTTGATGATCCTTCAGATGTTGGTCCTGAATATTGGAGACTTGAAGGGAAAATCGATGAAGAAGAGAATGAAGATACCGAAACTCCTATCAAAGTTCCTTCCAAGGTTGATGATGTTCTCGCAAAGGTTGAAGCTTCTCTTGGTCGTCATGCGGTTGCAATTAGTGAACTTCGTCGTATTCAAGATGGTGGATATGAAGAAGTTGCTGCACAAGCAAGTCCTCAACCTTCTCGACCTTCTAGAAATGGTTCTCAGCAAAGTGGTGTTCTTATCAATGAGTCAGATGTCGCTGATGTTGATATGACTAATTCTACTGCTGGTTTACTCGATCAATTTCACAATAGCAATCCATCTTCCTCTCACGCCACACCAATGAGTGCGAATTATCCAACTCCTGGTCATTTACAACATCCATCTGCAGCAACCACACCAGCAGGGGCTCTACATATGGCATCTCCACATCTTTCTCAAACTATGGGAACACCACAAGCTGCTCAACATCAATTTTCACCGCAACAAGAACAACAAGATATACATATGCAGGATTCAATTTCAACAGCAGAAGCTCACCAATCTATGACTGCAACTGCCCAGCCTACTGGTGATACCTCAGATTGGGTTGTCATACCACCAGGAGGTGTCTCACCTACAGCAGATCCTTCAAATACAAACACAAATAGTAATACACCAAATCCCCAATCTCACGATCAACAATCAGCACTACCAGATTATCTTAAGCCTTCCAGTAACAATACACCAGAACAAACCACAAATTCTACATCTTTACCTGAACCACAAGTTGAACATTCACAAGAACAAGAAGAACAAGAACATCATACTGAACTTAATGAAAATGATTTTGATCTTGAAGATTTAGATACAGCTGGTGATGCTTTAGCTTCATATGATGCTGGTGATAATATGGAAGATGATGGTCATGGTTTGGGTGATTTGGTTGATGATAGTGCTTTTGGTGAAGCCTTTCATGGGATTGATCATGATCATGGCGATACAGATGGAGATAATCAAGGCATGTAATATAAGGAAAGTTTATGATGGATTATGGTATCGGCAGGGAATTTATGGATGATGGAGTGTATCTCTGGGGAACATTTTAACGATGATGGGCTTCGCTGGAACATAACTAATGACTAATTTGGTCTTCCAAACATTTTATTTTTTTTAATTGAAAACACTCCTACTTTGTGAGTGGGGAACTTCCTCCTTGGGTTTATTCTTTTGGGGCATGTAAGAACCTTGATATTGATGGTAATGATAGTTTGGGATTTTGAGATGGAATTAGTTTATGGTCTAATGATCTGGTTATTGGAGGAGATCTTGAGAGCTCTTCTTGATATAGATCGGGTCGAATCTAGCTGAAGTGATCTTTTGTTGATGTTTGATGGATGTGGTGGTTTATTAGTTGGTAGCGGTTGGATGGTTCTAAAACCCCTAATGGTTCTTTGTGGTATGGATCGGACTGAGGGCAGAATTTTACTGATAGATGGATGGATAGGTAGGTAGGTTGATTCCTATTGAGCAAAAGACTCGAGTATTGATTGTTAGATTAGATTATTTGCTTCTTTCCCATGTTATGCTTATATGCTTCTACTATAAGTTGTATGAATAGAAACTACTATAAAATATTACCTTATCGTATTTTGCCTTACCTTTCGCTCACAAATGTAACATGTGAGATTCAGGGACAACTATTAAATATCTAGTACCAAAATTATCTCGAAATAGAAACCCAAATTCTTGAAAGCAAAACTTTGCAACATTATAACTAGTCACGGCTCATGATAATGCAATGCTCCAAAGCTCAAAATGTGGAGGGGCAATTCCAATCACATGCAGTGCCCCTCCAAAACGCGGGGCACATTTTCCACAAACACGACATGAAGCAAAAAAGTTGGCAGCAGATCACTTCAATGCCATCTTTATTTTCTCCTTCAAAATGACTTTGGTTCAAGTCACAGAGACACTTCTTTAAATCGTTCAATACTTCCCCAAAACTCCGCTATCTCAAAATGGAAGACAAAGCAAATGCCACCATGGCAGATCCATCCGTCATAACTATCGATAACATTTCCAGCAGAATGCCTCCTCATAATGCAGACGATGTTAAAAAATCTACAGATCATTTATACGCTTTAGTGGACATGGGAAGGTATGCTTCCTTCCCATAAACAAAAGTCATAATTAAGAACTCCCAACTAATTAAAATCCCCAGCAACGGAATTCGATTTTCCATCTCGGATCTCTCTCCTCCTACCGCCCGTCTCCTTCCTTGCATCTATCGCGATCGCGCTCCCATTTCCCTCTACGATGCCCTCCATTCTTCTCTTCCCGGTTCTCGAGAATTAATTTTCGATTCCGATATCATTGCGCAAGTTGCCAAACGTCTTGCGGGATTTAAATATACTTGTGATTCCTATGGGGTGCTTTCGAAAAATATTGGGGTTTTTGCTACGGAAGCTATGCGCACGGCGCTGAATAGGAAAGAGATGACGGATGCGATTAAGAGGGAGAGTGGGCTAGAAGTTGATATTTTGAGTCCGCAGGTCGAGAGTTTGTTGGGGGCGATGGGGGCGAGGGGTGGGTTTGTGGGTGTGCGGGGTTTGATGATGGATTTGGGGGGTGGGAGTGTGCAGATGGCTTTTATGGATAGTGGTGCTTCTGTATCTTCTGCATCTTCTGTTGAGATGTTGGAAGCATCTACGGGCGTGGAAACGTACTGGGGAAAGAGTGCAGCGTTTGCGAAGAGTATGCCGTTTGGAGCTGCGAAGATGACGGCAATGTTGGGGAAGGGAGATATTGATGATATTCGGAATGATATGCGAACACGATTTCAAGAGACATTCCAGGGATTATGTGGAAGTTTTGAAGAACTGCAGAAGCAGGTAGAGAATGAGGGTGTGACGATATATCTCTGCGGTGGAGGATTCAGAGGTTATGGAAGTATGTTGATGCATACTGATCCCATAAATCCCTATCCTATCCCCTCTATTGCCGGCTACAAAGTATCCGGAAAGCGATTCAGGCAAACGAGAGAAATGCTCCGTGTGAATGAAGTCGAGAAGGAAAAGATTCACGGCATGAGTAAGCGACGACGAGAACAATTTCCCGCCATAGTGGAAGTGGTCGTGGGGATCATTTCCGTCGTTCCAAATATCAAAGAAGTGATTTTCTGCGGCGGAGGAAATAGAGAAGGAGTACTATTTCTCAAACTACCATCCCAAATCCAAGAAACTCATCCTTTATTACTTCTCCCTTCCAATCACTCCATGAGCGATACCCAAGTCACAGAACTAATAGAAATCCTCTCCTCATCACTCCCCGCCTCCCAACCCGGTACTAAAATCTTCACTCGGGAAATCCTATCCTATATCGTAAAATACATGTGGGAAAACATGGCAGATATATCGAATTTAAACGCGGCCCGCGCATTACATACTCCTATTTCGGGACCAATGGCTGGAATGCCCGGATTATCGCATGAGGTTATTGCGATACTTTCATTAACCTTGTGTGCGCGGTGGGAAAACGATGTGGGGAAAGTGGATAGGGGGGTATTGGGGGGATTGAGGGGGATAGTGGGGGAGGAGGGTGCTTGGTGGTGTGATTATTTGGGGGCGGTGGCGAGGGGGGTTTGTGGGTTGGTTGTTGTTCCTAGGAGGAATGTTGGAGATGGAGGGAAAGGGCTTGGATTTAGGTTTAAGGGGGAATGGACAGATGGGTTGGGCAAGAAGGGGAAGAGGGAGGGGGTGAGATTGAGGGTCTTGGGTGATTTGGGAGCGCGAGAGAAAGATGTGGAGTTGGAGAAGGTGTCCGGAAAGGTGGGCAAGGGATTGGGGTTGAAGAGGAGGGTTGAGATTGTTTGGGGGGAGGAATTGTGAGGCGAGGGTCTTGCTTTTCACGTCTAAGGTAAAATCTTAGAATTTCGAGGGGATGGGATAGGAAGGAAAGAGAAGAGAGTAAAGAGAAGGGGAAGGGAAGGGAAGGGAAGGTAAGAGAAGGGAAGGGAAGGGAAGTATTTTATGATACCCAATTCTATTTCTACACTATACTATATACTACACACAGCCAAGAACTATCCTATTTAGATACATATGTTCATACATACATAGTTCACATTCAAATTAAATTAGATCAAATCCATCACCTATTACCTATTACCTATTACCTATCATCCAATATCATGACAAACAATAAACAAGGTAAGAGGTAAGGGGAAAACAATTTCATCATCATCCAAAAAAAAAAAGAATAAGTATCCTCATTTACATGCTCTATTCTACATGCTTTGCTCTACTATGCTACTAAACCAACCAATCAACCACATACATATTACCAGCCCAACCCAAGTCCAATCCCAAGTCCAAGTCCAAGTCCAAGTCTAAACCCAGAACTAAAACCAGCCAAACTACTAGACAACCGACTTAATACCAATATCATACCATCCATTCAAGACAGTATCTAAAAAGCACCACACTCAAAACGCCGGGTATCCCTATCCAATCTCATGCTATGCCATCAGCTGCTTTCTTTCTAGCATAACGACAAATTTCTATTTATAAACGTGAGTATAAATAGATATAAACATAAAGTATAAATATAAGTCCAAGTATAAATATATATGTAAATGTATAGCCAAGAGAGTTAATCAACTCTCTTATCTTCTCTCCTTTCTTTAATATGTAAATAAGAAATTTTGAATCGACGTAGTGAATTGAATGAAAATAGTCAATCACTCAAATCTTTCTTTGCGCTGTTTCCAACCAATGGTGCAATTTCTGCTCTTGAACTTTCTCCTTTTTTGACTTGGAATCTATCCGGGTTTGGTAGAATGTCGCCATCATTTGTAACATAACTTCCCTCTTGACCATCCCAATCACTTTCTCCATCTTCTCCATCTGCATCACTTCCACTTTCTCTTGCTCTTTCTGCAGCTTCATGAATTCTATGAGCTTCTGTTTGAGCATCTTCTCTCATTTTTCGAATCTTAATCCAATTATATGCTGCGATTGCACCGATTGTGACGAAGAGACCAGAGATATTGATTAACGTAAGAGGATCATGGAAAACTAATCCTGCGGCTGAAATTGTAACTACTTCTTTGAAAATTCCTGCGATTGAAAGAGTAACGACGGATGTACGCTGTAGCAGAGCGAATTCCGAGGCTGTCATGAAAAAAGCTATACAACCTGGGAATAGTAAAAGTGCAGGACCGAAGATTGGACCTTTGACTTCGACTAATGTTTTCAGACCTTCCCAAAGTGCTGGAAATCCTTCTACGGGAGTAGCGATGATTAGAAGAGAGGCGAACATGATAGGAGCAAGGTAGAAAATCGAGGAGAAAGGATTCGAAGTTGCTGGGTTGCGAAGAAGAAGAATTTGTGTCAAACCCCAACGGAAACCGGAGAAAAATGCGGCAAATATGACGAGAATAAAGCCCTTGGTCGAAAAGTCGACTTCACCAAATACCATCATTACAACACCAACTGTCATTGTGAATATAATACCAACTAAACGCCAAGAAGGAGTTTCGAGACGAAATACGAATGCGAAAAGAAGTACGAATGCGAGAGACGAGGATTTGCACATAGCTTTGGTATATGTTAGTAGGATATCTCCACTAAGGAAAGGGGTACAAACTATAAAATGTAAGGGTTATGAATTTTAAAGACATATTTCCAAGACCAATATCCAATCCTGTTGCCATTCCACAAGGTCCAATTCGTGTAAAGTAAAACATTCTCGTCATTAACGGTTTCTTCATATCAATCTCATGTTGAGCCATATCTGAATCCGATACATGTGTATTGTGAGGATTGGAAATAGAATCATATCGAGGTCGAAATTGAGGTAGAAAGTAAAGAACGAGACTCGCGAGAGAGAATTGTACTAGCATATGCATACATGTTGTAAATAGAGGGAAATGGAAATTGAGATGTTTTGGATCAAACATCCATTTGTTATACTATTTGATGGTTAGAAAATATTTGGGAGGCGAAGAAGATGAACTTACTATAGATATTGATAGAGAAAATATATACCAAAGTCCTATTAGAGACCCATTCATTAAACTCTTCCTCACGACATTCCAATCCGCTTCTTTCTTCTCATCTGTTGTTACTTTAATATCTCCCGCAATTCTATGATCCATTGATTGATGCCGTATCTTCTTCTTCTTTCGTTTTGCTCTCGACTTGGCAGTCAAACCGGTTTCCTCATCATCTTGTAAATCACCATCTTCAGAGAAATTATTCAATTCCATATCATCGCTAGTAGATCTCGAATCATCGTCTGACCCTCTATCTCCAGATTTCGTATCTCCTCCAATTATAGAAGTTTTTGGTGATCGCTTTGCTTTTGGGACTCTTGAATTTGGATCCAAGCTATTCATCATGCTACTTCTCCTCCGCCGATGACCCGAAGGTTGTGAATCCATGATTGTATCTGTTGGGTGTAAATCTGCGAGAGCTGCAGCAGCATCTGGATCTAACAATTCTTCTTCCGAACGCGCCGATGCTTCAGATGTGGAAGTTCTTGGTAAATTTTGTATAGGAAAATGAGATTTTGAGGGTTGAGGTGAGTGTGGATGTGAGTGTGGGTGTGGATTTGTGTCCGAGAGAGGGAATGAGAGTGATAGCGAGTGCGAGCGCGAATGTGGGTATGAGAGTGGTTTTGATTGTGAAGATTCAAGTGAAGTGTTCTCGGTGGAGATTTGATCGGATATCGGTAGTGTCTCCTCTTCCTCCAATTGTGAATGATGTTGAACCTGTGCTGCTGCAGGAATCTTGGATCTCGTCTCCTCTAAGGCCATGGTAATTACTGAATCAAGGTGGATTTGCTAATGTACTCTTCATTATTTTTGGGCCTGTAAGCTTTCGATTGAGGGTCGTATTGTGGAGATCTGACCTTGCGATTTATGCCCGAAAGGTGGATAGTTTGAATAGTTTGAGCTTTTCTGCTAATCTTGGCAAGCATCAAGGGGGAGGGGGTCCAAAAATGGTGCTAGGGATGTGACATTATTGTGACATTGTGACCATGATACATGATACAAATGCGTGCGAGCACTGAGCTTGTATGAGGTACACGCGACTGCTTACTTGAACAGCTTAACTTGACTTGGCGATTGATAAGTGTACGAATTAGATGTTGTGAAACGAAATTAGAGGAACATTTAAGGTTAACGTTGGATTTTATGAATTAGTTTGTAATTTTATGTATTTTATATATTTCTTATGTAGATTTTATATTTACATTCCAAAGGGGTTTACATAGACGGGGCAACAAAGATATTATGAACGTTGAGTATACTAGAGACATAGATTGCTTTGACCCCCATCACCTCAAATTACATCTACTGTACTCGTATACACAACCTCTCGACCTTGAAGTAGGTACGAGTACGATCGATTAGATAGATACCTAGTAGTCGAGTTCACATTTCTATACCTCTCGCCCTCTATCCTATTGGCCATGTGCTCTACAAGCTCTTGACTGGGTGATGCTCTCCACACACTCTACCGAGTCCACTCCAGTTCCCACTGAACGATGAAGTCTTTCCGCCCCATTCCGGTGATCATCAATTGGGGATATACCTTGGATGATACACCGGTCTAGAAGTAAATGTCCCTGAATGTCTTGAACATCGTCAACATCCTTCAAATTTATTCCAAAGAACACCAATATATTCTTGATCTATGCATGAATCAAAGAGGATAACGTACATTTTCAATGTCATCATCAGCCTTAAGAGTAGACTATGAAGTCAGTGGTGAAAGTTTAAAAGAAAAAGAAAATCTTCCCGTGTTCATTCGATCTCCCGAATATTGGCAGGATTTCCGGACTTCCAGTTAACATTTCCCCAAGTCTCGACTCTCAACTCTTAACTCTTATTACAGTTCAGCTCTTCTTCTTGACCGCTTCTGTTGTGTCAGATGATGAAAGCCATAATCATCTTCTTCTCGTGATTGTTTCACCTAAATGAGAAGACACAACATATTCTCTTACTGTACTTAATGTTGTCCTCTGACCATTTTAAGTATTTTGTTGAATGAAAGATCATTCTTGGGATTTCCCCAGGACTTTGGATTATGATGATTAATCAATCAGTCAATCAATCATCAATTATCAATCATCGATCAATCAATCAATCAAATCAAACATCACACATCTCATCGTGCTAATCCAGTAGTAAATTGGCAAAAGGGACCTGAGTTGGGGTTAGCTGGGCTTAGTTAACGGAACGGAAATGTCAAGCTTTCCCTCCTCCCGTAAGTATGACGAAAAGATCGCGTTTTTCCCTCAAGCTTCACTCGTGGCTATCCGAGACTGAGCTGTGATTGTTCAACTTCTCTTACATCAAACATCAATAAGCTAGGTATCAAGGTATCAATCTATCTATCAATCTCCAGCTTCAAAACATCCCCCCAACCAAAGCCATAAATAAATCTTATGGCTACACAGATAGTTCAATTTCTTATGTGAAACGTATCACACGTAATTCATTCACTGTGAGATTGATCGATTTATTTACTGCATCAAATCTCCTTTACCTGCAATCATTTCGTTACACTGTTTCGATTGCTTTGTTCTTTTTTACTTGTTTACTCTGTACTATTTCCTCGTTTCCTCATCTCCCATCAAAGGCAACTTGCATCACTCACATTCAACAAACGCGTACTTTGATCTATCAACAATGTCTGTCCCCGGCATTGCCCAAGTTTCTCGTCGCCACGACACGGGATATTTACCAATAGAGAATTATGGTCTAATTGGGAATATGAGAACTTGTGCTTTGGTAGGTATCGATGGAAGTATTGATTTTATGTGCTGGTAAGCTATGATGGACTATTTTGAAGCTCTTCCAAGTACTTATTATGTCCATACATCTAGGCCCGATTTCGATTCTCCTTCGGTATTTGGTCGACTTCTAGACAAAGATAAAGGTGGGTTTGGCAGTGTTGGTTGTCTCAGAATATTGTGGATATCAAAACTACCCCTCATTTTAATGTCCACCAGGTCCCTCAACGAGCTTCACAAATTACCCCGGATTATATGCTACTCCTAAACACCACAACTGCAAATGCTAACTCTGCGAACCTCTCAGGTGGCCATTTTTCAATCACTCCTGCATCTGGAGTTACTTTCAATACAAAGCAACAATACCTTCCATCTTCAAATATCCTACAAACTCGATATATTCATGAAGAGGGTGTAGTTGACTTGATCGATTTCTTTCCACGTCCTAACCATAGTCATGTCGCAAAAAAAAGCTCCATGCCGTTTCGAGAAACTACAAAAGTTCAAGGCGAATTGAAAAAATGGCTGGTACGTCGAGTCGAATGTATTCGAGGTAGTGTCGATTTAGGTGAGAAAGATCCAGAACATGGCGGCAGTCAGTCATCATATCTCACAACTTTGTTTAGATGTGGAGATATTTCCAGCTTTCAATTATGCCCGCGATGAACATGATCTCGAAATTCTTATGCCGGAGCATCCCCCAGGAGCACTGGAGAGCAAAACGGTTACCTTTACCAGTAAAGACATAAAACTTCAACTCGATGTGACTATTGATCATGGTGAGGAGAATAAAGAGTCATGCCCCTCCCTAATATTCCGTCGAGTAAGACAGAAGGAAGGTAAAGGTGATGGTGTTGTTGCAAATATACGATTACAAGAAGGTCAAGCTATTTCGTTCGTCTTGCGTGATGATATTCCCAATCATATTACTAGGGATGTCACTACCGAAGTTTTAGATGCACAACAACATGATACTCAAAGATTTTGGTCAAGCTGGATTGGTCAAAGTAAATATACAGGTCGCTGGAGAGAGGTGGTTGCTAGAAGTTTGATGATTTTAAAGTTATTGACTTACGAGCCTACTGGTGCAATTATTGCGGCACCCACTTTCTCTATTCCTGAAGATATTGGAGGAGTCCGGTAAGTGAGGAGCTCTTCTATGTATGCCCAACTAACTTTTCCAAGCAATTGGGATTACCGTTACTCCTGGGTACGAGATTCTAGTTTCACAATTTATATTCTACTCAGGATGGGATTCGTTGAAGAAGCCGATGCATACATGAGCTTTATCAGTGATCGATTTAGATTGTCAAGAGGTCCAGATGGTGCTTTACCGATAATGTTCACAATTCGTGGCGAGACTGATATTCCGGAAATTGAGCTTGGGTGAGTGTTTTGAGAGTTTTGTTTCTTGTCTTAACTAATCCTTCATAGCCATCTCTCTGGTTATAGAGATAGTGGTCCAGTTCGTATTGGTAATGGTGCAGCTTTTCATCAACAGTTCGATATCTATGGTGAGCTTATGGATGCTATATATCTTTGGAACAAATATGGAAAGCCTGTTACATGGGATCAATGGGTAGCAGTAAGGGAAATTCTAGGTATGATGCGCGATGTCAACTTTTCACAAGAACATCATACTAAACAGATTCAGATTATGTTTTGAAAATCTGGAAAGAATCCGATATGTCGATTTGGGAGGTCCGAAGCAGAAAACAAAATTACACATATTCCAAGATTATGCTCTGGGTAGCATTTGACCGTGGAGTACGTCTTTCGGAAAAACGTTGTTTGCCTTGTCCGAATAAAGCAGAATGGTTAAGAGTTCGTGATACTATCTATGAAGAAATCATGGAGAAAGGTATGTAGCTTACATTCTTATGAGATAAATTCCTTCATTGGAATTAACTGACAAATCGGTAGGCTACAACACTGATCTACAAGTCTTTGTCCAAAGTTATGAATCCCGCACCATGCTTGACTCATCTATTCTCATTGCACCTCTCGTCTTCTTCATCTCTCCCAATGACCCACGATTCCTAAATACAATTGATAAAATTCTTCTTTCCCCTGAAAAAGGAGGTCTCACAGAAACCGGTCTCGTCTTCCGTTACAATACTGCTACATCCGAAGATGGTGTTGGTGGTCGCGAAGGTGCATTCTCTATGTGTACTTTCTGGTTGGTTGAAGCACTTACTAGGGCGGGTGTTTATGATAGGAAGTATTTGGTAAAGGCAGTTAGCATATTTGAGAATATGTTAAGTTTCGGTAATCATTTGAGTATGTTTAGTGAGGAGATTGCGAGGAGTGGTGAACAATTGGGAAATACGCCACAGGCATTTAGTCACTTGGCTTTGATTAGTGCAGCTTTTAATTTAGATAGGGCGACGAAGGGGAAGGTTTAAGATGCTGGAAAGTGGAAGGATGATGATGGAATGGTAGTGCCATCGTATGGTGGTATCTAGAATGATTGGGGGAATGGCAACTGAAGTGTTATGACTTTTTCGAATGGCAATACAATAGAAGTAAAGAGATTATATTTATTTGGGGTCAAGAGTGGAAACTCAGAAATACAAAGTTATACTATAATTTTGAGGTGCTGGAAAGGCTAGGTTTCTTCATTAATCATCGGATACTTGACTTCTTGACTCAGCCAGTATAGTATGTATGTGTACCAAGATGGAGGACCTGAGACGAAAAGGCTTTTAAATATAGCTTTAAATACCTAGGTAGCATACAAATATTACTTATGATTTCTTAAGTATATAGGACATTCCTTGGTGCTTGTAGATTGATGAATCAAGACAATGACCTTATTCCGACTATTTCTCTTCGTTAATATCTTCTCTCTTTAGTATGTGGTAACTTTGGAAGTACTAGTTAGGTAGAGAGAGTTAGGAGTTACTAGGTATATATCATAAATCGCACATACGTTGAAACAATTTCTGTATTTCGAAACGGTATTTTCATTCATTTATTTATTGATTTATTCATTCAACCATCAATTTAATCTCAATCTCTTTAATACTTTATCCTAATGGTCGGTTGATATCCGGTTTGGTGGTATGCACAGATCAGATTCATCGCGACTTGCATCATATCATATCATCAAGTGCTCCTTCCCCCTCCATACTAATAAGAAACTAACCAGTTACGCTAGGCAGCCAAGCATTTAAAGTCATACCTAAATCATTCACTTTCACTCCTTGGATTTTTTGTTTTCCTCACTACTTACTTACTCTTCAATTTCTCATTTTCTTCTTCCTCTCTCTCTTTCTCTTCCTCTTCCTCTTCTTCTCCCTCTTTCCCTTCCTCTTCCTCGAGCAATTCAACTATCGAAAATCATTTGATCTTTCACCGATCTCGCCTCACCAATCAAAAGTGGTGGTACTGTACAATTCTCACGATTGATACCACCTCATGTGTACACGATAAATGTCAGGAGCTTAAGACGGAATAAATCGAGAAAACTGTGAGAAAACTGTGAGAAAAGGAAAGAAAAGGGTAAGAATGAATTCTAACCTTCGTGGGTTCGCTCTGACTGATCTTCACTAAAGTCTTCTAAAGGTCGAAAGTGACATCATCATCATCATCAACATCATGCCGAAAGCTCCAACCAAAAATGAACAGATCGCCCAACTACGCAATCAGCTTGAAGAAGAGAGGAAAGCATGTGCTGCTCTTCGCCAGACGGTCGATACGCAATTAGTTACTATTGATTGTACTGTCGGACAATTGAAAGCTGCAGAAGAAAGACTGATTCAAGCGAAATCCACCTCGATTTTCATGAGAAGACTTCCTGTAGAGCTTCGTCTCAAGATCTACAAACTACTTCTGACGAATCCTAAACTAAGCGAAGTCGAATCCATCGGTAAGACGGCCGATTTTGGGAAGGATGTCAAGTTCGAACTCTCCCCAGCCATCTTACGTACCTGCAAAGTTATTCGAGACGAAGCGGAACCAATTCTCTACGGCTCAAACACTTTCGTCCTTGAATGCATTGGTGGTTATGGTCCGCTTGGTTCCATCCATGTCCCACAATCACCACTCACGAGATATGATGATGCTTGTTCGGATGGTTTCGATGTTGATAGTGATACAGAGGATGAGCTGGAACGTAATTTGATGGGATATTCGGGAAATGAATTTCATTTCGATTTCACCACCTTCAAAGCATTGAAAAAAGTTAAACGTTGGAGAATAATCACCAGTGCATACAGGCCAACTCCATTGGACCCGATACCATCAAAGTCTTTCGTTCACTTCTGTCAGGCGTTATGTCAAGAGGCACCGACACGACCAGAAAGGTCTATCGAAATCGTTCTTGGGCTTGGAAGAGTTGATTCTGTTAGCAAGACCGAAGATGCTCAATATAAATTCTCCAAAGAACAGTTGAACTTTCTGTTACAACCATTGAGGCTTTTGAAAGACGTTAAATTGGAGTTAACTATCGCACAATGGAAGACGGATCTGCCAGTATCAGCGCAATTGTGTGGCGGCAGTAGTGAATTTTACTTCCTTTGCAATGAAGGCGTGGCCACTCTTCAAAGATTTATGGATTTGGCTCCACCTATCGTTCAAAAGTATCAAGCTCTAGCCAAGGATCCTTCACCTGTTGAAAAGGTATTTAAGATGCATAAGAGACTGGAGCAGTACGCAAAATCTTTCGAAAGATCTGAAAGATTTAGTAAAGACATGTGCACTTTGCAGAAAGGTCACGTGAGTGGTAGGAGAGAAAGTCGTGATTATGGTTGGCAACTTCCTAGTCATTCTCTTGGCAACCCATTCAAAGGTCACAGTACTTCCTCGTATCATCCAGTGGAGCTTGCTTTTTCTAGTAAGTCATTTTCATTCTTCAATGCCAACGGTTATTCTTCAATATCTCATATCATATTTGACAATCAAATGATCTCTTGGGCGACATTACATGGAAATCACTAATAATTTCATATTATAGAAGCGATCGTAGCCAAAGATAAGGAGGACGTCACTCAGTTCAAAGCTGCTAGAGCTTTGATTTTGAGAGAGTTAGAACCTCAATATCGACGAATGATTGAAGCTTCTAAAAAGTTGAGAGCTTTTGTCGAAAAAGAAAAACATTCAGGAGTTTTTCGTGAGTGTGCTGGTTGTGGAATTTTTCATCAATATGAAGAAGACCCATACGAAAATATTCTTGGATCAGATTTGGATCGTTACATCTATGAGCTTGATAAGATCGCTGATTTGTTGAAGCGAGCTATGCCAGATCATATTCAAATCCAAGTAGACAAAGGAACCACAATGTTTGATTCAGCATACTTTCATTTGCCTAGGGAAAAGCTCTTTCGGAAATTACGATGGATGCAAAAGCAAGAGCTAGTTGGAAAAGATCCTTCACAAATAGCAAAATGGGCTAAACGACTTGTTGAAGATATGTGGAGTGAGTGTCAATTTACCAGTTGGGCTAAGGAGTGCCTTTTCAAAGATGATATCACCGACATTGGATGTAGGATCAATCAAAAATTAGGTCGGGGATTGAAGGATGAAGAGCTTGAGTGGATGGACGGATTTGATAGTGAAAGTGATGATGGTACATTTCGTGGATTTCATGAACGTCGAGGAGATTGATGGTGGATATAGGGTTAAGAATGGATTGTACAAAATGGATTAGGAATGATTTTTAAAAGGGAAGGGATAAATATTGCATGGTCAACATCAGCAAGGTCTACATTTGCAAGGTTTACATCAGTAAGGTCTACATTTGGCGAGATGGAATGGAAATGGAAATGTAGATGGGTATGGGTATAAGTATGGGTATGGGTAATTATAATAATGTATTTTTTAAATAGCTTAGCTTAGCTTAGATATGGCTTAGAGATGGTGGAATATGGTTGTGATGACTCAATGATAGTTTAATTATTACTTGGTATGTGTTATGGGATATGCAATGGGATGTATCATACGAATAACTTACATGACTTCCTTCTCCTCTCCTCCCTTATCCTTCATGACCATTCACTCGCACCATAATCACACATCCTCACAATGTGCACACCAAAACCAAAAGTAATAATCATATCATATTATAATACAGTGATATCTCAATCAACATATCCTCATCTTCATCCTCATCCTGTCTTATGTATATGTGTGTATGATGTATTGCTAGGACCCGAGTCAAACGAAAACTCGGTCGCGCTGATTTTCATATGAAAATATTACTGGCGAGGACACCGATGAACTGATTTTTAAAGCATGAGCAATCCGTGGCGAAGAAGGATGAACGCACATGTCTAGAAGTGCGAGACAACCTCCGTTCTTTATGATTGGTCAGTCTAAGAAGTATATCATAATTTAGTAAAGAAATTGTAGCTTCCACCATCAATCATCGAAAATGGATCAATTATTGGATATTATACATCATCATCGCCATGGAAGATACTAATTGTCTAGGCCTGATTAGAACAATAGTGAGATGGATACTCTGAAAGAAGTCATATATGAAGTTTTAAGAACACTTCGTCATTTCTGGGGATAGAAAGTACTCCTGCTAAGTAAGAGTGGCATGAAGTTGAAATCCTGTAGAAGTTGCCGTAGCAATAACTAACTGAGGCTGGATGTTGTGATGAAGATTAAAGCAGTAGCAACTTCATCCCCAAATCAATGATAAGAATAAAAACAATTGATGAAGAGGGTGAGCGATAACCAATGAACGGACTGACTTGAACCACTTGACAAGGAGAAATATATCATTGTTGCACATCCATCCACTGTTTGATTCATTGCTATACTCTTGCTGATCAGCAAGATCAAATCAATCTTCACAAATGATCTACGGAGAACAAAGTAAGTAGCTTGCATTAAAGCACAGTACAAGAACTTTCATGTATGTATGTGTCCCTTGCAACCTTGACACTTGAAACTTGTGTCATTGTCTTCAGCATATAATCAAAGACGACTTACAGGTTGACAATTCGAGACGCGGAAACATACCCTTACCACGGAAATCACAGGGTTAACCATCTATCAGGATCGATCATCACGACGCCATCTCGCCCTCTTCCTCTGCACGCCTTTTCCCTCACACATATCCATCCACAACAACTGATTGATTGGTCAACCGCCCAAGTAACACCATGCCCCGCACGCCTTACACCTCGCCCTTGAATGCCCTTGGCCGCCCTCTTCCATACGACATGCAACAAATATCTTCCTATCAGCTGATCGCCATCGAATCAAAAGTAAAGATAGATACACTTTACATACTCCGTTCCGTAAACACTGTACTACTACTACATCTCACTAAGGACTTAACATTCATACTCGCCCCTCGCTCCTCGCCCCTCGCTCCTTTTTGACCCTGTCCTGTCTACCTATTACTCGGGGCATTTGATGGTCTGGTCTCTTACCGTAATGAGAAAAGTACTCACTATGAGACACTGTTATTTAGCAGATGATAAAATACATATCAGAGCTCATAGACTCGATGATTCCTTGAGAAGTTTTTTCTTTCTTTTCACTTCTTATTTCACATGCTTTTTTCATTTGTCGAATCATCTCTATTCGTTATTATCGGGTGATATCAATAGCGGTGAATTTCTGCCGGATCCAATCACGCTAGTGAAAACATCGAGTTTCCCCTCATTGTACTAACCATAACCATTTGATGCCAACGACGTCGCTTCATCTCTCAGATGTTCAAATGTCACATAGATTTATCGATTTGAGTTTATAATATTTCATTCATTATGTGCTATGTATAACCATTTCAGACGTTGCAATAAATAGTGAGGGACGTTGCGTTTCTCCAAAATCCTCATCAGCTAGTGTCCACCCAGGCACCAGCTACAAAGTGGTATCAATCATCCCAAATTCCCCAGAAATGCTATACAAAACACCAGTTATGCTGATATCATTGTCCCAGTTGCGCCATGCTAAATATGAAACAACTTATGTCAATAAACATTTCCAACCAACATCGAATTCGTTGGTGTTTTAAAATCCATTCCTATCATCGAAAGCTCCCATTCATCATCATCACCATTTGCAGCACTCGCATATTCTTCATATTCAAACCTCGGCAACACAAAATGATCGTTCGTTAAGGAATCTTGTAAGCTTTGAACTGCCGCAGAGAGAGAATTAATGTCCTCGACATTCTTGAGGGTCGAGTTTGGAAGTTTTGCGACTAATCGCATACTTGCTTTCAAGGATGGCTGGATATAAATTCCGGTTGACGCGGATACATCTTCCAAGGCAGATCCTCCCATCGCATAACGAGTTACGTCTCCATTCCCATGTGAAGTATTTACTGCGATGAATTGTTCAACTTCATCGTTGAAGCGAACACATTTCCTTGATGAGGTTGATGAAGGGGATGATCTGCCAGATGTAAGGGAAGTCATCGAAGATTCCATCGAAACCGATATAGTCGAAGATGGTCGATTCAATAAAATATCGCAAATTCGTCGTTGCTTAAGTATAGGTTTCACATCCACGTCCGCGTATGATAAAGATCTCGTCAATTTTGGTCGACCCGAACCCAATGGCGATACTGTTAGGGATTTCCAGGATGGTTGCTTGTGAAGTGGGCCATACAACCATGTTGTATCATGATCCTTCTCCCTGTTTCGATGTTAGCATGCATTTAAGGAAGGTTGAATTGAGAGCGCATACCAGCCAACCGTTGATGGTTCAATTGTTTTCAGATTCGATCGCTTTTTCGCCCAACTTCTCCAGGAAGCGTTCTCCAATCTTCTGCCATTTTCATATGCAGTACGATGTGATTGAATATACTTCCACGAAGCCCATAAATCCTCTTCCGGCCAATCGTGTGCCAAATAATCTACTTGACGTGATGGTTTGATTTGAAGCTCTATGTCATCCACGGTTTGGGTGATATCGCATGGTTCAGTAGCTTCTGGGAGCTCTGAAAGTTCGGATGCTGGTGATTGATCTGATGGAGAAAGTGTGTTTGGAGTACTGCATAATGATACATCATCTTCGAGGTAGGTCGGTTGTATGGAGGGAGATTGAAGGTAATATTCGACTTGGGCATCATATTCCTCCTTGGGAACTTGGTCGTCATTGTTATCATTCCATTTTATGTCGTCGTACATTGGGAATTCGATTTCATCGTCGTCGTTATCCTCTTCCATACAAATTATTCTTAGGGTCGAAACTTCGGGTTGTCGAATTATTCGAGGCGCAACATCCACCAAATCCGTCCGGTCCACCCACTCAAAATATTCGTCTTCTCTTGAGAGATCCATGTTTCTTCTGTTCGTTGTTGAATCGATAAGTGGTTTTCAAGTCGAGTTCGATCATTAAAGGATAATAAGTAATATGGGATTTTTGAAATTGTGATATGTGCAATCTCCCTTTTTCTTAGTGTTGGTATAGTAATAACACTAACAAAATCGGTTGGGGTAGCTTAAGCTCTAAGGGTTTCCAAGTTATATGATGATACAATCGTAAAGGTCGAAAAAAAAAAAAGAAATGGATTTCGGGACAGAATATTTTATGAGATGAAGAGGATTGTAATATTTATGAAGAATGTGAAGATATTTTGAATTGGATTTAAATGGATCCAAGATCAGCATAAAATTAAATGTGTTGTGAAATTGGATATGAGAAATTGTTGAGATTCTGGGGTAAAGTGATGCAAGGGAGTGGATGATGGTGGATTTTCGGAGTATATATGAATTTAATTGAGTTACACGCTTGTGAGCGGACTATGGACAATAATAATGATAATCATCATAATAATAAACAAGCATTTGGTACCTAGGTATTAGGTATGGATGGATGGGATATGATTATTATGGATTATGGAATTATGGATTATGGGATTTATATCCCCCCGAAGAACTTATATTCACCCCCTCGTCACACTCACACGGATTTTACATACATACATACAAGCATAAGCATGATGATCCAAGAAGTTCCAATTGATTGAATCATATCATAATGTCTTCTTCTAGCCGTCTGTGCCTTTGACTGCCTGGCCTGGCCTGGCCTTACTTACGAAAGTTATGATGATATCAATGTGGATTTGTCAATTCGGTGCTAATTCTATATTGGATTATTTTGATGATGAACTCTACTTAATATTTAATATTCAATAGAAAAAGGAAGAAAACAAAGTTTTAATTTATCAATCAATGGCTTTACTACTAGCGTCATTTTTTGGTTTCTTTTTAAAATGGTTTTAGAAAAAAGGAATACGGTGTATTTTTGTTTTGTTTCTTTGGGTGATACATAGTCGCATTCCTGGGTAGGTAGTTATGTTGATGGTGATGGTGATGGGGTATGGATGGATATGGAGTTGGAGTTTGATGTGTGAAGTATAAAGTATAAAGTATAAAGTATAAAGGGGGAGCTTAGAAGTAGGAAGTTAGATGATGTTGATGATGTTCTTGATCGCCTTATCTAGGTATCTAGTATCTAGTAGCTATCTATCTATCTATCTATTTACCGCCATGCGAATGTTTTCCCCTAATAAACACTACACTGTATCTATCTAACCGTATATGCCAATTATGCCAATTATGCTCATTTGGCGTAGTTTTAATAGCGCAGGAGATCTTGAGGTTTGGAGAGATGGGCTTTGACTATACTACTGTGGATACGGGATTGGATTGGTGGATTGGATGGGATGGGATGGGATTGTATTGGATACGGTGTTGTGAGCGCGGTATGATGATATGATGATTTTGTGATACATGTACAGGTATCAAAATCAAGTCTTGGAGTTTAAGGACGGGAAGGAGGGTTCTTTATTTTTCTCTTTACCGAGGTAATGTTAGATAGGTAGCTTTATCATTTTTTTATGTATGTATGTACAGAGTCTTGTATTGTATACTCCGTAAATCTCGCACCTTTCGTATTTTTCGTATATATTTCCAGCCTGAGCCTGTTGGCCCCTAATCTCATACTCCGTATCATACAAGGCGCTTGCTTGCCTTGCCTTGCCTTGCTTCCCGTTCACGGATCCATTCAATATACGAGAATACCTAGTACGTATGTACAGGACCTTCCAGATTCTCCGTACCGCTACATCCATCATTCATTAAAATAAGGCTAACTAGGTAGGTAGATGAGGTAAGATACCAAAATCGATACCGGATCTTCAACTTTCTTCACGTAATCCGCAAGTATTCGGAGACCGAATCACGAATGTATGGTAAGGTTAAGTTATGAATGAGATTCCTATGCGTTTTTGGATTTCTCTCATGATCTATTGATTTTGCTAATTTAGATTTGCATATAGATATGGATATGTGAACGCCTTATTTTCTGTATAGGAGGATGATAACCTTAGATGATAGATGATAGCTAGTCAATACACCGTAGACAGATAAATAATTCATAGCGGTACCTAGGTAGTTAGAGATGGAGATCACTTGGCTTGGAATTCGTTCGGTGGTTTGGTTTGGTTTCGCACTTCCCCATGCCGGAACCCCGGCTGCGGTGTGAGTTGATGGGTGTAGATTTTTAGATATAGATTTAGATGTAAGAGTGAGATTTAGATTTATTAGATTTAGATATAACCCCCACATAATATATATATATTACACCCAATGGCTTGGTATAACTTCTATAACGTACCAATGCATTTACATTGCTAATAAGAGATACCTAGCTAGCTAATAAGTAAGTCTTACTTCCCGAAATCCAAAGATGGGAAATATCGATCATATAGAGATATACATACCGATATATCCCCAGCACAAAACAGCACAGATAAAGTTTCAATTCAGCCGTACGAAATATATTTATCGAGGAAGATCATGGACATATTTTGATTATCTAGATTTGGTATATACGGAGTAGAAAGTACCTAGACTATAATGCAATGTCTACCAGTATCTGCACTGACACTTTCACACCACATGGAGATAAAACCAAACCAAACCAAACAAAAGTCCAAGTCCAAGTCCAAGTCCAAATCCAAATCCAAATCCAAGATAAAACTACTAGTTATAGAAACTAGAAACTTCAAACAAAACACAAGTCACAAGTCACATCAAAAAAGGTGATCAAACAAACAAATAAACAAACAAAACGCACTTCCCTTCTCATCTATCTTATCCGAGGGATTTCACCAATTTTGAAGTTTTGCTCATGAATCATGATGGATTGTCGTAGATTCAATTTCAATATCAATATCAATCAATATTATAATATTCCGAACTAATACTCCGAACTAATATCCATTCTTCCAACATCGATTCGGATCTTCAGCTTGTGGAGTGTATGGACTTTTTAGGGTAATATTTTGGATGATCGTTTCTTTTGGGGGGGGTTTTTGCTTCCCGTTGGGTTTTGAGCTTTCTGTTTGTGTATGTATGGTGTCTGTGTGTGCTAGCTAGATAGATAGATAGATGGTGGATATATACTCTGTATGGAGTATATATGTAAGTAGTCTAGCTGTATTTGTTGTTGATAAGAGTTGAATGTGTGGCTTCGCTTCTGTGATACTGTGATAGAGACTAGAGTGCTTGATGACGATAATGGAGATCTTTTTTTCGTGCGGAAGCTATGATTTTGATGGAAAGATACCTAGCTACCTATGAGGAATTAGCTATTAGGTATCTTGATAGTATATTACCTACATTACGTTCCGTTACGTTCCTGACGTTTACGTGAAAATGTAAAGTCTATGAGTCTGTGAAGAAGACTAGATACTGCTCGATCTTTACCTACGTACATACTAGCAATAGCAAATTTGACAAAGTAAGTCCTAGCACTCCATACGTTATACACTTCTCATCCTCATCCTCATCCCCAATCACACTCCCATCCCATTTCCACTCCCATCACAAACAAGATCCAGTTTCAATTTGTTGAGCAATGCACATGTACATCTAAAAAAGAGAGAACAAGTCCACCAGCTCACGAGCTCACGGGGGGCGCTCAGAAGTGGATTTATTAAATGGATACCAAAGTATCCGTTCCGTTCCGTTATGCCTTATTTTGTATCCCTAGAAATGGAGTATCAACAAAGTATCGTACGTTTTATCCACCTATCCACCTCTATTTCTATCTCTATCTATCGCTATCTATGCACTATACAGATGTACATGAATATTTCATGCTCGCTTTGCCCGAGGTATAGTAAGCTCTTACTGAGTATAAAGTACGGAGAAAGGGATATTTACTCGAGTAATAAATAAGAATTTTTGGATCCGTTGGATCCACTGATGGATTTACAGAGTTGGATGGATGGATGGATGGATGGATGGATGGATGGATGGATGGATATGAGGTACATACCTATGATGCCGTCGCTTAATCGTCAGTATGTACTGGTATCGCCATCCATTGTCAACTTAAACTTTGATGTTTTTATATACTTTATTATTTTATATTATTTAATATATCTTAAGCTGTTTGAGATTATATTATTTATTAGGTTTTGACTCTCGTAACTAATAGATGATGGTTATTTATATCTTGAAAGTTTGAAAGATTGATATTATTTATTTTATATATTTATATTTTAATTGAATTATATTAAAAATTAAAAAAGTTATAAGCTTTTATTATTTTATCTTTATTTCATTGATACTTTTATTTAAAGATTATTTACTTGTGTTACGAGGTTTGCCGTCTAGATCACGTGGAAGTGCTCTAGGCTCTCGAGGTGGTTTATAACTAGGCGTCAAGCAAGGACTTAAGTAATGACAATGCAATTCGTAACTAATAGTAGAGTATACTAAATGATTGATCTTGAGCACGAAGCTCTACAAATGGAAACCTATCCTTTATATAGAACTTCATACTCTACTGTATTCCTTTGGATCTCTTGGATCTACTGGATCTAGAGTTTAACTCTCTAGATCCTCTAGATCCAAGAGATCCCTCACGTGATTTCAATCAGAACATATGTCTGTGCTTGCTGAAGGTGGGGAGACTCTATGAGTCAATTGCCATACAATTTTGTATGTGAATCGACTTGCTTTTCTACAGGGTCTAAGCTCATATGGACATGTTGACTGTTACTTCATAACAAATTAATATTTATTAAAAACAACAAAACTCATCTCCCTTCCCTTACTTTCCCTTACTTTCCTATCTATCCTATCTATCCTTACTCTATACCTAACCCCTCCATCCCCATTCCCTCATCCCCATTCCCTCATCCCCATTCCCTCATCCCCATTCCCTCTCCCCTTCATTCCCTCTCCCCTTCATTCCTCTCTCCTCACCTCCATCCCCTCTTCATTCGCCCTCCTGCACTTCCTGCCCCCTCTCTCCTTTCCCACCATCCAAAATCATCCTCCCCCCCTTTTAAAATCCCCAAGAACTCTTCCCCATTTCCCCCCTTCCTCCCTCCCCCTCCGCAACCCAGCCCAAAAACCCAATCTCACAACCACCACTCTACTACTCCCCCTCCAAACTCCCATAACCAAATCACCCCCTTCCCCCTCCTTCTCAAACCCAAAAAACCCCATTGATTACCTAGGCATATATATATATCCACTTCTAATCAGGATTCTAGAACTTAAATTCCTACAGCCATAGATTAGGTAGGGAGTGGATTCCACATTAACAACGGCTTGCGGTGTCTCGTAGTCAATAGGGGGACACATAAGCGAGTAGAATACTACACGGCGTCTGAGGGACTCAGAATTCTATTTGCGTCCTAATAAGACTTACTTGTGCATATAATTTATATGGAGGGGTTTGCAGGGTGTGAAAATAATTTATGGCGCAGAGCGTGAAGTTAATGGCTCAGGGTAGGAAGAAGTTTGAGTTGATTACAAAAGATTGGAATAACTTCAAAATGTGGAGGAAATAATCGAGTACTCTCCTCAAACCAACACTAGCACTGGAATGAATACTCATATTGTGGCACGCATCCGGAAGACTTTCCATTTCGAGATCGTCGTTTCGCATTAGCATCTGTAAAAAAGTCTTTTCCAGTAGCCAACAGCTGTCGCTACATCTCGCACGTCACATACAAATTTAGATACGTTGAATCAAACAGTCAAACAGCAATTACTTCTAATGTAATATCCTAGAAATATACATCCTAGAACAATCATAACATCATACATACATCATCCTCTATCTTACTTAAGAAGTCTTCCCCCACTTTTCCCTTTATACAACCCATCCAATTCCTCGCTCAACCTCTCCACCTCAGGACTAACACTCTCACAACTCTTCAAAGTCATCACAGCCCCCCTCTGCGCAATCCCAATCAACCCATCATCCAACTCACATCCCCTCGCCAACCCCGCAATCAACACTCCCAAAAATGTATCACCAACCCCATTAACACTAACCACCTCCCCATCCACCACCTTCTCCACCGCTGGAAATAACCTCATATACACACCCCCAACCTCTTCATTCCCATTCGTACAACGCGCCAGTATATACGGTGCATGATCTGGATCTCGCAATCGCGCATCACTAGCACTTAATATAGAAGTAAGTAAAACTCCCCCAGCTCCGAGTTTCGTAAGGATGGTAGGGATGTAGGGAAGGAGTTGAATGGCTTTGACGGGGATTCCTTTATTGGTTAGATCTGGCGATGTCATGTGTACGAAACGATCTCTAGCGCCCGTGCTGGGAATACCGAGGGAATCAATGGTTTTCCACCATTCTTCGCTTTCGAATTTTCCGTGTGTAGTTGCCGCTTCGTGCATAGAGGTGAGTTCGTGTTCATTAGGTGTTGCGAGATCGACTATATGGTTTGGGTAGACGGGAAGTTTCTTGATTTTGAGAGATGGATTGCTGGGCTGCTCAAAAAGACGTGCTGATTTTGTGGTAGAAACGGGCTCGAATGCGATCTTGATGGTTGATGATGGTGATTTGGCGGCGTGCAGAAATTCCTGGATTACTTCTGCTTGCCAATTTCCGTCTATGATGATCCATTTTGTGGAGGAAGTAAGAGTGCTGAGTTTATTATACATGGCTTGAATAGATGAATCATTTGATGGTCTAGTAAATATATCCATATCGGCCATAGCTATGACGAGGTCTTTCTTTCCGTCATTGATGGCTACATATTGAGCTGTGCGGTAGTCAGATTCCTTTGAACATATTGTAATATCATCGGTATTGTTTCCGTTGGCTTGTAAGCTCTGAAGTATTGTCTTTCCGGCCCTAGAATCATTAGAGGTGTTCGATGATAGGACCGTAGGGTGCTTACTGGTCGTCGGCAATAAAAGTATAGAGACTGACGGGCCCTTTGCTACTAAGTTGAGCTGCTCTTAAGACGTTATAGCCGACTCCACCAATTGAGGAGCGGATTTTGGCGATATTCGAAGTGTGCATCTGTGGTGAAGAACCTCCTGTGGATTGGTTGGTACGAGGAGTATAGTCACAAGAAAGATCTATGGCTATTGAGCCTACTACAACTATACTAGGCTACATGAGATCAAAGGTCAGATAGTGATGAAACTTAGAGGATGATTTCCTTGCAAAGGTATTTTGACAATCAGGGAGGAATTGCAAACCTTTGGATTGGAGATTTTGGGAGAGTTTGACTCTATGGCATTAGGGTGATTTGAATACACTCTACTTGCATCCGCCGTAGTGGACGGTTGCCCGAGTACTTTGCTAGCATTGTTCCTATAACATTTATTGAGTTACTATATATCTAAATGAACCTCACTTTACTAACCAGCTTTCGGTTTTATCTAATCTCAACCTAGAAAGCTCAATGGCAACTCTAGTCGCCATTTTTATATTAGACTCTATCAACGCCCGATTCGCTGCAGCACTAGTACCCTTTGTAAGTTCTTTGATCCTTGCCAGTATGAAGGGAGTATTCCTATGACCATGGAAACCCTGTTCGGCAGCTTCTTGGACCGCTTGATCAATTGCATAATCAATTTCGGATTTAGGAATGGAGAATTCTTCAGGAATCGGATTCGCAAAATGAAAACCGCTAGTAGGTTTGAAGAAATCTTGGGCATCTACTCGTGTTAATCATCACCTAATCAACGTAACTCACCTAGAGTAAAATCAAAACTTACAGATAATAGCAGCAGCCTCTTGAGCATTCTGAACAACCATCGGACTCTTGACACCACTATCACGTGTGTAAAATGCTGGATAGTCGATTGGTCCAGTACGTCCATCTGCAAATGTAAAGACACCAGCTCCTTGAGTTTCTAAATATTCCAATGTACGAGGAATATCCAAAAAGCTTTTACAGCCACTGCTAATTACGGCGACTGCAGTGCGTCCAAGTTCACTGAGGTCGGCAGAAATATCCATACTGTCCTGACCTCCACGGTGAACACCACCCAAACCACCAGTACCAAAAACGCTAATTCCAGCTTTTTGCGCTAATATCATGGTACCAGCAACCGTAGTACCTCCGGTAATTTTGCGTCCAGAAATACCCTATTCGTGATTAACATATTGACAATCAATAAAGTATATAAAGATGAATGGTTTAACACAGGGAAATCACTCACCATCCCCAAAATATAAGGTAAATCCCTACGAGAGACCTTCATAGTCTCCCGTTTCCCTTCTGCAGATGCGACAGCAATCAACTCCTCCTTGGTTAACCCAACACATGCTACACCATCCAAAACTCCAATTGTTGCAGGAATTCCTCCATTAGCACGTACAATATCCTCTAGATCGAGAGCCAATTGGGCGTTCTCAGGATATGAATATCCATGGGTATAAATGGTGCTTTCTAAAGCAACAACTGGTTTATTAGATTTTGTAGCTTCTTCCACTTCCTCAGATATTTGGAAAATTCTGCTCTCAAAACCCTTTGAGATAGTTCCCTGGAATCTTCCCTTTATTTGAATTTTGCCAGGACCGACATAAGTAGGATTGTTGTAACGGCACTTCGACAAAGAGCTGGTCGATACGGATGGCAATCGTATTTTAAGACTAGGTCGAAGTATGGAATTCATGATGTCGATGATTCCACCACAAATATCATGAGGAGATGGAATATAATAATAACAAACTATGCACTAGATTATGAATTCATCACCAATACATCTGTAAATCTCGACGGCTTATGACATCTAGGCAATATCTATTATCCCACGTGGTAGATAAGGGTCGTCGAATTAAGCTTACTAATAACCTTTTCACGTGATAAGCATTGAACATTTTTCGGAATGCTTGGAAGACTTTTACTTTTAAGAACGAACTTGGGAACAACGGCCATTATCAAGCAATATAATTTATTTGATACGAGCCAAGTCTCAATCATAATTTGCTTGAATTCTTCCCTTGAAATCTCGGAATTAGTTGACCGAACCAATCAATTGATCTCTCTCATGCATAATTTATATTAACCGTAAGGAACATTTTCATCCGAAAGATTGGGAAGGGTAATTTACCACTTCCTTGTCGTCATTTCGTATATTGTCATCCTGATATTACTTGTAAATCAACTTTCTGTTCTTCTTCTTCCTATATGATGCACTTGTCACTCCTTTACTTTTCTTTATATTGCGTTTGCTGAACACTTTTTGCAATGGCGGCATTACAATTTATCACTCTTTTCATTTGTCTATATGTACAAGGTATCTATTCTCAGGAAATCGTCAATGGACAAATTTATACCCCCGGAATCGCGATAGTCGATGCGCCGCAGCCTAATACACCACTTGGAGGTGGTAAGTAGTAAATACTCAATCTCGACTGTTGAATAGTCACTAATTGTTTAGATTTCCTACAGGTTGCAATGGATGTTTCCTCAGATGGACAGCTTCAACTTCCGCCTTATCCAAAGAATGCCGTCTCTGAGATTTATAATATCACCATGTTTCTCTCCAGCTATGTTACGGGCAAAAACTTTACAATCTCGAATGGTACGGCGACAGCAGGAAATGCAAGTTTAGGAGAGATCATGGCTCAAGAGCCAAGTAGCACAGTTAAACATGTGAATTGGGTTTGGCCTGATTGTCTTGTTGGTGACGGAACCTCGGATAAGAATACTTCAAGGGGAGCATATAATGTGCGTGTCCAGAATATCTATTTCAACATTCAATATTGACATATGGTAGATTTCCATTCGCCAAAACTTTCGATTGAACGGAACCAATCAGTATACAATTTTCGACCTACCAATCCAAGTCACCAATTCTATATCCGAGAAAAGTGATAGACCTTCTTGTGACTCTATCAATAATGATTTGATTCCTTGGGAAACATTGGAAGCGTCAGCGAATAACTTCACTCGTATTGCAGGCACGGCAATACAAACGAGCGGCTCATCTAAAGATTCAACCGGGGCCGGAAGTTTTATTGACTGGAGGACTGGTGCACATTGCATATGGATAGGAAGTCTGTTTATGATGTTTGCATTATAAGTATACCAAAGTGGGTGGGATCTTGTAGGAATACTGAATTTAATCTAATCCCTTATATCAACGGCCTGTCCCTAGATTGTCATTGGATTTCGTTAGTCTATTGCGTGGCAAGCGACTTGCTATGAATATAGACCGACCTTTGGATTTTCGTAAAGCTTCGAGTGTTGCTAGTCATTGTTTTTTGTGTCACGATTACTTCTATACTGTTCTTTTGACCTTATTCCATTAAGTATCGCTAGTAGAATGTGTCCGGATTACTTTCTTTTTTTGATTTTGATTGGTGGTTCGGGAATGGCCAATAGAATAGTCAGACCCCTAAAAATCTATGTAGCCGCGTTAGCATGAGATACGACAGAGGTTAAAGGCCGATTAGATTTTATATTACCTATTTATTCTCTGAAGTACTTATGCTTTTCAAGAAAGATAGACTAAATAGCTTGTAGAGACTCTCAATGGTTATTTGTAGACAACATTATGGAAACTTGAAGCTCGATTGGATGAATATGGTCAATGGAAATCTGAATATCGAAATATTCAATAATATGGTGGTCGTGAAATCAAAAATAAAAGCAGGTTTAGCCCGCTAACTCATATTCTGGCATCCCATCCACAAAATAGACTGGGTCAATATGTGATATGTGGTAATATATATGCCGTTGTACGGAATTAGAGTATTTCATCCATACTAGGTAGCTCATAGATGCTACCCCGCAATCTGAACCTCAAAACGTTCCTCGGTTGGCAAACTTCCCCTATTATGATTGGTCGACACATGCTTTGATAGATACTAAGCCGGTTATTGGAAATAAGTAATAAGTAATAAACATGTCAAAGGTACATTCATTCCTAGGTATCATGATATACTTTTCTTTTTCCATCTTTCAGTTCCATTAAAGCATCACATCAAACCGTTTTGTCAAACTATCAAAACCACAGGTCACCTCACACAACAGACGGGAAAATATGCCAATGCACAATGGATGGTTACCCCGCGAAGGTACAGCCTTAAACCCCTTCCTCATATTGCACAACATGCCGCTAATGACAATACACAACATATAGGGTTCCGAAGCGATGCCCTGGGTAGCTTGATCAAGAAAACCGCATTAAATCCCGCTTTTACTTTGATTTTTATTCTTCTAGCTCGTTACACGAAACGAGGAAATGATCTCTCAATACTGCATGAAACTGCATATTCTCGCGTGCGAAAATTATTCTATTTTGGAGTTCTCAGATTGATTTCGAATTATTTGGAGAGAGGGGTACAGAATAATTGGGTAGATGATAAATATGATTGGCAGAAAGAAATCGTTTTGATTACAGGTGGTGCTGGCGGAATCGGTGGACAAGTCGTGAAACTTCTTGCGGAAAAGGATATTACGGTCGTGGTGTTGGATGTGATTCCTATGACTTTTGAAACTGGTATGTTGTCCTACTTTCTGAAGTGGAAACATTCAATAGATATTAACTGCGCGTCAAAGCATCCAATGTCCATTACTACAAATGCGATATCACCTCACCATCTACCATATCCAGCGTTGCAACTCGCATTCGCTCAGAAGTGGGTAATCCAACCATCCTCATCAATAACGCCGGTGTTGCGCGCGGGAAAAGTATTCTCGATTCCAGCGAAAAAGATGTCCGCTTTACATTCGACGTCAACACTATTTCCCACTATTTCATGGCCAAAGAATTCGTCCCATCCATGGTCCGAAAAAATCACGGTATGATCGTCACAGTCGCCAGTCTAGCAGCCTACATGACCGTCCCAAACATGACCGACTACGCCGCATCCAAAGCAGCGGCCCTCTCCTTTCACGAAGGATTAACCGCCGAACTCCTCACTAAATACCACGCCCCAAAAGTAAGAACGATACTGATTAATCAGGGATACACCAAAACGGCTCTTTTCCAAGGCTATAAAAATGATTCTACGTTCTTGCTACCGACGTTAGAGGTTGATACCGTGGCGGAGGAAATCGTAAAGAAGATTTTGAAGGGGAAGAGTGGTCAGGGTATTTATCCTGGTTTTGGCGTCTCGTTGACTTGGTTGAGGGCCTTGCCGGGTTGGTATCAGAATAGAGCTAGGACGCAGGGTCAGCATATTATGACGGATTGGAAGGGGAGACAGGTGTTGGATGTGGAGAAGTTTTATGAGGAGAAGGAGAGGGAGAAGAAGAATGAGGAGGGAAACAAGTTGGATGAGGGAAAAAAGTTGGATGAGGATAAGGATAAGGGGAAGGGAGGTGATGTGGAGAGCGCGTAGGTTTTTAGTAATTATAAAGGTGGAATTTCATGGCTAATGGGATTTAGGTCGACGGTTTTGGTAAATCCTTGATACTTTTTTTTTTTCAAGGGTAATTTTGGGTCTGATAATGGGAATTTATAATGACGTCAAACCGGGATTGTTGCTTTGGATCAGCTTCTTAAGATTACACTCACCTCGAGATATCTGAACCATATTACATCCAGCTTGATTACTTCAATGATCATTATGATTTATTTAATACTACCTAGTAATAAATCTTTCCCATGAAGAATCTACCCAATTAGTTCAATTTTCAAAATGATACTTTGAGTCGATGATGCAGTGAATGAAAGGAATATTTCCAAGACAGATACAGAGAGGTATATTCTATTCGTTCTATATACTTATAGAGTTTACTAGGTATGCGCTGAACTTCTTTAAACAGCTACTTGCGTACAAGATGTTGTTCGGGCGAAGATACAATGTGAGCTCGTTGGATCTTATACCCTACTCATCAACCCTAATTCACTAGCACCTGATCATTCCCCCTCCCCCTGCCCTTTCTTTTCTCTGCTCTTCTCTCTTCCTCCTTTGACTTCACCGCACATCTCCTTCCTTCTCTTCTTCCTATTCAATTATTCTAACCCTCAAACTATCAAACCCCATAGTTCCCCATAACCTCCCTCAAACCCCCTTTCCAACCACCTACCCCCCGACCCCTCACCCCTCACGCCTACTCTAAATCCTCCCCCCTCAAAAGCTTTTCCCACACATCTCCTCCATACATTAGCTTATCCATGCCCCTCCACCTTTCCTCATTCCTTCCTTACACTCATAAAAATCTCTAGCGAATCTCTATACGCTAACATATACAGATTCGTCGATTTCCCTATTATATTCCGATTCCTATGGGGTAATGTGAGGAATAAGATGGAAGACAGTATTTTTACAAGTATAAATGATTTGACTAGTAGCGAATCAATCAACAGACAGACATCCATCAAATCAAGCACGACAATTACAGCAATGATATTAAACAAAAATAATCATGGGCATTGAGAATTTTTATTTATACATCTGAATCCATAACTTCCCCATGCTGTACCCAAACAAATCCCAATCATCAATCAGACTGGGGCTTCGAAGCCTTCGAATAACGCCTAGGATATCAAGTCTCAAAACGCCAGATTCATAAACTGAAAGCTTTGCCTATAGACAAATTGACCTTGACGCCAATCGCTAGACCGACCTCCCTTTTCCTTAAATGCAACAATGTACTCATACAACAAACTATTCCCTTAAGCAGAAACTGAGATCATTCTCGATGCTTCTAATAAAGGTACGGTATTTGATGGTCCAGCGATATTCTCTTCGGCGATCTCACCACCAGCTTCTCTTTCAGCCCAAGCACCCCAAAGACCTCTCTTGCCTCTAACACGAATTGGTCCTCCTAGTGTATGCTCTTGTTGCTCAACCTTGACAGCATCTTTGGTTGCAAGAACTAAAACCTCAAAGAACATTTTAGTGGCATCAGCCTTGCTTGTTGTACCTTCCGGTAATAAATCCTGGAAAAGAACACTGGCTTTCTTGCGCTTGTCTGGACTGTTGGCTGCCTCGTCACCGAATCGTTCACGAAGAAGATGAACAGCGTGAGTCGTACCAAGTGATACAGGTCCACTATCTGCAGGGTGTACGAGAGGTGCAGTCGTTTCATCAAATTGGTTGCCTGGACTTGCACTACGATCATCTCGTAAACCAGTTGTGGCGTTATGCTCATCATCATCAATGTTGATATTTAATTCGTCATCACGTCCCATTTCAATGATTGTACCATCAGCAGCAATCATTGTCTCATCATGACCCAACGCAGCATCACCAGCAAGATTGGCACCGAGGTCCTCTTCCTCACCTAAATCCAAGCGAGGTGATTTATTAGCACCTTGTTCTTGTTCATCCATATCCGTAATACCACTATCACGCTTACGCTTCTCCCCTGTCCTACGAACCGCATCGAGGGAAAGCATTCCACGAAGTTCGGGTGCCCAACCTATACTTCGTCCTTCACCCATGATATTGGAAACAAAACCACCATTCTTTTGCATTTCCATTAATGCCAAAAGTTGAGGATCTCGGGGAAGGAATGATTGAGGGCGTAAGATGGCATCGTGATTTTTCTGCAACTCCTGAATAGCGTGCTTAGAAATGGTAGTGTCATCATCAGGCATCAAAGGTTTGAATTTCCTAGCACGTTGAGCTGGTTGACGGAAGATTGATTGTTCCGTCTCATCTTCGGGTGCAAACATTCCTGATTCTTCTCGGCGTTGTTGGTCTGCCTCGACTTCGGCAACAATGGTCTCATCAATATCGGAAAGTGGTGACTCAGAGATTCGAGCGCGCTCAAGTTCAGGAGCACGTGGAATGACAGAAATATCTGGCTCCCCACCAATGTTGAGCATGTCAATATCTCCATCATCATCGCCAATCTGAAAACCATCATCTTCATTACCAAATCCGAGATTGATTGAAGTCTCACGATCTCCATCATCGAAAACATCCTTTGCTCGTGGTTGAATGTCCAACTCGCTGAGTAAATCGTCTTCAACTGCTCGGGCAGCTGGTGCATCTCGTCCAAATTCAAGACTGATATCAGCTCCGGATCTATCCGCTCGAACCGTCTTGGGATTTATATCGTCCAGTCCAAAATCAAGGCCCAAATCAAGATCATCATCCAAAGGCTCCAAAGCAAGTTCATCTTCGTCCCTGCTATTATCTTCGACACTATTTTGTAAGAATTGGCTGTTATTAAACTCGTCCTGCAAGTTGATATCACGGCTAGCACCTCTTCGCTTGCGGCCCAATGCCGAGTCTTCGTCTAACTGGGAGAAAAGGAATGAAGCATCAGGCATTGGTGGCATTTCAAGGTTATCTCCTTCAGTGAGCATATCAGGAAGCATAAGAGCATCTCGAGAAGGCATATGGAGTCCGGCAGGAATATCATTGTTACCGGAAAGACGAAAGGCCTAGGTAGGAAGAGTTAGTATTTGCCTTGGAGATTGTGAGACATAACATACCATTTTTATTTTAATAAGAGCTTCATTACAATCATCAAGTAAATAACGCGCTTTTCGACTGTAAATCCTCACAACTCCTAGCAATAGTTGACCACTCAGACGTAAAGCCATTGGTGCTTGATTAGGTGTGACGATAGCTTCAACACTATCCTTGACACTGGCTTGCAAAATGTGATTTTTCGACAACTTGCGCTCTAAATTCGCCGAAAGCCAGACACGAGCCAAAGGCCCTGTCTTGCTTAACAAAGTCTCTGAATAAAACATGATGATAGCAAGGAGAGTAGAGCGCCCTCACGCGAAAAGATACAAATTTTATTAAGTGAATTCAATAGTGGAGACGCGTTTATATCGTTTATTGTTGACGTGGGCTTTTTTTTTTGTTTGACAGCGCGTCGAGGATATTGGTTTTGACCACTGCGTTCCCGACGAAGTTTCGATGTTGAGTCAATCGTGTCGCAGAAATAAGAAGTAGCAACGAATAAAATTTATCAAAAAACAAATGTAGCTATCGTAGCAATTGATTACTTGTATTGGTCTTATGCGATGCGTCGGCGACAAGGTGATGAAGCTTAAGGAAGGATTGGGGGGGAAAATAAGATGGAGTGGGGAGTTAATGTTTGCGCAATGAAGATTGAAGAACTGCTGGAAGAATCAAGAGGCTGGGATGCATTTCGATTTTAGCGCTAATCTGTAACTGGCAAAAAAGCTTCGTCAATATATGGGTCTATCATAAAACTGTCCCACACACGTGACATTAATAATCGAATGTAAAATGTTTTTTTTACCTAGGTAGGTAGGTGCCTTTACTTATTCAGTCCCAGATGCAGTTTCTGGGCAAAAGGACAAAGACGCAGAGAATAGATGTGGAGTCTGATAAATAACACAGCATCACCACATCAATCAAATCTTCTAATGTATCAGAATTCGGTTTATGATAATGATACGTTCGTTTTGAATTCCCATCAACTTCTTTCTATTTCGTATATATTTTTTTTACAGTCTAATTACCCAAAGTACTTCTTCAAACGTAGCAGCAATACTGAGTAGGTAGGTGAAGCAGGCACAAGAACCTACCTACCTATCAATTTCTACTACCCTATAGGCGTTCTAGAACAACTCAATTTCAACTTCACAGCCTCAAAACCCCCTGGAGCAGTCCCGCCTGGGCACGCGAACCCAATTTACAGGGGAGCGGGTATGCCAAAAAAAACCTAGAAACTAGACCGTGCTCACTCACTCACTACTATCTACTATGAAACTGAATGGGAAGTTACGGGACAACAGGACACGACACGTAATTCAATAATTTTACTATGGATCAAAATTTAAAACTATATCATTCAAATCTTTAAAGGAAAACAAATCACATTTGAAGTTCAATTTCTTGCATGTTTGGAGTTGGAAGGAGGTTTTATTGATTTTAATCTTACATATAGAGGGGTGGCTTTTACTCAATTCTTAACTTACCACATTTCCTCTTTTCGTTTCAATAAATGCGCATGCCTCAGCCATAGGCATTTAGCATAACGACAGCATATACTGCTGCTCGTTACTTAGCAGATTTAACTTGTTTTCCAATAGACCGAATTGGAGCTATGTCGTGGCCGCACTTTGGAAGGTCTGGCAGTCCGTCGGCATCTTTATTGCCCATGGCCAACCTTCCATCTGGAAATGATAGATTGCCAATTTCTGAACCATCTTCGAGACCAAGATCAAGAGACAGGGCCGACTCAAAGAGCAGACATACTCGATCCTCCTCAGCGGTGGCCAAAGTTAGTGAACGCCCAATCTCAGCTGAACCAGAGAGGACTCCGACTAATACGACTAATGCGCAACAGTCAATAGCAGATGAATTCTCAGCCCTTACGCCTATGGAGACGGCAGAACGATTGCAAACCTCACTTACATCAGGCCTGACACCGGCCGAAGCTCTTTCTAGATTACACGATCAAGGACCTAACGAACTTCCTCTCGATCCTCCCGAACCGTTATGGCTTCGATTTATCAAGCAATTCAAGGAAACTCTGATTCTTCTGTTGTTGGGTTCCGCTGTAATGTCAGTGATAGCTGGAAACAAAGATGATGCAATCAGTATAGCCGTTGCAGTTACAATTGTGGTCACAGTAGGATTTGTTCAAGAATATCGCTCTGAAAAGTCGATCGAGGCACTGAACCACTTAGTCCCCAATCATGCACATATAATACGAGGAGAAATGAGATCTGCCACACCTAGAACACCCGCATGGCCTCCTAGCGCCCGAAAAATACCAGAGATGGATTCATTAATGGCAGATTCTGGATTCGACGCAGATTCCAGTATTGCAGAAATTGTATCGCATAAAACCATGGCATCGAAATTGGTTCCTGGAGATCTTGTTTTATTTACCACTGGAGATCGCATACCAGCCGATATTCGTGTCACAAAGGCTTCAGATTTGACAATTGATGAGTCTAATTTGACTGGCGAAAATGAGCCGGTCCGTATTACTGCGGAAGCTAGGCATATGGAGTTTAGACCTGGATCTAGCTCACTAGAACCACCGTCCCTCAATTTTCCGTCTCCAGCAGGAGGAAATGTAGGTGCTGATATTAGCCTGAATAGCACGACCAATATCGCTTTCATGGGAACACTTGTGAGATCTGGCCATGGCCAAGGTATCGTTTATGCGACAGGTGGAGATACTCATTTTGGGACAATTGCTGCAAGCGTATCAGAGACGGAAAGCCCTAGAACCCCTCTACAGCTTTCAATGGATGCTCTAGGCAATCAATTGAGTCAGGCTTCTTTCGTTATAATTGCGGTAATTTCTCTAGTTGGATGGTTACAAGGAAAAGCATGGTTGGATATATTTACGATTTCGATATCCTTGGCTGTGGCAGCTATTCCTGAGGGTTTGCCAATCATTGTTACAGTCACTCTGGCTCTCGGCGTACATCGAATGGCTCGACATAATGCTATAGTACGAAAAATGCCAAGCGTCGAAACTCTTGGATCGGTTAACGTGGTCTGTAGTGATAAAACAGGTATGATCTCTAATTCACATAACTTGACTAAAATGCTAAGGCTCACAGGTACTCTTACCATGAATCATATGACCACCGTGAAAATGTGGTATTTCGATGCCGAAGCTCCATTAGATGTTGATTCGGATGATGAAACAGTGGAAGCTAAAGCTGATACTGTTGCACTTCGAATTCTTCGTATTGGAAATATTGCTAACAATGCACGGCTAACTCATCTTCACGCTCCATCAGCATCGTCGGTAGCTATATTGTCATCTACTCAGGGTCGTGCTTCAAATCAGATCTTGAAGAGCAGGTGGGTCGGTCAGCCCACTGACGTTGCAATGCTTGATATGCTGGACCGTTTTAAGGAACACGATGTCCGTGAAGGTTTAGGTCAGCGTATTGGAGAGACCCCATTCAGTTCTGAAAAAAAGTGGATGGGTGTGACCATTGGAGATTTGGGTCCAGAAGGCACATCAAGCCCGAAGGAGCATGCTTATATTAAAGGAGCCATAGAGCGAGTGCTAGAAAGGTGTGATACATACCTCACAACAGATGGTCGTGAAGTTCCTTTGGATGCCTCAAAAAGACAACAAGCGTTACAAGCTGCGGATAAGCTTGCCTCTGAAGGACTTCGAGTTCTCGGTTTTGCTAGTGGTCCAGTTGCCAGACACGCAAAATCTTTGGCTCCACCAAGTCGAAGCGGAACGCCAGTCTTAAATTTAGACCACCATGTATCGCACAACGAAGATGTCTATAATGGCCTTACATTTGCTGGATTGGTTGGTATGAGTGATCCGCCACGAGCAGGTGTTTCAAAATCGATTCGAAGACTTATGCGAGGCGGTGTCAAGGTCATCATGATTACTGGTGACGCAGAAACTACTGCCCTCGCTATTGCAAAGAGACTTGGAATGTATGTTGCATCACCTCGTAGTCATTCAATAAATTCTGCAGAAGTTCGGCCTGTATTACGAGGTGACGAGATTGATGATATGACCGCCGAAGAGCTACAAACTGCCATAGCGCACACTTCTGTATTCGCTAGAACCAGTCCAGATCACAAGATGAAAATTATCAGAGCTCTGCAAGCTCGAGGCGATATTGTCGCAATGACGGGCGATGGTGTCAATGATGCGCCTGCGCTCAAGAAAGCCGATATTGGCATATCGATGGGGTTGCAAGGAACTGATGTCGCCAAAGAAGCCGCAGATATGATATTGACAGACGATGATTTTTCAACTATCCTCAAAGCAATTGAAGAGGGCAAGGGAATTTTCAGCAACATAAAAAATTTCCTTACATTTCAACTTAGCACCAGTGCTGCGGCACTTAGCTTAGTGTTAGTTTGCACGTGTTTGGGATTTAAAAACCCTTTGAATGCGATGCAGATCCTTTGGATTAGTAGGTAAAATCTGTGCATTGTATTACACTTATACTAACGACTTCTCTAGATATCATCATGGATGGACCTCCAGCTCAATCATTGGGCGTGGAGCCTGTAGACCCTGATGTTATGAATAAACCACCCCGAGTGAGAAATGCTCCTGTACTTACAAGGGCGCTGATCGCTCGAGTTCTTACATCCGCTACAATCATTATGTTAGGTACAATGGCAGTTTACACTCACGAAATGCTCTCGGATGGCCAAATTAGCAAGCGGGATACAACAATGACCTTTACCTGCTTCGTTCTTTTTGATATGTTCAATGCGTTGAACTGTCGTTCAGAATCAAAGTCAGTCCTCAGAGGTGAGGTCGGACTGTTTTCAAACAAATTATTCAATTGGTCAGTATCGTTGAGTCTTGGGGGACAAATATTGGTCATATATTTCCCTTGGCTTCAGGAAGTGTTTCAAACAGAAGCTTTGGCACTCACAGATTTGGTGGGCTTGGTAATTTTAACAAGTTCCGTATTCTGGGCGGATGAAGCAAGAAAATGGTGGAAATACAGGAGTAGGAGGACCCTTGGCAGCGGGTATAGCCAAATCGTATAAATGAAATAAATGGCTTTGAATGCCTATTGTATTCATAGATTTAGTATTGCATAGATGCCTAAGCATATACATGTAGCAAATGAAAATAAGGAGGATATAAAATGACTTATCGTTTATAAATAATGATCTCAGATTTGAGCAATAATGAGTGACTGGAATTGTCAATCCCAATCACCAATATAAATTCTCGCTTACCCCACACCCAAAAAGATGACACCTTAAAGTTGCACCCGACCTCAACCCAGCTTCCCCAAAGAAGAGCTACCCATGCCTCAACCCACCCAATGCCTCCACCCGGCCTCCCAAATGGCAGTCTCACACCTCTACCCACAACATCATCTCCAGAATCAGCTCAATCATCCATTCACAATGCCGCCTCCTTAGCCTCCATCCAAAATATCCTCTCAACCCTCCACACACGCGATGCAGCCATCACCTCTAGCCTCCAATCTCTCATTTCATCTCAAGCTTCCCTCTCCCGCGACCTCGGTCGACTCGACCTCCTGCGCGCACATCTCGGCACAAATGTTATACACACCAGAGCGATTTCCAATGGAATGCTGGATAATGCGGCCAGCACGGCCGAGAAACTTAGCTCGAAAGTGAAGGAATTGGATTTAGAGAAGAAACGAGTCGAGGAAACATTGGGCGTTGTAGAACAAGTCGCAGAATTAAAAGCATGTGTAAATGGTGTGGTGGGCAGTATGGGGGCTCCGCAGGACTGGGAAGCTGCAGCGGGATATATTGCAAGAGCTTCGAAAATCCCGGTACACATTGTTGAGGGTAATTTCGCGGCGAGGACGGTTCCAAGTGTCGAGGTCCCCGATGCGCCTGGAGTGACAATTGAGGAGGCGAAGAAAAGTTTGTGTGGATTGTTTTTGAGGGAGTTTGAAAAGGCAGCAGAGGAGGGGGATGGGGTGAGGATTACTAGGTTTTTTAAATTATTCCCCTTGATTGGGAGGGAAGAGGTGGGGTTGGATGTTTATGGGAGATATGTTTGTCAGGGGGTAGCAGGAACGGCGAGAAAGAATTTAAAGGAGGGAACGAAAGGAGAGAGGGGTAAGGAGGGGTTCTTTTATGTGCAGGCATTGACGAGGTTATTTGAACATATTGCGCAGATTGTTGAGGGTCATGGAGGGTTGGTAGAAAGACACTATGGCGCCGGGAAGATGGTCAGGGTGATAGAGAGATTACAGGTCGAGGCTGATGTGCAAGGTGGAATAGTTTTGGATACGTGGGGAGACGAGAAGAATGTTGATAGAAGGTTAACGGATGTGAAAAGTTATCCGTTTTCATTTCTAGTGCAAAGTTTTCTACCAAATCAAAGACCAACGGGAATTTCGAGAACAGGCTCACCCGCGGTTGGAAATGCAGCCAATGGAAGGGCAAGTGAAGATGAGGGCGTGGACATGAAAGAAGTGGATGGTCTTTTAAATGAGATGGCCGTGATGTTAGGGCGTTGGTCACTATATAGTCGATTTTTGAGCGGTAAATGCAGGGTGAGTCTGATATCAGTCCTCCAGCAAGCAATTTCTAAACTATCCCAGGATCCGGAAGCTAGCCCTGAAGGGCCCTTAATCATGCCAGACTTTTTAGACAAATCGGCCTTGAGCCGAAAAATCTCAAATCGTCTGAGGGACCCTTTTAATGTTATGACTACATTTTTCTTTCGACGATCCGTGGAGAAAGCATTTCAATTGGATGAATCTCCTGCAGGGTTATCTCTCAATCTATCAAAACCTATAGATGGAAACTCCCCATATATAATTTCGGCTGTAGACGATGTCATGTATATTGTCAACACAGTACTCAAAAGATCTATCTCAACATCACAGCGTGGTGTAATCGAATCCGTCATTCCAGCAGTTGGTAGAGTTCTGGGTACTGATTTTGTAGGAATGGTCCAGCGCAAAATGCGAGATGAATCCTACCCGAAACCACTCGTACAAGGCGGATTTCCACCGGAAGACAAAATCACCGCTTTTATCGTTCTCATAAACAGTCTTGACGTTTCAAATGATTATATTTACCGAATCGTGTCAAGTCATCTTCAATCATCGGAAACAAGCGGTGCATCTCATACTAAAGGTGTACCACCTGCTCCAGCACTTAAGGATATCTTCCCCTATGACCATGATGCTACCTTCGTTTCTAATTCACTCACAAGTCTCAACGCAACATTCTCATCAAAGACCAACGAATTAATCAGCGAAGGTCTTCAAGTAATGTTCAATAATGTTATCAAACCGCGTCTTCGTCTCGTTTTAAGCGAAACTTTCCGGGATGTTGATTATTCCCTCACATCAGAAGATCTCGCTGAAATTGCACGTCAAAATGATACCGATGATGACCCTCAAGAAATCCTTCAGGATATGGTATCTCGGCGTTTCGAACATCATTGGGATGCTCTCATGAAACCTATTCAAAGAATCATGTCTACATCACCATTCAATACCCTACTAGAACAAACTGCTCAATATCTAGCAAGAGTTTTAGAGAGAAGAGTTTGGAACTATAGTGGCAAAATGAACGCACTAGGAGCAACTAGAATGGAGCGAGATTATGGAGGAATTGTGGGAGTAATTGCTAGAGGAGGGAAGTATGGATTGAGAGATGTTTTTGCAAGGGTAATGCAGGTTGCTATGGTAGTTAATATGGATGAGGAGGAATGGGAAGCGGTTAATGTTGAGGGCGGAGGATTGGGTGAAGAGGAGGTAGAGATGGTATGGGTTTTGACGGTGGATGAGAGAACGAAGGCTAGGAATATGGTCAGGGGATGATGTTCGGAGCGAGGGATTATGATTGTGTGAACAGGGTATAAAATGGGTTTCAAATGTGGAGTTGGGGCGTTGAGAACTCCGTGCATGATAAAAGATATCGAGGCGAAGGGCGAATTTGGATGCCCGATGCATATTAGATAAATGAAATTAAACAAGCATTGATACCAATTTCAATGGCGATATGCACACTTCGTCACCCTTCTAGGGTGATCTGCATCTGCATGTAAGTACTAAGCAAATATCTGAGTTTTGGAGAACATCTTCTTGTGTCCAGTAATGTGGATATAATAATAAAGCAACAAGACAATTTAGAACCCCATCACAAGATACGACGTAATAAACTCTCGTGCATTTTGAAAATATCAAATAGGGGGAAACGAGCGAGATCCATTTCACCACATCAACCACTACACAACCAAAACCACGTAAATCTATAGCGCCAATCTCTTCATGCAGCAGTAGTATTGAATTACATTCGTCTTTCTCCTACTCCACCTATTACTCAAACCCCTCCAACAGTCCCACTATACCGCCCGTCTTCGGCTTCTTCGCCTTACCCTCCGCTTCCGCCTTCGCATTCGCCTTCTTCTCCTCCTCCAACTTCCTCTTCCTCTGCGCCTCCGCCATTCTCGCATCAAAATTCAAAAAGCCCGGCGGTCCCGCAGTCAGCAAATCCCTAACTCTCTTCTCCATAATATCCTTCTCCGCCTGACTTCCCACCTCCGGTATCGGATCCTCATCCTCTTCATCCGGCCATCCCAATCTCTCGAGTATCTCTACCAAACCCCGTCGATTCAGCTTCAATCCGAACGGGAGTTGGATTTCCTCTAGATAATCCCTGCTGATTCTTCCGCGGTTGCCTTCGTAGTCGCGTACGAGACACATGTTTTCGTCTGTGGCGAAGGTGCCGTATACGAGGACTATTTCTCCCACGTCGAAGGGGGGCTGTTTGAGTGGTGATTGGGGGGTTTTGGGGACGGGGGCCTGGGCTTCGAGGACGCGGTAGAGTGGAAGGGTTACGGAGTCGAGTCGTTGGATTGCGGCTTTTTGGGCGCCGGTTGGCGCTTGGATTCCTTTGGGTAATTCCAATCTATTGATTCGTCTGACTAGTTCAGAGCGTTTTCCATGCGTGGGAAGAAGTCGTCTTCGACATTCCCATTGTAGATCTATGCGACTCATACCCCTGGGGTTGAATGGCAAACAATGATTATCGCGAAAAACCTCATTAGCCCATACTTGTACGGGTAACGTGCCGTCGATTCCCCAAGGGAAAGGCAGCTGTTGTAAATTTCTATGTTTGACACGACCCTGGTCGAGCCCATAGCCTTCGAGACGCGTGACTAGAGGACGATGATCTTGTATGTCGTAAACGGGTTCGCCGAGATCGAGGAGGAATTCACCCCATTGGGGCGCGAAGTCTCCGACCCAGACTTTGGCGCCGGGAAGCCCGTTGTTTTGTTTGAAAGCGCTGTCTGGGTATGGGAGTCCACGTTTGTCCGTTGGGTGGATGAAGCGGTAGACGAGGAAGTCGAGGTTGCGGGAGGGTCGCTCGAGGAAGCTGTCCGCTTCTTCCTGTTCAGTGCCGGTTGCTTTGGCGGCGGCAGACATCGTTTCTAGAAGGTGAAGGGTATTAATTGACGTGAGGTGAATTTGAACGGGTTATTATAAGAGGTTGAATGAGAATTATGGTAAATATGTTCTTGAAGTTGCTTGGATATCGAGAACTCTGGCCGAAAACCTTAGAAATGGTACCTGTGAGAATATTTCTGGAGCTTGCTGTACAATAGGTTGAAATATTTTAACTTTCAAAGGACACAAAGGACTGTTGTAGTTAGACAAGCAATGTGAATGAACTTGTGAACTTCACCTCCTTTGATGTTGTGGTTAAAATGAATTTGAATGACGGATCCGGAGGCTGAACAAAGACTTATTCGAGATAGTGATAAAATTGAAGGGAATAATCGTGTTAACTTTCAGGAGTGTTTATCTGATAGTATTTTGCGACATCTGCTTAATAGGCTTGTCACTTGGACATTCCAAGGTTGATACTAATATTGAAATACCATTGGATGAAGTGTTGAAAACAAAAATAATAGGTCCAAAAGGGTACCAAAAGGGGGTACACATCATCTACCATGATTGTCGACTAGGACAATGTATCAGACGTAGAAGAGCACTTAAGGAAAGATCACTGGATCAAGCTCAGTTTTCATAGATTTGGAAATTTCTTCACTTCGCAAAGAAAAAGACAGCATTGAATCCGAAAGAAACAAGTCCAACGTGACACCACAATCATTCATTACATATATACCACTAACTCCTAATTTCCCACAGCCTGATCTTTCCAGCTTCATTACCAACCGCCAGAACATCGCTGCCACTACCAAATGCCACAGATGAAATTCTTCCTAATGGTGTGTTTGATGTTGGCCAATTCTTATACACTGTACAACTAGGCAGATGTACCAATCTCAAGGCATCTTTCTTCCACCTACTGCTAAAAACCAACAATTGTCCATCAGGACTAATTTGCAAATGACTTGTGGGTGTGGTCAATTGCAAAAGTCGTCTATTTGGCTCAGGTCTCTCTGGAATTTTTATATCATTTCCAGTGACAAAATTCTTACGGTCGTAAATATTGACCACACCACTTTGAGATCCGATCACTACCCAACGATCCCCACCGAGTTGTTTAGGCCCATTGGACCCGCCGAGTGTAAGAATGGTAGCACCAATGGAACCATCATCATTCCAACGAGCAACGAAAGATCCTGATTCCATATTCCATTCGCCTACCTCACCGCCCTTTCCTACAACTGTCAATCCTTCTCCATTTTTCCACCATGCAAAATCGGCAACTCCATCCTTGCCTTCAATTCGTGCTGATGCTATCCATTGTGTTGTGGTTGCATCAAGAATATTTATAACACCGCCTCCTTTTTTTGATGAACCAATCAGGCCTATATATCGGCCACAAGGGCTGAGCTTAAATTTTTCCATTGTCTTTTGCTCATCCTTGTGACCATAAATACGCGTAACCTTATTAATTTCTCCCGAAGGAAGATCCCAAATGTGAAAGTAACGACGTCGACCAGCGAAAATGATTTTATCTCCGGAAGGATGAAGGAATGCTGATGTAGCAATTGGTGTTTTTCTGACGTGAACGCTGGTAAGTTGCGGATGAGGATGAGGGTGAGCTGTAGGCGCATAATGATGTAAATATAAAGTAGATGCTGGGCCTGAAGAAAGTATGACTGGGTATTCGGGATGGAAGGAAAGGGAAGTAACGGCTGATGGTTGGGTTTTTGGTATATCCCGGGTTCTTTGAATGTCCAGGACTTCAGGTCTGAGTTTTGGTCGTTTTGAGGTCGCCGGAGTTTCTTTTGTGAGAGCACCAGCATCTTGTAGAAGTCTTGCGAGAGGTAACGTTGAAAGGTCAGAATCATCAACGTCCATATCATTCGATGATAATGAAGAATCAGAGCCTGCGGATGACCTGCGACGTCGTTTCGTTGGCCTAGATGATTGAGCCCATTCTGGAACAGGGTTGAGGCGCTCAAATTGCATTCGTAGTCGCCTTGTGTATTCTCTTCCACTAACCATATCCTCCCCTTCATTGACTCTAAGTTTCCTTAATCGAGGATTTCCAGCAAGAGATACAGTCAATCGGTCATCGTCACTATCCTCCCAAGCCAGCGCATCTCCTCCCTCTTCATCTTCGGAATTTGATCGCGGTATTAATGCATCTTGGGGCACAACAGACGGTCCAGAGTCTAGGAAAAATAGCTAAAAAGAGTTAATGAAGTTCCTCTACAATTGCGGGGCGAGTTTATACATCTGCATCGTCAACACCCTCAATCCCGACATCCTCTTTTTCCTCATCTTCACTCTTTTCTCCTTCTGAGTTTTCATCTGAATCAAATTCCATGTCTTGGCCCAATTGCGCTGTAAATCCTGCCCCATCTCCTAAAACAAGTCTGTCTAACTCCTCCTCATCGGAATCCTTATCCATCATGTTTACATCCTCATTGTTACTACCGCTCTCTTCACTTTCTTGGAGAATTGTTCGCGCATCCTTTTTCGATGTTGCGCTGCCATCGGCAGGCTTTTTTGACCGTGAGGGGGGCATTGTGTGTGAGTATGTTGTATATTCAAGTATCTTTCGTTTTCTCAACTTTTTTTTGTCCAATGTAGAAATATAAAAATTTGCAGGGATAATTGACAGGGATTACTAGCGTGGCTGAATATATCTTTATTAGCCACTGTTAGCCTCGCTTACTTGGGTCCCTCTAGTTCTATTCAACATACAACTTCTAAATGCTTGTTTGAAATTCATTATATATTAATCAAGGCCTTCTTCTTTCTTCTCACTACTATGGGAATTTATCTAGTGATTCTATCCTTTATTTCAAGCATTATTTAAAATGTATCTATATCAAAAGAAATCAATTCCATCGCAACTGTCCTCCTTACTCGATTCCATCTAGCTAGGACCAATGATATTTACTGTTTTACAATAAGCATTTCATAAGACATGTATTGCACAGATTTGACGAGAGGATGGCTAGGAAAATCGTTGGATCGGACTGAAAAGTTTATGAATCGTTCTCGTGATCTAAAAAAGCGTATTAGTGATTTCGGTGATTCCACGATTCTACCGAGACACTTTTCCGCTGTCCACTCGGGCATCCATCTCGACAAGGACTCTATACCGCACTGGATCGTTGGTGGGATGATAAACTATGCATCGTAGTCTTAAGAGTACAATATCGATGATGATGGCGACCTAAAATCCCTAAGAAAGCGCTCTCAGGGTTCCAGGAAGCCAGGGAATTTACTCCTTGGCTTAAGCTATGTATGGATTGATTGCTTGTACATTAACCAGCACTCTAAAGAGGAATAAGATGAACATTTATTATAGATCAAGCTGGCTTCCTGTGCTTGCAAAGCAGTCGGGGATGTGTCTCTGTACGTAAGTTTCCGTCGAATATTTTTCAAATGATTTCCAACAGCGACAGCATCTTTGGAACGATGGACACTGGCTCTTGTGATCTTGTTGACCTCCTGGGATCTTGGCAGCATATGCATATATATTGCATGATGCATATAAGGAGCAAACAAAACTCAACTTTTAATTCATTCTTTCCTTTTTGGTATACTGTTTGTTTGCTTTCAATATTTTGATTTCAAAGCACTTTAATTCCGAAGGCTGAATACCTAACCTTATTCCTTCATTTTTTTTTGAATATATACTCGCAGCTTAACTGCTTAGCTAGAGAATCAATCAATTCAATCTGATGCTCTTTCTGGTCTCAAGAAACCCAATAGATCTCTTCTTCGGCCTATGCAGCTACCCGCGGACGGACGTACCAAGAGGAGATACGCTCTTCTCTCCATTTATGGTTTCTTGAAACCCAGGTTTGTTTTTGATATAGCGAGCGTTTTTTTTTGTTCTCTTTTTTTTTTCCAAAAAAAAAAAAAGGTCATCAGCCATCAGCTGACGCAAAAGATCCACGATCTACGTATAATGAGATTAGATTAGGACTGGCAAGCATCTGGCAAGGCTCGTCATAATATATGTCAAACGAGACTTAACGAAGGGCGAGGACAAGCTCCCAGCTCTATCAGAAACCGCTCATGAAGATTGGAAAAGTACACCCGCTGATTTGTTTACCTTATGGACAAAGATTTTTTTATCACAGCTCGTTAGGTTCGGGGGGTTTGGGAAAATTCAACGCGGTCTCTTGGTACTTCATGGTCATGGGCGTCCGTTGACGGAATAGTTTCATACCCTTCCGGCGCAAACAAAAACCTTTTTTAGTCTCGATCTATTGCATGTTCTGCTGATCTACCTTTTCTGCAAAGTCGAAAGCCGCAGTTTAACTGGTCAAACTTTTATTAGAACAGCAAGATTTATCAAAACGGGTCGTTGTGTTACGTATCACATTACTTGCGGAACCTGCCAAACGGATGGGAGCATAAACTCGCTTAATAGCATGAACCTACCATCTATTTACACATCTACAGTCATGCAATATGGAAGGGCTAAAGTATAGTGGTTTCTGCTGGATTTTACACTGATCACCTTGTTCTAACCCAGGTTTCGAGAACGCATCCCCAATGGAAGGAGAATATGTACGGGAAAATTGGATAAAAGTGCCGTGACAAAATTTCAAAGAGACAGGATGGAGATGGGAACAATGACGAGCTATAGCGCAAGTGTTGTGCAGAAGCTACTCTTAGATTAAGGACTCTTTCATGTTTATAAGTAGTGCATATCCTCTCCAATTGAGAAACGATTCAATTTTAGAAATTACACATATTTGAAAATAATCCATTATTTATCGATGATTTATATAACTTCCAAATAATCTCAAACTTTTTACTTATCACCAGACTATGAAATCCATACCATGAATATATACCTAGTAGATAACACCAAGTACCTATCATACCTATACATATCCAATCTTCATCCTGGTGTAAGATTATAAAATACCCTAAATATCCATCACCTTCTTCCCCCATCCCCTCTCATCCCATATCATACCCCCTATTTACATTTCTCCCCTCTTCCTCTTGCCATTCTCCTTCATCTTCTTGCCCTTCCCCAACCCCTCTTTCCACCATCTCCTATTCTTTAAATCATAATTATACATTATTCTCTAAATCGATATATCCAGCATCCACCTTCTTAAAAAATAAAATAAGCACAAACCCCAAGGAAAATAAAATGTAGACGCAATAACCAAAAAACAAAAAACAAAATGCAGAATCTATTTCCTCTCTCTCCTTTACAAATAGTAATATATATATATATATACCCTCAAATCATTCTCTTTCCCACACCCCTAAAAATCCCTACATCCTTCCATCACACCCTATATACTCTCCAATCTTCCATTTCCCCATCCTTCTTTTCTCCCCTCCCTATAAAAGGAAAGATATTCCATCTAAAGCAAGTTACCCACAATATCTACCAACAGGACATGCAGGGTATTACATTTGTTTTCTCTTATTTTCTTTCAAGGAGGGAGAGAGTATGTGTGTGTGTGTGTGTGAGAAAGAGAGAGTTACTCTGCTGATTTATTTGGGGGTTATTTTCGTTTTCGAGATGTGCGGGATATAAGTAATCTTACGTTTAGTGTATATAGATAGATGTAGATAGATAACAATGGTAATGGGGATTAATTTCTTTCCAATTGTAGCACGAGAAGCATCTTGAGTGGAGGTTTGAGATGATTCTCTCGTTCCTCATTTTATTCTTTGATGAGGAGTGTGATTTTGTGAGTATGATGGATAGAGATGTGATATGAATGATGGAGAACGATGAGGGAGTGGGAAAGGATAGGAGAGCAGTATTCAAGGAGAGGAATTGGAAATGGATGATGGAGTGAAGAAGGAAAAGAGTGAAAAAGGGATATCATATCAGCAAAAGTAGAGAAAAAAGAATATGTGAAAATGCTTGTATATGCAAGATATATCCAGCTATTCACGCCCAGAGTCCCTAGAAGAAAGATCCGCTCAAACGCAACATAAAAATCCGCGCATACATATCCCACGCCAATCGTCAGCAAATTATCCCAACCATAATATCCCAGCTGCAAAGCCCAAATTCCTGATATCTCAATCGTATGCCCATTAAATTATCATCGCGTATGCCTGCCAAAGGAAAAAAAAAAATCGCCCCGAAATGCCTGATCAATTCAACCTTAATGTCGGAAAATATGCGCCAATAGTACTCTAGCAGGTCCACCTTGCTTAGCATGAATCTTTGGGAATATCTTGCCGGACTTTAATGTATATGTAGCAAGCTTATGTTCGCTGCTGTATCTCTTTACTGGTTTACCTTCAGCCTTGGCGTCGAGGAAATCAAAAATGTTGACCCAGACTTTTCCTAATGCCTATAGAATGTACATTAGCATCACTATTGAATTTGAAAATCTGTATCACTTACCTTGCGACATTGAGTAATGCTAGTAGGTATCTCTTCCATGCCAACATCGACACAGAGTCTCTGCCAGTTTCCAAGCTGAGTTTCCTCTCCGAAATAATCTTCCCATAAGCCGACTACAGTGTTCTTCTTGCTTCTCGTCGATTTCTGTTTGGAAGAGGCATCCTTGGCTGTCCCATTCTTTGGTGGCTCTGGTTTCTCAGAAGTTTGACCCTTCTTGGTCTTGGCTGTCTTTGGCTTAGATACAGAAACATCTTCGACTACTTTTTTCTTTGGCGGTTCTGGTTCGACCTGTTCCTCAGAAGCTTGATCCTCCCTGATTCTCTTGATAAACTCTTTTGCGGCATCATAGTCATCATGGTCACCCCATTTAAAACCATGTACTATCATGAAATGTTTCATGTTATTCCATCCGGAGTCCTTAAGCCACCTATAGTTGGATATACCCTCGACTCCTACCTCTTCTTCTGAACCCTCTTCCTCGCCCTCCATGGATTTGGACTTGTCATTCGCGATTATCGCATCGAATTCCTTCTGGGCATCCTCCTCAGCCTTTCTAGCCTTGCTTCTCTTCTTCCTCTCCTTAGTTCTCCTGTTCTTTTCAGACTTTGCATTGATTTGCTCTTGCTCCAAATTGTTTGTCTCTTTTTCGGAAACTACAAGGTTCTGAAGGGCGTTGGCAACATTGCTGACAATTGTATCTGCTGGAACCGATTCCTTGCCTAAGGAGCGATTGTTTCGTTTACCCCTCTTCTTCTTTGCAGACTTATCCGTCTCTTGCTCTGCTTCATTAGCATTATCTTGTGCAAGCTTGACATCTTGAAGTACTTGTATTATGTCGCTGAGGTGACCTGTATCTGAGAGGTGAGTTGAGCTTGAGGGACCATCGACGGACTCAGTTTCAGGTGGTGTATAAACGGGAGCTCCATCACCATCGCTAGAGGTGTCAGAAACACTCTGAGATGGGCTTGCAATTTTCTTTGATTTTTTGGCCATTGCTCCGGATTCCTATCAAAATTTGTGTACGCGTAAAGATTGTAATCACGATGATGGATACAGGAGTGGGAGAGGGAGGTAGCGGGGCAGGAGATTATAAGCAAATGAGTAAGATTGTGCTGTACTGTAGCAATTTAAAAGCTGGAACTTTGTTGTGGTTTTATTCACATTTTTTGATAGCACAATTGATGATCATTTAAGTATTTAAGGTGAATAAAATGCCATATGGATGAGTTGGAGTGGTTTAGAAGTGATCGATTGGAGATTGGAGATTGGAGGCTATGGTACGGTTTCGAGGTTAAGGTTTGGGTCCCCCAAGGTTTATGGGGTCACTCTTAGGGCCTGCTGAGATGACGCTAATCCCCCACAGTGTTACTCAGCCTTGCACGGAACTAACGGACGGACATTTTCGATGTTGATTCTGACATCTTCAATATCTCTTTCTGGTGTCAATGCGACCGTAGGGCAGATTTTGATAACAATCTTCATCGCCGTCTAGGTATCGTTCTTCAACTAGGTATTGCCACATGGTGAGGCAGTCTTCAGGGCATCATGGTACCGCTAAGAACAAGGCTTTTTCGATGTTGGATAACGATGCAGTTTCAGTTGGTTCCATCAACAAGGCTTTTCAATGATCAGCTTATCCAACTATACTCACGTGCCATTGTTTGTCGAAATGTTAGATTTCTCTCTACGCAACATCTCAATCTTAGTGGCGAGAGCAATAGCATTTACAATGGAGCTCTGGTGCTGGCGATGTAACCAACCTGCAGGACACCGACGTGTTTTCTCAGGAAAAGAGATGCTTCCGGTGAAGTGTCACTCTCCGAATTTTACTTATTTGTCGATTTGTTGAACTGTTGTGAGTGCAATAGTGAATCAAATTCACTTCATGAGGGTCTCGTTGAAATATTATATTTCAAAGCTACTCAGTCAATCGGATCCGGCTTATAATATCTGATTAATGTCACGATGATTACAGTACGTTACACAAAGCTGAGATATGTAAGCCAGAACCTTAAATCCGAGAACCTTCGGATCCGAGGGATAGATTTCAAGGGCAAAAATTCGTTTGATATTTTGTGTACATAGCTGCACTATGAGATGTTCATGGTCCCTTTTCTTTGCATGCTCAGTAAATGTGCAACGCTTTTCAAATAGTTTTTTTCTCATATTGAGCGACGCAGTCGTAATCTATTTTTCTCGCACAATCATTTTTCTTCGACGGTCACTATTCAGTTTTGATTTTGTTGGGCGAGGCCGAAAGGAGAGAGAACCTACAAGAATCGGCTTTTGATCAATTTCAGAGCAGAAGAAACCGAAGAAGATTGGAGGAACCGCCCCTACGGATTTAAATCACAAACCTCATTTATAATTTCAAAATAATTTTCTGAGTTTCACAAGAACCACGAGGTTCATTGAACACAAATTATTTCGGTTTTTCTTACATAGAGAAGTTTCGTTCAAGCTTTTAAAATGTTAGACGAGGAGCGAGGACACGGGGGCGGACACAAGCCGAAGGTCGGATCTGAGGAAACATTATATGGTTCAAATACATCGCATACATATTCTGTAGAGAGAGTGCATACTGGTAGCAGTTATAAGAGTAATGTCAGCGGTCAGAAGTTTGAAGAACCAGGAACTCTCTCCGACATAGCCCTAGTTAATTATCCAAAGGCATGGACTCTGCAACCACCTTCGATCTAAAAGGCTAACTGAATGTAGACGAGTAATGAACTGAACGACGTTCCCGCACAAACCAAGCCAAGTGACGCACTATTTCCAGAAACCGATTTAAATGCAGGCATTATTGGTTGGGATAGTCAGGACGATCCAAATAATCCTCAAAACTTTCCTCCGAGTCGAAAATGGCTTCTTCTAGGACTAATATCAAGCATCACTGTCGTCAGTCCTCTAGCATCCTCGATGGTTGCTCCCGGTGTGCCATATATCGAAGAAACATTTAAAAATCACAACGAAACATTAAGTACCTTTACTGTTACTGTCTTCCTTTTAGGCATTGTATTCGGACCTCTTTTTTTATCCCCACTGTCGGAAATTTATGGAAGACGACCGGTACTTTGTGCATCCAACATCGTTTTCTGCCTATTTCAGATAGGCTGCGCTCTTGCTCCTAACCTTACCGCACTTATAATATTTCGTTTCTTCGCAGGCATTGGTGGTTCAGGATGTTTGGCGCTTGGTGGTGGTGTTATTGCCGATCTCTTTCGACGCGAGCAACGTGGAGCAGCTTCGGCGGCTTACACCATCGGCCCTCTATTTGGACCTGTGATAGGTCCAATCTGTGGAGGTTTCATAGCGGAGAGAGTTGGTTGGCATTGGATTTTCTGGGTTATATTCTGTGCCGCCACAGTAACGACAATTGGCATTGAAATATTCAACCGCGAAACTTATCCTCCAGTTCTAATCCGGAGAAAAACTCAGAAGCTTCGCATAGAGCTTAATCGTCCTGATTTAATGTCCTGCTATGATCTCGGAAGCGATCCTAGCACTAGGACTGTTCTGATCAATGGCCTCATTCGACCTCTCAAAATGTTGTTCTTGTCACCAATCGTTTTCATACTTTCGCTGTATATTTGTTTCGCGTACAGTTTGTTGTACCTTTTGTTCACCACAATTACTCCAGTATTTCAAGAACAATATGGATGGAGTGTAGGACTTTGTGGTCTCGCATATATTGGCATCGGCATTGGTTTCTTCTCGGGATTGGCCCTCGTGACAAAAATCTCCGACGCAACCGTAATCAAAATGACAGCCGAAAATAAAGGTGTCTTTGAACCAGAAATGCGTTTACCAGCCTGTCTCTTCTTCTCAATATTCATCCCCATCACCTTTTTCTGGTATGGATGGTCAACAGATAAACATACTCATTGGATTGTACCCGTCATCGGACTTATTCCATTTGGATTTGGTATGATGGGTGTTTTTATCCCGATTCAGACGTATATTATTGATAGTTTTCCATTATTCGCAGCAAGTGCGACGGCGGCAATGACGGCTAGTAGGAGTCTTTTTGGAGCTGTGTTACCATTGGCTGCTCCGAGTATTTATGCGAAATTGGGTTTGGGATGGGGAAATACTATGTTGGGATTTATTGCCGTAGCGATGATTCCGGCCACGGGACTGATTTATAAGTATGGTGGTCGCA